TGTTAGCCCACCGCCTAGAAGCATGATGACAATTTGTCATGATTGATTGGGCAAAGATACGTGTTATGCCTTCTTAGCATAAGGTGATCTTCTTAACACAAGGAGATCTTGCCGCTAGAAGATTCGAATCTCCTTTTCAGCTAAGCTTCTGCAAGGATCACTACAATTCATGGGACTATGCCTTTCCAGGCAGAAGAATAACGAAAGGTACACTTTATGGTTGACTTAAACTTATTTAAAATATCTTGGCTATTCTTAGCTATCAGTTCTCCGCCTGACATAAGATGACGTTCCTGAAATTGTAGCTGTTATCTATGACCGGATGCCACGGATGATGTTGACAACTCGACGATTCTTGTTTCCTGACCCAGAAAAACAGGTTTGGAAGATTGATTCAGAATTTGATCTCGCCATCGAAGCTAGATATGCAAGATGCACTGCGCATGGACGTCTGCCCTCCCTTGTAAACAACAAACATGTTCTTATTTTATCTTCACGCGCCTTACCCCTATCTCGTGGTCTTCTGATTGCTCGACGTGTTCTGCCGACATGCACGCCATCTGGTCTGTTCTCGAGGCCATGAGGCGTCTAGAACACGGGCTCAAACAGATGATTGGACCCCTGAGTAGGCTATCCCTGATACAATGGCCCTGAGCGTGTTTCTTTGCAGGTGCTCGTGACCATGATGGTCCGAGACCTCCGGCGTGCCAGCCCCGACTCTCTCACTATCGGCACCGGCGTGCCGAGTCCTGTCTGTTATTTAACCCATCGGCTTCCCGACCTGCTGGACTCCGGTCCCCCCCTTCTGATCCGAACAGTTCCTGAATGTGCTGTACAAATATCCAGGACAAGTCGCCTGCCCTTCCTCTCTCTCTTGCACCTCACTTGCCTTTCGTCTTTTCATTCTGCCACTAACATCCAGCCCACACTTTTCCCTTTTCGCTATTACCGCAGTTTGACCGTCGATGGTCTTGGCATTGACACCTACAAGCAACGGATGACTAACGGGCGCTCTCATTCGACAAGAATTTATCCCACCGGTAGCGAAAGAATCTTTCGGTGTGGGAAGACCTTTTCGTTGAATTCCTTCATTAATTTCTTTTCTTATTTTTTGGGCTTCGATTATTCTTTTTTATTATTATTTATTTGATTTTATCCCCATCCCAGTCCTCCGAAACAAACCGCTTCTCGACGGTGTATGATGGTCTGACGTCGTTGACCACTTACGCGACAATACAATCCTTTGGTTGGATCTTAATCCCTGGGTCCTCCAAAGCCAAGACCTCTACCGAACTCGGCAGGCTAAAACATCAAGCGGCATCTGTCCGACACCGTTTACGAAGCCAAGGCCGACCGTGTACGACCGGCATCTTACGACGATCGGGCCGAGTCTCTGCACACTTTCGTGGCCGACTTGGCGGACTCGGGATCGCACTTCGTGCCGGTGCCGAAGTTCCTCCTCTTGACCGATGCACTGTTTGGAATACTAGGAGTCTATGGTGTGCTGAGATGTCGTAGAGGGTTTTGGGGGGAAAATTCAAATGGGTTGCATACACTAATGTGCACTATAGGTTGTGGGTACTCTGGAAAAGAAAAAAAAAATCTCAGATTGTTTCTGGTCCACAAGCTGAGGGCAGGCAGGACATCTGGATGGGTGTTGTTTACGACAAACGCTGAATCACCTGATGGAACGGCTTTTATGAACGGGTTTTGTGTTTTTTTTTGCTGTGATGGCTACGGAATATGGCCGGGGCGTGAACGCGCAATGACGACACAGGTTCTTATCACGCGGCAATATAGCTTGCGACATCATCGTCGGGTGTCCCTGCGCACGGTGGCACATCGGATATCTTGTTCGTTGTACACCTACGGACTATCTGAGTGTACTGACTGTGTAGATGTCAATGTCTCAAACTCACCTTGACAGATATAGCATCATCGTGCAGGTGTCATGCTCCGGTGGTTGAGCAGCTGATCGATGGGATCAGAATTCCTGCTTCGCTATTCGTCCTCCTGGTATTCCTTTCTCTTGGGGTTGTTGCCTCAGACGTCAGACAACTCGAATTACCTCAGCACGGAGTCTCCCCGTCGCTTTTACTGAAACAGGTGCCGCTGAACGAATCCGAGTCGTACGGATCCGAACGTCTCTCCGGACTCCGAACGACCTGATGAGCTCCAACTCCATTTCTCATCCGCCGTGTTCCGAGTTGGCTCTCGCCCAAGAGAGTAAGCAAAACGACTGACGTAGGTAGCAGAAAAAAAAGGGATTGGCCATTGGCCAAAGCAACGATGGGGCTCCTAAAAGAGGGGCAGAAACTTCGACCGGCGCCCGCGGGCATGGAAATTACTGCCACACAATCGTCAGCGGCTCAGGAGCGAGACCGAGAACTCGAGAAAAAGCCCGGAAGCCTGGAAGGCACACACACATGCACCTTGTCCCATGAGGAGGAAGGTGGAGAGGGAGTTGATCCCCCACGATGATTGGCCCATCCAGATGGTGATTGTCGGCTGGTGTGCGTCGTTTAGGGCAAAGCGGGGATCCACCGGGATCGCCCTCGAGGGATTCAGCCAGCGAAAAAAAGTTGGTGTCCAGTTGTGTGTGTTCCACCAAGTCCACACCTTCTTTCTCCTCTTCCTCCCCACCCTCTCGCCCCACTCTATCGTTTGCCGAGAGGTCTTGGTTGTACGCTTGTTCTTACCAAGAGCGCTGCCCTGAGCTTCGCTGTTTCTTGTTTTTTGGCTGAAGTACTTGGCGCTACCGAAGCGGGTTTGGTTTTGATATTGACGCAATCAGCGATGATCTGGACTGTCTACACCCATACGGGAGGCCTTTTTCTGACGTCGTTTTGGCCTGTCAGTGTCATGGTGATTGGAGCATCGGGTAAAAAAAAGCCGCTGCCTGACAGGTTTTTATTCATTTTTTGACTCGGCTAGGAGATACTATCTCGATTCAAATGCTCATTGTCCGAGTGGACCGCCAGGGGGAAAAAAGACACATGGAACAAAGCAAAAATCAGAAAAAAAAAGTGGTGACTAAGACATGCTTCTTTTCCGTCTCCTGCCAACTACGGCGCGGCCGACCACAGGAGATGCACGAAAACTAACGCACGCTGTTCAGAGATGAGGGTCGCTAATCTAGATGCATTGCTAATAAGAAGGAAGATTGAAGAGACCGGGCGCTTTAGACGGACCAATGGACCTGCAGGAAATAACCCCTCGGTTTAAGGTGGAGTTTCGACCGATCTAAATGTCGTAGTGATAGCAACAAATACACATAGAGAAATGATTGTTGCCTTGCCTCGATTCGATGATCAATGGTCTGCTCAACCCGGACACGGAGCCCGCAAAAAAGAACGCAGAAAGAAACCTAATGGAACATAATTTGACAGCGCAAGGGGAATCCGAGACTGAGAGAGTTTGAGACGCGCAAATCAGAACTCTGAATATTATGAGTTTATTACGATGGGCTAATAAGATTCTCCATGCAGCATACCCGATCCAAATTTGCTAAAGGAGGGGGGAGAAAACCGGAGCCTCCGAATCAAACGTCGCGTGAGGCCTGCCTCGGTGGAGGGATATCCATGCATGCATCGTTTCTGGTGTCGAGTTCGATGGACCTCGGTCACTGTTCCGATAGCAGTAATTGACCTTATGCGGCAGATTGGCAATAGAGCAATGGTTTGACGGAGTACTCCGTGCATGCCCTTGTCTTTTTTGATATCTCTCCCTGTCGTCCAAATTTTCTAGTCGTGTCATAAATTATAATTCCTTTGTTTTGTTTTTGCTCTCTGATATCGGACTTCTTATTGGGTCATATGGGTACAGGGATTGTTTCGCCTTGCAGGAGCAAAAGACGCTAGGTGCGGTCGGGACACCTCCATCCACGGGAACGGCTTCCCGAATGATGACCGAGAAAACACGCTTGTACCCGTTAAGAATTATCGGGACGGCAGAAATAATGATTTAGATAATATTAAAATAATTAAATAATAAATCATGCACCAGCAGTGGCCGCACGGAGGACAGAGTGGATAATCCCCATGTACGGCAGGAGAGGGGAGAAGGGCGGACGCACGGTGGAGGAAATCTCAAGCATTCCGATAGTTTTGGTTGGTAAAAGATTAGGTAGTCAAAACTTATTCCACTGGAACGGATAATTAAACGTGTACTCAGTCCAGACCGAGAAAATGTGTACACAAAAACGAGATTATCTCATCAGGGGGGTGTGCAAAGCTGTACTTTACTTTGGGGGGTTGAGCAGTTCAGCTCCCTCTCCTCCCCCCCCCCCGAGGACCCGAGAACAAGGGACGTTCCCCGTGGGATCAGAGAGGTTCCTCGCTTAACCTGCCCTCTGGAGGTCTGGAGATGACCGAAACTGGCAGGTCGGACCACAAAGGACTATCGGCCATTCACGGCTCAGACAGCAAGGTATGTGCTCCGTAAGAACGCCCGCAATGCACGCACATATTTCCCTATGCGACGGCGGAATGGGAGATGTGTCGACTGTTGACGAGAGCACTTGGTGGAGTTTGACCAACTAACTAATCCGCGGTGGAGGATTCAATCAGCTGTGTTTTCTGAGAGGATGGTCAGGATGGATGTTTTCGGATGGTTCGCCAATGATGGTGGCGTCGAGGGACCCATCGTGAATGATCTTATTTTTTAATTTTCTTCTGTTAATTTTCTGTTGACTCTCGGGTCCCCTTTTCCCTGGCCCTTTTTTTCGAATTTTGATTTTTCGATTTCCGATTTTATTATTTGTTTCCCCCCCAATCTGCTCCTTCGGCTCCATAAAGAGACAACTCTGATGTCATTGCTTATTGCATCTTCGGCGTACCCACCTGTGGGCCCTTAAACCGCCCCAAAGAAATGCTTAACCCAGCGTTATTGATGCATTCAGTCCCCTGCTCCACAAAACAAACAATGGTACGGTTGACTATGAGTGCTCAGAATATGGTGGAGGGTGAGTTTGGGGGATAAGAGATTGCCGGCCAGCATGCATGGTCGCCACGACTGCCTGTACATGGAGAAGTAGAAAATCCCCCCCTTCCCCCCCGTCCTTCTCCGCGTTTGTTCTTTTCGTTTTCTGTCAACTATCCCTTCCTCTCAACCGTGTCAGGCCAAACACCGAGAGAACCACCGGGAATACACCTGATCTCGCCTGGTGTACAGATCTAACTGGAAACCTGTTCCGTGCTTGCTATCTCGATCAATCCCTTCTTAGTTCGCCCAGCATGGCGCCGCCTAAATTTGCTGGCATGTCGGGGAAGCCCCTGTCCCTGACTGTGTCTACCGTTGCTACTATGGGTTTCTTGCTGTTCGGTTATGACCGTATGTACCATCCAGTATCCTAGCACGTTGATGTGAGACGGGTGCAGTAGGCTAATAATGTTTCTATAGAGGGTGTCATGTCCGGTATTATCAGTGACAAGGCTTTCAACGATGTTTTCACTGCTACCAAGGATGATTCCGTCATGCAGGCTCTCGTCACGGCCGTTTACGAACTTGGTTAGTCCCCTGGATCCTATCCTCCCAGACCACCCCAAACTGACCACATTGTACAGGATGTTTGGCGGGTGCATTGTTCGCCCTGGTGTACGGTGACTCGACCGGTCGTCGCCTGATGATCTTGTCTGGTGCCGTTGTTATGATCATTGGTGTCATCATCCAGGTGACTTCGTTCGTGGACCACATCCCTCTCCTTCAATTCTTCATCGGTCGTGTCATCACTGGTATCGGTAACGGAATGAACACTTCCACTATTCCGACCTACCAGGCCGAGTGCTCTCGTACCAGCAACCGTGGTCTGCTTATCTGTATCGAGGGTGGTGTTATTGCCATCGGTACTGCGATTGCCTACTGGATCGATTTCGGCGCTCACTACGGCCCTCCCGACCTCGTCTGGCGATTCCCTATTGCTTTCCAGGTTGTTTTCGGTGTCATCATCATCGTCGGAATGTACTACCTGCCGGACTCTCCCCGTTACTTGATCTCCAAGGACCGTGTCCAGGAGGGTGAAGTTGTGCTTGCTGCTCTCGGTGGCTGGGAAGTGGACAGCCACGAAACCCAGATGCAGAAGACCCTTGTCATCGACTCGATCAGAGCGTATGTTTTGAATATGATACTGATGAAATGACCCCTCATCTACGAGCACACTGCTAACGAATTTGCTTTCAGTTCTGGTGCCGCCGAGAAGACGAAATTCAGAGACTTGGCTACCGGTGGACGCTCTCAGCACTTGCGTCGTATGCTTGTCGGTTCTTCTTCCCAGATCTTCCAGCAGCTTTCTGGTTGCAACGCTGTCATCTACTACCTCCCCGTGCTGCTCAAGGATATCGGTCAATCGAACGACATGTCCCTCCTGATCGGTGGTATCAACATGATCGTGTACGCCATCTTCGCCACCTTCTCCTGGTTCTTCATCGAAAAGATCGGTCGTCGCAAGCTCTTCCTTGGTGGTGCTTTCGTCCAGTGCATTGCCATGATCATTACCTTCGCCTGTATGATCCCCGGTGACGACGAAACCGCCAAGGGTGCCGTGGTCGGTCTGTTCCTGTACATGGCTGCTTTCGGTGCCGCTTGGTTGCCTCTGCCCTGGTTGTACCCTGCCGAGCTGTCTCCCATCAAGACCCGTGCCAAGGCCAACGCCGTCTCGACCTGCAGCAACTGGCTGTTCAACTTTGCTGTCGTCATGTGGACTCCTCCTATGATCGCCTCTATCAACTGGGGTACCTATCTCTTCTTCGCCGCCCTGAACGGTCTCTTCATCCCCGTCGTCTGGTTCTTCTACCCCGAGACCGCCAACCGATCCCTGGAGGAGATCGATATCATCTTCGCCAAGGGTTACACCGAGAACATCAGCTACGTCACCGCCGCTCACCAGCTTCCCAAGCTCTCCGACGAGGAGATCGAGGCCAAGGCCAACGAGTACGGCTTCGGTGGCGGTGTCTCCGAGGATCCCGAGAAGGCTGCTGCCGACTACTCTCCTTCGGAGTAAACAGCTTTCCAATATTCATGACAAAACACAGCACGCATTGGGGAGACTTACCATCACCCCACAAAACCATAAAAAACCCTTACATTTCAGGCTCCGGATCCTGATAACCTTCTGCATCGATACCCGTGGTCCGCTCCGATTCGGATCGCAACTTTCCTTTCCTTGATTATACCATACCATATATTATGCATCTTGAATTTTGTGTTTTGGACAGTACATGCCGATAGACTTGGCGTTGCAATGCGATTTGACACCGCCATTGGTCTGTCGTGCCGATCTAGAGATCACTATATTCCCCTGATGTTTTGTGTGTTATTTTATATGGTCTTGTTTTGATTTGGATTTTCATCTGCGACTACCCCTTGAGTCTCATCCGTGGAACGGATGAATGTGGATGGTTTCCTCACTCCACATGGGCTTTTGTACATTTATGACGGTCGATATATCATAGACCACTAGATTTCCGAAAGTCATTTACTTTTCTGTCTTCAAACTACTTTCTGAATATCTGTAGTCTAAATTATCTTCAACTCGTAAGTGATAGTACCAGTGTAAGTATAGGTGGCTGTTGACCTTCGCACCATCGACGTCGGTAATGATGTCATTCGCGTTGACATTCCGGCGGCAGTTACCCATGGATTTGAATCTAGAAATCCGGAGTAAAGACCTTCCAGACCGTTTTCGAATCCTCTTTTCCTCCGTGCCTGGTCATACGGGGTAGTTTCCTATCGAGAGTGCGAAAACCATCGGTCGCAGATATACCTGTCATGTAGTTGAGTGACTCGTTCTACTTCCACCCATGAATGATTCATCGATCCATTAATTAACTGTTCAATTGATTGATTAATTAGCGAATAACCATCCTCCCCCGTCTATGTACTTCCTGCTTCCGAATGCATGACCCTGCTGCCTGCCTGCCTTAGCTGCCGTGTCGCATCCAACCACTCAGCCAAGGAATGCAAGGGTCATTCGGTAACAAACCACCCCCTGCTGTCGAAATATTCATGGGGTAAAATGTAGTTGGTTGGTTGGTTAGAGTAGGGGCAAAAAAAGTAATTAAAAAAAAATTCTTTCTTGATACATCGCTTCGTTCTTTCTTTGCCTTTCTTTTCTTTTTCCTTCGCCTTTTCTTTTTCCTTTTTTTTTCTCTCGCACATTCACACACACACATCTTTCTCCCTTTTTCCCCTTCCTTCCTTGATAATAAAAAAAAATTTAATTCTAATTAGGGATATCGACATCAACAACCAACCAGGATCCTCCCGAGACAAAGGAAATTAGACAAAAATCAAGAAATCACATCGGACACCTGATCTCTTGCGGCAGTGATCGGCTGATCTGACTCCGCCTCATCCATCCTCGTCCTCTTGCGTGCCCGGTTCGCGATCATCCTGATTATTCTGTATTCACGACGAACTGGATTTGTTCTCGAGAGAGAGTCGCACTTTCCCTCTCATTTGATGACTCTTGACGTGTTGATTGCTGTTGACTGATTCGATCTGACTCTTGAGGCTCTTTCCCTACTTTTTATTCCATCCCCGCAAGGCAGAGTCATCATCCTCCATTTTTGCTGCCTTTCTTTCTCTCTGTTCGCTTTGCCTCGGGTTTGTTTCGAATTCATATCGGAGGTTTACTTTCATTTCTCCTTTTTATCATTTTTCCCTTCAGTGGATTATCAGTTCCGACAGGAAAGTTTACCTGAAAGGGTTATCTTGTTCATCACTTTCATTGTTCGTTGGTGTTGTGTTTAGGTCGCTTTGCTTTCTTTCTCTCTATTCAAGGTTGTCTAAGGTTGTCATCCTTGCTAGTCTAACCTAGCTTCTGTACTTGATCTTAACCTTGGGGGGTTATCTTACTCTTCAAGTTACATACCTACTTGTCTGTCTCCTTTTGTCACCTACGTTTTTTCTCAGGCCATATGCGATCCGTTCATCGCGCATAACTGTATTCGAATTCTCGATCACCCGAGGTTTGTTGCTGCTGGATCATGCGAATCCAGCTCTCCGTCGGCCCCGCCTTCGCGTCTACCCCGCCATGAGTTCTTCTCTCGAGGCTAAGATTGTTGTGTTGGGCGCACAGGGTATGTCCCTTCACCCCTTTTTTACTTCTGTTGTCGCTTGTCGTTTCTTGGATTATAAGTTAGGTTACTGACGTCAGTCGTTCGATCATTCCAGGAGTCGGAAAAACGTCCCTCGTGCAGCGCTACGTCAAGAATGACTTCAGTCCCGCCGGGACGGCGTCGACCGTCGGCGCGTCGTTCATCACGAAGCGCGTTCTCGACAGCGCGTCCGACACCATCGTCCGGCTACAGATCTGGGACACGGCCGGCCAGGAGCGATTCCGAAGTATCTCGCGACTGTACTACCGCGGCGCGAACGCCTGCCTACTATGCTACGACATCACGGACGAGCAGAGCTTCCAGGAGATGACCGGGTGGCTGCTGGAGCTGAAGAATAACCTGAACGAGGAGGACCCGATCGTCATTCACGTCGTCGGGACCAAGTCGGATATCGTCGCACTGGATCCCTCCCGTCGCAGGGTCCCCTTTGAGCGCACGATCGCGTACGTCGCCGAGCAGCTGTATCCGTCGCAGGCGTCGACGCCGCCGCCCACTGCTGGGTTTCTGGGCCATTCGTCGAGTACCACGTTGCAGGGTCCTGATAGTAAACGGAGTAGCGGGTTCTGGGGACAGGATATTGGATGGGATTGCTGCCATGAGATCAGCGCTAAGGATGGCGAGGGCATCGAGGAGGTCTTTCGAGTGATCACGCGCAAGTTAGTCGAGGAGAGGAATAAGAAGGAGGCGAGCGTGGTCGCGACTCCTGGGTCCGGGTCCGGTATTGAAGGGCTCTCGGTGCCTGCTGCGAGGAATCTGGAAAACAATGGCAGTTTCCGCCTGGGGATGGGCGACAAACGTCGCAGCTGGTTGGGATTCCCGCCGAGCAGCGTGGGCGATGGGCACGATGAGACGGTGGAAATTCGGACGAAGAAGAATGGTCGATGCTGTTGATGGAACTGTTCTTTTCTGGTCAATATTCGGGAGTTCACCTACATATTCTCCTTTTATCACCTTTTTGGGTTGGTCATATTCTGCATGGAAGTTATGGGATGGCGCTTTTTTCGTGTTGATTGCTCCTTTGGCGATTCGGCATTACGTTGCATGGTTTTCCTTCTTTGTTTTCGATGTTGTTTTTCTTCTCCGTCTTTGTTCTGATTTTGTTTGCACATGATTCGCATGGTCGTGTATGCGTGGCATCGGGAATATGCGCTCGGTTCCGGAAGACTGAGAGATGGACAAGGTGCAGGCACCTTCCACGGCGGGAGAGGATGTACCGACACGATAATGGATGTCCCGATATCACTAGGGTAGATAGATAGTTTGAGAGGAACGTTAGACATATCACTCAGCTGTTGTGACCGGGATTATACATCTGACGACTCCAAAGTAATAACCCGCCGATCAGGGATTCTCAACCCCGCATTTCGTATCAGACCACCAGAAGATCAAATGGCCCATTCGCAGATTATCGGTGGAAAATTCGACAATCCCATCAGTGTTCCCGGACCAGTTGCGTAATGCATCCTTGTCTTGTACGACGACGACGGGTCGCTGTGCGACTACCACGTCGATTGCCGCGCACCGGCCGACAAACACATATGACAGTTGACAAAACGCCGTCGTCGATTCGAGGACATTCTCTGGCCCGTTCGTTGCGAAATGCGAGGTGAAGTGACGATCCTCCAAACTCCGCTGCAAGGTTGCTGGCCACAACCTACACCGTACACCGTACACCCGTATTCCGTAGAACTAGGTCAGGTAGGTAAGGTAGGTGAGCGGACTGAAAACTCTGAACGGACGAAATTGTCGATCTCCGGATAAGGCGTAAGCAAGCGTTTCCTCCCGGATTGAGATTCAGAGGATATGTACTAGTTAGTGTTAGTTAGTACACAGCGTGATGCGCCCCCTTCCCTGACCGGGTAGGTAGTAAGAGATCTGCATTGATCCGATGGTGGACGGTGTGATAGGTATGTAGTTCGATGTACGGAGTACGTAGTACACTGACTGTATGGTGGTATTTAGGTGGTTTTATTTAGAGGTAGTTTAGCGAGAATGGTGCCGGAAGGTTGATGCGGGATCGGGGTTTTTTTTGGATGTGATGATTGTTTGTTTGTTTGCTGGCCTGTCTGTCTGTCTGTCTGTCTGTCTGTCCTCCAACGGTATTCGTAGTCGGGTATCGAGTCATGGTAGTTCATATATACCGGAGATAGAGACCTGAGGCAGTTCAGGTCGGAATCGGCGGTAAGTGTACACCGTAACACCTCTTTCGTTCTGCTTGACACGCCGAGTGCGACCTCGTCCGACAAGACAGCGGGCCAAGTCAAGACGGGAGTGGATGGGGTGGAGTGTTTGAGATAGACTCAACCAATGTGGATCGTAACCAGATTGGAGACGGGATCTTCAAGGATACTTACTTATCCTCTGGCAGATTCGAAAGAGTTTCACTGGCAGGGCGAAGGATGTGACACTGACAACACCGGAGCCCGTCGGGTTGAGGCAGATCGGATGACTAAGGCGATGTTCAGGGTCTGGCGGTTTTTGCTGGGGAAGAGGAGAAGTCACAGAGTACGGAGTAGGGAAGTATTTAGTATGCGTGCACTGCGAGAAATGAGAAATGAAAGTACTCCCGAGTACTCCCTCCACTCGGGTTTCATGTATGAGACTTGACAAGTTGACAGCCAGTCAGCCAGAAAGCCAAGGACCAGGGTCTTCCTCCAGAGTAATCATCAATAATAACAATAAAAGCGCAAGACGGCAATTGCTCGCCCCTGCAGATCTCCTCCACCATCCCACCAATCCGCTTGCCCCGACCGTCTGATGATAAGAAGTGTTGCCCTCTGCATGCCGCATCGTGTCCATTTCTTTGGTTCGTGGATTTTGCCTATTTTTTTTTTTTTTTTCTCTCTTGTCTTGTCTCATTTGGTCCCTTCGCTCGTCATTTTATCGTGTCTTAGATTTTTCTGGTCCCCCCCTCCTTTTAACGGTCTAGCTTTATATTAGGGAGCTAATAATAAGCTCTTAATTACCGCTAGGAATCCCTGCGTATTATTATCCCGAGCACGGCCTTTTTTCTCTTTCGGTGTTGTCGCTTTTCATGTACGAAGGGTTTTTCTTTTTCGCCTTTCCTTTTTTTCTCTTAACTTAATTAAAGAAGAAAAAAAAGAAAAGAAAAATAACATCCTATCCGCTCGCTCGCTTCCTCAATTTTCATCTTATCCTTACACCTTTCACTTATCTTCTCTTGTCCTTCGTTTTCTCGCCTCCCCCCCTCCCTCTCCTCCCTCTCCCTTTCTTTTTCTTAATCGGGTCATCGCGACAAATGCTATGAGATGAGACTATCTTACCGTGTTGGTCTGGCCGCACTCTTTATCTTCGCCGTCGTCCTGATAAAGCGCCATCTCGACTTCCTTCAAGATGATACGCGGCCCCAGTCTGTTTGGCAGCTCAACCTAGGCGGCAATTCCGGTTCTCAGCAACAGCAGCAGCAGCAGCAACAGCCGCAAAATCCCGCCGACCAGGGATCGAAAGGTCCGGTCGTGAACCCGCCCGTCAAGGCGCAGCCGACCTACGAAACGACGCCGATTATCGTGCCTAATGACCGAGTAATTGTGATGGCCAAGTTGGCCGCGGAGGATACTGCATGGGTTAGCATTGAACTTGCCGAGTGAGTTTTCCCATTGTCTTGGGTTCTCTCCTGTAGGGGTGAAAATAAGCCAACTGGCGAGATGTGCCGAGAGCTAACGATCCTTTTTTTTTTTCACCCCCTGCTTCAGATGGCGAAACTTCATCTACACCGTCGACGATCCCAACGCCGCCCGTCACACCCCCAAGAACAAGGGCCGTGAGAGTCTCGCCTATCTCGAATACATCGTGGACCACTATCACGACCTCCCCTCGACCATCGTCTTCCTTCACAGCCACAAGGACGGCTGGCCGGCCGCCTGGCACACGGATACGATGGATTACAGCAACGTGCAGGCGATCCGTGCCCTGCAGACCGATTTTGTTCAACGGAACGGCTACGCCAATCTGCGCTGCCAGGAGACGCCTGGCTGTCCCGCCGAAATCAAACCGAGCTTGAATTCTGGGAAATCCCCCGAGAAGGTGTACGCGCAGGCCTGGCAGGAGCTGTTCAATAACACCAACGTGCCCGAGGTCGTCGGTGTGCCTTGTTGCTCGCAGTTCGCCGTCTCGCGCGACCAGGTCCTGAAGCGCCCGCTTTCCGATTACGAGTGGTTCTACGCCTGGGTGTTGAACAATGACTTGGATGACGACGTGACCTCACACGTGATGGAGTATACGTGGCATATTATTTTCGGGCAGGATCCGGTCTAGTAAGTTTTTTTTCTTACAACCCAGCCTTGTAGATCATGATGACGATGAGCGTGATCTTCAAGTTCCGTGATCGTCCGTCGCTAACGTTTCTCTTTCCCCATCTCTAGCTGTCCCGACGCTTTCCAGTGTTACCAGGATGTTTACGGAAACCCTTACTTCTGGTAATTCTTGTACATAATACCCTCTTGATTTCCTTATCCTTTTTTCCCCTTCTTGTTCTCATATATTGCGCCTTGGACGAACCCCTCGGTCGTCGTTATTTCCTACCATGCTCGAAAGGTGTTTGCTGTATATGAACTGGGACTTTGCTTTTTTCTTTATCTTTCCTTTTCACATGTTTAGAAATCATTCATATTTACTGGTCGACGATATTGTTCAAATACTGCATTGGAGTTCATGAAGCCAGGAGCGCGAAGAAATATCATACCATATCAATTCATCTGACATCGCATCTCGTATTCAGCCTCGTCAAAAATGACAGAGTATTAGGTATCGTGACGCCACGCTGACAGACGGGGCTGCCTGAGTTGGGTCCCGGCCGGTTGTGCGACATGTTTTCTTTCATTGTCTCGGTTTTCTTTTGATCTTTCGGTAGATATTCTGCTAGCTAGCTATTCATCCTTGTAGGTAGCTTGTTCCCGGCCGGCTGAGCGCGTTGGTGTTCGTTGTACGACCATGGTAGTAACTTAGGTATGTACCTACCCGGTCAAGCTTTCGCTTAGATACCTTGGCTGATTGGATGTAGGCACTGGCTTTGTTCTCGAGGATCGGGGTCAGGTAGAATAGGTGGTCCTATGTTGATACATGGTTTTGCTCAGGCGGTGCAGATGTACCATGATGTGGCAATAACAGGGAAAACATTGAAGGCTTCAGATATTATTGACGTAGGTTACGTAGACAGTCGACTTGGGTTTTTGCTCAGACCCCATGCATACTTATCTGCGTGTTGTCTGGCTGGGGTAAATTATTTCAATCCAGCCCAGTTCGTATCTGCATCTGCATGCTTCCAAGGATCGCGGATCGGACGGGCACGGACGGACTCTTTAGTCTTTGGTTTTCTTGGTTCATTCTTCCTGGGTGTGCAGATTATGAGCAGGGAAGATGCTAATGGGGTAGTAGAGGGTAGTTAGGGTAGGATCATATCGGACTGTTTTTTGTGCTTGCTTTGATTTGGTTTTGTGTATCTTTATCCATTTAAAAATCATCTACCAGTTGATGATCATTGCTTGTCTTTAAATTAAAGTCATGATTGGTGAAGCTGCTGTATCTAGACAAGGACTCATCCGGTGTGTCTTAGAGACCTATCTATCTATGCGAGACTCCGAAGTGGTAGTACTGTACCGTACATATGAGATAGTCGATTGATTGACAAGGAAGGCAAATCTCTCACGCATCCAACTAACTTATCTAACAATCTAATCCCAGAACAGCCGAAAACGCAAAGAAAACAAAAACAAGAAAAATACCAAGCTTTCCCGGCCTCACCTCGAAGCAACAAGTGCATCGAACCACCCAATACCCATCCCGAGGGTGGAGAAATCGTGGATCTAGGTACGTTAGAGAGAGGGGTGTATTAATCTAATTCCAGTCTTGTGTAGATGAATAGCTTGAACTAGGGAATCTGATTGAGGCTCGTGGGCTGGTTAACTGGTGCTGAGGCCTTGGAGTGAGGATGGAATGTTGTTGCCTGTATGCTGTACGGGGGCCATATTGTTATAAATTAATCACCGCTGCCTGTATTTAGGTTGTGTCCGTTGCTATACTAAAGTACTAAACAGCGTCGCGTCGGCCGTAGTTGGTCCGCGGGCTATGGGGTGGATGGCACTATGTTTTCGGCGGGTCGGGTTGTTAACTAGGCGGATCGCACGCGAGGCTTGGTATTTTATTTTGATTTTGTTGGTTGTTTGGTTGAGGTTCGTTGGTTCTTACTTTACTGCTTAGTTTTACTCGGTAAGTTTCTAACTATAGGTTGTGTTCAGGCAAAAGATGGATAGTATCTAGATACTACTAGTTCCATGGGTAGTGACTAGTGGGTTGAACTTAAGACATGACTCGTGCCGTAGATGCCATTTTAGTAGATACCTACTAACATAACATACACTGGATATGACGGCCATGTCAATACATCCGCCGTACTCCGTACATTCCCTGTCATCAAGTGGCTTGTAAGGAATAACGGGGCCCGAGAGTGATGTCTTGCTGCTAACGGCGCCACCGACGACTAAATGCGGTGCGGGCTATTTGAAATCTAAGACACGGCGTTTTCGGGATAGATACGGGATGAGGTGGCATTAATTCATTGGAAAGGTGGGTTGGTAATTTGATAGATTCGGTGATGAGATTATAGACGATGGGGTTGTTTTAAGATGATAGGCAAGTTAATTTCTAGATATTGAGCGCGGCGGATTTAGGGGGGATTGTCTTTCTACAATTCCTTGGTTAGTATTCAGGGCAGATCCTTATCTACTCGATAATGTAACTTCGGCATTGCATCCGTAATCTTGCCGTTATATCCATCTCATTGAGACCGGCTGATATAAAAAGAATCATGTCTTAGACAAAACGTCTAGTTCAGTAGCTAGTGAGTTATCGCGAATGTATCCACATCAATAGATAGCGGTAACTGAAAGTGAAAGACAATGTGGACAGAGGTCAATGGCATGTTCTTCGACAACGACTTCAGCTTATGATTGTGTATATCCAACAACCACGGGTTTTTGCTCGGGTAATTAAGAGGTCCTATGAGTAAACATACATTTGCTACAAACCTACCGAACCAACCATGCACTGACTGCCCGGGATCAGGTATAGAATCCCCGTGTCAAACTCTTGCTGCAGCACATGATCACCCAAGGATGTCCACAGGGCTGAGGATGAAAACTTTATCTTCTATAACCAAAATTGAATAAAGAGTTCAACTCCTTCCGATCGTTTGCCCGGACTGTCCTGAAGAGATGGGCATCAACGGCATTACCGAGCCCATCCCTAGCGAGCCAGGAAGGTCTGGGCCCATCGCGCCCCGCTCTTTCATAGATCCCGTACCCGCCAACAGACTTGGGGATCGCCATCGTCTGTGCCCTGCCCCTAGAGAACGTTGTCGCCGCCGCACTATTTGATCAACGGCAAGACGATCAGATCTACCATAACGCCGCGGGGGATTGAAACTTTTCTCCACCGCAATGTCATGCTCGTGTGTGTAACGGGCATGGGAAAGATGGCGGCCGCGTGGCTTTGCAAGCTTTCAAGTGACATGCCTGGCTACGATCATTGACACTGGCAGGAAGATGTGCTCTAAACTGATCAATTACCCGAAAACCTGGAACAAAACTAGAAAACAGGCTAGATGATATTTATTGCTCTTCAGTAGGCATCACTGTAAATCTACTGGTACCAATTGGTCCCATTTCGTCCAACAAGAAATAAAAACAGGACATTTACTGTTTGGAAAAGAGACTATAAAAGCATCTAACGTGTTTTCAGGCAATATGTGATACATAAGGCATAAATCAGGATAATTCTATTGCTTGCAGTGTAATCCGTTACTATTGGGCTTTTAAGAAACCATATCTTTTAAGTACTCGGTCAGTCTTTCTTGACCTTAGCCTATCGATTTACTTACTTGGAAAGCTAAAGATTAAATGGGCTAGATAATTGTTGATAAGTATTGTAACTGGTTGAGTTTATGCTAGTATATTTAAAGCAGATATGATTCCTTTATGCTGTTTTTCTTAATTAGGGGCTCTGTTGCGATGGGAAACGTGCAGTAAAAAGCTAGTAAAATCGATATAATATAGGCTTATATTAAAACCCCAACCTATAGTAATTATCATCCGCGAAAGCGGAGTTTAAGTTCTAAGGAAGAGATAATTTTATAGCTCTCAACAAAGAATCGATGTTTCTCAAAGAAATAGCTTAAAAGCGTGGATAACCTTGAAACTACTTAAATGATCCGGCTACAACACCGCCGTACTAAGAACAAAAATGATCAGCTATATCTAGAGAAACTAAAATAACAACATCACCTGAAGCGGAATTCTTCAGTAGGAAGTATCTATAAATAGACTTTTTTCCTCTTTTATCAACGTGCTATACCGGAGCGTAACCTTCTCACTCAGAATCTCTCAACGTTTCGGGATATTATTCTGTGATATTAAACAGAAAGGGATCAAAGTGGATTGTTGGATTTTCTTATAGCTATAACCACTTAGATTAGCGACGAGAAATTTAATAGTAGAGACTGCTCACATCATAGTGCTCAATCTATTGCCACATAGGAACACCGCTCCGTATAAAGTTTTTCTGTTGCTGAAGATCAATCGCGGCCAAGATCAGTCTGTTTTTGAAATCTGATGCGGCACTGCCTCTGTTCTCCCGGGCTCACAATGATCCAATTCTTGTGAAAATATCTTAGAAATGTTCCCATCGGATTCGGGACATTATTGTCAATTAATTCTTGAAAGTATCGGCCTTGGACAAAGTACAATAATTTTTTAAAAAATATCTTTAACAAATATTTTTTCGTCTTCTAACTGATTTAAAAGACCCGTAATAAGTGCGAGACCTTGAAGCGAGATAATGCGCATCTGGCCAGGGTAAAACGTTTCTTCTCAATATCCGTATCGACTCCACTGCGGATATGACTCTAGGAGTATGCTGTGCACATCTAAACGGAATAGATTATGATAAGTAAACTTCAAGAAAGTAGAGTAGCGTCACCCCGGTATCTGCGGGTTGGCGAAGAATTTTATAGAGTTGGTTAATTATTGTGACAGGCATATTTAATACAATCATAGAAGGCCCATCATCTTCTGAACCCTATAGACAGTTTTGCGATTCGTCGATATTTGGGAGTGCGTTTGTCAATGATATGCGACTTGGTGCATTGCCAATTATGTCAAGTACCTTATCTCTGATGGCTGAATTCATCTGCTATGCGAGCATGATAAAAAGAACATACGCACCGAATCTTGCTAGAATCTGTTAGTTATCCACCATTTTTAATGATTTAGTAGAATCAGATGCTAGCTCAAAGTGAAGAAACATCCGAAACCCCGAAGTCCAAGCTCAACGGACCTACCTTGTTATGGGAGAGTATCTGGATCGCACTGCAGCAGCATAAGGGCTAGGGGTATAAAAGCTGGGAAAAAATCTTCAAGTGGACGCTTGTGAGCGTCGTGAACTATAACGAGCCAGCCATCCCATTAGCCTCAGGAGAGACCAGGGGATATCAGGCCATGATAGATGGTGTACTGGCAAGTCGGGAGGAACAGTGGGGACAACATACTGTGATTAATCATTGTTAGGGCTACTATGAGTAGGCCCTTGGTGTACTCCGGAGTACTAGTTGTTTCTATGCTGAATACGAGATCGAAAGATACAGCGTTAGGGTAGGCGGTAGTGTCACAAATCGAAGGCGGACCGTGCGGACTCGTGAGCAGCCAAGATCCAGTACCTTATGATCTTCGGGGTACCAATGAAGTAGTATGTCTTTTTCTATCTCCCAAAGAGCCTCTTCATCAACATGCTTACCTCTAATACATTAAAAAGTCCATTGATCGAGTAACTGTTTGCAGCAATTTCTTTTCTGCTTCTTGTAGTGGTGACTAAATATAGCCTACCGACCTTAGTGTGTAATAGAGGGCGCCTACAGCTCCAATAGAATTGCTTGAACACTGCTCAGCCTTGCCAAGAAGGCAGATATATCTGATCTCCAACCCAGCCTTGGGTTGGAATTGCGGCGGTGATTTCCCCCCCCCCCTCACATCTAACCTGCCATTAAACCCCAGTGGACCGCTCTTGCCCAGCTCAACTTTCGCCTCTATTGTTGAATACTTTTCAATCCTACAATCTCGTGCAGTAGCCAGACAAAGAGAAACAGAAACGAAGATACTAACCTCGCCGCGGTCGATACAATGTCCGGCGAAGTGAATCTCCAGGCTGACGTCGGCCAACTCACCCTTCAAGGCCTCAATGCGTTCAGTACCGTCCTTGCAACGCTCAGTGCCGACGATGTCAATCCATTGGCAATGATCCAGATGGAGAAGCTCGGAGCAGCATTCCCAACGAGTGGCAGGTACGCAGAACAGGTAGGTAAGAAAAAGAATCCCTCAACAAGCCTAGTCCCACAAAGAGTACGTCGATATTTACAAGCCGAGCAAGGTTCCTGATATGCTCCAACGGTGCAACTCCTCCCGGCTGGACCGCTTGGGTGTGGTGGTGGGTTGGCGCAAAGGAGATGCGGCTTCGCTGATGGCCAAATCGGCAGGCGGGCAGGCAATTGCGTTGCTGGCGGTAGCGCTGAGCAGCCTCTGCAACAATGGAGATGTTCTCCTCGGGCTATCGCAAAAGCTCCTTCCTGCGTCGCTTACACTGGCTAGTGGGTATCAGCTTGGTGAAGTTGCCAAGCGGCTATCGACCAAATTAGCACCCCTGGGTTTTGGCAATGTGCTTGCCCAGCAAGTGTCTCGCATCTATGACGCCTACAAGCACCTCCAAAAGCCGATGCCTGCTGATATTATTGCAGTAATGACTACAGAGTCGGTAGTCGACCTCTTATATGCAATATCGCGTGCCCTGCTTGAAGAGGACCGCGTGGTCCGAATCTCAGGAACTCGCTCTATGGGATATATAGCTGCGCTTGTTATGTTTATGTTCCCTCAAGACTGTCAGGTGACAGTCGACGACAACATTATATTTTCCGGGCCCAAGAAGACAATCCTGGTCGAACTCGGAAATGGCGAAGAGGAGCACCCAACGGAGATCAGGAATGAAACTATTTGGCGCATTTCCCAAGCGACTCCCTCACCTATCATTATCAAGCCTCGAGAACCCAGGGTCGCTGACGAAGCCGGTTTCTTTACATGGGAAGGATACGTGGCGGATCGATTGCAGTTGGATTTCTTTGACCAGGGAGTCAAATGCACCGAGGAGCTTTTCATAGCTATCGCCGGCTTGTTGCTTCTTCTTCCAGCGCAAATGCAAGGGGCCATTGCACGCCAGGGTGGTCGGCCATTTCCACGCAAAGGGCTCATTGCCCTGTTAGGTAACCACCCAAAGTACAGGATGTCTAAGGCCTGCCAGAAAATTTTGCGAATTCCACCTATTGAGCCTCCTAGTGATTTTGAAGAGGCATTGAAGGCGCTGGTGGGCGTCTTTCAGTCAGTTAGTGAGCCCCATGTCTCATGTACCTGCTCTAGTACAACGAGCAAGTGCAACCCGTCTCTGGGATGGGAGTCTTCTTCGGTCCTCACGAGAAAATGTGAGTTTTCCAATCTATGGCTGAGTGTTGGGAGGGCGTTGGACACTGGCTTGTTGGCTTTTTTCGTTGAGGCAGGGACGAACGCGGTCACTTCGGACACGTTCGGCAGGGCTGCTTACAGCCTCGGAATGGCCACAAGATTCGTGACGAAGAAGCTCAAGCGGGAGACTTTCTTCACTACTTTCCGGGAAATTCATCAGGATGTTCTCAGGTTGGCAGGACGGTACCTTGGGAGGAGTGAGGAACTGGCTTGCTCCGAGTCCAGTACGGTTTATTCTAGTGTACTTGAAACCATGTCGCTGGATCGCGACCGCGGAGCGACATATTATCTTGTTGATGGACAGCTCCTATTTAATGGCCACTACCACTCCAAATTGTGTGCTTTTTCGGCCCCGGACAGACCCCGGGCGAATGAATCCATTTACGCGCACAATGGCGTGGTCAAACCTTCCCGTGCGGGCGAACATATGGATCTACTGTTCACCGTGCACGAGCGATCATCACACTTGGAACTGACATGCACTGCTCGTTTTTCTGGAAGCACAGTGCGCCTCCAGCTCTCCCGGCTAATTCTTGCGTCTTACGACCTCGAAGAAAGCGAGCCCTGTGCCCATTCCCCGACTAGACAATTGAGCTTGGATAAGGCCAAGAATATAATGACAACCTCTGTTGCGGCCCCAAGAGCACAAAAGGACAAGATTGCCATTGTTCAAACTGCGCGGAATGAAACAGCACAGCTACTCAGCTGTGAGCTAGGTGTACAGACAATCTTACAGAAACAATCATGCCTTGACTGTGCGTACGATCAAGCGATTGGAAAATATGAAATGATTATTGTTGCTTGATCAATTGATGGCAATGCTTCTGGACTATTCAAACCTTCCGTTACCCACCGTTGTCCACAATGCAGAGGCCTGTGATGTTTGGTGTGGACTGTCCCCAGTGGCACAAATCTGTACCTATTTTCCTCGAGAACTGTTTCTATATCCTTTTATTAAGTAGAGTTTGCCTTAATCTATATTAATGAGGCGTATATTTAAGATATTTCCGACTTGGTTGTGATTAATGGAGGTAACTATGGTTTATACTAAGAAAACATTATTTCAAAGAGCCTTTAACTACGGTCTTTGGATACACAAATGTCTCACGTGCAGGCAAATGTAGAGCACTGTCCCTCGTTGCATTCGCTCGGATGTAGGCGCTGACTGAGCAGCTATTCAACATATACAGCACGCCTTGGAAATACTAGGAATGTGCAATTTCAAACCGTCATTCTCGAACGAATGATATTGCAGTTCCAAGCTAAGAGAGACAATCAAAGCCTGTTCTACCACCCATACTGCCAGAATTGATGAGACGACCACTAAGGTGTAAATGTCTATTGATGTAGAAAGTTGACATAAACATATATATATATATACCATTCATCAAACAAAGACTCCTTTAGAACGGCCTTGCCTGGGCTTTTGGTGTCTCGATCAACCCAAATTTGGTACCCAGTGTCTGCCATCCCCCTCCTTATCGTGACCACACTGGTGGCAGTTTCTAGCGGAAAGATATTAGGAATTATTAGTGAAAGACTTGCGGTCTCTCAAAATAATCTACCATCCTTCCGAACGCTCTTCAAGCGACCAAATCCTACCTCCGGTAAAGACCCCGAGGACGGGGCCAGCAGCGCACCAATATCAGCACCAGAAGAAAAACAAGCTAGACATGAGCGTCTTAGAACCCAACAGCCCAGATCATATGGTACAAGGCGAGACTTTTCACCAGAGGACAGCCTTTTTAATGGCATCAGAAAGCGAGGCACTCCAGTCAATCAAGAAATGGCTGACTCAGCTCAGAAACAAGATAACCATGAAGATCACGAAGGGCAGCAATCTTCGACGAGGGTCGGTTTATCACAAAGCCCACGCAGAGCGACTTATAGTGAAAGAGCCATACAAAAGCCAGAGTCCCACGAGGATATATCCGTGAGCGGTCCGGAGCATCGTAGCGACGGAAACGCGGAGGAAAAAAAGGCCGTTGAGCTCAGGAACGTGTTAAGGGAATATGGCTACGCAGAGTAGGAAATCAAAACGATTATAGACAAGCGCCCTAGGAAAGATATGACGAAGCGCAAAAAGGTTGCGGTTGACAGTGCACCCAAGAGCACCTGGATCAAGGTACCCACTGGCATCGACAGTTACGTTTCACGCATGATGCTAATACTCCCGCCCGCTCAGGTTCATCGTAAGCATCTTCTACCAGACACGCTTACTTTATACGGATTGCCCTGGGATTGGGATCGTGTAAGCTTCCAGACTTCCCTTCGATTTCAATCGTGAAAATCTACGTAGTAGAATCTTGCTGATCAAGCAAATGCCTGACAGGATGACACGGACTATATAATCATCAAGCAGTGGGTCTCAGAGGACTTGTAAGAAGAGCTTTTTGCACATACCAGAAGATTGCGGGAGATGAAAACAACTACTGAAACAGAGTTGAGGGTGATTTCTAGACCTGGGTTGTTGCGCAGAAAGCTTAAGCTCTTTTACTTGGCAGTGTGACTATTAGCGAAAGTCTACTTTGAATATAGGCTTTCTAATAAGATTTTACGACAAGAAGATTGACATCTGGTGTATTGGCTAAAGATGGATGGAAACTTTGCGTGGCCTTGGTCGAGCTGCCGACTAGATACGGTCAATATAATGATTGGGATAAGACAGCAGAGTGGCGAGATGAATAAGTTTCCAGAAGAAGAGGTAATAGATCTTTAGGGTCTACTTCCTACCACAACTTGAAGAAAGATTATACATATCATCATATCAAGGTCAAACCGACCAGAATCCGGAATTCCGGATAGAACACTACTTTTATAGAAGCCGCAGATAAGCATCTACGTGTGACTAGGAATCTAGCAGAAAACGGTGCTGTGATTCAGTATGGATGATAGCTGGGCGATATCACTATCGAGGGCAACGCTGCATGGGCATGAAACGTGCGTTCAGTTGCTGTTGAGAAATGGTGTTTGAGTTGAAACGTTAGTCGGTCAGTATGTTGATGACGCGACACGTCCCCCGGATGCAGCGAGGGAAGCCGGATAAGAAGTTCTATGAGGAAATCTCTACATAGAAGACGAGGCTGATGACGGTGTTGCTGTTGTGTTCTTTCCCGAAGGGGTTAGTGCGGGATGGCAATCATGTGATCAAAACTCTAAAAAACCACAGATTTCACATGACAATCCGGGTGTGGTTTTTTGAAAAATAACAGTAATTGTATGGGCCTGAGTGTTTGCAGGCTTCTAATACCGTCAGACGATAGGGGAAATCTACGAGAACGATGAGGTTATGAAACATAAATTGAGGGAATCCGAGACCGTTTTCAAATCTGAGATATCGACCAATTTGCGACCGTGAGAGACGATTTGAATGCCACATGTTGTTCCCACTATCATTCCTTGAAATCGGAGTTTTGAGCAGTCGGTCGGGCGTAAGCGGTCAGCGTGGCGTGGGCGGTCAGGCTGCTGATTCTGCTGGTCAACTCGGGATGCGGAACAATCATTTGCCGGACTATGTGTGTAATCGCTACGCATTATTAATCGGTAGGCCTATGTATTTCTGCGGGGATAATGGCTCCGGTTCTTACTATGAGACGACAGCCAGCCGTATACAAGCTGGACCAGCTAGGATAACCTTGGGCAATCGGAATGAGTCAGAATGAGCAACGCTCAAGCTTACCGCCTTCGGTCGGGGTCCCGATCGCTTAGGCGGTAGTCCATTCTGCCACCCGAATAGTAGGTATCACTCCGCTCTTCTTTGCATCGCTTTCCTCTCACTCAACAACAATTTCCCTCAACATTCCCGGCCTGAAGTAACTTCAATCCTACCATCAGACGACTATTTACTGAACCTTCAGTGAATATGGATTCTTCTGGATCTGTCGAATCCAAATGGCTGACCCAACTGGCCGCCATGCGCCAGGCCATTGCTGATTTGAACCTCCCGAAAGACCCCGCGAATGACCAGCTCGGTTACGGCAGCGACTTGGAGTTGGATCTGGACGATGATTATTCCTCGCCAGGGACGGTCGACGATATCTGGGATGTTATCAGCTCCGATGACGAGTCCAGCGCAGGCTCCGATGAGATTGACATATTTCCCTCGTCTTCGAATGCCTTGTCCTACGACCAGACCTGGCTCGAACAGAAATGTCAGGGTCTCGCTATTCAGAAGCCTGGTTTGGATGTGATGGAGCTGCTGCAGCAAATTACCGCAGCTCTGGCCGCCGATAGCGGCGACGACGAGCTTCAGATGTCCCTTGCCGAGATCGTGGGATTCGACGACTTGGAATTTGTGATCGAGCTGATTGCGCACCGGGCGGATATCCTGTCGAGCATGAGGAATAGTGTCGAGGCCCAAACAGACGGCTTGATGTCTGGAAGATTGCAGACCAAGGCGGAGCGGGAGCAGGCATTGCGGCAGCAGGACTTTGACCACAAGCATGCTGCATTGTTGCCGGCACAGTCGAGAAGTGAGCCGCAGTACCCGCATGTTTTTAAGACCCACGATACGCGGAATACTCTTGCACTGGGAGGAAAGAAATATGGCCTCCCCCTAGGTAGTAAGCAGGTGGAGGAACAACGGTACACTGAATGTGAGATCCCGGCATCAAAGGTCGGCTCGTTAGCAGCTACCCAGAAACTCGTGGAGATTTCCTCTCTGGATGGGCTGTGCCAGGGAACATTCAGGGGCTACAAGACTCTCAATCGCATGCAGAGTCTGCTGTATGAGGTTGCTTACAAGACAAACGAGAACATGCTGATTTGTGCTCCCACCGGTGCTGGTAAAACCGATGCTGCCATGTTAACGATCTTGAACGCTGTCGGAAAAAATACGGTCCCAAACCCGATCGAGGAACCGCATGCGACCGAGTTTGCGGTTCAAGTAGATGATTTCAAGATCGTTTACGTGGCGCCCATGAAGGCCTTGGCCGCTGAAGTGACTGAGAAGCTTGGAAAACGGCTCGCGTGGCTCGGAATCCAGGTTCGCGAGTTGACTGGTGATATGCAACTCACCAAACGGGAGATAGTGGAAACCCAGATTATTGTCACCACCCCTGAAAAATGGGATGTGGTGACTCGAAAGAGCACTGGAGACACTGAACTTGTCCAGAAGGTGCGCTTGTTGATCATTGATGAAGTCCACATGCTTCATGATGAGCGTGGTGCTGTTATCGAATCTCTTGTAGCCCGGACCCAGCGCCAGGTTGAAAGCACCCAGTCGCTCATTCGCATAGTCGGCCTGTCTGCTACATTACCGAATTATGTCGATGTTGCCGACTTCCTCAAGGTCAACAAGATGGCTGGACTGTTTTACTTCGATGGCTCTTTCCGACCGGTTCCTCTCGAACAACACTTCATTGGAGTCAAAGGCAAACCGGGTTCCAAGCAGTCTCGCGAAAACCTTGACATTGTGTCCTACGAGAAAGTGCGTGATATGCTTGAAGAGGGACACCAGGTCATGGTCTTTGTGCACTCTCGGAAAGACACCGTAATGACCGCACGGATGCTGAAACAAATGGCTGCTGAGGATGGTTGCGAGAATCTCTTCAGCTGCCAAGATCACGAAGATTACTCGAGCGCTCTCAAAGATATGAAGCATGCCCGTGCTCGAGAGTTGAGGGATCTGTTTGCCAGTGGCTTTGGCACACACCATGCTGGAATGAGTCGAAGTGACCGTAACCTGATGGAGCGCATGTTTTCCGAAGGGTTGATCAAGGTCCTCTGCTGTACGGCCACTCTTGCCTGGGGTGTTAACCTTCCTGCTGCCGCCGTTGTCATCAAGGGCACTCAGTTGTATAACCCCCAGGAGGGTAAATTTGTTGACCTTGGTATACTGGACGTCCTGCAGATTTTCGGTCGTGCCGGTCGTCCGCAGTTTCAAGATACGGGTATCGGATTTATTTGCACAACGCACGACAAGCTTCACCATTATCTTTCGGCAGTGACATCTCAGCAACCCATCGAGTCACGTTTTTCTAGTCGACTTGTGGATAACCTGAACGCGGAGATTTCTCTGGGAACAGTGACCTCGGTACCAGAGGCAGTACAATGGCTTGGATATTCATATCTCTTCGTGCGCATGAAACGTGAACCTCGCAACTATGGAATCGAGTTTGCCGAGATGAGAGATGATCCCATGCTTGTCCAGCGACGCCGCCAGCTGATCATCCAGGCTGCTTTGGTTCTGCAAAAAAGCCAAATGATTATCTACAACGAGAAGACAGAGGAACTTCGCGCCAAAGATGTCGGTCGTATTGCAAGTCAATACTATGTCCTGCAGACTAGCGTTGAAATCTTCAATGAGATGATGCGTCCGCGAGCTGGTGACGCCGACGTGTTGAAGATGATCAGCATGAGCGGCGAGTTTGACAACATTCAAGCGCGAGAGAGCGAATCGAAGGAGTTGAATAGGCTTCGGGACGAAGAAATCCAGACAGAGGTAGAAGGAGGAAACGACTCACCCCACGCAAAGACCAATATCCTACTTCAGTCTTACATTTCGCGTGCCAAGATTGAGGACTTTGCTCTCGTTTCGGACACAGGCTACGTAGCTCAAAATGCCGCTCGTATTTGCCGTGCCCTGTTCATGATTGCTTTGAACCGCCGTTGGGGATACCAGTGCGAAGTCCTCCTGTCCATGTGCAAGTCCATTGAGAAGCAGATATGGCCTTTCGATCATCCCTTCCACCAGTTCGATTTACCTCAACCGATTCTGAAGAACCTTGACGAGAAGCTGCCCTCTTCTGCCATCGAGACTATGAGAGATATGGAGACCGCTGAAATTGGACAGCTGGTCCATAATCACCGCATGGGAAAGACACTGGCGAAATTGCTCGACAACTTCCCCACTCTCAGTGTAGAGGCGGAAATCTCACCATTGAACCGTGATGTTCTACGTATCCGTCTGAGCATCTACCCGGATTTCGTCTGGAATGATAGGCACCATGGCGCTTCGGAATCTTACTGGATTTGGGTGGAAAACTCGGAGACATCTGAAATCTACCACCATGAATACTTTATCCTGAGTCGGAAGAAGCTCCACGACGACCATGAGCTCAACTTCACCATCCCGCTCTCGGATCCGTTGCCCAGCCAGATTTACGTTCGTGCGATTTCCGATCGATGGCTAGGCGCCGAGAGTGTGACACCTGTATCGTTCCAGCATCTGATCCGCCCTGATACAGAAAGCGTCTATACGGATCTCCTCAATCTGCAGCCTCTACCTGTGTCGGCTCTCAAAAACCCACTTCTGGAAGAACTCTATGCACAACGTTTCCAGTTTTTCAATCCGATGCAGACACAGATTTTCCACCTGCTTTATCATACACCGGCGAATGTGTTGCTTGGTTCTCCAACCGGAAGTGGAAAGACAGTGGCTGCCGAGTTGGCCATGTGGTGGGCATTTAGAGAAAAGCCAGGCTCTAAAGTCGTGTATATTGCGCCCATGAAGGCACTGGTTCGTGAGCGTGTCCAGGATTGGAAAAAACGCTTGACCGCACCGATGGGTCTCAAATTAGTTGAGTTGACTGGTGACAACACTCCGGACACGAGAACTATCCGGGATGCTGATATTATCATCACAACTCCTGAAAAATGGGATGGTATCTCTCGTAGTTGGCAAACCAGAGATTATGTGCGGAAGGTGAGCTTGGTCATCATTGATGAGATCCATCTGTTGGGAGGTGACCGAGGTCCTATTCTCGAAATCATTGTTTCCCGAATGAACTATATTGCCTCGCAGTCCAAGGGCTCTGTACGCCTGATGGGTATGTCCACGGCTTGCGCGAATGCCAGCGATCTCGCAAATTGGCTAGGAGTCAAGGAGGGGCTGTACAACTTCCGGCACTCGGTTCGTCCTGTGCCTCTTGAAATCTATATCGATGGCTTCCCTGAGCAGCGGGGCTTCTGTCCTCTCATGCAGTCGATGAACCGACCAACATTCCTTGCCATTAAGAACCACTCCCCCGAAAAGCCGGTGATTGTGTTCGTCGCTTCTCGCCGACAGACCCGGTTGACTGCCAAGGATCTGATCAATTATTGCGGTATGGAGGATAACCCTCGTCGGTTTGTTCGCATGTCTGAAGACGATCTGCAATTGAATCTTGCGCGAGTGAAGGATGAAGCCTTGAGAGAAGCACTTAGTTTCGGTATTGGCTTGCATCACGCTGGTTTGGTTGAGTCTGACCGACAGTTGGCCGAAGAGTTGTTTGCAAACAACAAGATCCAGATCCTTGTCGCGACAAGTACTCTTGCCTGGGGTGTCAACCTTCCGGCGCATCTAGTCGTCGTCAAAGGAACACAATTCTTCGATGCTAAGATCGAAGGCTATCGGGATATGGACCTGACCGATGTCCTGCAGATGTTGGGTCGTGCAGGACGTCCACAGTTCGACTCGTCTGGTATTGCGCGTATCTTTACCCAGGATTCGAAGAAAGCCTTCTACAAGCACTTCTTGCATACTGGATTCCCCGTCGAATCTACTCTGCACAAGGTTCTAGATAACCATTTGGGCGCCGAAGTTTCCGCCGGGACTATTGCAACCAAACAAGACGCTTTGGACTACTTGACGTGGACATTCTTCTTCCGCAGACTGCATAAGAATCCTTCGTACTACGGTCTCGAGATTTCAGCCGAGGAGCATAACACCATTGCCGCACAGAATATTGCTCAGGAATACATGATTGAACTGGTGGACAAGTCGCTCGGTGAACTGGCTGAGTCGTCGTGTGTCGTCTTCGATTCTGCAACGGGCGATGTCGACCCTACTCCGTTCGGCAAGATCATGAGTTACTACTACCTTTCGCACAAGACCATCCGCTACCTGATGACACGCGCGAAGCCAAACCCTTCGTTCCAGGATGTCTTGAGCTGGATGTGTTCCGCAACGGAGTTCGACGAACTCCCTGTCCGACACAACGAAGACCTCATCAACGCCGAACTGGCCCGCAACCTACCCCTCTCCGTCGAATCCATGGGCGACCTTCCTCTATGGGATCCTCACGTGAAGGCTTTCCTCCTTCTGCAAGCCTACATGTCGAGAATCGACCTCCCCATCTCCGATTACGTCGGTGATCAAACCTCCGTTCTCGACCAGGGCATACGTATCCTGCAAGCCTCCATCGACGTGATGGCCGAAATGGGCTACTTCAAAGCCTGCCAACTCCTCATGACCCTCCTCCAATGCATCAAATCCGCCCGATGGCCCGAAGACCTCCCCTTCTCCATCCTCCCTGGCATCGACCTCGGCGACAAGCCGCGCGCCCTCCCGGACTCCCTATCCGCGCTCTCCTCGCAGCCCGCCGCATCCATCTCCGCTCTCACTCGCAAACTCCAACTCCCCGCCTCCACCGCCGCCCAATTCACCAAGGCCACCTCCTTCCTGCCTCACCTCTCCATCAACATCTCCACCGTCTCTTCCACCGGTATCACCATCTCCCTAACCCGTCGCAACACCCCCACCAACCCGGACTACCGCATCTACGCCCCTCGGTTCCCCAAACCCCAAACAGAGGGCTTCTTCCTCCTCGTCTGCACCGCCACCCCAGACGGCCAAGACGGCGAGCTCCTCGCCCTGAAGCGCATCTCGTGGCCGTCGCGCAACAAGCAGAACGGTAGCCGCAGCATCACCAGCGGCAGTGGCAACGGCAGCTCAAGCAGGAACAACCCCGGCGATAATAAGAAACCTCACCCGAAGAGTCCTCCGTTGACCGTCCGCTCGTCTGTCAAGTTCCCGGAACTGTTGCTCGCGCAAACGACGTCGGATCTGAAGGTCAATGTCAAGGTCATCAGTGATTCGTATCCTGGGATGGAGTGGCATTTGGGTAATGTGAATGTCGACCTGAGGGCTGGGAAGCAGCAGGTTGTGGAAGAGTCGGCGAATTATCCTGCGAAGGACTGATTGATTGATTGATTGGTTGGGTTTGGAAGACAAATCAACTTCTTTAGTGCCTGAGAGGCAGGCAGGTGGGGATGTCTTGTTCGTTCAGTGAGGTGGTCACGTCACGTCACTCCTTCAATCATTGCTAAATAGTAGAGTCCTCGTTCCCTGTTCATATTGATAGATATGAATGGTCGCTTCTTTGCAGTATCATTCGGAATAGAAGACAACATAATGAATATAAAGCAAGATCTCTAGATCATCTCCAATCTTTATAGAATCTGAAGTTCACTGTATATATTGTCAACGAAATTATCACCTACAAACAATCTATCTACCTACTCCATTCATCCATCCATTCATTTATGCTAGCTCTATCCAACGAACCAACAACCCACCGGATGAATACAAAAACAAGACACGACAAAACAAAAAGAGAATAAGAGCATTGTTTCACACCAGACACCACCAAATGAATACAGGGGAAATCATAAAAGCAATCAAGAAGAGAAGCACGCACGCAAAAGAGTACAAAAAGTGCGAGAAAAGAATCAGAAGCGTCGTCAACGACGGACAAATTGGCAGATAAATCCGTTCAAAAAATGGGAGTGGCCAATTCCAGCGCCTTGCAGAAAAACAGTTTGAAATGAATGAGGGCTGAAAAGAAAAAAGGGTCTCAGAAGGAGAGAAAAGGAGGGATAAGAAAAAGCAAAAGAAGAATGATGATGATGATGAAGAGCATGTTCGCAGGAGATGCTTCACGCAGCTCAGACACTCTCAATTCTCACATCCTGTGAATTGCCGTGACGATGGCCGTAATGAGCATCCGTAACCTGAGGAGTTCTGGCTCTCCTAACCATCAACCGCTCATCGGGAGTCAATCGATCTGATCGAGGTTTGATCGGCACGATCGTTTGCTTCTTGCCTCGGGACACGGACACAGATCTCGCGATGGAGACCTCGACGGTAGGGATAGCGTCCAACGGTTCTGGATCGAACGATTCGGTGGCGTGGAAGTCCTTGTTGTCATCGGCGAGCGGCATGCGAGTGGATTCGGCCGGCGAGAGGGCCGGCTTGCTTCCGGATGGGGAGATGATTCGGCAGCCTGGGTCGCGAGCAGCGTTGAGAGGCGTCAGGATCGGGGATGAAGATGCCGAATCATTGTCCGCCGGTTCGGCAGGCGGCAACTCTTGGGTGTTGATGGTAAGCGTCTGGGCTAGTTTCTGCTTCGAATCGTTCGTGGGTGTTTTCTTGTTGATAATCTCCCATTCCGGTTCCCCCTTGGGATCCACATAGCTTCTGATTGACTTGAGCCTTTGCAGCATGAATGTTTCATCATCTGAACCAATAGACGTAGACGATAGGAATGACGACACCGAGTCTTTAGGACCATGCGACGAAGACTTTGCTGCAGGGCTGTGTACCATGAGTAGGACGTGATCCTGCTCAGTTGCTGAGCTATCCCGACGTGTTTCGGCCACAGACGTTTGGCTCCGGTGAAGAGGACTTGGGCCTCGAGGTAGGTTCTGGGATCCCAGGACTTTGGAGGCTTTGCTGACCTGGGTGGACGGAAACAAAGTGAAGCTGGGGGATTTCGAACGAGTTGGTGACGTTGCCCGTCGTGGAGGCGGGGGAAACTCTGGGGAAGCAGGTGGATCCTATGGAGAAATTAGTGATCTCGACGCACATCGGAATTGGGTGTTCAAGCGCGCTACCTGAGCTGTTCGAATCTCCATATCCTCCAGAGTCTTGCTCCGGCGATTCGACGGCTCGGGCTGACTCTTTCCTAACAAACCCCCAAACATAACGCTGTACCTTTCCATCTGGACATCAGGTATTTCGACCTGCAACAGCGGTCCGGGATTGGATTTCCTTTGGCCGGCAGTTTGGTCGCCGCTCGAAGTGCTATTTTCGGGGGTGTTCTTAGGACTGTTCTTGGGGCTTTTCGTGGGATTGGTTTTTGGAGTGCTCTTAGGGCTAGTCTGAGGCCCATCCCGGTTTCCTTTGGTCTTCTGCGGGCTCTTTTCCTTTGTTTTGGCCTCAGATTTGGCCTCAGATTTGGCCTCGGGCTCCAGACATGGCCAAACTTCCGTGTTTGATAGGGGTTTAGCCTGGGGTTCGGGTTTTCGCTGAGCCTGGTAGTCAACCGAATGGGAAGAGCCCTGCAGGGGCCATTCATTGTCGGAGCGGACCTGATAAAACGGCTGGTTCGAAGGAGGCATCATGGCGCTTTTCGCTCTGAATAGACCTCCAATCTTCTTCCATTTACTTGGTTTCCGTTGGATTGGTGGCGATCGCTTTGTCTCCGCCACGGTGTTGATAGCCTTTTCCTGCATCTGCGACATCACATTCTGCGACTCCACCATCCGAGGACTACCCAACGCAATGCCAATCATGTTATCTCCATGGCCTTTCTCAGACTCTACTGGGGATGACACAGCCTCGGCAGGAGGCACAGCAATGCGAAAATCGAACCCAGAGCCGTTGGGCTGGGGCTTTTTGGCTTGCTGGCGACCTTCTGAAGTTCTTGGACGCTGGAAATTCCAGTGTGCCTGATTTGCTGGACGGTTCATAGTCGATCCATTGGTCAGATCTTGAAGATCATTGCGCGGTTGCGCATCTGATCGCTCAAAGACAGGGCTAGAGATAGCCGTTGTGGACTGTGGTCCGCGTGATTTAGTGGACAAGGTTCTTTTAGCCATCTCCCCAGATCCTCCAAGCTAGCACATATGCTAGGACAGCACGTATCGAGCCGAATCAATTAAGAATAGAAGAATCCGAACAAATTATGGGAGAAAAGAGACAAAAAAAAAGAAGCTAAGGAGTGGAAAAGACAGGCACAGTTAATATGAACGAGACTCAGTCTCTATAGAAAAGAATGGACAGGCCTTCCAGAAGGCCCAAATAAAAACACCGGCAGACGTAGATGAATCAAAGAAAGGAAGAGAATCAACCGTGCAAAAGGAAAAGGAGATAATTACAATAAAATAGGGCCAGACATACGACAGCCATTGTGGAGCCTCAGTCGCAGAATACTGTATCTAATTGAGACGGGTGGTAGGGGCTGACTAGTGTTGAATTTTAGATTAATTGTAGATTGGGCGAAGCGACAACGGCAGGACAGCCAACGAGAGTCCCAGATACCAGGAATTTCGCCTCCGAGGCCCAGGAGCCTTCACAAATCCTTTGCGTAACGAACCCCGGAGGCAATTATCGAGCCAGCCAGTCAAGGGTGTTGGAGGGGTCGTTGGTTGTGACAGAATCACAGAAACCAGCGCTATAGGGAATCGCGCACGATGCTTATTTTGGTGGCTGCAAATGAGCATCAGAGGCGGGAGAGATTTAATTTGCGAGCACGGGTAAGGAGCCCATCTATGGGTTAACTGGTTTCATACTAATCGAAACCCGTCCGAATGGGCCAATGGGTTCGGAGAATTCTAGTCGCCCAGGGATCGTCAAGAAAGCTGATACTCCTCAGCACGGATACTGTGTCACAACTCACAACCCTGCTCGCCTGACGTTGGAGCCAACCGTGCAACAGAGACCTTCTTGAATCTCCGAACCTGCAGAGACAGACGCCCAGGACGCATTGTTGCAAATTGTCTTCCATTCAAGCAGAATGATCTGCGAGAGTGTGCGGCTAGAACCATTGCTGGTTCTCGCTTGGATCTAGCCTCTGGCCGTCATTCGTCCACCAGGGAAATTAAACCCAGTCAGCTGGGGGCCAAGCGCAAGCCGACATGATGGACGTTGGACTTATGGTCCGAGATGAGATGGGATTTGTCTTAGAATTCAGGACACTTTACGGTGTCATCTCCATGTCCATAGTCTAACGGAGTATGCAGTGTAGTCCATACTCTGAGACCTGGAAATTGAAACTTTTGTGGTCGGGGCCCACCTGTCTGTTCAGCCCGTGCATCTTTTTTTACCTCAAAGGTTCAACGAGATGAGAGGCAGATGACAGGAACAAAGACCCATGACTTCAACGGGCGCGTACTCTGACGTAGTATGTTTGGCCCGTGATATGACGATACGAATCGACGAGGGGGGAGAGGGTTGGTGTTGGAGAGAGGGAAAAGGGCTAAAAGTAATCTCCGGCTGCAGATGCTTGAAGCGACGGCCCGAACAGGACAAGCGCCGCCCGTGATAACACATGACTACGAAGTATTAGGATCAGAGTCAGATATCGACTACACCGTATGCAGCCCAACCAGGTAGATAGGTAGCGACAAGGAAGAAAAGAGAAAAGAGGCGGTAAGGGATCACCAAACCGGCTTGAGTCTTTAGCTGGGTTTAGTTTTGCGCATGGAACTATGCTATACTCAAGTGGGCTGTCTTTTGGACTTTGGAGGTCACTAGGGCCCAAAACGGTGCCCACCGTTACTCCCAGTCCCCCACCGCCTTTATCGGAGTACGGGCTTGGACTGGGACTTGGAGACGGCCATGGTGATGTTGTTATATCATATGCAGGGAGGACAATATTGAATAAAGGGACAAACAGCCCTACGAGGCGGTCGAGACCAAGAGACAATGATCACCAGGCGTGGCTGCAGACTTATTCTTATTCCGTATGTACAAAGTAACTACTTTCAGTACTTGTAGTAGGGAACTGAGAACGGGGTTACATAATAATCGGCGGGGCAACTGCTCTCTCTCTCTCTCTCCCTGCAAGTCCTCAAGTGTCTCTCTCTCTTTCTGCCAGCACAGCCCACCCCACCTTCTGTTACCCTCTAAATAATAATAATAATAATAATAATATTTACGCCGGTGCTGACTACTGTATTTCTACTTCCACTTCTTCTCAACTCAACCCACAACCTTGAACTTCCATCCTTGGATACCCTTGTTTCTGTAAGCCTTTTTCGCGTTCCCTGCGACTTCTCGTGCCCAACTAACCGACTTTCCTCAACTAGCGATCTCCCCCGCCGTCACTTTCTATACCACCTCTCCCTTTTCCGACCGTTCCCGTCAACACTTTATTCCACCGACATCATGGGTGCTCACTCCGCTATCTGGCAAGGTACGATCCTAAATTGATATCTCTCTCTGGCTTGACTTGGCTCAGCCATCCATGAGACCTTTTCGCTAACGACTGCTCTCTTCCCTCCAGGATATGTCGATTCCAGGTACCGTCCACATCCCCTATCTACAACCTACCCCGCACTGGAACCATTACCATCGCACCCGCGAAACTTCCGCATCGCGTTTCTGACCAAAATAATGCTTCAGCTTGATGGGATCCGGCCAATTTGACAAGGCCGCTATCTTGAGCTACGACATCTCCGGTGTCGAGGCCCAGTCCCCCGGCTTCTCGGTATGACACATCCGGCCCCCCGAATCCCGACTCGACTCGGTGTACATGCTCGTGTCCATTAACAATCCGACCATCCTAGATCTCGCCTGAGGAGCTCAAGGCTATCGTTGCCGCCTACTCCAGCGCTGATGTCGCCCGCGGAAACGGTATTACCGTTGGAGGAGAGAAGTTCATTACCATCCGTGCTGACGAGCGTAGTCTGTACGGCAAGAAGGTAACTAGCCGACACCTCACCTTGATTCTCTTCCGGCAAACGAGGCGATATAGCCATCTCCCGGCTGTGTTAGATTTCCTCACTAACACCTCTCGAATCTGTAGGGCAAGGAGGGTATCGTCATCGTCAAGGCCAAGTCCTGCGTCATGATCGCCCACCACCCCGACACCGTCCAGCTGCCCAACGCCGCTACCGTCGTTGAGAACCTCGTCGACTACATCAACAGCGCTTAGACGCCGGTTGAAGGAGAAATGAAATTCTTTTGATGTCTTTTTTAGTCGCCAGAACCGACAGTGTGCCAGCTTCGAAATATGTATCACGATGACGGTCCTGTTTTTTCCATCTTTGCTTCCCTCCCTCTTCCCTCTTCTCTCATTCCGTGTCCTCTTTTTCCTTTTCTTTCCTCTCGTCCGTTTTCTTATCATCTTCACATCTAAGGCATAACTCGTAGACATGTGCAATAGGTACTACTACTTCTTCTAGTACACATTTAAATCATTTCGTCAACATGATCATACCCAGAAGCTTGAGACTCAGGACTGCAGCGTTTGTGTTTATTTTCAGGCGGAGATATTCTAGCGCTTGTGGTCACCACAGCTTGGATCCAGATTGGCTGGCTGCTACCTAATATGCAAGTCATATCACAGACTCCTCTACCTTACTCCAATACAGCGGACGAATAGCAACGTATCAAAACATTGGTGACCACCATATAGATTAATAATTACATATCCATAACATTATATATCACGTCCCTTGGCACGCCGTGTCCGTTCCCTGAAGCCATGCCCAGCCGAGAACCTCAAGCCTAGGAACAACAGCAGAAATCGACCACGACTCAGCTCATGGACCACGGACACGGCGCCCAGATCATATCCATATCCATATCCATCTAATCATGCACCATCCGCTTTTGCTTTCCTTCGTTTTGTTTCATCGTTCGAGAAAAATCGGTCGCATAATCATACAACATAAATCGTTCAAAAGGCCCTGCTCTTCCCATCCAAGAGAGAGCAACGACCCCTCCCTCCGCCTCCTCATCACATAGACCCCAATCTCACTATACGATTTCCTTCCGCCTATACCTTTCGTTATAGGTACCCACCGTAGCAAAAATAGGTTATACCGGCAATTCAGCATTACTCCTCCCCCCGGCCAACGTCTCCAACGCCTTCTGAACATACGGCCCCACGACCGGCACATTCCCCGCAAACTGCCCAATCGTGATCAAAAAGTCCCCGAAGAGAATAAACAGGCCGTACAGCTCGATCAGGAAGCCCGTGAGGGGCCAGCGCAGGAGGATCAGGAGGATGCCGGCCGCGAAGGCGGCCGTGCCTTTTAGTTTTTGGCGGCGCGAGAAGAACGCGATGGTTTTTTGGAGGCCGATTATTAGGGTTAGGCCGATTAGGAAGAGGATCTGTGAGGCGTGAGTTGGAGGTGTAGAGTAGAGAAGGTGTGTTTGTTAAAGGGGCCGTACGTTTCCCATTGCGAGTCTAGATGAGAGAAAGAGGGTTGGTTAACCTGGCTGGTCTGGTTCGGTCTGGTCTGGCCTTGGGGGTATGCACGTACAGCGAGCGATCAAAGAACATCAGCACGCCTCCGAAGAGGAACAGTCCTCCTGTTTAGACGAGCATATCGGTTAGTCGCTGTGACGCGATTGATCGCGGGTCGCAAAACCCTAGCGACCTGGATGCGCTATATTGCGAGGTTCCTTCATCACATACCACCGGAGCAAAAGATGACACCGATCTCTGCGACGGAGAAAAGTGCTTGTTAGTCTTCATTCTTATCGAGGAGAGTCCACCGTCGGAACGCAATGCTTACTCTGGTTATCAGAGAGCCACATATTGGGCATTTCAACAATTCTTCGGTTTGTATTTAAGAGCGGGAACAGAAGCCTGGCGATGCGACAGAGCTGAGGGTTCGAACAAATTTGTTGAAATTGTCTGAATTACGTGGCGATCGCAATTCAGGTCGGAAACGGATGTACTCCCGCGCGCGGTAGGTATGATTGTGCAGGAATCCGTGTAGAGAAATCCCTGGCTGGTTTGTCCTTCCACCGAGTATACTAAGGATAAAATTCAGGTAGAGAAGAGAGGCAGAAAGAGACTCCGCGGGCGAGAAGTTCAATTTAGGCCAAAAAGAAAATGGGATCGTGGCTTGGACTTCGAGGACTGCGAAAGGCCGTAAACATTTCGGGCTCGGTTCTGCCACGTTCCCTTTCCGTGCTAGTTCGGGGCTATGCCGCATGGGGCGGGCGGTCTAGCAGACCAGGCGCACTGGAAATCAAACGCGTCTTGCCGATATTTCAGCTCCGTCTTCTGACCAACACTTGGTCCTGCTTTGCATTCCTGTGCCACCCCATTGCTACTTTTGCTATGCTTTGGGAGTTACTTAGGCCTACCTACCTAAGCCTACGCGCTGGTATTATGAAGCCAGACCGCTGCATCCTTGCCATGTGCAATTGCGAGCTAAACATTCTAGGTGCCAGGGGCGTCCATGATACATGAATTATGGCAATGTACAGCGTGCATAACGAGCCTTCAAGAAACCAGACCAGACAAGACAAACTTGGACTCGTTTCAATCCTTTCCCTTTTCCTTTGCACTTCCTCTCCCTATCCCTTATTTATAGTCCCAGCCCTCGTCGGCTGTCTTCATTCTTTATACGCCGCGACGACAGCATCTCCGGATGCTGTAACTGATGTTCCCGTCGGTGGAGCGTCGGTATTAGTCGGGTGCTACCTAGCACATAAGGCGAAGATCGACTCAATTATAAAGGTCCCGAATAAGCCGGAGCGTTTTCTTTGAACCTGTCTCGAGAGGGGCACGGTGGGTGGAAAGGGCTTGACTGTGTGGGCCGTACATTATATCGCATACTAGACGAATAGATAGCACCTGCAATGAACATCCATTAGCTTTGAATCATCAATGATTATATATCACCGTCCTGTGACCAACCTTTTGATTAAGAAATCATCACGTAAGACCCGAAACATGAGGCAAACGCCATCATTCTTCTACTTGAGCACGACATGCGCAGCCCTCAGCTCCAAGTAACTCTCCGGCACACCCTGCGTCAACGTCCTGACGACACCAAAGACCTCCCGATCGTGGTACCGCAGTCTAGTCTTAGGATCCGTATAAGGGCCCGGCAGCCCCGTGATATCGCAATACCGGGTCTGCTGGGACGGGTGCAGCGACGGCGCCGATTCGATATTCGTGTAGGTCACGGCCGGGCCGGTCTGGAACGCCGCTCGCGCGTTCTTCTCCAGGACCAGCGTCGACAGGTTCTGCGCCGCCTGGGCGATGTTGGGATTCCGGGGGTTGCCGTCGGCAGGGGTCTGCGTGCCGTCGGTGCTGCCGGCCGTGGTGGCTGGAAGGGGAGTCGTGGCTCCAGAGTTGGCCTGGGTTGCCATCTGCGAGGCTTCCTTGCGAGAGCTCTCGGAGAGAAGCTGCTTGACGTTCTTGTTGCGGCGCTGCGACGGCTTCCAGTTGGGGTTGCGGAAGGGGCGTGCGACGTGCGCGATGTCAAGGCTGTCGAGGAGCCGTTGGTGCGCTTCGTTTTCGGCGGGGGTAGGAGGCGCCATTTTGTTGATTATTAGGTAGAAGAAAGGTCGTCAGTATAATAAGTAGGCAACGATGCGCTGAGTGTGTGAGATAGACTGCGTGGCGGAGATGGAATGTCGGGATTGGAAGTCTGAGACGGAGTAGAGCCGGGTGCTGGGAAGGATATCCGGGTGCAGAAAACGATCAGAGGGGGAGAAGTGGCGCACTGCCCGCAACGAGGCGTATATAGATATATTGTTGAGGTCAGATAATGACGTTTTTATATAAGGCGAAACTTCACTGGGTTTCTTCCTGAGATGCCTTCTGTTGTCGATGGGCCACCAGAACCAAGAGTGGAAGAAGCTCTGGCACGGTCACATGATCTCCCATATCGGGCACTCAGCCAAAGCAACAAACAAACATCCACCGACCGGCCACAACAGTTTGCGCAGACATTAAGGCAGAATGGTAGGCTTCGATTGATCTATAAGATTTTATTCCAGGCAGAACTAATAGTTCGTCCAGGAAAGTCCACACGAACATCAGCAGGCTCTGCTGCTCCAGCGAATCATCAACAACATTGTATGTTATCGACGGTGGATCTTCGATATCGCCATTATTAACGAATATCTAGGAGAAACTCAACGAGTCTGTCATGGTCATGAACAAGAGCCTCCAGGTATGCCTTGTCTGTCGAGAGCATTCCATACTTACGTCCGATGCTAATATACATGCTGTAGGAGGTCAATATCCAGAACATGAACGTTGAACTCGTTGCGCAGATGTTCAAGAACTACCAGTCTAACGTCCTTTTCCATCTTGAAGGTATGGCACTGTCTGTTATGGCCCTATATCTAGCGCTTACCATCTTCTAGCCACGGAGAATTTCAAGGAGTCATCTTAAAGAGGCGTTTTCTTTCCTATTTGACGAAATGCGATGATTATGAGTAAATTATGCAAAGATCCAATACCATCACTGTCTATTGTCTTGAATGTACTCGCCAAGTAGCTGGCTCATGAATAGCACCATTCCCTTAGACAATCAGAATAGAAGTCGAATTTATAGTGAACGCATATAGGCGCAGGTACTTTCCCCGGAGACGACGTGACGGTCTTGGCAGTCCAAACGCTGGCGGTGACCGGAGTCCTTCCCACTTGCGCCGGGCAATTGCAAAGCTGGGGTTCAAGCTTCACGTTCCTCTGTTTCCCGGTGATACGGACAATTCCTTGCCTGTTTTCTGACCGACCACTCCAGACACTACACCGGATCATCTGGCGAACCCTTCATATCCGCCTATCAAGTTTGCGATCGGCTTGCAATGCGGTAAATCCGCAATCGCCTCGCTCCTGGAAGCTCCTGAATCGCCGCTGGCTTGACCATCGCTTCACGTCGCCATGACTATCACATCAGTGCAGACCCTCCTGCCCGGTCGCTTTGGGATCAACTCGACGGAGAAAAGCGCCGCGAAGAAACCTCCAACGCTCTACAATGCCCAAGACCACCCTTTCAAAGGCTACCATCCGCCCCGAACGGAGGGCTACGAGCGGAGCAAAGCCAACCCGGACACAAGCGCTATTGTGATCGATAATGGTGCGTTGGATATCTAACAGATCTGTGAGATGGCCCTCGATTGCGTCTTTGCTGATTTTTGTCATCCTATAGGCTCGAATCTACTCAAGGCCGGTTGGTCGTTCGACGAAAACCCCCAGTTGATTGTGCCCCCTGTGATGAGTCGGTACCGGGACCGGAAACTGAACAAGGCCTGCCAATTTCTTGGATACGATGCTTACGTGGATGCTACGACGCGCGGTCAACTGCGCTACGCCTTCGACCCCGGCTCGAGTGTGGTTGGCAACTGGGATGTCATGGAGGGATTGCTCGATTATACATTTATCAAGTTGGGAGTGGACGGAGCCAACGGCGGCGTCGACAGACCCATCGTGATGACGGAACCGATCGCGAACCTCAATTATCCCAGACGAAGTGAGTGAAAACCGGACAGAGACCTAGTATGGTCTTCTATTGTTGCAGCTAACATGACCGTAGTGATGAATGAGATCCTGTTCGAGTGTTATAGTGCGCCCTCCGTCGCGTACGGCATCGACTCGCTCTTCTCGTACCGGTATAATCGCGGAACCGACGGCTTGATCGTCTCCTCCTCCCATACGTCGACGCACGTCATCCCCGTTTTGAACAACAAGGCCTTGCTCTCGAACTGCTCCCGGCTGAACTGGGGCGGCATGCAGGCCTCCGAGTACCTGTTGAAGCTGATGAAGTTGAAATACCCGACGTTCCCTGCGCGCATGACGGAGGCCCAGATGGAGGACCTCGTACACAAACATTGCTACGTCTCGAAGGACTACGATCGTGAGTTAAGCGGCTACCTGGACTGGACGGGTCTTGAGGATAGAGACCATGTGATCCAATACCCGTTCACGGAGCACGTGGTGCCAGAAAAGTCCGAGGAGGAGCTGGCGCGGATCGCGGAGCGCAAGAAGGAGAGTGGACGCCGGCTACAAGAACAGGCCGCTAAGATGCGCCTGGAGAAATTGATGAAGAAAGAGCAGGAGCTGGAATACTATAGGGATCTACAGCGTGGACTTGCCACGGAGACCAAGAAAGAAATGAGACGTATCCTGGAAGCAGAGGATTTGAAGGACGAGGCACACCTCGACCGACTGATCCGGGACCTTGAAAAGTCCATCAAGCGGTCTAGAAACCGTGACCTCGGGGTCGAGGAGGAGGAACCTACTGAAGAGATGTCCTTCCCTTTGTTAGATGTCCCCGACGAGGAACTGGACGAGGCTGGGTTGAAGGAGAAACGTCACCAGCGACTCATGAAATCCAATGTCGAGGCCCGTCAACGCGCAAAGGCCGAGAAGGAGCGGGAGAAGGCCCGCCAGGAGGAAGAGGAGCGCCTCGATCGAGAGAGGCGAGAGAACGATTTTGACAACTGGCTCGCGGAAAGACGAGCAGCTCGCCAGGTGTGTTCCCTACCCTACCCAATTAAGCCCGGAAATGCTAATGTTATCTGTAGAATGTGCTACAAAAAATCAAAGAGCGCGATAGGCTGAAGGCAGACCTTGGCAACCGGAAATCGCTTGCCAGCCAAATGCGCATGAAGACCCTCGCCAATCTCGCCGCCGACGGTCCCAAAAAGCGAAGAAGAGGTGGCGATGACGATAACTTCGGTGCCAACGATGAAGACTGGGGAGTCTACCGAACCGTTGCCACTGGCGATCAAAGCGACGAGGAAGAAGAGGAAGACCTCGGAGGGGTGCTGAATACGGTGGAGAAAGAGCTCCTTGAATACGATCCTGATTTCACCGAGAACCACACCCTGGCCGCTCAGTCCGACTGGACCAAGAGCTTGGTGCACGTCTTCCTGCGCGGTCCCTGGCCTTTCGACCCTGAAAGCCAGCGTGAGGCTCATCAGCTGCATCTCAACGTCGAGCGCATCCGGGTGCCTGAGATTGTTTTCAAGCCGTCGATCGCCGGCATTGACCAGGCGGGCCTGATTGAAGTTGCCGCGGACGTCGTTAACCAGCGGTTCTCCAACCCGGAGGACCAAGCCAAACTTCTACGCGACGTGTTCTTCACTGGAGGCAATACCATGTTCCAGAACTTCGACGAACGATTCCGCAACGATTTCCGGGCTTTCCTACCCGTTGACGCCGAGCTGAATGTGCGTCGGGCCAAGGACCCAGTTCTCGATGCCTGGAAGGGAGCCGCACAATGGGCTTCAGGGTCTGACCTAGGCAAGTCGTCCGTCACCCGAGAAGAGTATCTGGAGAAAGGCAGCGAGTATATCAAGGTATGTCACATTTATTTTGTCAAGACCCCATCCCCATGGATTGCACTGGCTAATTGCTAACTCCTTTTCGCAGGAACACGATCTAGGGAACATCACTTCATGGTAGACAGTCGACACGTGTCACGAATCGAGACGTCTCGTTCTGATCTTCACTGCGTGTTCTGATTTACACAGCATTCACAATATCCCACGATCTACATTGCATGCTAATCGGGACCACCACCCACCTACTCACAGCCCGGGTCTAACAGACCAAGCGGAGATCAATCAAACACGGGACTCAGGGAGTTTGGCGTACGGGAAAATTCACTAGGATCGATATCGGATGTCATGTATGAGACGATTTGGTGGTGTGTTGGGAGGTTGCATTGTGGAGTTGCACTTCTGTTACGATTCTAGATTGATTGATTCATTGATTCATTGATTGATTAAGGGGGTTTCCAAGGGTTGTAAGATATTTTCCCTGTCAGTTTCTTTAGTTATTATTTTGACGCAACACCTGATGGTTCTTTGTTTTTGTTGTGTCGTATCCTGAAAATGTATATTTCGGTCTGGGCCTGCATGGACTGTCCTTTCCGGACGTGTACTACCTACCATCTACATCTTGCTCCCCTTACTTCGTGCTCATTATCTACCCAGGAACAATAGCTTCACAATTAAGCGTGAGGGAGCTGTTCGAGCTATCATCTAGACAACCCTCCCTTGCGAACACATCGCAGACAGTCAACCGCAACTACCTAACTAGTTGGTCAATTCCAACTCATGAAACTCAACTGAAGCACACAACCCTACTCTACATTCCACAGTGAAACATGTCTATCCCCATTCATCCCATGCTCATCAGCACCGACTGTTTCCTTCATCCGGAGCTCAAACCAAACTGAAAGTTCAACACTGGTTAAGACATAAGACATAATCCTACGACAGACGCAAGGGGCTGAAACACGTTGCTCAGAGCTAATGCAACCTGCCTACCTACCTGTCCACCTACCTTTCTACCGGGGGACATTTGAGACGGAGGGCCGTTGGAGGCGGTGGATCGGTCTAGCCTACGGTGTTATGTCTAGTCTAGGTAGTCTTGGGATTGATTGTTGACTGCTTTGTTGACAAGGTTTGGTGTTTCTACCTACATCCTGCAGTGGCGGTTGCGTTTGTTGGGCAGCAATGGGAGCTATCTACCTTAGCCTCCCTGCTCAAGTAGAAATGAGTTAGGTTCATTTTTGTTTTCCAACTATAATTTCGTGACTTAGACTTGATTGGAGTCTTCTAGGAAATATGAAGTAAGGTAGTTAGTGACAATAACTGCTGGTCCGTACTGCGTAGAAAATAACAAAACCCTACCAGCGAGTCGAGTGACGAAATTGAATCCGGATCGGGATTGCAATCAGAGCTAGGGAGAATCAGAATCAGTATTGTCCGACCACCATCTCTGATGACAGGACAGGGGTATGGATTGGGCCGTTGGGGTGCTATCGACGTCATCATCGGATCACTCTTTACCGCGGAGTGCGTGGCAGGATAGTTTTAGCGCTGTCTACGGTAGGTACTCGAGGTTCAGCCCCTTTTTTTTTTTTTTTTTTTTTTTACTTTTCTTTTTCTTTTTTGGTTTGATGGAACTGCACCGAACCTTGTAGCTTTGCCAGCTTGTGGGTATTTACCAATTCTATCTACACGGTGTACCATGCCATATCCAAAAGGGTTACCTAGTAAATACGTTTGTCTCTTCGAGATACCCATGCCACTAAACGGGGTAAAGTCAAGCAAGACCTGAAAACAAAGGAGACCTCAGTAGTCCTGAACTCGAACTGAAGGCTCCGGGCTTATCTACACCTTGTTTGGTGTTAAGCTTGTCCCCCAGGGCTGCCGCTGCCCTGACGATTCACCTAGCTTTGCTTCAAGGTTTGACACCACTTGGTGGCTCTGAATTCCTACAATAACAATCCGTCTACATGTCTAGGCCCTGTATTAAACAAACGGTGGCAGGCAATCATGGGGAATCGTGAGTCACACTCCAAGGCAAAATTCCAGGGCGTGCCCCTATCTGGTGCTACCTCAACTGGTTAGACTGTCTTGCGCTCCAGACTCATCCCTTGACTTAGGTGGCCCATCTTTACCTTCACTACACAACTACACAATGAACTCCAATTGGCCGGGATTCTTCCTCCAAGGCTGCGATCTGAATATTCATCACTTATTCGATCAAGCTGTTCCCGATCCCGAGGACGTCAAACAATTCCAGTGCGATGATGCCTGGACTTTGGGACGGCGGATGCGTGACGATACGCCGGGGATGCATAGCATCATGGTGTTGAGATTGATTGTGAATAGACGAGCCAACCTTGTGGCGAAAACAGTACGTATCGGCAGTTAGTCATCCAAAGCGCTGACCATGACTACTAAGTCGAGGCAAGTTTTTTGAGGAAGAATATTTCCAGTCGATCAAACAACTAGACCCCTTTCTAGATGAAAGTCGCGCGTACGAGAACATTCTCCGCAACTGCCCACCTTCTAAATCATCCTACTTCCCGCTTTACTATGGTGTTATACTAGACTTGCAGCGTGACAAGTACCCTATGAGCTATGCATTACGCCCGCGAGCTATCGTGCTGGAAAGAGTCACTCCTGACATATGTTCCCGGCGCGTACTCGGAAGATGTCCGCGCCCCGAGTATGATTCATTCGGGGATTTCATCGCGCGTCTGGAGGACCTGCCGCTCAGCGGTTTTGAGAAAGAGTGGTACATTTCTTTGACTATCAGCCGGCTTCGGCGTCTTACAGCATTGCATGAGATTGGAATTTTACATCGCGACGTCTGCGACGAGCATTTCCGTCTCCCGAATGATTTCTATGATACGGTTCTCTATGATTTCTCACACGCTTACACAGTCAATTCGCCATGGCCATACGTCCAAAGGCCTAAACCGCTGGCGGAATTGATTCGGATTGAACAGAATGAAGTGTTGAGTAGCGTGTTCGTCCGGTTGGTGGCAGATATACCTTGAATTGATAATCCTAGCTTACATTTTACTTGTGCAATGAGGTCAGAACTACGTACATATCTTGCTGCGACGCTTAATCTAGACCTGGCGGCTGTTGGAGAGATCTGCTCCCAGGAACTCGAAGATACGAAGGACCATCTAGAGCTGATCTTTCTGAGGACCAGACACCGACCGGACAGTAAGCTATCTACTGTATTCTTCTAACTAGGACGTCTGATAACATACTGCAGCGTTCACGCATCCATCTTTAGCCTCTATTTTCCCTTTCCTGGAAAGTGTCCGCCCCAGAAATTCTCCCGCGTGGCATATCAACCGCGCTCAACTTCTTCGGGAGTATGACTCTGTCTGGTTCTGCTACACGCCTGGATCAGACAAGCAGGTAGAACTGGTCTCATGTTCCGGGGTGGAACGCCGCCAATTGGACGTAGATGAACGAACGCAGAAGTCCTATCTACTTGCCTTGGTTCCCAGAACTTGGGGTCTAGAGGAGTCTGATCCAAGGCTTTTTACCTGTGCTAGACTTGTTGCTAAGAAGGAGCGGGGTCCTATCGTTGAACGGGATGCACTTGAACAGCTTACGGCTGGCTTTATGTAGGAGATGGTCATATGGCTACGCTGGGGGGGGGGGGGGGGGGGGGAGTTAATTCCACGCACGGCCGTTGTAGTCGGTAGAGAAGTTCAGTTCAGCCTTGTGGGTCCGAACGATTTCAGCTATGATCATATGGTTGGGATAGTTTGCATTATTATCTCTCGCTTATGAGATTTTCTGGTGCGATGTTGAAATGTGTCAGCTATCGATCTGGTTTATAGCTATTTATCCGACATGGCGAGAACGAGGGGGGAACTGTTCAATGTTAAACGTGAGAAATCAAGAGAAAAGCAAGAGAAAACAAAAGAAATCGGCCTGATCACCGAAAAGCCAGGCTAATTCGAGTCCGTGCTCCGTGAGAAATCAACCAACATCGGCCGTCCATGATCGTCGCGCGACGACCGTCAAGTCCGTAGTGAGCAGGAAGTTGTGGAAGCTTCGACCGGATCGTCTGAGGATCGACCAGACCTGACTCCGACCAGTAGCACATGATGCAGCCCAGTGGCGTGGTTTGGCCCGTCTCATTTGTTGATCGACCGAGTCTCTCCCCTTCTGCTTCGGTCGCTGGCGGCATCCACGGATCGCGTTTGAATCCAGGTAGCACACGGTAGTCACAGGAGGTGAAGAGAGAATTCATATCACCACTGGAAGGTTTGCCCACCGCTTTTTGTTTGGTTATGGTTCTATTGAATTCAGGATGCGGGGTGTATTCAAAGACGACAGAATTAAGTCATCGAACAGCAACAGCAGCTCCTCCCGCCAGGTCTGAGCTTCCTGCATTAGCGATCCTCGCCGTGCAGTTAGCAGTTGAGGCCCTTCCACACACTACCGTCCTGGTCCATGGTGCTCTGCAGGCTAGCTAGCGCCTTGAGTAGCCAAGCTCAGCCAACTTTCTCGAGCATCCAAAGTCAATCCAGTAACTTTTCTGAATAATGGGTGATCATGGATGCACCTGGAGGACCATTCCGTGGGACGCCGACTGGTTCGATCCAGGGCGATGGGACCATCCCAAGTATACTGGTTACTCAGTGGTAACTAACGAATTGATCTAATTGATCTAGGAGTCGCTAGCTAAGTCACGCAACAACCCTTCCTCGGCATCCCGGGCCATCAATGGTGTTGACCCGTTGATCCTCCTCCCTTCTTGAACTGGCCCAAAACACCCACTATACCTGAAAAGATAAAGTCAAAGAAAACAAAAATCCCTTGATATCTGCCGATCCTTTCCACCTCATTCCATCCGCACCCTCTGGCCGTTCTGCTAGTGGTCGATCCTCCCACCCTTGTTCGCCCTAGGAACGCCCCGGATGCCAATTCCCGTGCAAGTTGAACTGCACTCGACTTCATGATAGGTGAATGTCGGTCGGTGGACGATGTACGCCGTGCCTTGGGGTGTCACACAACCTTTCTTGGCACCGGGGATTGGTCGAAGCTGGGTCTGAGTGAGTTGTTGAAATGTTGGTCGGGGAGGTGTAGCCAGGGTTAACCTGCTACGAAGGGCGACCTCCTTCATGCAGATGAAATTATGACGCATCTGGGGGACCTCTTCCTCCCTGGTCCTGGTCTTTTTTTTTTTTTTTTTTTTTTTTTGTCTCTCCTCTTTTTTCACCTTGGACGGAATTATCATGCCAGAAAATAAAAAAAAATTGACTAACAAACTCTGACGCAAAAGCCATGCACTCACTCCATCGGTTGATTCGGATTGGTGATTTTGTTTCAATGCTAGGTAGTGGTCTGGACGAGCTGGACTTATAAAAGCTGGTCTCAGTCCTGCCTGCCCTTTCCCTACAAAAGAACTGTAACTCATTCTCTTCTACTTTTGAGTACCTCCCTCCCTCGGGCTGAGTACGTCGACATCCTCGTGCTCATACATACATCACATACATACATATACATTCCACACCAGCCAGCCCTATCCTCCCCCCATATTCCCACCAACTCAACACTTAATACAGAAAAACCAGCAAAATGGTGACCAGCGCCGTGGCTCGTCCTCTACAGCTGGTCTCGCGCGTGTTGCAATGGACCAGCGCCGTCATCGTCATGGGCATAACTTCCTACTTCATCCACAAGGGTCCGCGCGGTCAGCATCTGATCTATACGGAAGTTATCGTATGTTGAATCCGCTCCTGCTCTCAAACAGAAAATACTGTATACTAAAAATGCCTAAAGTCAACACTCTCCGTCGTTTTCTTCCTTCCTGCTTTCGTCTCGCCGTTCATGCCCACCGCTCTGGGTAAATTCGTCTTGCTGATCGATGTCGTGTTTTCTTATTTGTACGTCCTCCCTTAACCTATGATTGTGGTCTTATATCATTAAACCACTGTGGATCCCTATGCTAATGAATTTAGATGGCTCACGTCCTTCATCTTCGCCGCCCAAGACTACAACGAATCGAACTGTTTCTGGAACTCTCCTCCGGGTCTATCCTGCTCGAAGAAGAAGGCTAACGAGGCTTTTATCTTTTTGGCTTTGTATGTGCCTCTTATCTCCTTTCTTCCCTCTAGCATCTGGCTGTCACCTTCCGTCCCCCTTTTTTATCCTGTACCTAACCCACTCATTACCAAACAACCCGATGACTTGATAACACGAAAACGTGATCACTAACAATCTGATCTTCAAAAATAGCATCTTCACCTTCTTCGGCATGTTCCTCGAAGTCCTCGGCCTATGGGCCTACCGTCGCGAGAACCCGTCTCCTCCGGTGCGCGAGAAGACCGGCGGCGCCCACGGCGGCCCGGCTGATGCTCCTGTTGCGCAGGTTTAAGGCTGGCTGCTTTGCTTGGCTCGAGATGAGGGGTTTTCTGTCTGTCTGTCTATCTGTCTGATTACCATGGTCTGTCCGTCTATCTGTCGATAGATAGACAAACAGACAGATTGACAGATTTGACTACGCACGACTAATTTAACTAATGCTGGATGAAAACGGGGATGGTTTAATGTTAATGTTAATGTTAATGTTGATGTTCTATGTGTTGAATATATGTGATTAATGACGTGGAGGAGGACGATGGTGATGAGGGTTTGTTTGTTGTGTTTTGTGTCTATACCTATACCACCATATTTTACCTGTCTTGCTTTGCTTGTCTTTGATTTCGATTCTGATACAAACGACCATGACGATCTTTTAATTCAATATCTTTGATTACATTATAGTTATTGTATTAATTCAATGGATCTATTGCACCATGAATGTTGCTTGCTGTGATTATCTATCGAGGTGATGTTGTGAAGGAAGGATAAAAGAAAGAGAGATGAAGAATTGTTGTTTTCAAAGAAATATGTCCCACAGTATTGTTTCGATAGGTTGAATTGAAATAACTGTAATTCCTGTCTTTTGTGTATGTATTCCTTGCTTAGATGATGATGATGATGGTGTGTTTGGTATCATGGCAAGGTTTATCTATCGTGGTATCTTTCATATTGAATCGAGTACAAATGACAGCAAGGATCATCGCTAGCTGAATCAAATGACCAAAAAAGTTGAATTTCTATGTATGTACATTGGGGATCTCCAAACTTGAACCTCTGTATAAATTGCCAGACAAACGGGTCAATGTCTAGAAGCGTTCTTGAACTTGAACCAACCGTGTCGGGTATACTGCTGTGAAAGAAACGCTGAACGAAGCACAACCGTTTGGTGACATCATCTCTAACTTGTTTTCATCTAGACGATCATAAATGCTACTCTATCAGGTCAACAACGATCAGATACTTGCTCGTCGAGGCGCCATCGTGCGCTGCAGTTTTTTCTTTTCCTCAGTCTCCTCCGGTAGAGGCAGTGAGCCCTCGCTCTTGAGTTTGTCAAGGAACTCTTTCCCATACGCATATCCAACCTGGTAGATCTCGTCAAATTTGCCGAAGTCCAGTGTGCCATACGGATCGATCGGAGGCCGCATGTATAAGCATCCCACGGTGTTCTTGGCGCGTTCGAGATTGTCAATTGACGACACGTACGCAAGTCGTGCTTGAATCTCCGATAGAGTGGGAGGGTTGGGAACCGAAGAGAATGGATTCCAGCGATTAATCACGGTCCAGAAGCCGGAGAGTGAGTCGCCGTATCCTTGTGGGGTATTGTCATCCAGGGACCCGACGTCGACCGCGAAGATCACATCAGCACCCAGACTCTTCATACGCGCCACCGTGAGGTTGTCAATATATCCTCCATCAAGCAGCATGCTGCCCTCGTCACAGATCGGAGGAATGAGGCCGGCCAGCGACATTGACGCGCGCACGTAGCGCCATGTATAACCGGACGAGTGAAACTCCGGCCTTGATTTGCTGATATTGGTGGTGTTGCAGTAGAACTCTAACCAGAAGTCTTCAATCTGGCTGTCTCCGAAGGTCTTGAAGATTCCACGGTTGAACTCGTGGCCAGTTGTGTACGAGATTGACGGGTATGTCAAGTCCAGGGCAAACCGCCACATACTGCCCATACGCCCAGAGAACTTCTTCGCGCGGCCGTACATGGGAACCACGTCAGCGTCTCGCGCATACAGAGCCCCAATGAACGAGCCAATAGAGGTACCGCCGATGATGTCGATAGGAATCCCGGCTTCTTCAATCGCCTTGATAACACCGACATGAGCGATGCCCCGAGCACCGCCTCCCCCAAGGACAAGCCCGACTGACCTACCGCAAAGCCGGCGCGCCAGACGATGGAAGTCACCCTTGAAAGGTGCATCCACGGCGTAAAGAGGGGTTTGTCGGATTCGTCGCGAGGTGTATTTCTGGATTTCGGCCTGGAGGACCTGAACTCTCTGCTTCAGCACAGTGCCGAAGCGTTTGGTCTGAGTATTTGAGGGTTCGGCAGTCAATCGGAAACTCATCTGAATGTGGTGATGGCCGCCATTGATCCATACGCGGTTCTTCAGCCATCGTCTTGTCAATCCCGGTGAGCAATAGCGTTCGGAGTGAAGTAACACTAATTCCTTTCTGGCGGTCGTCTTCATTCCAAGCAAGAACCTTTCGTATTCACCAATGCCAGGAGAAGAATCAGCAAGGCCAACAAGCAAGATGCAGTCCGCTTGCGTGATGCATGTCTGCGTCCATGGAGCATTCACATTGGTGTCGGCGATATATAGCACCATTCCATATTTCTCCTCGAGATCGGCCAGGTACTGAGACAACTTAAGTTTGCCCATTTTGCTGAACGCATGCCGTCCAAGATGATTCAAAATAGCCGCCTGGTTGAGGGACGTGACGCCGTTCATGACACCAATTTGATGAAGCGCATTTAGCAAGCGATGGCCGAACTCAACCACAGGTACTCCGGCTGTGACTGGAAGGATGCAGACTGTGCGGAGGTTCACGGTCGAGGTAGCAGTTTGGACGCTGCCAGTATGGCTCCTCTCGCTGCCTTTGTCAGAAAGGGGATGCTCCACCAAGTCTCGCATACGTTGAGCAATGAGTTTAGAGACTTGAATAGTGATCCCAGGGTGCTCTTGCGCAAGACTGTTGAAAAGTGTCCTAGGGAACTTGGCCAGCTCGGTATCTCGGATGGCGTGAAGAGTGCCCGGCCGAGTAGATTCAGTCATGACTTCCAACTCTCCCACGCTCTCTCCTTGACCATATTCACCCACAACCGTCATCTTGCCATTACCGCTTTCGAGTACGGACCGAAGACGACCGTTGAGAACGAGATATATCGCGTCGCTTTCGTCACCTTGGTGGTATATGACTTGGCCTGCACTGACTTGCACCCACTCAAGAGCGAAATCAATATGGAGAAGCAGTCGGGGAAGAAGGTTGGTCAGCCTCTTGGCCAGGGTCAGCAGCGCGATTGGATACCGTTCTGCAATTCTCTCCAGGGACGCTCGTGGGAGGAAGCCCACATACACGTCTGTCTTGGCGACGACGTCGGTATAGGAGCGATACGATGCGACCGCGCCGACGTAACCCTGGATACCGCCAGGCTTGATCATGTAAAGGGAGTTCCGCGACTGTTTCTTTCTCTTCGGGTCATTGGCCGAGCTCGCTCCGCCCTGGACGCGCGACGTGCTTGTGTTGGTCCGCCTCAGCGCAGGAAAGGGCTCTTCGCGGGACTGAGAATGAGCCGGTCTGGACGCCCCCACAAGATCCTCCGGTTTGTCGGATACAGGAATACCCACGTCCAAAAACCCGTCAATCACATAGTACAAGCCGGGGTGACGTTCCCCTTGTTCCACAAGGACTGAGCCCTGGGGGAAGTAGACAATCTCAATATCATTGCGAAGTTCTTCCCGCAGGTTGACAATTGGTGATGTCCCTCCGGCACTGGTTACAGACATAGACATCATCGACTCCGTCTCGCCATCTCCCGAGCCATCATAGGGATCAATAAAGCCAAAAGCGTTGTTGGAAAACACTGCTTTCTGGCGCCGAGAATCGTACGAGAGCAGTTTAGGGGACACATCCCCCGAATGGCTGCTCTTACGCAAGACGTCGCGGGTGCTTCCACTCAGGCCGATGCCCTTCATGATACAGTCCAAAATCGACTCACGGAACAGGGCGTCTTCGTCAACAGACTCCTTTCGGTGGAAAGTAGAGGGTCGCGTCGGCATGATCGGGGACCGAAAAGGGGAGGGCTCTTTTTCGGTAAGAGGGCTGTACAATTTAGGGGCTAGGTGTTCATATCTAGGGCCAAATCTAGAGAGTTGGATGGTTGACAAGAGATCACCGGGGCTTACTCCGGCCATCTCGCGCTCACTGGCAGTGTCTTGAGCAGTCAGGGTCGATGCACGTTTTGGTGCCGTCATCTTTGCGTGGAGAGCAGCCTCCTTTCTCAGGAAACTATTGGATCGAATCTTTCTTCCGCTGGAGGGATTGTGCAACGCGATGCCCTTGGTCACTTCCTCCGGGCCTAAGCGATCGCGTTCTTTGATGAATTTATCCTTGAGCCTGTCCAAAGCCGCACCGCGCATATCATTCGGTAGATCGTGGGTAGTATATTTGGTCATCTGCTTTTCAATACCCAGGACCTCATTAGTAAGACCAAGATAGGAATGCGCCGTGGCAAATGACACTCTTTGAAGGCGCGTCAGGATAACTTGAACAATATGGGCAGTCGCTTTGGGATAAACTCGCGTCAGACGGCGAAACGCGCTCGCCGGAATGATCGCGATGGTTGTGTCTACCATGGCCCGCGCAACGATATCCGGGTGAACTGACTTTCGACGCTTCTTGTCTCGCCGCTTCCCCGTTTCGGGCAAGGGGACGTGATCCGAGGGGCCAGGACCATCTTCGAGATTCAAGGGGGGCACCGATGGCAGAAAGTCACCATTGCCATGAATTTGGGAAACAGATGCTTGACGACCCCTGACGGGGCCAGGAAATGGGCTGTCACCTAAGCCTTGAGGACTGGTTGGAAGTGAATCCGTCGACCGGACAGGAGCCGGGCCTACGCTAGATGTACTGGAGGACAAGCTTTCGGAGTCCCGCAACTGGATGTCCTCGGTGAAGAGCGACAGGATTGAAAACAGGGACGACATCGAGGCCCCGTTCTTGACTTCGGTGAGAAGCTGGTACCCTTGTTTTCCATCAATTTCATAATCTTCCTCCTCTGCGGACGATTCACGACCCCGGCGGATATGATCATCCGGACCCAACTTGCCATCCCGAATTGATTTCACGAAGATCTGTACCAGGCCATCTACAACGAGACAGAAGCCTTTCTCTTCTTCTAGGAGCAGTGTCTCGCCAGCTATCAATTTCCTAGTCTGCATTGTGCGGGTCAATTCGTGAAATACTGGTCGCTCCAAATAACCAAAAACCTTGATGGCGCTCAGGAATTCATCGAGATAGTTGGCCAGGCCTGGTTTGGAATCACCTTCTTGGACGTCAGGGAAGAGGTCGAGTTGGGGTTCTTTGCGTTGGGGCTCCGGGGGTAGACGGCTGTACATATTCAGGAACCGGTATCGAATGAACCAGCTGATGGTCGACACAACAGCCAGCGCTATCAACAATCTGTTGGATTTATGGCAAGCCGTGGTCAGTATACTAAGACATAAAAGGTAGAGGAAGAATGGGACATTGTATCTCAAACCTACAGCGTCGTGAAGTTCATGGTGAAGGTCAGACTCATGGAAAAGAGCGTGAAGAGCCATGTTGGCAGCGTGATGGTGGAAAAAGTGATCACCCAGTATAAAACGCTTGGAATGACATAGAAAATGAAGGTAAAAACCCAAGATATCCACCCCACCATGGTGGATGGCGTCGGAGGGGTCACTGGCGGGGGCGGAATGTGAGAGCCAGGAAAGGGCGAGGAGACCAGGAGACTGGCGGCTAAGGCAGGAGAAGAGGTGGTGAAAGACAAAACAGAAGTCGAGGAAGACGAATCCGCGAGAGCAGCGGGGTCGGCCATGACGCCGGACAGGCTAAGGGCCAAAAAAGACTAAAGCTTGGAAAGCCTGGAACCCGGAATGGAGACACGGAATCAGGCCGCTAGAGCCAAACGGAGCTGGACCGGTGAAACTGAGGGTCAGGGATTCTACCCAACAACAATCTCACTGACCGAGAATGCGGCGATATTAGGTATTAGGAAGGTCCGGTGAGGGGTAACGCTGCAGTCGACATATTGACTTGAGTGAAAAAAGAGAAACGTGCATGGAGAGGAGAAAGTCCTGATGGCTGGTCGTTGATCGGGAAAGCGGAGGCTGCAGCGGCTGGCATCCACGCTTGACCTGTTTGGGATGGTCTGCAGTGCCAGGACATGTGATCTGACGTCATCGGTCTACGCTCCTGTCCTTCTGGTCATACTGAGCAAGTTACCGTCTGCACTTGTAGCCCCCAAAATCCCACCTGGCGAGCAGTTCTCTTGGCTGTTACAGCTGCTCATCTCCAACACCCTAATGATCCTTTCAATTGCCCTGTCGTCTTTCGCTATAAGCCCCCTGGAAATCCGTCCCATCACTCAGGCTAGAATTCTCTTGCCCCAGGCATCATTCAGAGATGAATTGAAGAAAAACCCTTATTGATCATAAGCTTACTTGAGTCACAGTAGACTCGTCATGTGGGTTGAAACTGATCACATCTTCGACCTCATATAGTTACAATCAGTCTGTGATGCACCGGTTATCTCACCCAGATCCAAAAGGGTTGAAGGAATCAGTATTGTAGTCTGGACCACGTCCCTTGATCCCAAATTGTGAGTCAAATTTTTTGTCGTTGCCGGTGAGAAATTCTGTAGACAGTCGGTGCGTCCAGGGTTCAATCTAATGAGGCATGTTTTAGGCATCTTAAGGCTGTATTTCAAATTGGACTGGCATAAGCGGTCTTTGAACACCTTGAGCCTACAGACCCGGGCTCTATACAGACAGCGAGTGCCTATCATCCTGGAAAAGCAAACAAGAGAAAGGAACTGAATGGCTACGTCTAACAGCATTGTGGCCCGGCTCATTTTAGGTATAAATTGCATGGAAGATCCTCATGACAGACTAGACAAGTCTGAAACGACTAGAGCGTAGATTCATTCATCATCTAAACCCCGATCAATAGAGAACTGGTGGCGCATCGCCGACTGTCGATAGCTGTTGATGTAGCCCTAACTCATTATTCTGAAAACTTCTTTTGAGAGAGCATGGTATTGTGGGATTTTCAGTCCTCAAATCCAAACATCATCGTTACCTTATCCCATTGAAACACTTGGTTTTATGTGTCTTAGCACGAAGCCAGAGTGTGCTTGGTCTCCAAAAATCTTCTCTATTGTTATCTATTCAGTTTATTTCTGATGCATTTCGTCACCCAACCCAACTTCATACCATGAGCAGACCCAGAAGGCGAGCAGATTCAACATGGATAACCCTGCAAGATTAAATAACCCTGCAAAATACTCCCCACTATGCAACCCAGGAGAACCCCGCAGTTCATCCAGTACACAACGAGAAAAAACACAAACATGGCAATCTCGGTAACCACACAAACAAACTTATGAGTGATGCTGTACAGAATGCAACGTTGTCTGTTATTAATAAAGAAAAGGCTGAGGTGGCTGATCTATTTTTTTGGCCCTCTTTCTTCTTTTTCTGCCGCAGTCGGCCTGCAGCCTATCGTCAAGTAAGATGATTACACATCACGTCCAGAAGGCATCTTGGCCCCCGGTGACTACGTCTAGTATTCCTTGTATAATCGAGATTCTGTTACACGGTGTGTCGCAACGGGAGGTGAAGTAAGCCCTATCCAGGACTGGGGTCTATTTGCAACGAAGATTTAGATACTATGGTACGGCGCAACGCCAGTATCCTTGCAATATGATCACTTTCATAGCCCCAGTAGCCTAGCCAGATTTAGTTCTCTATGAAATACTGAAACGTAGTCGACTAAAAGGAAGAGAACCCCCCATATTTCCTGTACGGTAGAATGCATACCACAGGCTCTACCTCGCCATGAAGGATTTCATGATCAATACAACAGCCAGGGTCAACGGCCCTACATTCACGGTAAAGACCATCTCCATCACAAGCTACTAGTTATCTGACCAGAACAGGTTGTTGTCTGGGGAGCAACACTCCTCTCATGTATCTTCATCACTGCACGCATCTTTGCCCGTATCCACACCTTCCGCCGCCTCTGGACCGATGATGTGTTAGCGATGTTGGCATGGCTATTCCTCCTTGCTCAAGCTATCATCTGGCATACACAGGTTGAAGCATTATATATCCAACACCAATTGATCACAAAGGAGTTTCTACCGACAGCAGAAATCATGGAAGAAATCCGCCGGGTCCTCCACGCTCAACTAGTCGGGCTTTTCTTCTTTATGTTCTCTCTGTGGCTGCTCAAAGCTTCATTTTTGGTCTTTTTCCGTCGAATCGGCTGCTATCTGCATCCTTTGAGCAGATGGTATTGGTGTGTTGTGGTGCTGGTGATTGCAAGCTGTGCAGCGTGTTTGGGTGATATTGACTATAGGTGCTTAACAAAGGGTCCATCATGGGGTTATGGTTAGTTTTCCTGCCATCGAGCAACACAATCCAGTATGCATTTCCTAGCTAATTCAGAATTAATCCAGATCACTGTACCTCATTTTCAGCGGTCAGAATCCAGTTCCGTGGGTTTCTTATCAACGCATTATTGGATATCTTCAGTGATGTACTCAGTATGTATCCCTCGGATGCCTAATCGAAACACGACATATACTCATCGAACTCCAGTAACCACACTTCCAATCGCCCTGCTTTGGAATGTGCGCATGCCTTTATCCCGAAAGCTCAAGTTAATGGGCCTTTTCTCCCTGACCGTAGTGGTGGCCATCTTTGCAGTTGTCCGCATCGCGGCTGTGGCTCAGCCGCACAAGTATTTTGACGCTACTTGGCTGTGGATGTGGAGTTTGATCGAATGCGCAGCTGGTACGTACTTCCACTCGATATCATCGAATGAGAGCACAACTAACCATCGGCGTTGATGAAAGCAATTATCGTCGCTACTCTGGCCTCATTGCGTCAACTATATGTCAAACAGGACTCGATGCAGAGTTCGTCTCCATCAAACAATAGCAGCGACGTCTGGACCAGGGAGAATATGCGGTCCTTCATTCCCAGCAGGAAAGTTGCCCAACAGAAAATGACAATCGTCCATTCGTCTCCTGTGGACGTTCAGCCAAGCAACATGCGCGGAAAGCCCTAGGTTTCAGGATGTTGATCGTGGGCGGCATTGTGGGTGGAATGACAGGTCTGAGCTATAATTAGGACTGTCACTTCCTTGCGGAGTAGTGCCCTCTCCTTAATGATGAGCACGAGCAGCCGTTAGCGTGTCAATTTAAAATAGTGATGGACAAAGACGAGGATGTTCCTGATGCACTTGTACTTGTACTATGATTAGATCCCGCCCCCTGACAACTGATCACCGCCCAATTTTTATCTCCGGCCATTTTTCTGCCCGCCCGGAAGGTCTTGGCAGCCCAACCAGTTCTGGCCTGTCCGTTCGCTGACGTTCTCTGGATGCTTCCTCCCATCTCCCTCTACCACCTATTGCTCCTGCTTCTATTTGTCCCCTTTCGCCTCGTCTCTCCCTGTCTTTCGTTTATCCATCTTGCTGTGGCCTTGGCTCACAGGCCCGCCACGGTCATGTTTCAGGTATGTTTGTTTGGTCCGTGATTCCCTTCCCACCGCCGGAATCACTTATTTACTTGTCTGCCTTAACCGCTCGGTGTCGGTGTCAATTGTTCGCTGGGCTAACTCTTGTGTTTTACATCATACAGCGCCTCCGCGAGGCGATCGACTCTCGAATCGCAGAGGAACAGGCTCGCCAAAAGTCCGCCCAGGATTCATTGTCCCGATCTAACTCCGCTCGCCAGCCCTCCAGCCGCAACCTGTCCCCTAGCCGACGACAGACCCGTCCGCGACGCAACACCGGAACCCCTGTTCGCGGCCCCGATCCGACCGAGTTCGAGCCCGAATTCACCATCGGCGATGACGAGGGGTCCAGCAGATCTGCGACTCCCCAGCAGGATCCCCCCAGCAGCTCGAAGGGCTCGCCGGAGCAAAATGCCGGGGAGGAGAAGTCTACCGCGGAGGAGTCGCCAAATGGAAAGGATGCTGCTCCCGCCGGGGAGGCAAAGCAGTCATCCTCTGAGCTCCCTCCGGATGTTAGAGTGAAATTACGGAAGTTGAGCAAGATGGAAACTCGGTATCAGGGTATGAGGTGCTGGCGGGTAATTTACGTGGGCCAGATGATGCTAACAAATGTGGTTGGGTTTTAGAGCTCCTAAAGGCATACCGGATGGCCCATACGCGCGTCCTCTCCATCGAGCCATTCGAAGCCGCTCTTCGCGAAAATACCCCTCTCACGTCGATCGGCGATCCCAAGGCCCTGACGGAATATTTGAATCAGATCTCGTTGAAGGGGGACATGGTGGTGGAAGAACTGAAGCGCATCTCGGCTGAGCGGGACGATTACAAGAAGAAATTCGAGGAAGCGCAAAAGGCCACGAAAGATGCTTGGGATGAAGTTGCCAATTTGAAGAAGGATGGAAACAAGAGTGAGGACGGCTCTTCTTACAAAGAGGGCGACGGCTTGAGTGTTGACACCGCCGCCGCGAATGCGCCCTCGCCTGATATAACCGTGCAATCTGCGACTCCCACATCCTCATCTCGCCTTGCTCAAATATTCTCTCCGAAGCAGAACTTCGCGAAGCAAGCCGAGAAGCCGGAGCCTCTGCAAGAAAGTGAAGAGTTCTTTTCGTTCGACGGTGAGATCCCGCGATTGGAAGCCGAGCTGAAAGAAAAACAAGAGGAAGTCGAAACCCTCAAAACTCAAACCGAGTCGCTGAAGCGCGACCTCTCGGTGGCACGTGAGTCGACGGAGGGCATGGTCCAGAACCTGGAGACTGCAACCCGAGAACTCAGTGAACTGCGAGACACAAAGGACAAACAAGACTCGGAAATTGAGAAGCTGAAGGCTTCCAAGCAAGAAGGAATTGACGAGCTCAAGTCCAGGCTCGTGGCATCGGAAGAAACTCTGACGAAAGCCACTGCTGAAGTCGAGAAGCTGAAAGATGAATTGAAACAGAAGGCGAACGAAATTGAGCAACTACAGGCTCAAGTTTCACAATCCGAGAAGGATAACGAGCAAGCGGAGGTTCAGTCTTTACTTGACGAACTAAAGCAGGAGAAGGAGGGTACTAAAAAGAAATTAGGTGTCTTGCAGAACTTGGTGGATAGCCTCCGCTCCCAGCTCACGACTACGGAAGAAACGGTATCTAGCCAGATGGCCGACATCGAACGGAAGAACAAGAACGCCAGATCGCAGGCTATCGTTGATTTCTTCGGCGGCAGTCTGCAAGACAACCCACAATGGGAGCAGTCCAAATCACAGATTCTGAGCGGCGAGAAGACCAACTTTGATGAGCTGCGCGAGATTCTGATGCCTCCTCAAAAAGAAGAGCCAGTGAAGAGTCAGGCCTCGGAGCCGAACCCTCCACCAACCACTTCTACGGCCAACTCTACGACAGGCACCGGGGGAGGCAAGAAGAAAAATAAAAAGAAGAAGAAGGGCGGCAAAGGTGGTGAAGATACGAGCAAAGCAGAACCCAGTCCTGCTGTTGAGGATAAAGAGCCGCCCCCTGCAGAGCCTGATCAGAATGCTGCGAAGCTGGATGAACTACAGAGCAAGATCGAATCATTGACAAGCCAGCTGGAGGAGAAAGAGGCCGCCATTGACCGCCTCAGCGCAAAACTCAAGGGCGAAGAGGGTTTGAAGGAGGAAATCGAGTCTCTCCGTGATGATTTGCTCAGTATCGGCCAGGAGCATGTCGAAGCGAAGGACAAATTCAAGGTGCTTTTTGCGGAGAAGAACGCCTTGGAAGAGACCATCTCCAAACTTGAAAAGGAGCTCACTGACCTGCGCACGAGCAACGCGTCCCAGAGTGCAGACTCCGAAAAGGCCCATAGTAGCTTGAAGGAGGAGTACGAAAGCCTCAAGGTTAAATTTACGACGATTGAAACCGAGCTCTCCGCTGCGCAGCAGCTGGCCACCACTCGATTCAAGGATCTTACAGATCTGCGCGAAACCGTGCAAAAGTTGCAACCCGAACTGAAGAACCTGCGGGCCGAATCCGCAGAACTCAAGTCCACGAAGGAAACCTTGACGAGTAAAACCACTGAGTTGCGAACTCTAGAACATAAGCAGGAGGACCTGCGAGCAGAACTCAAGACTCTCAAGTCGACTGTGTCAGAGCGCGACACTGAAGTTAAGACGCTCAACCAAAAGATTCGACAGGAGACGGACAACCGTCTGAAGGCTGAAGAGAGACTGACCCTTGCGCAATCCGACTTGCGGTACTCGGAGAGCAAGAAACAAGAAGCCGTAGAAACGAAAGAACGGGTTGCCTCCGACCTCTCAAGAGCTCAGGACGAACTGAAGTCAGCCAAGAACCAGATCAGGGAGGTGGAAAACCAGGTCAACAAGCTGAACCAGGAATTGGAGAGTCTGCGGGAAGAAATCCACCTCAAGACTGCCCAACATGCCAGTGCACAGAGCTTGATGAACAGCATGCGCGATCAAAGTGCTGAGATCGGAATGCAGATGAAGGAAGCGAAGGAACGCTGCGAGAGTTTGGAAGAAGAATTGGCGGACGCTCACCGTCTACTGAACGAACGGACTCGAGAGGGAGAAACGATGCGCCGCCTCTTGAATGACATTGAAGGCCGTACAGAGTCCAAGGTTCGCGACTTCAAGGAGCGAATGGAGGCGGCCATTGAAGAGCGAGACCGGGCCGAAGATGAGGCCAGCTCTCAGGGCCGTCGCCGAGCTCGGGAGCTCGAAGAGCTGAAGAGCAAGGTTCGCGAGGCGGAGAAGGCTCTTCGGAGTGCCGAGGAGGACAAGGAAGAACTGGAGCGGTCCCAGAAAGATTGGAAGCGCAGACGTGATCAGCTCGAGGCGCAGTCCGAAACATCTGGGAAGGAACTCAATGACGTGAGACAGGCAATGGCACAGCTCCGCGATACCCTCGATGAAAGCGAAAAGCAGGTTCGTGAGTTGGAGAAAGAAAGGGCGGAGTATCGCAGATCAGTTGAGGAGGCCAATGCTCGCTTGGAAAAGATGCGCAAATCCAACCGAATTCTATCGGACGAAGCGCGCATGGGACAGAACACCCAATCCTCGCGATCTTCCATCGATTCCGGTTCTAGGAAAGGGCTCACCTCTCCAGTGTCCAAAGATCGAAGTCCATCAACCCGGAGAAGTGAAACGCCCGGCGGCGCAAACGTCGACTACATCTACCTCAAAAACGTGCTCCTTCAGTTCTTGGAACAGAAGGATAAAAACTACCAGAAGCAGCTCATCCCTGTATTGGGGATGCTGCTGCATTTTGATCGGTGAGTTCTTTTTCCCCAGACCAGCCTACACTCTTGTCCGTACTCGTACTAACGCGGATTCTAGAACCGATGAGCAGAAATGGATGTCCGCTATTATGTCGAAATAGGAATAATGTGGTTCACGTCGCCACGCTATCACACTTAGGATATATCTGTAATATATTTGGGTACATAATATTTGCCTACTAGGTTCGTCGTATGTCTCCATCAAATCTTGTTTAGTCTCCGTATGTCAACGGCAGGGCGTCGCAGCAAAGTTCTGGACCCCTCCAGACTATAAAGTGGGACCGCCGCCATCCGCAGACTTCCTTCATCTTGGATTCTTTCCTCAACCTCCAAACATTTGATATTCTACCACCTTGTCTTATCAAAGTATCCTACGACCTAGTCACAATGTCAGACCAACCCACTCTCCGACTAGCAACGCCCGAGGGTAAGTTCCTCCCCAGCATTGTCCATCCCACCTCCCACATTCAAGAGATACCCCGCATCACTCCAATCCCTCCATCTATCCACCCTACCTTCAACTAACCCACCACCAACCACGATGTATAGATGTCCCTATAATCCTCCAATTCATCCGCGAACTGGCCGATTACGAAAAAGCCCTCCACGAAGTCGAAGCCACCGAAGAGTCTCTCCTCGCCACGCTCTCCTTCCCCGACACCCCACCTCAGCGCGGCGCCGTCTACACAGCCCTGATTACCCCTCCCAGCACCCCCTCGCAACCAACCCCCAAGCCCGTCGGCATGGCCCTGTTCTTCTACAACTACTCGACGTGGCGGTCCGCGCCGGGCATCTACCTCGAGGATCTGTATGTGCAGCCGAGCGCGCGTGGGAATGGCTACGGGTTCAAGCTGCTCAAGTACCTCGCCGCGAAGGTGTTGGAGGTGAATGGACGGCGCCTGGAGTGGAGTGTGTTGAAGTGGAATGAGCCGAGTATTAAGTTCTATGAGCAGGTGGGCGCGGTCTCGATGCATGATTGGTTGAAGATGATGGTTGAGGGGCCGGCGTTGGATAATTTGGCGAAGGGGGTTTGATTTTTTTTGTTTCCTAGGAGCTCGGTGGGGACGGGGTTCTGCGAATAGATCAGAGGGGTTGGGCGTGGGTTTTCTATACTATAGTTTTGAGGTTCATGATTATGAAACGTCATAGGCTTTGCCGGATATTGCAGGGGTCAAGCAAATAGACACTGAGAACTGGTGTTTTCGATAGGAAAACGGCGTTCAGAAGGTTAATTCATATTGCATCATAATATACTTACTGGATATTCTAATAGGATGTGCAAGCAACTAATGGAGGTAAGGGATGGAAGATACTATGCGGGATGTGGGGAGGATCTTGATCAGGAGGAGGGGCAAACATGCAAATCGTAGAAGTTGACAGAGTATAGAGTCGCTCAGCCGAATAGCTTGGTCATTGCCTGTGTACTCCACAAGGGATGGACTAAAATTGTAAGTCTATTCTTGCTGAAAACTTCTAGCTCTACATAGGAAGGACCACTCCACCCGAACCAACATGCGGAAAGCTCAGCGAGGTCAGTCAGAATAAACATATTATGATATCAACAGGCTCTACCCAACTAACTTGAATCTAAACAACTTGCCTGACGGTGGTGGCTGAGCCTCCACTCCAAAATAGATCGGTAAATCACTACTTCACCAGATAAGATCTCCCCATGCAGGATGATGAATGATGATATCGCAGATCCACCAGTGTCACATCGGCCAATGATGCATTGCCAACACGGAGAGCTAGACTACATCAGGTCTAAGCCACCGCCAGGGCTAACCCTACAGACAAGCTTCGCCGTGACGTCGTCACCGTCCCGATACTTGGCCATAGCTACCCGCTCACCGCGATCACGCAGTCGCCCCTTTTTATTCTCTCATCTCTCACGAATGCAATAGTGTCGAGACTCTTGCTGCCAAGTTTTGCAGAACTTATGGATATATAAAGCGACAGTAATTACACGCATTGTGACAAATGTCTTCCACGGCACCCAAGGATGATGCGCCGGCGCACCAAAAGAACAACCATGTGGACTACGTCATTCAATTCAGCTTCAGCGGCGCGGGTAAGGCCATTGAACTTGTGGAAATTCAATAGCGTCTAATTGTACCAGATCCAGCACAAGCGACGTCGCAGCTCGAATCGCTTCTTCGGAGACTATCGGAGGTAGGCCTGCAGACTGAAGTGAGGGAGGGGGATGAAACGACCGTGCTCGTCTTCGTCCGCGCATCGAGGAAGAAGCATCTCCGACATGCGGTTTATCAATCACGGTGAGTCTACAGGTGGCAAGGCAATTGGTTTCCCTAAGTACTCCCCAACTGACATACCTCCGACCAGCATACGTGACTGGCTCTACGGAGTCCGCCACGACGAGCCCGAATCCGAGACCTCCGCCGAACCGCAAACCGAATCCGAACGTCTCCGTGTGATATATCATATGATTACAGTCCCCAAGGAAGCAGGCGGTGCCGGGATCAGTCCGAGACACGGGGAGTGGGAAAATGTGCTCGCAATCTTTCCGCTGCACGACGTCGACACAAATAACGATTGCATCCGAGATTGGAGCAAGAAGACATTCTTGTCGCCGGAGGATTTGGACCAGATCCGGAACACATTCGGAGAAAGTGTGGGTGGACCTGAGTATTCCGCCATGCAGACTGCAGACCTCTGACGCTAATGACTGTCTTTATGCAGGTCGGGTTTTATTTCGCGTTTCTGCAGTCATACTTTAAATTCCTGCTGTTTCCGGCTGCCTTTGGATTCTCGTGTTGGCTTTTGTTGGGGTCGTACTCTATCATCTATACCATTGTTAACTCTCTCTGGGGTATCATCTTCGTGGAATATTGGAAGCGCCAGGAGGAGGACCTCAGCTGTCGCTGGCAGACCAAGGGTGTTTCGGCCGTTCGCGCCAAGAGAAGACAATTCATTCCGGATAAAGAGGTCCACGATGAGAGCACTGGTGAGGTTCGGGGTGTGTTTTCGGCATCGCGACGGATGTATCGTCAGCTGCTTCAGGTCCCGTTTGCTCTGCTATCGACAGTAGCTTTGGGTCTTATCATTGGGACGTGTTTCGCCATTGAGATTTTTATCTCCGAGATTTACAACGGACCGCTCAAGACATATCTGGTAAGCTTGGCCGCTTATTCCCGGGTCTGTATGTTAGCTGACAAGTCAGGTCTTCATTCCTACTATCTTGCTTTCTGCGCTCATTCCGACCATGAGCACTGTCCTGGTGAATGTCGCAACCAGACTTACCGATTACGAGAACTACGAAACCCAACCAGCATACGATGTGGCATTGACACAGAAAGTTTTTGTCATCAATTTTATCACATCCTACCTCCCAATCTTCCTGACCGCATTTGTCTACGTGCCCTTTGCCAGCCGCATCGTGCCGTATCTCGACGTGTTCCAGTTGACTGTTCGGCCGTTTGTCTCGAAAGAGCATGCGGCGACAATGCATACCGAATTCAACATCGACCCCGACCGTCTGCGGAAACAAGTCATTTATTTCACCGTTACTGCTCAGGTGGTCAATTTCGCCCAGGAAGCCATTCTCCCGATGGTCAAGCAGCATCTTCTACGCAAGTACAAGGCGTACAAACGAAAGCAATCCGCCAAGACAGACTCGGACAGTGATTCGGACACCAAGCGCACACCTGTAGCACAGTTTGATGACGCCCCAGAAGAGTCCGATTTCCTCAAGCGAGTTCGCAACGAGACCGAGCTAGAAGACTACGACGTCACGGATGATCTCCGCGAAATGTGCATCCAGTTCGGATACCTCGCCCTCTTCTCGCCCATCTGGCCCTTGGTGCCCGTTTCCTTCCTGATCAACAACTGGGTGGAGCTTCGATCCGACTTCTTCAAAATCTGCGTCGAATGCAAACGCCCCTGGCCGCAACGCGCCGACACTATCGGTCCCTGGCTCGAAAGCCTCAGCTTCCTCTCCTGGGTCGGAAGCATCACCAGCGCCGCCTTGCTCTACATGTTCAGTGCCGGCCACGAGGGGCCCAACGGCGAGCCGACCACCATCCAAGGCTGGGCCCTTCTCCTAACCATCTTCTTCTCCGAGCACATCTACCTCGCGATCCGCTATGCCGTGCGGGCCGCCATGGCCAAGCTCGAGCCCCCGAACGTGCGAAAGGAGCGCTCGGACCGCTACAACATGCGCAAGCGGTACCTGGATTCGACGCTCAGCACCAAGGTCAGCGACGACGAGGGCGACGAGGTCCCGTATAACGATCAGTCCCAGGAGGTCTCGCAGATCAGTCGGGCCACGTTGGAAGAGGATGCTCGGACTTGGTCTCGTCACGGCACGGATCCTGCGGAACGGTTCTGGATGCGCCAGAAGGGGTGGAAGGAGTCGGCTCATGTCGGTTCGGCTATTATCCAGTCCTTGTCGATTGTACAGGAGGGAACGAAGAAGGAGCAGTGAGTGGGTGGGAGTCTAGGTTGGGATATATAGGGGGTTAGGTTAATGAGGACTTATGATGAGTTCGATTGTTTCTGTATCATATAGTGGTTGGTCAGAATATATTCGGTAGTTTTTACATAGGGACCACGGCTTTGTCGATACACAGGGGTGGGTTGGCGAGGAAGCTTCATGTCGAAGATATAATGCCAAGCATTCTCGTTTGTTACCTGACCTTCATGTATAGTTACATCACCTAGGAAGAACCCTTCTTCCTACAACCATCTTCATGGTCACATAATTCCTTTAATTAGTTCATCTGGTTCATGGTCCATCTCAACTCAACCTAGTACTTCCGCAGTGCTTCACTGGAGAATGAACTCATTGCAAAGCTCCTCGATATATGTATCTACACTCGTCGACCCTCATAGATCTGATTACACGCACACTTGGAACCCCAAATCAGCCCGGACAGAACGACAGCAATACAGACTGTTCTTCCCTAATGGAACAATCGACAAATATCTCGGAAACAATCCCACTTCAACAATTAGCGAAATAAAAAGTGTCCGCGTCCGCCGTTAGGTAGTAAACCAACTAAGTTAGTTAACAAGAACAAAATGATTAATTCCTTACGGGGTCCCCGGCGGAGATATAAACACCGTCGAACACTAAATAATTGCGCCAGCTCCGAGCGACATTGCTCACAATTGCACCTACTGAGCGCGATGGTTTGCCTAGTATGGAGGATGGAGGCGGTAATTGGGAGAACCGGAAGGAACCGTACGGTGTACTTAGATGCCAAGGCCCAAGAGCAAGAAGGTGCTCGGCTGCTTGTTCACCGTTGAGTCCAAGAATGTCGACTATTCCCGAGCTTGGATGCATACGGCCGGTTTATGCGCATAATATTAGTCACTCGGAGATAACCTAGCACCGTCGGGTTTTGGTACTGTTTGGTATTCCGGTATGGTAGCGGGTAACTGGGAGTATAGCCTGGTAATTTATTTATCAGACTTGAAGATGTAGTCTACACTGGTGTACATATTGATCGATATTCAAATCAATAAATACCGATTACCTCATGTTGCGTCCCCCTCGCATCAAGACTACTTACAGTTTGCAAGTTACAAGCTGAACACTCGGACCAAAGCGGTGACCAGGGTACATGCCGGCTGAGTCATCCAACGGTTGGGGGCGGAGATTGCGGAAGGATCTCATTGGCCGGTTTTAACCGGAGATGACTGGGCGTGCCTGGGCATTTTCACGTACGGTTGAGTGTGTTCTTTCAGTTTATCCCGGTCGGGAGAGTCATGGAGAATTACTCAGGGTGCTATACTAGGAGCGAACACTTCTATCATATTTGTAGAGTATACAATAGTTGACAGCAGGATGTCGGCGGTATTCTCTCCGGGCCCGCCCCAGTCGGGACGGCGGTGGCGTCATTCATTACCCCGAAGCGTAACCAATACGGTCACCGCCCAAATCCGGCGATTCCAACGACTTCCAGCCGTCGCGCCCCCCCAAAAATCCACTTGGGCTTTATTTTCCTTTTCTCACGTCACGCCCGAAGTTCTGCTGTCTGACTGATCTTTTAACTAATCTTCCCTTTCCCCCCCTCCCTTTTCTGCTTACGAGATCACCTCCCCCAGTTGCATTGCTAGTTATCACCAAAAGGCAAACCCGACTAGTCAGCATCATAAAACCCCCTCGAATTAACGACTAAGCTGCCCCGAGCATCACTGCTTACCTCATCGCCTCCCTCTCGTCGCCTTCTTCATCTATCTACACATTCTCCGCCGCTTTCTGGGAAACCGTGTAGTTTAACCGGTCGATCTTTGACTTCATCCTGTCCTCTGCGAATTGAACCCTGTCGCGTCTTTCTCCGGGCGCGTCTTTGTTGTCTCTTGCCATTCGATACTCTCGATGCAGCAGCCTACACTAGCCCCAGCGCCGCATCCAAGCATGCAAACTTCTGCTCAGGTAAGCAGCCTATGCTTGTCGCGGTTTGTCATCAGTTCGCCTGTCACCATCACCCTGTCGCAATGTATCCTGCCCGGCGACGCGATGTACCAGCGCGGATGTCTTTTGAACACGCCGTCGCCCCCTCAGTTGGCCGCGCGAATCGGGTTTCGCCTCCCTGGGTCTTCGCCATGGGTGACCAGTGCTTCCGCGCCGGTCGCGCGTCGATGGGCTTCATGCACTTTGTTTGTTCTTATGAAAGCGGTGACTAATGTTGTTGGCGTATCTTCTAGGATCATACTGATCAGAGTAAGTGTCCCTGATCGCGCGATCGTATCGAGTGCTGGAGAAAACGCGCGTTTTTTCTCGCGCCTCGCGCTTGCGAAGGCCGCGAACACGATCATGAAACCCACCTACATGGAGTACTGGAATGACATTGAAGCTAACCTTGGTTCTAGTGCTACATGATCAGCTGCTGGCTGCTCAGCAGCATTTGACACATCCCCAGCAAACGCGTCCTCAACCGCCGCCGCCACAACCCCCGCACATGCAACCCAACAACACGAGCCCGCGCGACCAAAACAATATTGATCCCGCTATATCAGGGGCGTCGATGCTCAGCGGGCCCCCGCAGACTCCTCCGCAACCAGAACCGACGGGGCCGGAGTCTCCGAAGACGTATGGCAAGCGACCGTTGTCTACTTCGAAGCGTGCTGCTCAGAACCGTGCCGCTCAGGTACGTGTCGCCGGACAAACATGGGGGTCTTGTGGAATCCAGCTAACTTGAGTAGAGAGCGTTCCGTCAACGGAAAGAAAGCTATATCCGCAAGCTGGAGGAGCAAGTCAAGGAGTACGACAACATGTCGGATGGTTTCAAGGCCCTGCAGGCGGAGAACTATCAGCTCCGCGAGTACATCATCAACTTGCAATCCCGGCTACTTGACTCCCAAGGAGAGGTCCCTGAGTTGCCCGGAAATATTGACCTGAGCCAGCCGCGGGCGGATGTGAATGTCACAACTGGCGCCGGCTCGGCGCAGGCTGCCAATGCCTCTTCTGGCGCTCAGCAAACCCAGCCCAATCAGAACCAGGCGGCCGGATCTAATGATGATATGAACTCTTTGAACCGGATAGCGAGTGCCGGCCTCGGGATGCGCAAGCACCCCAACGAGGAAGCCAACTACCTTGGGAACAACTTTGGAGTCCGGCGCCCTCGGGCGGACGAGAACCAACCGGACGGTTCAGAAGTGACCAAGACGGAGCCTTCACACGGGCTCCCTATCGTGTCATGAACGGAGCTAATATTCACCCGTCCTCTCAACCAACTGTGATCTGCTTCCAGTTCCCCGCGTGATGCTATGATTAGGACCTGCTATTCCGTTTTCCTCCCTATAACCGTGTGCTTTCATGTTTCTGTTCTTTTCCTTTTGGTGTACGGCGCGATACTTGCTGGGTTTAGTTTCTGGCCTTGGAGAGAAGGGGCGGTGTTCTGCGTTCTTCTACTCGGGTTTGCAGTGCCACTCACTTTGTGATTTAGACATTTGATGGGCAGAGGATGGTCATTCCATAACTCTCTCTATAGAGTGATCTTCTTCTTGCGGAACCCTCATACAATACCCCGACGACGGTGGTCGCAGAGTACCAGCCTCTTAGCTACTGTTTTATCCCCCTGTTTCATTTTTTCTTTTCTTTTTGTTGTCGGCCTCTGATACGTTACGAGCCGTTTCGATTTTTACACTAAATCCACATCTACCTTGTTCTACTTGACGTGTGCACGTGCAATTAGGTACCATCCGCTTGATTTCAACATATCAATCAATGAATCAGTTTATATTGTGAAATGTTGAAGAATATTAGTAAAGTTGTAGAACTAGAACACTCTAAATCCAGCAGAATAAACAAAGACACCTTTATAATAGCACCCTAAACTAGGTGAATCAAACCAAGAGAAAATCAGAGAAAGAAATGAAAAAAAAAAAAAAAAAAAAATCACAATCTATGAGCAACACCTACACAACACACCACACGACTCACAACCAAAACCATAATTTTAACTCCCTGAAAGCAGAAACCAACCAGATCTCACAGCATCCCAACAACGGCCAATACCTTTATATACACGCCGAAACCGACACAGACCGACAGGGTTTTCTTGTCGAGCAGCCATGCGAGGCCGTCGAAGAGAGCGATGCCGATGGCTAGACCCGTCGTGAGCGTCGGATAGGGGTTTGGGGGATGTTTGTTGTTGGGTAGGGGATTGGTAGATGGCGTTTTGATGGGTTGGGGGAGGGTGAGGTGTTTGGTGTTAATGGGTAGAGGTTCTTGGAGTTGGTTTGTGTGTAGATGGGGGGTGGGGTTGTTGTTGTTCTTTTTGTCATCGTTGTTGTTGATGATGATGTGGTTCTTCATGGGTGGCTCTTGCAGGGCCATGGAAAGGAGCTCGCTGGATCGCTTTAGGGATTCGAGAGAGGAGGTGGATGAGTATGGGGATGGGAAGGAGTGAGTGGATGAGGAGGAGGAGGAGGAGGCGGAGGAAGGGGAGGAATGAGGTGAAGTAGATGCGAGGTCTTCTGACTCGTCATCAGCCATTTCGTGGATGTCAGTGATGATGGATACTTTCTTTTCATCTTCGATGGGTTGGATGATGGTTGTCACGTCTGGAAGTTGCGTTGTGGGTTTGTTGATATCCACATTGACGTTGATGTCGATTTCCTTTGCTGTCTTGGTAGATGTCTCCACCGCATCTTCGTGGATGGGGACAGGACGGACAATATCCGCGGGTTTCGAAGTCAGGGGAGATTCTTCGATCTCGACCTTGACCTCCCTGGCCATCTTGTTTGATGCGTGTGTCCTGCTCTTCTCATCACCGGCACGCCTGATGTCCAGACCAATCTGCTTAATCTGCGCCACCAGGGCACCTTTCACCTTCTCCTTCATCTCGCCCACGTCTTCCTCGCTGTCTGTCTCATCCCCACCATAATCCATGAGCCTCACCCCGTCCATGTACTCATCAACCACACGCTTTGTCTTCCTCTCCTCAACAACCACCCCCTCCAAGAGCGCTGTCTGCTTCTGGATAGGAGCCACAACTGACGACGCCGACGGCCGCTCTCGCGCAGGCACAATGGCCTTCAACTCCCGAAGAAGACTAGCCTTCTGCTCTTCTTTCTGGGCGGTTGTTGCTTCCTCAAAGTCGGTATCGTCTTCCGGGGGCTCCATACGTCGCAGCTTCTGCATGTATGCGTCAATCATACGGGTTCTGTCTTCGAAATATTGACGAGAGGGAGATGCCGTTATGGAGCGGTTGACTTTGGGAATGGGAGGAGGAGGAGGAGCGGAAGTCGAGGACGAAGCTTTGACTCCGTAGGTGCTGGTGCTGCTGCTGATACCCTGAGAGTCTCTTTTGATGATTGCTTCGGGGTGCACTTTGGTGTGGTTGAGTCTCGTGGGCATCACGACTCGCCGGGGGCGGGAGGTTCGTGCGAACATTTCGGATGAGGGGTCTGTTTCTGGTTCTGCGTTTGCTTCTGTAGAGACAGAAGGAGGGGTGGAAGAGGAATGAGTGAAAGAAGAATTGGGCTGGATAGGAAGACAAGTATCTCTATGTGGTTGAACCTGGGTCTGAGCCTGAGCCTGAACTTGCAACTGAGATCGACTGATCTGTTCACGATCACTGTGAAGATAGATAGGAGGAGAATCTCTTAAGTTTGAAATCGGCAGAGACACCTCAACATCATGGTCCCTTTTATGCCAAACCTGAGCAACAGGAGGAGCCTGGACTGCTGCTGCTGCCGCCGCAAAATACCGGTAAATTTGGGCCTTCCACTGTCCGGAGACTGCCGGTGCTTGATCCTGGTGCCACCTTCTACAGAGGAGCAAGAACGCGATAGATTCCAGTATCTCGTCGATGCGGTACCCCGCGTAGAGCTGTTTATTGGCTTGTTCCAGTAAATCGCTGGCTTCGGCGCGACTTGCGGCACTGGCAACTAGGCGACACCTGCGACCTGCTGTTTTGGCCCAGCCGATGCATTGTGCATCATGGTTTGGGTGGATGTTGATGATTTGGGCGAGGTGGAGGGGTGGGTAGGCCATCGGTAGAATGTGATGGGCTACAGGTGTTAATTGGAAAATAGAAGTTTGGGTTATCTGTGCTATAGGTAATCAAGCTGAATAAGGAGATATATAGGTGAAGAAAATGACTGTCGACTTTACTGGCATTCGATGGTGCCGTTTCTTGACCCTTTCATCTACAATAGTAGAGGGTTAAAGGACCATTTTATATTCATATTCTTCTACAGAAAGAAACGCCTATGATGGTCGCCGAACCACTGCGCTACCACACCCATGTGGCTATGGCCACGACAGCCTGGACATGCCCCACCTTTTACAAAAGTACAAATCACTTCATCGAGTAGGGTGGTATTCGAGGCTGAGTACTGTGTTTCCCGAGAGGGGTAGGCAAGAGGGACATACATCGTCGGACCCCCTGTTCCAAGAACGCCACGGAGTACATTCAGAGCCAAATATAACGCGCTTTTCCTGATAGCACAGCCCATCTTCGTCCTTCTCGGATGCAAACGTGATCGCTTAGGGAGGACAATCGACCAGGATCCTCGAGTATGCGGATTCTCATTGGCGCCGGCATGGCTTTGGATGGTGTGGTGGATTTGATGCACTTGCGGCATCTAGCATGGCTCGAAGCGTCTCTCGAGGATTGTTTCAATGGCAGCCTACGAATGTCCCGTTTCATTACTGGTCCACTGTTGGTCTGGATCAGATGCGATAATACTATCTCGTCGAGACGCTCATTGGATCGATCCTGGAGTTACGCGCCCAGCTCTAGGCTCCATCGTTGAATCCCTACCGGAACGGTAACGAGGCTGGCATTTCCGTAAAAGCCTGTGCCTGTGGCTATGATGGGGACGAACTGTGGCTGGAGCTGGACATGGAGACGCTGGTGCCTGTGGATGGGCTTGGATTGTTGTCTCGGATGAGAAGATGGGCCTCTGAAGGATAAGTCGGAAAGTGTAGGTATAGGACGGCTTAGAAGACCGATCATGACTTAGATGGAGATTATCTGTAGAATTATCTGTAGGGGAACTGATAAGAACCAGGTCGAACAGAAAACTCCTGTATACATCTCGGACCTACTCATGATGATATCACGCTCCAGTCCCTACACTCTAATATAGAATGCACTGGTTCTGCCCTAAAGGAATACCATTAAAGCCATTACCCCTGAAACATGCATTGAAAACCAGACAAGGAGTGCATGGCCGGACAAAGCAGCTCACAGATTATTTGGCGGTGATAAGATCAACGGTCGGGCTTAAGCGGGAGAGTCCATTTTGTTTCTGACCTTGTCGATCGATCCATTATTTATCCATTTGTTTACCCCACTACCTACTGTGATCGGTTAGGTCCTCTTCTCTCAAAAGCATCCACTACCTCATCTCCTTCCACCTTTGTCCTTATTCTTCCTACTCTGTATGCGTTCGTTCACTGCCGCCTGAAGGAAGCAGTTAGGATGACCACCAGCTCAACGGCCAAGAATGTGCCCGTCTATCAGCCTCGGAACTACCAGCTGGAGATGTTTGAGGCGAGCATGAAGGAGAACATTATTGTTGCAGTATGTGAACGCTCCTTTTTATATGATGTATTCAATTTCTGTGAAGTGTTAGCTAATCAATAAATCTAGATGGATACAGGAAGTGGAAAAACTAACATGTATGTATTTTATTTGTTCCTGGTCGCACCTTGTCTACTATGAACTGTCGTGAACTGACATATCTACCCACAGAGCTCTGCTGCGAATCAAAGGAGAGCTAGAGAGTGGCAGTCCAGGAAAGGTATGTTCTTACTAGACCTAGTTGTTATACTGAGTTTGCTCACAATCTGTCTCAGCTTATCTGGTTCCTTGCGCCCACGGTCGCATTGTGTGGTCAACAGCACAAAGTCATCACCGACAATATTCCAGCCGTTCGTACAAGAACGCTGACCGGTGCAGACAAAGTGGAACTCTGGACTGACCAAACCATATGGGATGGAGTATTGAAGGGCATGCAGGTTGTGGTCTCGACCTTTGCGGTCCTGGCAGATGCGATGACCCACGGCTTTGTGAGGATCTCTCAACTGGGCCTGATTATATTCGACGAAGGTTTGCGCTGCCCGAATTGCACACATGTTTGGAACATCGCTGACAGTTGTTTGTTTATAGCCCACCATTGTATGCGTCGTCACCCCGCAAACAAGATTATGCAGGAGTTCTATCATCCCACTCTGGCTAGATTAGGCCGGGGTGCTGTCCCTCGGATTATGGGACTCACGGCTAGTCCGGTGGTCAGATCGAATCAAATAGATTTACGGTGGGTGCAAATGTCTCGATTGTGTATTTGGTATCGGCACTGACTTATCTAGCACGATCGAGTCGAATCTCGACTCAAAATGCAGGACACCCCGGATTCATCGACAAGAGCTCCTCAAATATACCCATAGACCCGAAATGCGACAGATTTGGTACCACCCCCTAGACATCAAAGGAGCCCACGGCACCAAGACTTTGAACGCCCTTGAATATGCGTGGGAGACCCTGGACCTCTATGAAGATCCGTACGTCCAGGAGCTTCAACATAACCCTTATGAGCAAGACAAGCTGCACAAAACGCTCCTATCTCGCAAGACGTACTGCAACGAGCAGATCAAAAAGCTACTCGATCGCAGCAGCAGCCTCTTCCATGAGCTGGGGGGATGGGCCGCTGACTATTACATACACGAATCTAAGAGACAGGTGCTATCAAAGATATATGAATCGTCTATGATGACGGACTGGGTAGACGCTGAGAAGGATTACATCATTGATTTCATGAACCGCCTGCCTGAGCCAGATATCTCGCTGGATGACTTTCGTCTCTCGCCCAAAATGGAGGCCTTGATCGAGTTTTTGGATACTATGAACGACCCGGAGTTCTCGGGTATCATCTTTGTCAAGCAAAGAGTGACGGTCAGCGTCATGGAGAGGCTATTGTCCGTCCATCCGGCCACTCGATCTCGCTTTCGATGTGCTCCCTATGTTGGCTGGTCCAACAGCGGCACGCGCAAAGAGATCATCGGCGAGCTACTCTCCCTGAAGTCGCAGCAGAACACACTGGATGAGTTCCGCGATGGGCGCAAAAACCTCATCATTGCTACTGACGTCTTAGAAGAGGGGATCGACATCAGTGCTTGTAAGGCTGTCGTCTGCTATGACAAACCACCTAATCTGAAGTCTTTTGTGCAGCGTCGAGGACGTGCTCGACAGAAGCAATCGGTGTACGGAATCCTGCTTTCGAAGGTTGACGAATCTGGAGACTTTGCGAAGTGGCAGGGCCTAGAGAAGGCAATGATCGAGGCTTATCAGGACGAGGAGAGACTTCTCCAGGAGGCTCGATTCCTAGAAGAGCTGGATGAGGACGTGGGTGGAAGACTAATGGTCCAGTCTACTGGGTAAGTGAATACCAACCCGAGTTGCCATCCAATTGTGAAGTTCTCTATCTGCTAACATGTGGCTAGTGCTGTTCTGACCGCCGACGTTGCGTGCGCTCATCTCAACCACTTCTGCGCCGTCCTCCCTCGCGAGACGTACGTTGACAACGCACCTAAATTCTCCTTTGAGATGAACCAGTTCGGCAAGCTGCAAGCCACAGTCACCCTACCGAACTGCGTGCATCCTGCAGTCCGTCGCATTTCCGGCGAACAGTGGTGGGGATCGGAGCGAGCAGCGGTCAAGGAAACCTCGTTCCTGGCGTACAAAGCCCTCTACGAATTCGGCCTGGTGACCGACAACCTCCTCCCGTTGACCAAGAAGCCGGAACTCACACAGTTTGAGATGCGCGAGATACCAGCTGTGGTAGAAGTGTCGGAACAGTACGACCCCTGGGCGCACTGGGCTTCTTCCTGGTCGTCCCCTGACATCCATCAGACACGCATCCACGTGCGACTAAATCAAGAAGACAGCCACGAGCTGTATATCAAATTTACTGCACCGGTTGCTTTGCTCCCTATGTCGCCATTGGAGCTATATTGGAACAGTGACATGACATTTATCTTGTCGTTTGATACCCCGGCGCGAATGCCCGCGACACCAGCCGATGTTGTGGAGAAGATGAGAGAGGCCACTGCGGTGTATCTTCAGGCCATTTCGAGGGATCTAGGACCCGAACGTGACTTTGTGGCGTTGTTTGGACCGGACTTGCCTCATGATGAACTGGAAGAGTGGCTCCACGAAAACCAGGGGAAGGAGCCCGCTCACGATGCCTTCAATTGCAATCGGGAGGCGGTGCTCATGGGCATTGTTCGAGACAAAGCGCACTACGGCGATCTATACGGATTCCTGAGATGGACATCATCGGACGAGGATCCTGGAACTCTCACTCTCGAGTGTGAGACGTTTCCACGACGCCGAAATCTTCTACATCGACAGACTCTGGCTGTTAATAAACCTGCGGTCCTGGACAAGCCTGATAGCCGGGATGACTCCGATGCAGTTGTGAAGTCGTACATTCTCTCTGCGCAAGACTGCACTGTGGATAAGCTCCCTCTCACGGATGCCGTCTTTGGATTATTCATCTCTGCCATCCTGCATCGGTTGGAGACACATATGATTGCAACCAGCCTGAACGAGACTATTCTGTATAACCTCGGATTCGAAGCCATGGAGAATATCCTCACGGCCATCACTGCACCCTCCGCGCAAGCCTCGACAAATTATCAGCGGTACGAGTTCCTCGGAGACTCCATCCTCAAGTACATCGTCAGCTGCCGGCTGTTCTATGAGCACGGCAACTGGCACGAAGGCTATCTAAGCGAAAGGCGCGACTCAATCGTGAACAACTCCCGTCTTGCACAGGCAGCTCTTGAGCTGGGACTTGACTCCTTCATCCTCACCAAGAGCTTCACACCACGCCATTGGAAGGCGCCGCTGATCTCCGAAAAGACCACCCACATCGCTGCCCAGCGAAACATGTCCAGCAAGATGCTCGCCGACGTCGTCGAAGCCCTGATCGGCGCTGCATTCATTGAAGGCGGGTTCTTCCAAGCTGAAGCCTGCATCCATCGCTTCCTGCCAGAAGTCACACCCCCCAATCCTACCCCTACTCCCAATCCCTACCCGGACCCTGACCCCCATAGCACCCACAACATAGACGGCAATACCAGCAATCCCCGTCACATAATGTACAACCCCCTCCAAGAACAACTCGGCTACCGCTTCAACTCCACCATTCTCCTCTTCGAAGCCCTCACCCACCCCTCGTGCCAACACGACACCTTCACGCAATCGTACCAACGCCTCGAATTCCTCGGCGACGCCATCCTCGACATGCTCCTCGTGCCCACCATCTTCCAGCACGCCCCGCACCGCTTCACCCCCGGCGACATGACCCGCATCAAGCACGCCGTCGTAAACGCTAACCTCCTCGCCTTCCTGTGCATGGAATTCGCCGTGCCCCGCGAATCCACCGACGTCGCGCAATCACCCAAAGGAGGCTTCACGCTCCACTCGACAAACACGCCCGTCGAGTTGTGGCGCTTCATGCGCTGCGATGGCGCGGAGATGAGACGTGCGCGAGACCGTGCATTGGCTCGATATATGACGTTGAGGGAGGATATCATCACTGCTCTAAACTCCGGGACCCATTATCCGTGGGAAGCGCTGGCGGGTCTCAATGCGGATAAGTTCTTCTCCGACGTCGTGGAGAGTATACTAGGTGCGATATTCGTGGATTCGGGTGGTGACTTGGATGCGTGTGGGCGGTTCGTCGAGCGGATTGGTTTGTTGCCGTATCTGCGGAGAATGCTGAGTGATGGGGTCGTGGTCATGCATCCGAAGAATCGCGTGTTTCAGATGGTCAGGGAGGAGGTGAAGTTTAGTGTGAAGAGGCTGCAGGGGCAGATGGGTGAGGATGCGTCGTATCGGTGTGTGGTGACGGTGGATGGGGTGGAGGTTGTTATGGTGGAGGGCTGTTTGTCGGCGGAGGAGGCGGAGGTGAGGGCTGCGAATCGGGTGATGGAGGCTTTGGGATAGCACTTCTTTGCCTGGACTTTAGAGGGTGGATTGATTATGGATGTGTACTGGCATCTAGAGAGTTCTTTGGTTGATGATTTATGATGGTTGGGTATGGAAAAGTATGGACTAGATGATGTAGATCGCCATGCGATACGAGGTGATGATATGCATTCATGAATGAATAATGATAAATTTGAACGTGAACTGAGCCATTGTGTCCACTAATATCAACAATAACTTGATGTAATTGAACATGACATGGTTTCATGATACCCTAAGAAAAACAGGAAATGAATGGTACTGGGTGACGTATAGTCTACAAAACATAAAGAAACGCTAGTAATGAGAGACAGAATGCACCAAATGGAATGTTACACAACATGCTCAAATCGCTCATTTCTTCTTCTTGCTGCCCTTGGGACGTCCTCGGGTTGCTTTCGGCTTAGGCTCCGGCTCCGGTTCAGGTTCAGGAACAACTTCTTCCCCTTCCTCTTCCTCCTTTCCAACCGGAACCTCGCCATCAGAGCTTCGCGATCCCGCGTCATCCTCGCTAGCTGCGACCATCACACCTTCATCGGTGGCGCCGCCCCCCGAGGAAGCCGTCTCGGGATCAGCCTTAGGAGCGGATACCCATGATCTCTGCGTAGCTGGCCTGCGAATCCCAGCCAGAACCTTCTTGGTCTCGCTTTCCTCGCCGTTCCACGATCCGCAGCTGCCACAGCGCCAACGGCCAAGTTCTTCCAGTGTCTTGATGCCCGGAGGTGCCTGGCCGTTCACAAGTCGGCAGGTGGCGCAAATCAACGCGATCCGGTTCTTGGGCTGTGTCTCGTCCTCGCCCAAGAGCACGTCCAACAAGCGATCATACCAATGGGTTTGCTCGACGTATTGCGGCGCACTGGAGAACGCATTGGGAGCGAATCCGGGTTCGTCGAATGCGGAAGGCGGCGGCGGGGACTGCGGTTGCGGGGTGTCTGCAGCCTGCAAGGGGGAGCCAGCATACGGGGACGGAGGCTGCAGGTCGGGCGAGGGAGCGGGTTGAGGCGATTGGGGAGGGGTCGGTCGTGGGATGTTGGCCGTCGGAGGAGGCGCGAGGCCGGTTCGCTGGATCGGGGCCGGAGGGTTCGCGGGCTTGTTGCGCTTGGCTTCCGACTTGCGTTTCTCGGTGCCAGGTTTGCTGGCGCGTTCGGGTGTCGGCGACTCCCCCGCGTATTTCTCCAGCAGCTGCTGAGTCGAATTGTACTTCGTAGCGACCTTGAGCTTTTCGATTGTTTCGTCGCGCTGTTTCTGGAGGTCATCCAGATACCGTTGCGATTTGTTAATGCGGTAGTCGAAATATTTGCTGGCTGCTGCGCGAACGACGTAGATCCTAAGGCACCAGAGTTGTTAGACACAGTCGTTATGGAAGAAACGATGAAGAAACCATACAAAACGGGACCGCCGGCGATCGCCGAGTATTCCTTCACACCCCAGTTCTCCCATCCTAAAACGAGGGCCAAGATGATCGAGTAGAGCAGATAAGCGAAGGTGGTGTACAGAGTCCAAAGGGCTTTGAAACGACGGGCATTTTGGCGGTGAGTATCCAACCGAGAGGTGGTTTGGGCAATTTTGGTCGAAAGAGTGGAAAGGGCCTTCTCGAATGAAGCCGGAGAGTTATCTTCTCCCTATCGCATCGCACCAATGAGTTAACCTGGATCGTGTGCAAAGCCACCAGAGTGGCGGGCCTACCTTGAAGGGCCACAGGGACACCATGTCCAACGGTGTTTGTGGAGGAGTAGAGCTAAATCTGATTGAAGGAGCTTAGAAAGTCGTGCTCCCGAACATCCTCAAGCGAGCGATAAAGAGGGATTTTGCAATCCCCTGGAACAGTCGACCGGAAAGGGGATGGTGGAGGAAGAGAAGAGGCGGCGGAGAGGGCGAGGCGAGAGGGCAGAAGGCGATGCTCAACGTCAGCTGCCCGCACGGACCACCCGTCCGTCTGTCACTTGCCGCCGTCTGGACTCTCCCCTTCTCTTTCCTTTCTCCCCTGCTCTCGACTCCCCATTTCCACTAGTTATCCCCATCCCCTTTCTTCGTTTCTGTACAACAAGAATAGGCCGACTCTTTGTGAGAACATCCCTATACAGTCAGAGATCTCCGTCTCCTTCATGGAACCAAGCCATTGTGTCCATTGACCTAGCATGTCCGTACTGTATGTACAAGAACCAAATACAATCAAAAGCGCTGGTCTACTTCACATGGCAGGCAGTGGTCAAAGACACCTTCTCAACCTCGGTATCTCAATTCGTTTTCTCGGTTGAAATTTCCTACAGTAGCAGCTCTAAGTGCGTTTGAATCACAGTCATGACGACACATTGTCCATGGCCTCAATTGTAGATCCTCATACTATTTGACGGGCCCGGCGGAGTTGGTACCAATTTCCAACCCCTTTTACTGTGAATTCCAAATTCACAGTGTCTCATTTTGCGCTCGAGTCCTTTCATCTACTGAAGGCTAATCGATTCTTCCACAGTGGATCTGCTCAAGGAACAAAGAAGATAGGAAGCTAAAACCGCCCTCGAGCGAGTGACGGGTACTCGCCTGTGCTCTAGAACGCCACCGTCATGGGGGTTGAGAGGCACCTCACAACCGTGGGAGGGGAAAAGTGACCTATCCGTTGATACACCGTGTTTCTTTGTTCTCATTTCTCTACACCTCGGAGTCCAGCTCTGGAGACTGGGTCTTGTCATTGGTTAAGCTCTCCTGACTGGCGCTAACCATGGTTCGACGGCTCGCTTTTCACGCAGGGGGGAAACCGATTCCTCCCACGCGTCGTTGCTGGTGACACACTCACGTTATACAGATCAGAGCCTCATATAGACGGACTATATACCATGTCCTTCGTGTGCAACAATGACTCGTGTTGCTCAGGTTGCTAGACCTGTCCTGAATCCGCAATTTCTTTTTTATTCTCTCGTCATGTTATCACATATAAAATTGGCTGTTGGAATTAAGGAGCGTGCAAACGCCCAACTAATGATACAGACCACTCACTGTGCCATCGGTCTCCGGTAATATAATGTTGGGCCAATCAAAGGGAGGTGGCCCTGAGCTGGAACCATGTCCAAGTTGACATCGAGGCGCAGACGCAAACCAAATTCGCTTGCTACAATTTGGTGTGTGCTCCATGTTAACCCGCTGAAGAGATCGGCCGAGCAAACGTTCTGGGCCTTTCCATAAGCAAAGGTGTAGAGGCTCGTGCTATACATGATATGGATCGATATCAGCTGCGTCTGCCTGGCCAATCCAATTCCTTGGCTTGGACAACCGATTAAGTTTTGGCGTTGTTTTGGTACTTTTTCAATCCCGTACCCATACATATTGTCCAGGACGAACACACCACCCCTGCTTTGTTTTCAAATTCTATATCGTCGTCGTCTTCCTTCTCCTGCTCCTATGCTCGAATCCCTGTTGCCAGTATGTGTGCTATACACGTTTAATCCATATCATCAACAAGACCAGATTCCAATTTCTTGTCTCAAGAGAGCAAATGCTCCAACCAATATGGCTGGAAAACCCACTGCACAGTCCATGGACGTGACTGAGGGCATCACCCTGCTACTCGTGTCATTCATGTCCATAGCTCTATACAATGCCCTCGAACTCTTCTTCTGGATTTTTGACTTCTTCAAGCGCCGCCGCGGCTGCTACTTCTGGAGCATGATTCTCAGCGCCTTCGGCATCCTTATGTATACCACCGCCCAGGTGATCTTCTTCTTCAACCTCGCTCCCCATACCGCATGGGCCCCCCTAATCTCCATCGGCTATCTCATCATGTCCACTTCCCTCGTCATGGTTCTCTACTCCCGGCTCCACCTCGTCACCAGCGATCGTATCGCCCGCTGCGTCCTCTGGATGGTCATCATCACCACACTAGTCTTCCCACTCCCCATGCAGCTCCTCTTCCTCATCGGCATCTTCAAGCACAGCATGCGCGTCCTCGACGTCAGTCTAATCTACGAACGCCTCGTCATCACCGTCTCCTGTGCCCGTGAATACATCATCCTCGGTATCTACAACTTCGAAGCATTCCGGAACCTCAAACACGTCATCGCCATCAAGGGCTCACAGGGCCGAAAGGTCCGCCGGATCCTCATCGCAACCACCTTCATCATCGTCTGCCTCGACACGGCCCTCCTCGTCACGGAGTTCCAAGACCGCCGCGCCATCAAAATGACCTACAGCGCCTTCTCTATCAGCATCAAGCTAAAGATGGAATTTGCTATCCTGAACAAACTCATCAACCTCGTTCAGAGCCCTGCCTTCTCGGGTGGCCTTTCTTCTGACCCTCCGTCTTCTGACCAACAACCCATCCATTCACACTCTGATACTCATTCTCACGCTCCTTCCCGTGCCCATTCTCTTGCCCATTCTTTTGCTCGTTCATGGAATCCCTTCCGGCGTGGCGATTCTCGTACCTCTACTTCGCGTGTCGGGAATGGCCTGTTTGCGGAGGAATCAGGCCCCAATGGTGCCGGACTGACGCGACAAGCCACGCTCGACGAGTATCACGCGCCTATGAACGCGCACATCGGCGATCATCATCATCACCACCATCACGTCCCGGCACGCACGTCATCGTGGGACGAGCTGGTTCAGGAGCCTTGCACGGAGCTGTCGTCCGGTTCCGGTGGTAAGGGGACGGCGGTGGTAAGTCAGGAGAGTAAGGAGGTGTGAAGGTCGGGTGGTGAGTGAGTGATGCCTCAATACCATCATCGTCGTCGTTGTCATAAACAATCCCCTTGATCGATCTCGTCGCCGTCGTTGACGCAAGCATCACAATGCTCACGAGACCTTGGATAAGTGAGGTAAACATCACATGAGACCCTCCTGTCTAGTTATTTTATATTTTAGGCGTTTGATCAAGCGATGGGTTCTGAATGGGGAGGCAGAAGGGAAAGGGAGACCAGGATCCTACCTTGGGATCTCCAAGCCTTAAGTCATCGAATCGAAGACCCAAGATCCAGGATTCAGGACATGCCTGACGAAGTGAAGGGGGAAAGGAGGGATGGCGAGAAGGATGGAGTGGAGGGAGCGAGGGAGCGAGTGTGTTTTCCATTCCTATATGTGACCATAGTATATGTAGTATATAGCCAATAATTGTTTCTAAAAAGTATCTCTCCCTTGTCTTATTCATTTTATTTCTTTATTCAAGTCCCGCCCCCATATATATGCAAGATGTACATCCCCGTCCTGCCACATACAGCGCCTTGTAATCTAATCTAATCCCTAAATAGAAAATTCTTTTCAATATCTACACTTCCAGGTTCCATTTCGAATCATGTTAACTCTTTATTTATCTTTTACAAGGGAGTAGAAGTGAAAGGAGTACTGGGTCTGTAACAGTAGTAGTACTCAAATCACCGCTACGAATGTCTCTTCTCTTCTCTTCTCTTCTCTTCTCTTCTCTTCTCTTCTCTTCCTCATGAGTCGGACATAGTTAATTAATTAAACTATGGACGAACCGATGATGCACGAGATAATTAAAAAGAAAAAATGAAGAGTTAGAACATTCAGTCAACCGAGTCTGTAAGAAATTAGATAATGGTGAATTTTTTATTTTTTTTTTTTTAGAAAAAAAAAGAAAAGAAAAAGAAAAAAGAGGACTGTCCTCCTAGGTGCTGCATACCAATCAATACACAACTACAGTACATCGCGAAATGCTCAAATAGTTATTGAATGCCTCCCTCACAATCAGCAATACGTAGCTAGGTAGCAAGGTTGGGTCAAGACTCATCCCTGTCACAATACTTCGTAGATCCCTACGTTTGTACAACACAACAAAGTTTAATCAAGAATGAATTGAATATACACAAGTACCCCTAAATATGATATCACATCATGCTAGGCTTTCGACTCCCGTAGAAAACCTCGTTCGTCTATAGTAGCTATGGAACAACAAAACAGAAAAGAGTCTCTCTTCGGACGTCAAATAAACAAATATAACTAGTGGGGTATATTTTGAAAATGAATAAGAAAGAAAAAACGCATATCTCACTCATGCTAGAGATGGAATGGAAAAAATATCATCAGAATATGCCACCATGAAAAGCCAATTCCCATACCGTATACAAGGGCTCGTTAATCTTTGACGCCATGAAGAAGACCAAAATTCAACAGATAAAAAAAATATGTGATGTGTGAGATACTTTTATCACGGCATCAGAGCGTGACAGGACTTTATTTCGTTTCTCGTTCGGTAAACCAGCCACCGTTTTCCCAGTAGCCGGGCTGGTAGGTTGCACTGTTTCGAGCGTCGTCAAGTTGAAGACCGTCAAACAGGAAGTTCAGTCGAGTGAAATTGATGGGTTTCATGATCCAGCCGTCAAAGCCAGTGTCGATATATGATTGTGAATCTTTCTCTAGAAGAGAGGCGGAGACAGCGAAGATCGGGACTCGACCGTTCCGTTTCGAGATATAGGAGAGATTAGATAGGTCATCTGCCGAAGACTCTTTCTCAAACTCGCGGATCATTTGAGTCGATTTCATGCCGTCCACAATGGGCATCTATCAGAAGTCAACATTAGTAACGGGTCTCAAAGTGTAGATGAACTCAACATACCTGGATGTCCATTAAGATGACGTCATATGCTGCAGGATCGGCACGATACGCAGCGGCACAATCTTCGCCGTTCAGAGTCAATTGCATGGTATGACCCATCTTATTCAGTCGCTTCTGCAGGATCTTGCCATTGATCGGATCATCCTCTGCGACAAGTACGCGGAGAGTTCGGGTGAGGGACGACGGATCTGACGCGGGCGCGGGGGACTCGACGGGCTTTTCGTTCCGCTGAGTTTCTGGGGTTTGCTCGACCGTTGGTGGTTCATCTTGTTCGTGAAGCGCAATCTGAGAGGTGACCGGAGGCACGCCAGGCTCTTCGGTAGCGGGCTGTGGATCCTGAGTAGCAGGCTCTTGGGGGATTGGCGCTTCGTCGGTGGGCGGAACATCATTATCTTGTTCTTGCGGCGCATTTTCGGGCTCACCCTGCGCCTCATCTTTGCTTGGCGTCGCCTCGGTTGTTGCTGAGTCTTCTGGCAACTTGGTAACCGAGCCGGATTCGCTTTTCGAGCTCTTCAGACTTCTCCCGCTGTACTGACTAGCGCCACTGTGCCTTTTCTCGCTGGGGGGAGACCGTCCGTCCACGAGAATAAACTCCTCTTTCGACTGCAGCGGAGTCTTTGGCTCGATCGTGCAAATCGGTATGTGAGATTCCCGGCGACTGGACGGGGGCGCACCTTCTGGGATTGTGAACTGAAGCGAAATCTGGAAACGGCTGCCTTTGCCCTCTTCTGATCGAACACTAAGTTGGCCATGCATGTTACGAACAATCCGAGACACCAACGCGAGCCCCAGGCCCAAAACCCGCTTTTCCTGCTCCTCCATGAGCGCATCCAGAGACTTTTCTTCTTCTCGATCGAACATGTCAAGATCGTTCACTTCAGATATTTGCTCCAGTTCTTGGAAAAGCGTCTCGAGGGTGTCATGGGACATCCCAGAGCCTGTGTCGTGGACCACTATCTGTACCACAGCAGTGCCTGGATCGGATTGTCCAGGCGCACGAGATATTTCCACGGTGACACCCCCTGCAGATGTATGCTGAACTGCATTAGAGATCAAATTCGTAATGGACTGTCTGACACGCCTCTGATCTCCCATTACAACCTTGGGAAGCCCTGGGTGTTGCAGAACGGTGTAGTTAATATCCTTTCGGCGAGTTTCCGACTGGAACATGTCAGTTGCCTCTCTGAAAGTCAATGGCAGGTCGAACGATTCATCCTTGATCAAATTTTGTCCCTTTTCGGCATTGGTTAGGTCAAGGAGATCGTTGATAACATAGATGAGTGACTTGGAGGCCGAATGAGATTTGGTGAGGTTCTCGCGTGTCTCGTTGTCAAGGGTACCCTCCAAAGCGATTTCCAGATAATTGATCACAGCATTCAATGGGGTGCGGACTTCGTGAGCAGAATTGGCCAATAGAAGCTTCGTCAATTGCGAGTCTTGCAGAGCGGCCTCGTTCTGTCGCCACACTTTGATGAACTTGCCGTACACCAGACACATGATTGCTGCAGTCTCCACCTCTGACTCCGTCCATTCCCGAGACTGATCCAAAACCGTTTCTTTCCATGTCTGGAAACTGCCGCGTGGCTCCAAATGGCCCTCGGCGAACTTCTTCTCGTAGGGATTGCCGCCCCATTTGATTTCGGTTAGCTGCCCTCGACGAAAGAAGACAATAAAGTCCATACCGTCCGTTGATAATGGCACATACAGCATTCCGGAAATGGTCTTGAATCCGGGTTGGAAATGCAGGTCGGGGAAGTCCCTCTTCACATTATGGGAAGCGAGGACGGAATTGAACTTGCGGACTTTGAGATATTCCAGCAGGGCTAAAACTTCCTGTGAACGCGTTGATCCACCCAGTGTTTTGATTTCTTCTCGGATGGACAGAGCGGCATAGTCTGCATTGAATAGCTTCAGCAAATCATCCGACGACGCAATTATATATCCCGAAGGGTTTGCGTCCGCGGGAACGGTGTTGATGAGTTTGCGGGCCTGCAAACGAGAGGCATAGGACAGACGCTCAATGTTTCGTGACAGAGTGTCGCCAATCAAGCGGCACATTTTTCGGAGCGGGAAGGAGACCCGCATGCCATGATCACCGTGCGTATGTAACGAAATCAAGCCCCAGAGTGCGTGCGGCCCGTCAATACTAATTGACATGGATGCGCGGACCCCCATATTTGCCAAGTATTTGACATGAATGGGCGACATGGCACGCAGGTACGAGTGTGTCATGTCCAGCGGACGCTCCAGATCTTTCTTTGCCCGACAGACCAGACGAGCGGTGACCTGTTCGCGGTCATAAAGTATGCGCACTTTGTTGATCCGATAGAGATCGCGAGCTTGTTTAGGGATGTCCGTAGCCGGAAAGTGAAGCCCTTTGTACAGATCCTTGCTGGTACTAGGGTCGACCAATTCGGCCACCACTATGCCATTCCAGTCGATGTCGAACTGATAAATCATGACACGATGAAACCCGGTCAATTCTTTGACAATGCCGATGGTCGTGTTGAGTAGCGCATCCAAAGTCTCGGTACGACCGAGCTGATCCTGAATCTGGCTTATAATGCCGAAAACTTCCATGGCAGCTGCCTCGCCGCGTCGGCCGCGCGCTTTCCGGAGTACCCGCAGAGGCTGGCTAATGTTCATTGTGCTGGAAGCCAACTGCTCGGGCGTGAAGTCAACACGAAGAGTATCCGTTGGCGACGGGGTGATCGATTGATCTGAAGGGTTCGGGGGGTTGAGTCTGTCGTCCTCCAGCTCGAACTCGCAGATAACTAGATCCTCGTTGGCGGGGTTAACATGAATGGCGCACCAAAGCCGAATCGGTCGGCCTGCAGATCCAAAAAGAGACAGGATAAACACTTCTGGACCGTCGGCGCAAGGGTCATAGTTGTCCTCCCTAACAAAATCAATGTGGTCCAGCAGAATATCGGCCTGGTCTTCAAGCATGATATCGGTGAAACTCTCGAGGGCGAAGAGTCTCCTGGGCGAATAGCCGAGTATATTCTTGGTGTTTTCACTGGCTATGCGAACTGCCAGGATGCCGTCGGATTCCTCACGCAGGGCGACCATGGCACCGAAGCTCTGAATCGCACCGGGCGTATGGATGGGCTCATCTTCGCAGGCCGTAAATCCATCGGCAGATCTCCCCGTGATGATCGCATGGCCTTGTTCGGTAAAGATATGTTTGAAACGTTGGGTGATCAGGCTCCCAGATTCCCTCCTGCTCGCAACATCGTCATTGTGGCTTGCCAGCGGCTGTTGCTCATTTCCCAAGGACGAGGCAGGGATTTCCGGGACCTCGCCGGAGGACACTGGGGTGTTATTGTCGGGGAGAGGAACCTCGGTTGTCCGATTCTGCTGCGCTCGCAACTCGTCCCAGGTCTGGGCATCAATGATGGACAGCGATCTGGCTCCGGTCGAAGGTCCCCTCGTCGGCGATGTGACGTCTCGCGGATGTTGGCTGTTGGACGTGTCGACGGAAATGATCGACCGGATTGGATAAACTCTCTCGGCGGCGCCGCCGCCGGATTCTAACGGCGAGCCGGGGGATGTAGTCGGTGTGCGGGAGGCTGCGGTGTCGGGGTAGGATGACTGCTGCAGCACTTCTCCGGCCTCCTCCTCTATACTTGGCCTCGAGGAGGCCTCGTCGGGGTTTGAAGTCATCCCAAACCCCCAGCAGCGTTGTCAAGTAGCGGATGTAACCAGGCTCCGTTAAGGCAGGGGCGAGAGAGAATTATCGGGGCATCGGCTTCTTTGCGTGGGGCGGGGAGGAGAGGCTATAGGCGATAGGCGGAAGAACGAGGATTCCAGGTTGTTGTTCGAGGTGGTCTTAGAGGTAAACGAAGTCGTACTGGGATACGCGGAGGAGAGAGTTGACAGTCATCGCAAGAGGCAAGAGGTATTGTTTGGGATTCAAAAAGAAAGAGGGGGGAGGGAGAGAGAGAGAGAGGGGCACGGTGAAGAAGGACAAGTTGACAGGCGTGTTATGTAATGAGGTAATACTCCAACTCTCGTGTGTGGAAAAAGAAATGCAGGGACTCAGTCAGGACTGGCTGTTACCAAATAATGGTAACCCCGGTAAGCTACCAGGTTCTGTCTAGTTCGGGCGGGGAAAGAGCGACTCCATTGAGGACTTGAGACATGAGCGAGGAAGAAGGGAGAGGGCAAGCTAAGAAGAGAAAAAAGAAAAAAAGCCCTGAAAGGCTAAAAGAGCACCGGAGAGTACAATCGTACCGGGGAGGAAAAGACTCTACGGGAGGCGTTCGGCCTTGTAGCACCCTTGGCCACCACCGGTAGCGACTCCCGCCAATTGCGACGAGATCAGGACGCGATGACTTTTCGGGATGCGCAGAGAAGGCTCCGGGGTCTGCCTCGAACTTGGTTGGCCACTTTGCTGAGTCTTCCTTGATAGGAGTGCCAAAAGTTGGCACTGCCCAATCGGTATGGGTTAAGTCTCCTCCACTTGGGCCTCTCGGTGGGGGTCTCGACCCACAAGGCCTTTTCCCTCTATGGATGTTTCCTTATCCATCTGCCTCAAGCCAAGCCATCAAAGCTTTAGGGTGGTGTTGTTTCTCTCCCTTGCGACCGTCATCGATTGATGATGACATCTACATGTGACGGTCCTCATTAAGGATTAAGCATCTTACTCCGGTGTACATCTCAATCTTGCGAGCCTGCTTCGTCTACTCGGTGTACTAACGTATGATCCAATCTCGCATATTTGTCGATCCCGATTTGATATCATAACGGTCAATCATATCATCCCATATCATACACCGGATAGGTAACTACCTAGGTAGTTGGGAATTGGACCCTGGTCGAATGAATCAGAGTACTCCAATCTCGCAAAGTCAATCCGAAGAATCAATCAGACATTTCAGTCCAAAATCATACGACTTATTCGCGCGAATAACCATCCAGTACGCAGCATGATTCAATTCCCGAGCATTCGCGAAAAGGTACGACCAAACCCCATCCAACGCCACCGTCGTAAGAGGAAACGACGCCCCTGGAATCAAGAATGATGAAGAACCAAAATCAGAATCCGTCAGACACAGGCCATGTAAGCGACCCCAACAATCGTAAGGTGTCCCCACTAGCGCTGGCCGTGATCTCGATATTCGGGATCGGGCTACTCCATTCGAATCTGAATCAATGTGATCCTTGCCATGACCCCCCACTTGACGGGGTACGAGTAATATCTGAGTAATTATAGCTGTGGCGTACTGCGTAATAGAATTACTGTTGTATGAGCAGCAGCAGTTCTGCAGATGCGCCAAGTTGTCGAACGTCGATATTCACACGAAGCAACGCTTAGATCGGTGGAGTCTAGAAAACTCTTTTTCTTAAAGAAAAATAAATAAATCAAATAGTCACAAGCAAACAACCGCCAAGAAGGGCCCAGATTCTAGACTCGCTAACCGCTATTGATCCGGATATTGATTCCATTGTGATCTCGGCCCTTCCAGACAGCATCTGGCGCTGTCAAGCGGGTTTTCATATGAATAGTCTCTTGTTTAACTTTTTATTTGTTTTACGGATGGCCGAGTAGAAAAGTACCTAGCATATCTCCCCTTATTTATTTCCTGCTCCTTTGCGGCTTCCTGATCTCCTCGTGGATGTGAGATGATGAGTTTGATTCCTGCTCTCTGACTACCTCTTCTATCACTGACTGGTTATTCGTATTCAGCTACTAGATTGTCGATCTAGGTATATGGTGTATCAAAAGAAAAGAAAAGTAAAGGTAGAAGAAAGAAAGAAACCAAAATCCAAATCTACCTCGAATGCAGCTACAGTTTATGATACCTCTTTTAGACGAAAACTTGATTGTGTACTCAGGGCTCATAAAGACCATTTATAGTATGTATTGGTTGAATTGAAACAGCTCTATGTGTATTAAGATTGACGTTATGATACAAACGATTGATAACCTGATCTCGTATATAACGCGGATCATATGCGTAAGCTCGCGTAATGTGCATGCCGTTGTAAAATCGGGAATGTAGCGTAGACTCAGTGTAGAGTCGTATCTCTCCAATGGAATTGTATAGAACGCAATAGGTCTGTCGGAAGGTATACAAACCTTCGTAGGGAGGGGTTCATCCATCCGACGAGAATCTGAAGCGTTGTAACCTTCTTCGTCCGGATTGGACTCTTCCGGCATTTGCAATGAAGAGATCACAACCGACGATCGCCATTGCCAAGCAATTTCCCTTGAAAATCTATAAGCGGGGCTAGGATGCTGCATCACGAGCCACAGCTGTACCCTGCGGCGTGCAGGGTACAGTAGATCTTGAATGTGTATATCGATATCGCATCATCTGTCGGGATCTCCCGACCCTAGCAGATCCCGTTGGTAGCTCCATGAAGTTGCTGGGAAGTTTCGAAAAGTGTTGGGATATTCAAGCAGCTGGAGGACGAATGGTCTCTCAGTTATGCGATCACAGGACCGTTTCGTCAGAGTGATGAATGCACCACAGACAGGGATCAAGTAATTCGGTCAATGAATTCTTTGATCTGCCAGGCCAGACATTCGTAGAATGTACATCTTCTTATTGATATCGTAGACCAAACTTTGAGGATCAAGGCGGTCGAGATTCTCGCTGCCTTGGGTCTGTTGATGCAAGACTGTCCATGGAGATCGCAGCCCACGGGTAGACAGGGCGATTTCTTTCGGTGACTGGAGTAGCATGAGTAATATCACCGGTGATCTGCTCGGGATCCACAAAGTTCGGGAACTCCTCATGTTCTGTAGAACTGGATTCTGTGGGATGCGAGTGAACCAGTGAAACGAGTTTCCTGAGGACACCGAATTCCAGCTTCAACTTGATACTGTAAACCGCAGCCTTAAGCGTCGTCTGTAACGTGTAGAAGCCAGTATATTCTAGAGACAAAAGAGCCACATCCAAGAGTATGATGATTACGTTGATAGTAATCAGCTCGTACATGGTCTTATGACGTTGGGGGTCTTTTTCCGGTCGAAGCCGGAGCAATTTCACCGTCTCACATATATAGATTCCAGATATCAGGATTTCCTGCGCACAGAACCAGGCCAGCTGCATGCGCTCCATGACATTGTATCCTCGGATGATCGGGTCTGTGCCGATATATACGGTGGAATATGTGAGGACGGTGGTGGGAATGAGCAAGATGATGGCGTCGAAGATGATGAGGTAGAGGATGCGACGTAGGAGCTTTTGGTTTTGAACAACTAGGTGAAGTCGCGAGTAGAGAACGATTGACTGGCCGGGAACCATTGCGTAAAATCCAATTGTGGAAAGAGTGACTGCTAACCAAATGGGCCCGATGGCGAAGAATTCGAGAAGGTAGCCAATGGCGTGCGGAATGACTCCGAAGATATCGGAGATCAACATGGTCCAGAAATAGAGACCACTGTAGCGGTTGAAGGTGAGAAAAATTAGAATAACCAGCTCGACAGCATTGTACAAAGCAATGGAGCTGAAGACGACAATCAAAATCTTGATCACGGAGCTACCGCCCTGGTAGCCTCCGATGAGACCCTCGGGAGGGGTTGAAAGAGCATCTGTCATGGCCAAGGAATGTATGTACTAGCCCTATCCAAGATTGTTTCGAGAATCGATGTGGTGTGGTAAGGCAAGATTGACGTTTCGCTGGTATGAATGCAATGTGAAAGGTGGACTGACGGTACCTCGAACAACAATTGGAAGATCAGCGAACGCCATGATCATTAAACCGGGGAACCGCGGAAGCCAGCCATATGATAGATCATTGTTCTTTGATGTGTATATTGTAAGGCTCTAGGCGTATTGACTCGATTTTGGATTGGTTCATCAATGCGACAGTTTGCGCTCCCAATTTCAAGGTACATTGGCTAGTCCTGTATCCTCCCCAGGTGGCACTTGTTCGTAGGAGACGAAGACGGTACGGTTCGGAAAGATGATTGCGATGATCAATCCTGGGGTATCCTCGATTGAACGATCACAAGATGCTTCTTTTTGTGGGAGTGGGCGAGGATCGGTGGAAGAACTTCTGGCAGGGGTCCCTTGAGACCAAAGTATTGGATTGCGAGAATGAAAGATACCGTTGGAGTTATAAGAAGTATATTTGAACAAAAAGAGCGAGTATCATAAGCTTCGACGCCATTCATATATCATTCGTGAAACCATTCGTGAAGGAAAACCGCGAACGGAGTGGGAAAGCCGCGAGGGCAGGATTAGGGAGCAGAAGAACTCTAAAGGGCGGACAAGGAACGAAGGATGAGGATTAAGAAGAGTCCGGGGGGCAATTCTGGGGTGAGCGCGCTAATCCTGTTTGGGCGCTAGCTTGGCAAAAACTGCTGCCAAGTCCTCTCACATGACTGCTCTCCTCTCGTCCGAAACGAACGGACGCTTTTCCTACTCGTGAATCCTTAGGGAGGACGCTGTCGGAGCCGACGTTCAGCCTATTCATAGCGTGAAATCGGAAAGTTTCAAGGGGCGAGAAATGGTTTTGAACCTCTCACATGGTTGAGGCATTGAATGTCAGGCATGATCATCCACTAGACTCGCTCGAGACGGTTGACAGAATGCGCGTCCTCTCGTCCCCACTGAGGACAATCGGTAACTATCACTTATAGTTACAAAATTTGCCGAGTCCATCGCCTTCGATGATTGAGTACAAATTGAAGCGTGTTAGATGCCGACGCATTTACTCCCCTTTCCAAACCAACCGTCGTTGAAGGTTCGTGGCTTCTAGGTTTCGCCCACAACAGCGACCTAATCGTCTCGCACCTCCTTGACGTGACTGAGAAATTGGAACACGGTTGTCGACCAGATTCTCGAAAAAGCCTCTTTTCTTGGTTCCTTGGCTGGACGACGACGCCCCGTTTGGTTGCCTGGACTTTGGGACCATCGGCAAATGGCCAAACAGTACGGATAAATATATCTCTTAGTTGGTCAGGCCCACATTCATCATGCCATGCAAGGGTCGAGACTTCAGACCCTGTCCCCAAAGGCCCCTGTACCTGGATGGAAGGATGGGAGGTTTATTGTGGTCCAAACCATCAGCGAACATAGAAAATTCGAAAACCCAATGCGTGTCGCCCAAAACCTCTCCAACAATCCAAGAAACCTTCCATTCACCCTCCACCGCGCCATGGAGTCTAGCTTTTGCTCCACCTTCCTTTTTCGGAGCATTGACTCCTGCGCTTCAAGATTGCTTACGAGGGCAATTTCATCCTGTATGAATATCTAACGGCCAGTGCGACACAATCACTTTGATATTCTTATAGAAAGACAATGCGCACTGTTCAGGTACTGCGGCATGGGCAAGTGCTCTCTGTGTACTGAACAGAGAACTGGAGACTCGAGGAGACTTTTTCTCCCCTTTTTGTGGGGCAGATAGTCTAGTCCCTTCCTGGGCTCCGAGACGAGAAAAGATGTGCCGAACATGTGGGTCCAACCTTGCATTTTGCTGCTTTGCATGATCCGGAGTGCGTACGTCGTACCCCCAGTCTCCGACACGTAGGCATATGAGGATGGCCAAATTCAATTTGCCTTTTTGCGATCATGCAATTCCAGCCGGCTAGGATCAGCCAACTTCTGAGAACTTTCATCTGTCGCCAGAAGGATCTTGCAGATAGTTCCTCGCCTCCCACTGTAAGGTATGGATTTCATTCGGAGTTCTGCCGAGGGTTTGATTCAAACCACCGTGGTACGCTCACCTTCAAACCAAGTGACCGTAGTCGGGGCAATGCTATCTCATGATATCTGAATTTAGCAGAACAAGAGCAAGAGCAAGAGGTATTCAGGAATTATTTCGCTGTTTACTCGGTGGTGATTACTGAGCATCGACCTGAGCATTGGCCATTGAGCAGCAGCCAGCAATACAAAAATGGTCATTGGATCGCAGAGCTAGAGTACGAAGTGGATTTGTGATTTCAGATTTACGGAGTATGTCTCAGATCTTGCCACCCAGTGGCTGTCTCTTCACCTACAGGCTATCTCATTCTATCCAAATTTGTGCGCTTTCCGGAGGCTCAGAAGCATTAACTACCATCGCTTCTTTCATTCTGGATCAAACAGCAGTATACATTCTGCCGATTGTTCCCCATTCATCAAACATTTACCGACTGAAAATGAAATATAGGTCCAGATAGCCTCTCCGGGGAGGATATCTGTTGGTTTAGAGGCAAAGCTCGAAGAACCACTAGTTTATGAGCCACTGCAAGCATTTTTCAAACACTGAATCAGTTCGAACTGAAGCAGGGGCCTGTTAATCGATCGTTACGGACTCAGGGAGAACAAAAACGATCGCTTTGGGGCATCAGCCGCAAGCCCGAGTGGAGCCGCGAATCGACGGAGAATCTCCATGGGCCTCGGATGTGCAAACTGCAAAATGCAGCCGGATAGATAAGGTTTGCTTTATTGCCGGTCCCTCCAACTGTACGAAGTAAGCACTAAGGAGTAAACACCACAGTTCTCGACAGGATACGAATAGTAGTATTAATAGAACGGGATTTGACATGTCCCAAGCCACGGTCTCTAAATGATTCAATGTCCTTCAATTTGTTTGTTCACCGACACTTCGCTCACCGAAAGGACGGCTACCTCCATAGTACGGAGTAGCACCATAGTAGTTCGACTATCTGTGGAATCACCGCCGATCAGACATTAGCAACTCCACTCAATGAGCCGCGCTTTGGATTTCTATTCCTCCGTCTCCCACCACTTAACCCCTGCCTGCGTTGCTGTCAATTTTTTCATCTTATCATCATCCTTGGTGCAAATTCCGACAGATACATGACTGCGATCTCGTGCATTCAAACCTAATATACTATATCAACTCCATCATGGGCTCCGCTAACCCGTCTTGGGACTTTATTATCGTCGGTGGTCAGTAATTTCGTATTTCGCACAGTACCGCTCATGCCGAGTCAGCTCGTTTCGAGATTCACCTGTTAACATATAAATTCCAGGTGGCCCGGCGGGATGTGCTCTTGCTGCAAGGCTCGCGCGGTCTTCTATGCGACCCAAGGTCCTCCTCTTGGAGGCTGGACGGCGCAACAATGACAAAGACCTGAAGGTCGATGGCCAAAGATGGACGACCTTTATGAACGGTGACCTGAACTGGGGCTACAAGACCACCCCTCAAGAGCAATGTCACGGACGTCAGATCGACTACTCCCGCGGAAAGGTCCTGGGCGGTAGCAGTGCCATCAACTTCGGTGTGTATACTGTAGGTGCCCGTGATGACTACAACCAGTGGGCATCTGCGGTCGGCGATGACTTCTTCAAATGGGAGCGCATGCAGCCGCGATTCAAGAGCCTGGAATCTTTCAGCGGCGCTATCGCTGATGCTAAGAATGCTAAATACGCGACCCCTAATGCATTTGACCATGGATCTCGCGGTGGCTTGAAGCTGGGATATGCCGCCGAGTGGGAGCAGGACTTGCCTCTTGTGATGGATGCGTTCGAACAGGCGGGTCTTCCTCGAAACCCGGATCAGAACTCAGGCGATCCTCTGGGGATGGCCCTCGTTATCAACTCTTCTCATAACGGTCAGAGAGTCACTGCTAGTGACCTCTTACTCGGCGCCCCTGACAATCTCACTGTCATTACTGAGGCGCCGATTCAGCGAGTTGTTCTCGATGGCAAGAAGGTCATCGGTGTGGAGTCCAGGGGAAAGAAATGTAAATATTGTCTCTGCAGATTAGACGGCATCAAGACTAACGCATACGTCTAGATCTCGCATCTAAGGAGGTTGTATTGACCACTGGCTCTTTGGATACTCCCAAGATCCTGATGCATTCGGGTATTGGGCCTGCACAGGAGCTCCAGAAGTTCCAGATTCCTGTGATTCACGATGTGCCCGCTCTTGGTAAAGGTCTTCGCGATCACTTCTTTGCGCCCTTGTGCTTCCAGCGCAAACCGGAAACAAATGACCGCAACGCCTTCTTCGGCAACAAGGCCGCCATGGACTCTGCCATGGAACAATGGAGAAAAGACGGCACGGGGCCCTGGGCCAAGCATTCCTGCCAGATTGCAGCTGGATGGTTCAAGTCGGACCGCGTCACATCTTCGGCCGAGTTTAAGGCCCTCCCTCCGGCAGTCCAGGATTTCATGAAGCGTGAAACCGTGCCCCAGTATGAATTCTTATCGCATTTCCCTCTCCACCTCCTCGACCCCGACTTCACGAAAGACTACAGCTACGTCTGCACGCTGGTGTTCTTGATGAACGAGCAGTCTAGCGGCGAAGTTACGCTGCAGTCATCCGACCCCGACGTGCCTCTTCTCTTCGACCCGAAGGTCCTTTCCCACCCATTTGACCGGCGCGCATGCATTGAAATTTACCGCCAGGCGATGGAGGTGTGCAACCACGAGGCGTTCAAGAAGGACAATGTTTCCACATTGATTGCGCCCGCCTCAGACTCAGACGAGGACATCTTGGAACACTGGAGGAACACTATGGGCTCTAGCTGGCATATGACCGGCACAGCCAAGATGGGCAAGCCCGGCGACGCTGATGCGGTGGTGGACCCTAAATTCCGGGTCATTGGCATCGAGAACCTGCGTATCGGTGACATGAGTGTGGTGCCGGTCTTGACGAACAATCACACTCAGGCAACCGCTTATGTGACTGGTGTGACGTGTGCGGATGCCTTGATTGCCGACTATGACCTCGATATTCAAGCCCGGCTGTGAGCGAAATTTTTCTTTCTTCTGAATGTTTGGACAGGTTTTTTTTTAGATATTAACGGTTACATTTGTCAATAGCATAATACGCGAGTAAGTAATATGAGTACAATATCCCTAAAATTCGACAATCTACTGCTTTATGTCACGATATAGATAGTGACATCATGCCGTTCAAATCAGGCATTTATGCCTTAACAACAAGGCATAAATTGCCTGACTAAGCGAACACGAGAAAGCGAACACGAAGCGGATTCGCATCTAACTTTTGCCTCTATCCCAACGATCATGTACAGATCACCATGTTCGCAGGAAACGTGGCCCCAATGACTAATACATCTATTCGCGTGCGGCCAAAACAAAGAGCCAGTCACACCAAGTCCCGGAATGGCTGCTACACATGTAAGCAACGTCGAGTCAAGGTGAGACGTGCCCAAAAATGTGTCCAGGTTCTGATACGCATGGTGGCGACCGGGCACAATTGCTGCTGGTCCTTCGGGATACCGATTTACCCGGGATACGCATACTTACTACTTTCTAGTGCGATGAAGTCCGACCGGTTTGTGGCGCCTGCTCGCTGAGGAACACTGACTGTTCCTTCCCCAGCCGTTCGCGGAGCTCCCCTAGTAGGCGGGTCGTAACTCATTCGGAGCCTCGATCGGAGGGTCCTCCTGAGCCCGACACACTTTTCTTTCCAGGCGACACATGGTCACGGGCATTCAGGTGCTCGATATCTGGTCCACCGCGGTCGGTGGACCCCAGGGTCGCCTCGACAGCGCTCGACGCAGAAGCCAGTCATGGTAGCGGCGCTATCAACATGACCGATCTGAAACTCCTGCAACATTATATGTCAAATATCTCCGGGCAATTATCTTTCAGTCCTGATAAGACGCGAGCTTGGAAGATCTTAATCCCCGAGATCGCAGCGGAGAACGAGTACATTATGCACCTTCTTTTGGCACTGACGGGCCTCGATATGCTTTGTGAAGACAACACGCCCGGCTCCAGTATATCAGAGCACCAGAGCCCCCTGGAGCAGCAACATAATGCCAACAACGGACCTGAAAGCCATGATCGCTATCTACACACTGTGATTGAGCACCATCAAAAAGGTATTCAAGGGTTTATACGAGAGTTGGGAACACTGTCGGATTCAAACGCGGAAACTGTTTTTGCGGGATCCCTTCTTCTGGTTGCCTTTGCCTTTGCGTCTCTTCGTGTGAAGAATCTAGACCTCACTGTCAGCGAATCAGAAGCCAATACGGGGTCCACAAGCTATGACACCCTCTCGTCTGACTCCACGATATTGAATCGACCTCGGCTTGACTGGTTATATCTTGTCCGGGGGCTTACATCTGTTGTTGAACAACAGTGGACTAAGCTGCGAACCGGTCCACTGAGGCAGATGCTAGTATTTAGCAATGCCAAAGATGGAGAAGTCTTGGGCAATCTCCTGGAAATCGTACCGGGAAATCTACCCCACCGAATGGCATGCTTCGCTCAAGGAGCCCATCAAGCGATAACCAGACTAAAAGCCTTCTCCAAAAGTTTAAAGTCCATTGTCAGCCCGACGACTATCGACTCGGATGCTCAGTCGCAAGAAACCCGCGAACAGACGGGCGGACCGCTCACCCAAAGTGAATTGATCGAGGAACAAGAATCCACTATCAGCATTCTCGATACCATATATAGTCGAATCAAAGCTGTCCTTCTCTTTTCAGACAGCGGTACCAAGGGCTCTGCTCATGCTGACTTGCAAGGGGAACTTGAGGACGCTGCAATCATGGCATGGCCGCACATGTTCCCTCACGGTTTCATTGCCTCGTTAGAAGCGAGAGAAGAACTAGAAACTCTTCGGTGTCAATCTTTTGTTATTCTTGCCCATTTTTATATCATTGGGACATTGTTCGAAACGCTTTGGTATGCCACAGGCAGTTTTGAGCGTGAAATCATGAAGATCCATGACCTCGCTCGAAGCACTGGGGACAGTCAATTGGTCTCTTTGATGCAGTTTCCTATGGAAGTCATCGCTGCTCGAAGCGGAACCACTCGGCCCTAATAATTGGATCATCGTCCAGATTTATACGACAATAATCGCTGCATGGCCCTACAATTGCGAATGGTCTATCGCAAGTCTACTACGTTACTTGCCGCGCCCAATCGGGCTTCTCATAGTTTCATCGGTACACCTGGGGCTCTTCGTCGAGGCCCCATGATTCATTATTTATTTATGTATAACATTGGATATCTCATGACAAAAAGCAAACAGGCAGTGACACCAAAACCTGACTCGTTCATCAACATTGTCGTCATAATCTTTGTCCTAATAGATGTAGCGGAAGTGGGGGTTCTCCTGGTCCGTTCGATCTTCAAATGCACGACCAAGGTTGTCATCATTGGGGTCTAGACCCGCCTCCTGCAACATACGCTCCTTCTTCTTGTTTTGCGCCTTCAAATAGAAGCGCAGGAAGATGACAGCCAGAGTCATCGCCGAGTAACAACCAAGATGGACACCGAAGGCGATGAAATAGCGCGGGGCATCATATTCCAGGAACACTTGGGGGCCTGGGTTCATTAGCTTTCGTCCTTGCCATAAGGTGAGAAATGTTGCGAGACTCTACTTACCGATCGCATTTCCCACGGCCCAGGAGACAAAGGTTGCGGCAACAACCACGGACTTCTTGGTGGCACCAGCAATATTACGAGAGACCATGGAGAGACACAGATTCTGAGCCGACCAGAAGGAAAGCGTGATGTAGTAACTGATGAGCAGACCAACTTTGGTGCCCATGTTGTGGTTCTCCACGGTCATGAGGACGATGGTTCCGATAAAAGACCTTGAATCGGTGTCAGTTAAATTGCTCCAGAAGTACAGAATACTCAAAGGGATCTTGAAAACATACGGGATGATAAAGCCCAACATGACCAACAAGTTCTGGGAGGTTCTCTTGACCAGCCACGCGGAAGACAGAAGCACAATGATGATATAGAAACCCAGAACCATGGCCAGCAGCTGGGTCTGGAGAGTGTTAAAGTCGAACCCGGTGATGATGATGTTCGCAAACGCTCCAAGGCCGCTAGTAGGCAAGGTTGTGAACACCTGGATGGCACAGTAGCAGTACATTTGAGGGTCACGGAACGCCTCCCACATCTGGTACGAGCGGAATTGTTTGTTCTGCAAACCTGTCTGATTGCCACGGACACGCTCGACCATCAAATGCTTGTCTTCTTCGGTGAAACACTTAGCTCGCATGGGCGAGTCGGGCATCCAGAAGATGACGAACGCTCCCCAGAACACAGAAATGATTCCGTATGTCATGAAGAGAGCTTGCCATGATTGGATAACGCGTTCGTTGCCGATAAGACTGAAGCAATATGCCAGGAGACCTCCGACGATCTGCTGGCCTCCGTTCATCATATACCTGCGTGGTGTTAGATCTAGGCCATCGATGTCCCTCCGTCTTAAGGTTGGAGCTAGCCACTTACCAATATGTAACCGTATTGGCCTGTTCTTCTCTCTTGTACCACATACTGGATAGGATCACGAAGGATGGCTGGCAAACGGCTTCGAAAATACCGAGGAGGGTACGGACTGTGACCAAGCCAGCGAAGTTATGGCAGGCGGCGTGCAAGGCCAAGCAAGCACCCCAAAGGATGATGTTGATACCCAAATATTTGGCAATGGGGACTCGTTGAATAATCCAGTTGGTGGGGTATTCGACGATCAAAACGGCGATGTAAATACAGGTTGTCAGCCAGGAGTACTAGATGAAGAGGGTACTCGGTCAGCATTCATTCGTCCTAGGTTTGAGAGCTCAAAGGGAAAACAAACCTGCTGTCCGTGCAGATTCAGTTGCTCTCGGATTCCCATGATAGAAGCAAACGACATCGTTCCCTTGTCAAGGGCTTGGAGGAAATATGTCAAGATCATGATTACCAGCACACGCCGGTCGATCATCCGTCGTAGTCGACGACTGGTAGCATCGTCGACTTCGACTTGACCTCGTGTGGCATATTCTTGGACCTCTCTGTCGACCCTCGAAAAGTCCATGTCATCTTTCTTCGGGTTGTCACTAGGAGAGAGCACCCGCTCAACATGCGAGATGTCTTTCTTGTCCTTGAATTCGCCCATTTCCGTCGCTGTCGGTGCAGGCACGGGGTCGATGTTGCCCTTGGCGGACGACACCGAGGGGGGTTTACCTTGAGCCATGACAGAAAGAAAAGATATCAAAGGAAAAGAGGACGGGCAACAGAATTGGCCGCTAAAGATCCTCTGTGGTACGTGCCAACAACAGGAAAAGAAGGAGACAAGTCAGGCGGTCCTTCCAGGGGTGGGTGGTCCAGCTTTTTATTATCGGTCAACAGGAGAGGGATCAACACTTATCCTAGCAGGGAATGTTGAGCACGGTGCCGGTGTGGCTTACTGGATAGTAGTACGGACAGCACGGTGTGCCTCTCATCTCATCATCCCCAGACAGCATTCCCCAGTTTTTTTCTTGCCTCTTCGCTGGCCATTTCCGGAGTAGACCCTGTCTGGGGACACGCGGGGATGATGGGCCGAAAAGACGGGGGACGGCAGGGGGCCATTGGACGGGATGGACCTGATCCATCAGCTCGCTAAGCCCAGGGCCAATGGCGACTTGGTGACTAGAATTTGGCAGCTGCTTGGCGCATGAAACTCGGGGGGTGATAGCCCGAAGCCACTGCATCCCCCGCGGAGAATTGCCCGCAGTTCTTCCGCTAATCAGCCGTGACTCCGCACGGAGAGGGTTATTAGTGCACGCCCCCTCCAGCCTTTCGTCCGTCACACGCCTCGCCGTTGGCTTTGCTTATTCTTTTGCTTATTTTTCTTGACTTTGGTTTTCCGCACCTCGCGTTCCACCTCCCATCATGGCCTCCAAACCGTCGCCTCCCCAGGTTCGCGAGAAAGTGGACTTGCTGATCCATAACCTGGTCAACATTAAAGATGCCACCGGTCAGTTCCTGCTGCGTCTGCAGGACGGTCGGGTTATCGACACTAAATCCTGGGCCGGCTGGGAATGGACGCACGGGATTGGTCTATACGGCATCTGGAAGTATTACGAGATGACCGGCAACCCGGACCTTCTGCGCATCATCGAGGACTGGTTTGCCGCCCGCTTCGCCGAAGGCGGCACCACCAAGAACATTAATACCATGGCCGTGTTTCTGACCCTGGCCTACGTCTACGAGAAGACGGGCAACGCTACCTACCTCCCCTGGCTCGACGCCTGGGCTGAATGGGCCATGCACGACCTCCCCCGCACGCGCTACGGAGGCATGCAGCACGCCACCTATCTCACAGAGAACTACCAGCAGCTCTGGGACGACACGCTCATGATGACCGTGCTCCCGCTCGCCAAGATCGGCAAGCTGCTTAACCGGCCCGCGTACATCGAGGAGGCGAAGCGCCAGTTCCTCGTGCACATTAAGTACCTGTTCGATACGCGCACGGGGCTCTTCTACCACGGCTGGACCTTTGAAGAGGGCGGCCACAACTTCGCCAGTGCCCGCTGGGCCCGCGGAAACAGCTGGATCACCATCGTCATCCCGGAGATCATCGAGCTCCTAGACCTCCAACCCACCGACCCCCTCCGCATTCATCTCATCGACACCCTCGAGGCCCAGTGCGAGAGCCTCCAGCGTCTCCAGGACCCTTCGGGCGCCTGGCACACCCTGCTCGACCACGCCGATTCCTACGCTGAAGCCTCCGCCACGGCGGGATTCGCGTACGGTATCCTGAAGGCCGTCCGGAAACGGTATCTGAGTCCTCAGTATCGCGAGGTCGCGGAGAAGGCCGTCACTTCTGTTTTGGGGTATGTTGACGCTGCCGGCGAGTTGCAGAACACGAGTTTTGGAACGGGGATGGGCGATAGTTTGGAGTTCTATAAGTTGATTCCCTTAACGGCTATGCCGTATGGCCAGGCGATGGCTATTATGGCTTTGGGGGAGTATCTGCGGGGAACGCTATAGATTTGGGGTGAGATGAGATGAGATGTTACGATACATTTATTTATGATTATATATCAATGCATATAGATGGTTAGGTTTTACATTCGCATTTGCTTGTTCTCCTGTTTACTCTTAGTAGATAAGCTTCTGCTGGTAGTAGCTTATTTTGCATCCCTAGCGTTTGGTCAGCCCTGCACTGCCATTGCAGAACATGTACAGAGTAAATAAATGTATGCAGTTGAAACCTTCCACTACGAGTCGTCTCGATGTCCAACAAATTAACAAACGTGCGATCATTCCTTATCGCTCATTGTTATCTCCACAATTTCCCCTCATTTTCGCTTACGCACGTCGCCTATCGTCCTGGGAGCCAGCTAAGCTCTAGTATAGGTCTGGCCTCGAGACGAGTCCCCGCTTCCCCCACAAACCGTCATGACTTAACTTCTCTTCCCCATGAACTTACCCCGATCTACCAAAGCCAACAACGGAAGAGATCTCGAACATATACTACTCATTTCATAACTAACAAGCAATCCGTGCAGAGAGTATCTACTAACTAACAGACCTCATCATGAGCCAACCCGATCCAGCTGCCTTCCGCATCCACGACACGCGCTTCCTCTCCATCCTCGGCACTACGCCTACCCTCGAGCTCCTCTACGAGAACACATCCTACCCATTTGCCCACGAAGCAGGGATCTACCTCCGCAGCACCAACACAGTCATCGTAACCAGCGCTCGCCTGACGGAAGACATCACCACCGACGCAAACCCTACCCAAACACAACCCCAGATCCAGAAGCAAAGCGTCCGCATAACCCGCATCAACCTCCCCACCACCCCCGTATCATGCTCCGAGATCCCAACCACCATCCCCATGGCCAATGGTGGTGTAAACGCCTCCCTTGACGACGACAACACGGTCCTAATCTGCGGTCAAGGGTCCCTTGACGCACCAAGCGGTATCTACAGTCTCTCGTTGACGGAACTGTACGAAGCTAGACTCTTAGTGGGCTCGTTCTATGGCCGTCCGTTCAACTCGGTGAATGATGTCGTCGTGCATAGTGATGGGTCGGTGTGGTTCACGGATCCGACGTATGGGTTTGAGCAGGGGTATCGTGGGAAACCGAGATTGCCGAGTCAGGTTTATAGATGGTGTCCTCCATCATCCTCATCCTCCCCCTCTGGCTCCTCTGTGGCGGGGGAGGTGGCAGTGGGGCTGAGAGATAGGAGGATAGAACTTGGTAAGGAGGAGAAGGAGGGAAGTATTCGCGCAATGGCCGATGGATTCGGCAAGCCGAACGGGATCTGTTTCTCGCCGGATGAGAAAACGTTATATGTCACGGATACGGACTGGTTGGGGGGCGATGGGAGCGTGGATGATGCGAGGGTGTCGTCGATGTATGTTCCGTTTCCCCCTTTTTTTTCTCCTTCCTTGTCCACGGTGTGTTGTATGAGTAGAATAGCTAGTTACTTTTCATCGTCGCAAGTTCTGGCTCACTTATTTATCTACTCTTACCTGGCTGACAATGTGAAGCTACGCATTCGACATAATCCACCGCCACAACTCCCCCTTCCTCACGAACCGCCGCCTCTTCGCAATGACCGACAGCGGCATCCCCGATGGTATTAAATGTGATCTCGAAGGGAATGTGTACAGCGGGTGCGGCGACGGGATTCATGTCTGGTCGCCGGGCGGCGTGCTGCTTGGACGGATCCTGATAGACGGAGGTGTTGCGAATTTCTGCTTTGGGAGAGAAGGTGAGATATTTGCGTTGAACGAGCATCGGTTTTGGAGGGTAGGACTGGGGGGACATGTTAGGGGGGCTTTGTTGGGAGTTTAACTCTTTAGGTCATCTGATGGGATGTTGATAAGTGTGTATATCACCTTGGATTTCGGGTGAAGACGTTAATAGGACGATAGGTTTATGCCAATGAACAAATAGAAAACACCAATGCTAGTGTTAGTCTAACGGATTCCTCAAAAGAGCCAGGTGCGGAGTTGAACGATGCAATATGCAAAGGTGTCAGCAGCTTTCCAAAGATTTACTGAGCCTATAGTATCATGACCCTAAAGTTGTCGGGAGTTTTTGGGAAATCATAACGCAGACTAGCCATTTGAATCAGACAACTGTCTTCTAAGTAACTATATGTCAGACGAAACAAGCCAGTAGAGAATAGAAACATAAGTAGGCTGTTCTGCCTGTTTTATCATAAACGCCCTGTCCATCTTATCCACCAGAAAACATTCCCGATCTGTTCGCGTCCCCATATATCAACAAACTATAATGTGACCATTAGCATCAATACAACCAATCCTCAACACAAAAGTCAGAAAGAGCACTTACTCCCAACAACCCCATTAACCGGAATATCAATCGACGTCGTATAACTCGCCGCATCACTCAGCAAATAGACATACGCACCCCCTAATTCCTGCACCTCCGCCAACCGCGGAAAGCCACCGTAGTACTTCATCTGCTGCTCCCAGTCCGGCTGCTGCGGCACCCAATACGTCATGGCGGTGTTCACGAGGCCAGGGGAGACACTGTTCACGCGGATGCCGTACTGCGCCCATTCCATGGCTAGGGTGTGGGTTATGTTGCGGATGCCCGCCTTGGAGGCGCCGTAGGGGGCGGATGGGACGCGCTGATTTATTTTCATGTTAGTTTCTCACAGGACAGCACCTGCAGGGGATATTGAGAGGATAGGATTTCCGACGTACCTTATTCGGACGATAAGAAGCCATCGACGCCGTAAACACGACGGAACCCTTAATGCCTAACTTGATAAACGCGCGGGCAGCCGCGCGCGCCGTATAAAACGCCCCGAACAGATTGACATTGAACAGCGATTCGATCTCCTCTGTCGTGAAGTCTAGCGCGGCTTTATGGTGCGTTCGGCCCGCGTTGGCGACCATGCCATGCAGGGCTCCGGCCTCGGCGATGATCTGGTCGATTGCGGCCGTGATGGACAATTCGTTGGACACGTTGGCGGTTAGGGAGAAGAGGCGGTTTGGGTAGCGGGTTGCGAGCTGGGTGAATTCGTCCCCTGGGGGGCTGATGTCGATTGAGTAGACTCGTGCGGCGCCGTTGGTGAGGCAGCATTCGGCGATGCCGAGACCGATGCCGCGGTTGGCGCCGGTGACTGGAGAGGGTGTGTGAGCTGGTGGGCTTAATTTAGGTTGGAGTCTTGTGGGGGACTTGCTTGCGATGACTTTTGAGGTCAGACTGACCTGGGTTTGGGGACCGGGGTTGGGGGCTTCAGCTGTCGTGGCCATGATGATAGTAGATCTCGAGGGAATAGGGGACTTTGGGGCGTTGTCGGTTAGAATTTGCAGTGACAGGTGCCTTCTTATAGTGATTTCTGGACTGCATGTCTGCAATTCCCATATGAATTGATCACACCTGACGGTTGCACGGCGTGGGATTCATTCGCCCATTAGAGGCCCTCGAGTCGGTGATACGCGGGGAAGATCGGCGCGGGGGAACCTCGAGACGAGGCAATGATGAGATTCCCCTGTTGAACCTATAATATATGTTTTAAGACTAGATGCGGGGAAGTTTATCGCCCTGCACCTCATCATGATTCATTGAGGTTGTAATATATATAACTCCCCCCGTCAGCAGAGCTCGGTCTGTTCAAAGATGAATGCGATTGAGATTGAGAGGACTTACTTTATAAAATCGGCATTTTGATGAAAGAATTAGTATATGAATGTAGACAAGAGAGGATAAAAATGATCCAAATTGCGTGTAACGTGAGCCTAGAGAGAAGAACATGTCAAAGATGTGATTTTAGAAATCTTTTGCTTGATAGAACCAAAAAGTGAGGCCGATAACATATCAATTCCTCGATGGTCTAACGGTCATGATTTCCGCTTGTCACTCAACAGAGAACGAGCGCGGGAGACCTGGGTTCGACTCCCAGTCGGGGAGATTTCTTTTTTCTTTTTCTTTTTTGGTCCCGCTGTGTCTGTCTCTCAATCTCGTCTATTATTCAAGACGTCTGTTGATTGAATCTTGGTAAAATCATTATCATAATATAATGCACTATGGTCTTGTGAAGACTAAACATAATTCTGATGCCACGTAAAATCCCGATTCTTCGTCAACAAGTCCCGAATAGCCTCACTCGCCTTAACCGGCTCTCTCCCCAAAACCTCCTTCATCAAGGGATGCGTCGTCCGCAACTCCCCCTCCTCAATACCCTCCCACCACGACCTCGTCATCTCAAAGAATGCAGCCGGCTTCCCACCCAGATCATTCGCCCCGTTCTTCCGCACATACTCGTCCCCGGAGACGATCTCGAACTTGACCTCCCGACCGGTCGTCTTGTTAATAATGTCGACGATCTCCGACGGCCGAATGGCCTCTTCCGCTGTAAGGAGCACGATCTCATTCTCATGGCCCCCGGCGATCATCAGGCGGGCGGTGGCTTCGCCGAGCTCGCTGCGGAGCGTAAGCGCCATGGGCCCGTCCGAGGGCAGGGAGATGGTGCGCGTCTCGGGGAACCAGTTGATGAAGACGGGGAAGGCGTCGGTGTAGACGCCTTCGCGGATGGAGGTGTATGTGATTCCGGATCTGCGGGTGAGGGTTAGATTCGATAGACTTTCATTGCTGAAATGGGTGAATTGATGGTGACTTACTCTTTGAGTAGATTTTCCGTGATGAGATGGACTTGCTGGACGGCTGCTTTCGAGGTGGATTCGAATCCACCGAATGCGAGTGATGTATACCATACCTATACATAGTGGACAGATTAGCCAATGGTTTCTATAACCCCCCGCTAGAAGCAAGAAACAAGTAGTAAGGGAGCGGGAACGTACATGCTTCACGCCAACCTTCTTCGCCGCATTAATGAAATTCTCATGCTGTTTCTGCCTCTTCTCATTATCGAACACGTTCGTGCTAACGAAGAGCAGGTTCTCGACATCCTGAAACGCAACCTCTAGCGACTCCGGGTCATCGTAATTCGCGTGACGGAACGCAATGCCTCTGTCTTCGAATTGTGCTCGATTCGACTCGCGCGAGGACGCAGCTGCAAATTCATGCGCGGGGAGGTTTTTGACGAAGTAGGCGAGGACTTGTTCGCCGAGACCGCCGGTGGCGCCGGTGATGAGGTACTTGAGGGTCATTTATGGGATATGAGATGTTATGTGTTGTGTTGTGGATTGGGGGCTAGATCCAAAAATGCCAGTGGTAGAGTTGGAGGGATTTGAATATGTTAGATTGAATGGTTGTTGGGTTCAAGGAGTCAGAGCATAGAGATGCTTTATATTTTGCATGTGCATTTCGTCATGGCCAAATAGAATCAATTAGCCCTCAATGGAACGCCAATGCGGTGTTATGTTGGTTGGTAATCGCCCTGCCGCATCGCGCCATGGTGGAGTGTATACTCCGTCCCCGTACTTGGGGGCGGTTAACTACACCGTAGTTGGTTAGTTACGTGGTAGCTGGGTTCACTAGGAATTAGTAATTCAAGCCTACTCCGGAGTACGAACCGATCATATTCATGATTGGTTAATCCTTCATTTATTTAGAAACAACTGCTTAGAAATGCGAACTGCTTCAATATTCACCCGCAAGGCAAGTCCATCATTACTGGTAGCAACGCGCTGCGCCAGTCCGAAAAAGAAAGAGGTCGGAGGAATCGATTCGGGTGCAGAGCGAGAAGATACTGGGAGAATATCTTTCCGCCAAATGCATGAAATTGCAGCGAATTTTACTACTAAATAACCACCGCAAAAGACGATCATGAGGGTTGAAAAGAAGACAAAGAGAAAAAACAAAAACTAAACCCGCTGCAACGCGAACTGCACCTGGCATCGATCCTTTAACCCATTCTCGACAATCTCAATCCAACTGACAGAGCTGTCATCCGAGTCGCCCTTGTTGTTGATCTTGGCCGTCCAGACGGACTGGATATATTCGCCCGACCTGACGACAAGTTCCTTCAGCTTGGTGGACGTGGCCCGAGGACCCGCCACCTGGAGATCATATTCGTAGTACGCAGAAGTAGTGCCCAGCCTTGCGGGAATGGGCAATTGTGCCGCCGTGGTGTCGGCAGGAGTCACATATGTGTACCCACTGCTGTCGTGGTTTGGATCGCTATCATCCACCAACTGAATATTCTCGGTCTCGTCGGCCCCATTGCGGAAGAGACACACACTGTCATCCCCGGAATAGAGAGTTATGACGGTGTTAGATATGGTCACATTGTCGGACGACTTGTTTTCTCCCTTGATTGTGATGGTCTTTACTTGTCCTGCGGCCACCTTGAGGTCGGAGATTGTGTATGAGAGCTGGGGGGAAGGAGCAGTATCAAAGGTGCCGATGAGCGCATGTGCCTCGTCGTCGATGAAATCGGACACAGGGTCGGGAGGCTGTTTGCTACCCGTGAAGAGGTTGATGAAGACTTGGACAACCATGAGAACGATGCCAACCACCGCCAGAACGGCCCCAAGAATCGGTAGCGCCACGCTCATGGTTTCAGTCACGGCCCAGAGCCCGATGTCGGATCCGACCTCGATCACATCCAGCAGTACCGTCAACCCCTGGACAACAACATTCAACACGCCCAGGACTTTGCCGGGGTCCGACAGAGAGTTCCAGTCATTGGCGAGGGAGAAGGACATGGCAACTATTAAGCCAAGGCCCAGGACGGCGTTGAACACCCGTAGCAGCTTGCCCGACCAGTTGAACTTTTTGGCTGCTTCTTCAAAACTGGGGGGAACGTCCTCGGCAATGGCATTAATATCTTCGTTCCACGTTTCTTCGCCCTCCGGCGCCGTGGTAACTCCCTCGGAATGAAGCCCGTCCGCCATGACCACTCGATAGTCTTCATCACCTGCGATCTTCTCCGCCACCTCGCCTATCGTCTCCCCATGCTCCATGATCTCTTCCGTCAGGTTCTGGCCGAGGGTCTCCATGTTGAGCTCATCGGCAGGTGTAGAAGCCGGCTTGGACTGGTAACTCTTCCAAGCCTCCAACCCCTTATCGAGACCGTCAGTCACCATGCGAATTACCTCAATGATCACGTCCGTTCGTTGAGCATCAGACATGTCATTCCACGATTCTGTGAGGGTCCAAATAGTCACCATTACCGTTGCCACCGTCATGCTAACCTGGTACGCATTCAGTCAATCTGCCTGATAATTCTTATGCTTGGTGTTGGCACCAAAAGCTACTGCCAAAGCGATAGCAAGGGCGAATGGACCTACCATGCATATCGTTGAGATTCCTTTCAACTTGGCCGCACCAGGGAGGGAGACTTTGCTTGCCACTCGATCGAAGGCTTCCCCGACCCATTTCCAGAGCGAGGCACCTCCAAAAGCAGCCTGGACCCCTTTGCCAATGTACGTTAGCCAACCGGTGAGTTCCTTCATGAATGAGGCACTTTTTTCGACGATCGCCGCCGCGCGCTGCGCAGCATCAGCTTGCTGGTTCAAGTTGTTCTGTTTCTCAAACTCTTCGATTTGTTCCCGCAACGCCGCCTCCACGTCACCTGAGATGGAAGGATCGTCATTGAGGACCTTCACGATGAGATCGTGCATGGAATCATGCAGCCATGGGTACTTGGCATCCTGATCCCCATCTTGTTCGATGTCCGCATATTCCAGACCATCCGACAAGATAAGGGCCATGAACTGGTTGAAAAATTGCCCTGCCCAATCCTTTGACGGACTCAGTATATCCAAGATGTTACATTGCTTGTTGATCAAGTTATTACCCTACCCCAAAAGAAAGGCTGTGTTAGTATGAAACTAGTTACATGGGAGCTAGAGGGTAGGAGGGTGTCAAGAAGGTACTAACACTGTCGTCGATGGGAAAGTTCGCCCACTTGCGCAGCTGGCGAGGGTTATTGAGAAGGAAGGTGCAAAGCTGTTCAGCCCAGTTATCCGGATTGTCTGCTCGGTACGGTGCCAATTTTTCCTCGTTCATCCGGAACATCGCCTCCCGAGAAGCTAGGCGGTTGATGTCGTTGTATTCTTCACTCTGCGAGAGGCTGTTTTTGCCATTCCCCTGCCACCAATACCAAAGGTTGTTCATCTCCTTTTCCGTGAAACTGTTCATGTACTTTGACGTCCGCCCAACGTAGCGAGAGATGAAAGCAGGGGCGTACTTGTTCTTGAAGAATTCTTTCAGCTTCTGTGGAAGGTCGTCGGCGAGAGAGACTGGAATATCCTTGTTCAGGACGGGCTTGGGCTGTTGCAGGATCTTTTCTCTTTGATTGCTATCCATGTGGTACAACATCATTTCCTTGATAAGCGTTTGCGTATCATTGTGAACCTGGTTGCTTCAAGTTAAGATTGACATTAATTGTATGACCGAGAAAGAGATAGGACGCACCGATATTTCATTGTAGCCTGCGAGGTTGACGAGATCTTTGATACTCAGCGCGCTGGAAGAGAGAAGAGTCTCCGTGATCCGCGCTGGTTGAAGCCGCTCGTTGGCGGTGTCGGTCTGTCCAGGTTTTGTGATGGGCGCGTACGCCTGGGAGATCTTGGAGCGACAGGCTTGAACTGCCATAGATGTGGCCAAAGTTCCTGTTACCAGATGACTAGACTCACGTCAGCACCATGAAGCCTGGCGATGGGTTATTTGTTGCTTCTCAGGACTTCTTACCGGTTGCCCTTGTTTCCTCGTTTCGTTGGATCGTATTCAAAGAAGTAGCCAGTGATCTTCTCATCAAGGAAGTCGCTGTCATCTAGTTTGAGCGTCATCTCCTGGAAGAGTGCTGGTATAGTCACATCAATGTCCAGGCCCGGGAAGCCCACATCGAAGGTCTTCTGGACATCCAGTCCGGTGTTAGATACAAAGGGAACCAGAGATGCACGATTCCATCGCACGTTGTACAGGTCATAGCTCTCGTAGGTCTCGTCACTGCTGTACAGCTTCCCTACTGACTGGTACAACTCTCCCAGGTGTTGCCCATACTTTTGGTTGATTTGGTCTCTTAGATCGTCAAGTGCAGGCAATCGAACCCCGGGGATGTTGACTCCCTGTGAGGCCCACCAGCCATCTTCAATGATGCCTGCATCGACTGGGTCCTGGGGTTCGGTTCTCTCTTCCTCATCGGCAGGCCAGATACTGCGATCATACGTAATCTGCCACTCTGACAAGGCTTGCCACTCACTGCCATCGTCATCCGCGCGCCTCGTGCGGGTGAATCGGGGGTCCAAGCTTCGGGCCTGTGCTTCAAAAGAATGGGCCTGGTCCCGACAGAGCGTTCTCTGAGGCTCGAATTCGGAAGATAAGTAGATAGCCCCGCGTCCTGCGGTCGCCTCAGAGTAGATCTCCACGACTCCATGCTCGAAGAGGTTGTGCTGTTGAAGTTCTCGCGTCCATCGGAAGCTTCTGTGGTAGGGGTCGTAGGTACTTCGGAGCTGCACCTCGTCGTCGACCATGAGATAGCCATCGACCAGCGTTAAAGTAGGAAGCTCATACCCGGCTGGTAGGCGGTCCGGGGCATGAGCGTCGAGAGCAAATTTTCTTTTGAGCCGTTCAATTGCCACTCCTTTGGGCACGTCAATGGCCTTCCTGAGCTTGACCCGGTCTCTGAACGACAGAGAAGCGATGGACTTCAATGGTACAGGATGATTTCCCTTTGAAGAACTGTATTGACCGAATAGTTCCCAGTTCAAGCGCTGGGAGATGGCCTGCACGTCGAATCGCTGGAACATGAAAGATAGCTCTTTGCAAGTGGACAAGAGGACCAGCCGTTGATCCTCGGGGACTTGGCGCAGCCTCTCCCCTGTTTCTCGGAGTGTATGACAGGGGGCATTCGTGTCAATCACATAACCATGTGCGTGGTAGGTCTGGTGCTCGGCAGCCAACGCCAATGTGTGTGTCAGTTCCGATCGAGGCACCTTGCCCCGGTCGATAGACTTGATTTCCACTGTAATCCATTCATGCCCCTCCAGCCGGAAGAGCATGTGCCCGACGGCGAGCTGGCCAATGTTTCGATAGGGATTGAAACATCGGGCTCCCTTCACATCCACTGCCCGTGGTCCGGTCGTCGTCTGAAACACCTGCGAGGCAGGCATGCAGGGAGGCTGTCCGTCTACACCCACTCGTGTTAGTAAAGAGCTATGTTAATCGTTTACAGTGGCAACTGTACTTACTGAACCCAACCAGCCTTGTCTTTGGTGACCGTCCAAGGCGATTCTGGCGAACTACAACCGACTTGCCCGGGTGATCAGGAGCCAGAATCACATCCCCTGAATATATGTCCTCCACCGGTCGTGAGCTTCCATCGGCAAGTGCAATAGGGGTTCCCGGCAGGAGACCAGACACCATCAACGGATTGAAGATACCGCAAACCTCTTCTCTGACCGGACGGTTATCCCCCACCAACCCGTACTGGCCCTCCTTATTGCATGCTATTACATAAAGTCAGAATTTGAAAGGCCAAGAGCCGAAAAGCCTTGCTTGATAACCGGATTTGCGACATACCATCGTGCAGCCAGGACTGGATCGAGGACCACTTCTTGGCTTTAAAGGCGCGATACAAGCCCTCCTCCCAGAGGGGCACAGCCTCGGATTCCCATGCATGGGTCAGCGCCATACAATATGACTGCCATTCATTCACTATCTCCTCCTGGTCCTGTAAGCGCTGCAAGCTCTCCCGTAATTCTCGATTGTACATATCATCTGCCACAGCTCGGGCCCCGTTACCGGTCTCACTCATCTCATAGAAAGCCTTGGTCACGGTAAATGTCTGCGCGGGGACCTGGAACCCGGTGGTCGCATCGAGAGGGCACAGGGCGAAGCTGGCCACGCGGCCACAGAAGCGGACGATGGAATCCATCTGGTCGGGATCTCCCTTTCCCCCGGCCTCCGCCCAGAGGGTATAAGACCATTGAACCAGGGCCTGGTAGCTCGGCCTGTTTTGAAACTCGCTCCCGGCGACCGGGGTGTTGCGGCAGACATGGTCCCGGTCGGACATGTAGTCGGCGATGAGCAGCCAGACAATACTGAACAGATGATCATCCCGGAGCACATCGGTGCGGACCTCCGTCCGAATGAATTCCGGATTGGTGATGAACTGCATCAAGGATCTCTTGAAGTCCTCGTTGTGCCACAAGTCGTCGATAGTCAGGGCTCCTCGGGATTTGAGGTCGCGGTTGACGTGCTCAACCAAGCAGAACCCTAGAAGGTTGGTGATGCATTGCAGATACCAAAGGTGCGAACTGTTCTGAAGGTTTTCCTATCAACCAACCGGTGATTCGGCAGAGTAGAAGAGTGCCAGTGAGCTTACCTGGTCCACGTACTGCCGCAAGTTCTGAGGGTCATCATCGCTTTCCAAACCCGCAATCCCATTCGCGACCGAGGGTATCATCAGCTTGGTCAACAGGTCGCCGATCCCGAAGATGTCGATAGCCCAATTGTCGGGATCGGGGTCATCTTCGGGGTAGGTCGGCGCCCGATCCACGCATGCTTGCAAATCTTGGAGACCACTGGTCCCCTGGAACTGGTTCCGGACCTTGTTGTGCAGCCGATGGGCATAGTCGACGTAAGGTAGCTTCTTGAGGCCTTTGGTTGCTTTCACAGCCTCAGCGAAAACTTGCTCCACGTCGCCTGACATTGTATCGTTGCACGCGGTTCAAGACGGCGAGAGATTCTTGCTTAAATTACTCTTGGGTTTGAATCCCTCTTTAGTCTGAGGAATGATGATAATTTGGAAATGAAAGAAGAAGTTGTTCATTGTTTTATACCCCCTAGTCCCCGTCCCTGGCTCCCCAGGCCCGCGGAGTCATTTTCATGGGTACTGAGGGGAATAATCTATCCTGCATATAATGACGACAAAGTGTCTCGTCAATTTCTAGGATTACTGCGATGGTGAGGTCAGTCTTGTTTCATCCAAGGCATGCATGGTAGGGATTGATGTGGGGTCTGCCTTGAGATGCTACTGAGTATACGCTGCAACTGGCACAAGGCTGGCTGAAACCCGAGATAAGCCATACATCTAGCGTTGATCAATTACTCGAGAAAAAGCAACGAGAGCCAGAAAGGTGGGGACTGGGCTGTAACCCCTCATTTGTATATTAAAGAACTGGGATCATATCAGGAAGGATCAATCCATGGAGAAGAGGAGAATGAGAGGGAGCTTCCCAGCCCTGGAAGCTGGAGGGAAAGGCTGCAATAAATGTCATTCAAACATCACACGTACTTTTGCAACTGTATTAGGCACTCTTGTCCTGGACGGATAAATGATCCAGACCACTGAGAAGTCGGAGGGGTCGGTCCACTCGCTCATTACAAAAGTACGAAGTTGCAACTGACTCGTCATCATCATTTATAGATGCAGACACCTTACCTCTTTTGTTTATCGGGAGATGTAACAGCCTGTCAGGGCCCCAGATCTTGTTACACATACTCCATAAGCTTACGCACCTGCGACTGGGAAATGATGTTGATCTACTTGGCCAAGCACTGACAGCAATTCTTATGGATTGTCCCAGGGGCCTGTAATGCCCTTTGTGTAAGGGCTGTGCCAATAATCTTTATGATTACTCGCGTGGGAATACTTGCAAAGGAGATCGCTACGGCGTCAGCCTGAGACACCTGTTACTATATTAACTGAGCACAAATCCACTGTATCGAGAACGCCAAACCCGACATTGCAATTCCGAATTGACACGGGCATTGGTCCGTTTAACGGTGGAATAGCGCCTTAGTCTTCAAACTAAAGTAGAATTTTTGCCACATCCTTGCGCGGGTTGGAGTTAGTGCATCCTAGGTGGGAGTTATTATAGATCCTTGAACAAATTACATGAATCAGACTAAAAGTAAACACAAACAACTTGTAACAGGACAGTATCTACAGGTTTTTCTTCAACCACAATCTCTGAGAATTACAATAGGATTTCAACCCGTCAACACCCCATTCCACACCGATCCCACTCGCTTTGTGGCCCCCGTAGGGAATGTTCGGCAGCACGTCAAAGTGTGAGTTCACCCAAACATTGCCAGCCTCTAATTGACTCGCGATACGCTGCGCTCTCTCCAGGTCCTTGCTCCAGACCGACGCACCCAGCCCCATATCGGTATCGTTCGCCCGATCAATTACATCAATCTCTGAGCTCCACTTCAACAGAGGGAGTATCGGCGCAAAGGGCTCCTCTTGAACCACGCGCGATGCCTCGGGAGGATTGTCGATGATGGCCGGCGGGACGAAATATCCATCTGACTCCGGAATAATGCCTCCCAGGACAGGTTTCAGAGCATCTTGCTGGATAGTCTCGAAAATATTCTTGGCTTTTTCGAACTGCATTTCGTTTTGAATCGGACCGATGAAGACGTCGGGTTCGTTTCCCTCGCCCATCTTGAAAGCTCGAACAAATTCCACCAGCTTGTCGCGGAACTCATCGTATATGTTCTCGTGGATGTAGAGTCGTTTGATCATCATGCATATCTGACCGGTGCAGAGGAACGATAGGACTCCCACCTATTTACGAAACGGAATTAGATCAGCAAGGATGATGGATGATGGTTTCAGACCGTCATAGATATGGCTTGACTCACCTTGGGAACCACAACATCTACATCAATATCATCGCACAAAATCGCCGGGTCATTCCCTCCCAGCTCCAACGTAACTCTCTTCAGGGTCTTCGCACAACTAGCCATAACCCTCCGACCCGTGACACTCGAACCCGTGAAGCTAATCTTGTCGATACTCGGATGTTCCGTCATCATCGGACCCAGATCATCGCCACCACTCAAAGCCTGCAACAGACCAGGCGGGAAGCATCTCGTGCCCAGTTCCGCAATCTTAAGATCGCAGTACGGCGTGAACGGTGACGGCTTGACGATCACTGCGTTACCCGTGTAGATGGACGGCACAATCTTCCCGACGGCGAGCAGGAGGGGATAATTCCAGGGTACGATGGCACCGACGACGCCCAGTGGCACGTACCGCTGAACTACCTTGCGTTCGTCTGTCTCTTCGACTACAGTCTCGGGCAGGTCGAGGGTTGTCAGAGTGCGTGCCCATTGTAAGGCCATACTGGTTTCCATCTGGGATTGGGCTATAGGTTTCCCTTGTTCGCGCGTCAGCAAGGAGGCTAGCGGGTCTTTGTTCTCTTCGATAAGGTCGGCGAAGGCGTTCAGTGCCGTTCGACGCTCCTCGAAAGAGGTGCGAGACCAGATTTTAAAAGCCGCGTGAGCTGCACGGACAGCATTGTCGAGGTCCTTGGCCGTGGATACTGGCACCGGCGGGTTCGGTTGGCGGTTGGCTGGGTTGATGCCGTGACGGGTGGTCTCGGTGCTGGTCAGTTCGTTATTGATGACATTATAGAAGGTCTACCACTATTAGTGTGCTAGTTCTGGTTTATCTTAACGATTAATGTCTGGGGACTTTACGGTAATATCCAAGGACATGATGGAATGACCGACACGGGTGACGACGAGTTCAGGTTTTCGGACGAGAAGAAGGAAGAGAAGGAGGGCAAGACATCTTATATGCCTGTCTTCTGTATCACATCTCATCCTGAAAGTGGCCGACAGCCCCTCAATTTACCGTGCCTCGTCACAGCCTATCTGAGTCGCACAATCTGCGTGCGACGATCTTTCTCTTTGGCTGGGCATGCGGGGTTCTGATACACGAGGCCAATCAAAACGCCATGATGAATCTCACAAAGCACGATGTGATCATATTGCAGAATCTGACAGCCAGTGGCACGCCCAAGGAAGTATCTCCCGCACTGAGGATACATCGTCGTAGTAATTGTAGAAGCAGAAAGGAAAGCTTTTTAATAGGGCGCGATACGACAACCACATAATCTTCCACATAATACTACAAATGACAGAAAATGAGTACAAGGTAACAAGCAAGAATTCATTTCCTATCGATTTACCAGTTCTAACTCTGTCTATGGAGTCGCAAAATCAAAATTTCATGCTAGGGCGACGACAGCAATGCCTGGCTCTCATATCACAACTAAGAAACAAGCAAAACATAAGCGAAACATAAGTGAAACATCCCCAGGCGCCACATCCTAACACTAACAGTAATCCTCCCCATTGAATGTCATGAAAACATTGCCCACATTACACGATGAGCTGCCCCCATCTGCGCTGTAAAGTGGCGACTCTATAATATGGTTAGCCTGGTTCCCTTGATAACATAGAACACCGCTCAAAGAAGACAAAAGAAAACTCACCATTCACCGGCAACGCCTGTCCCGGTCTCCTCACAATTGACAACGGCGACGGAGTCAGCGTATTCTCACAGCTGACTTGGTCCTCCGCGCCGTTTACAATGGCCGAGCCCGTCCACACATCGATGTGCCAGACGCCCTTTTCCCAGTTCTTGTCGCAGGTCGCGCAGAAATCCTCGTTGCGCAGGTACTTCTGCAAATAGGGCACGTAGATGATCTCGCACTCTTCGAATTCGCCGGTGCCTGTGGCGAAGGTGAGTGGGTCATCGTACGTGCCGATGCCACCGGCGCTGTTGCCCCGGCCGCAGTTGTAGAGGATGTCTGGGCCGGGAGGGTCGTTGTCGGGGTAGCCGTAGAAGGTGTGCGAGACGTCTTTGAGGACTTCGCAGGATGCCCTGACGGAGGGAAAGATTGCAAAGAGGAGTACATAGTCAAGGAACTTGTACATTGTGGAAGACATGGTGGATGGTGGATGGTGATTGTGTGTTTGAGATGGCTATCTTTGTTATACGTTTGAGCAGGAAGGTGCAGGTGGGAAGGAATTTGTGGGGAAAGCTGGGCGAAGGAAAGGCTTTTTGAATGACTTTGATTAGGCTTTCTGTCGAGTGATTGTGAGTCATTTGAAAGATTTTGAGGTCTGAGCCATGGTCGTGTGGCCATGTTGTCGTGATGTTGTCGTCATTTGGAAGGATGCGGAATATCATGGCTCACCATGAAGCAAATAATGATTAATAGATAGATCATCAAAGGATTACGGTCCGGGATCCGTCAATAGCGTCCTGATGACCCCAGCACGTCCATCATCCGCACAATCGACTTGGTATAGACCTCCACGGCCTGAACACTGAGCACAGTCAGCTCCATGGATCCGGTATTTTCAGCAACAAATTTCGTATATTCATCCCGCACAGTCCGATTCAGGTTGATCTTCCGAACACCGCACTGAATCGTTTCCAAGAAGAGCTCGTCAGAGACAGGGTGCGTTCCGTGAAGTGCCAAGGGAATGGTCGGGGATAGTGACTTCCCGATGGCTGCGAGTCTAATACATTCATTCATCAGCACCTTCCCTCATTCACCCTCCATACATAGCTTCGATAAATATGACATACCTCTCCAAATCCCACGCCCTCTCCGCCCCTCCCTCCGGATATCCACCATGAATATTCCCAAACGAAGGCGCCAGAAAATGCACCCCGGTGCGCCGAACGAACTCCTCCGCTTGATCCTCCCTCGTCATCACAGCCTCCATATCGACCGTAGGCAAACCGTCCTCGCCGCCCTCAATACGTCCCATCTCCGCTTCGATGGTAATATTCAAAGCACGAGCTCGCTGCACGATTCCTTTACAGTAGTTGATATTAGCCTCCTCATCGAGCGTCGACGCATCCACCATGATGGAATCGAACGGCAGAGTCAGCGCCAACTCGACATCGTCGGCCTTGATGCAGTGGTCGAGGTGCACGGCTATGGGGACGTGTGCAGCGTGAGCGCTGCGGACTACGTAGCGGATGAACTCAGGACCTTGGAAATGCATTGTCCAGGGGAAGAGTTGAATGATTGCTGCGGAGCGTGTGCGTTCGGCGGCGCGGATTACGGCCATTACGCCGTCGGTGTTGTAGCTGCGTTGTTGTTAGCTGGGTGTATATTCTATAGTCGGTAGGTAGCTCAGAGTATTTGTTAGGGCTGTGTTGTTAAGGTTCTGATATAGATGGAACGGTGGTAGTTATACATACCAGTTGTAGGCTCCGACAGCGTAGTTATGCTTGCTGGCATGATTGAGAATTCGCCATGTGAGGTTGCTTTCAGGATACATGTATTCATCCTTTGAGGCCATGATGTAGATGTATTTTGTCAATATCTACTGGTAAACTAGTAGATTTTCTTCGTGTATAAAGAAAGTTTTTGTATGCTTAGCGCAGGCAAGAAGATGGCAGCTGGATCTCAGTTTATAGCGCCCACTGGGCATGATCGGGCTCGGACCGGGTCCGAAAGAAGTGGGTAGGGTAGTTTGAGTAATCCTAACATTGATGTAGAGCTACCATGTAGCCATTCTTCTATGTATGTAGAGCTTCGGGCCTGCTGCAGCATATCGCATTTAGGGTTCTATACTGTGCCAATGAACGTAGTATAGAGTAAGCATACTACTCTAAATTAAATTCAATTAATAAATCTCTTGACTAATTAATAGAAAGCGGCGTATCCGACAAAACCAACTCATCGATCCCATACTGTTTGGCCGCGTCAGCAAACATGCACTTTTCAGCATCTGCATACGGAATTCCCTCCTTCTGGCGCTGTATACCCAACCGATACTCCGGTTCTCCAGGGAATAGTACCTCCGAGAACCCCGGCGCCGGACTCACCCCATGAACCCTTTGCACCAAGACATCCATCCTGGCCTTAAAGTCCTCCGTACTCATAAAAACATCCGGCTTCAACACGACAAAACAATGGCCCACATTCTGCGGCTTCACATCCTTATACTGATCTCCCACCTCCCCACCAAACGCCGCCCCCGTCAAAACCCCCGACATCACATCCATGAGGATGGCAATTCCCGAGCCCTTCGGCCCACCAATCGGCGCCATACTTCCATTCAGCGCGACCTCGGCATCAGTCGTTGGATTCCCATTCGCATCCAGCGCCCAGCCCAACGGAATCGGCTCCCCCCGGCGCGCCGCCTTGCGGATCTTCCCCTTCGCCACGACCGACGGCGCCATGTCCAGCACATACGGGACCTCAGAGCCGGAAGGCGCACCGGCCGCGAACGGCGAAATCCCCAATAGCGTCTCCTGCCCGCCGAACGGCGGCATCTGCTTCGCCGAGTTGGTGAATACCAACGAGATCATGTTTGCGGACAGCGCCTGCAGCACGTAGGTGGCGGCCATGCCGAAGTGGTTGGAATGGTTGACGGTCACCATGCCGATGCCGTAGATCTCGGCGCGCCGGATAGCGTCCTGCATGGCTTTTGTAGCGACGACGAATCCGAATCCGTTGTCACCGTTGAGATGCGCGACCACGGGGGTCTTTTCCGTGATCTGCATGTTGGGCGTTGCGTTTACGCGGCCTTTGCTGACGCGGTCGAGGTACTGAGGAAGACGGGCCAGGCCGTGAGTGTCCTACGTGTACTGCGTTAGTATGGATGGAGTCAGAGGAGGTGCGGTGGTACTCACGACGCCGCGCACGTCAGCCAGAACTAAGCATTCCGCCATGGACTTGGCGTCGTTTTCGCTTAGACCGGCCTTGACGAGCAGGTCGCGGGCAAATTTAGTCGCCTCGGCGGGGTTGGCATAGTATCGGGCCTGTGAGCATTGTTAGAGATATTGAATCGCACCTATTCGTGTTCATAGTACGCACGTCGGAAGCCATGGCGTAGATATTGAGATCGACCGAATCAAAGGCTAGGGAACAACAGTATACTGAGTGCAGGCCAAGCGGTCGTATAGAAACAGACAGAGGGATATGGGCGGTGCTCCAAACAGTTAAGAACTAATCGGAAGAGTCAATGTCTTTGTAAGATAAAGGAAGTTGAAGGGAGGAATAAATCCCGATATCTTCGTCGGATTCGGTCCGAAATCGCTCTGATTGGCCCGGGATATCATGTAGAGGAAAAGGGTTCGGACCGTAACCGATCGGACGACCCGGCAGCGAGCCGCAGAATCGAATATTATCATTCGGAGTGAGTTGCATAGTATCAATTGAATAGATCCCGTAGAAAATGTTGCTACCTAACCGTCCTTTACTTTCGCTCCTGTCGCTATGCACATGCCTAACAACGCAAACAGATAATGCTTACATTACTACAAATTCTAGATATCCACGTTTCTAATTCAATCTTCGATGTCTTTGTTTTCATTGAAGCATCATTGGTCTAGTGGTAGAATTCGTCGTTGCCATCGACGAGGCCCGTGTTCGATTCACGGATGATGCAATTCTTTTTTTCTGCATCTGTATAGCTCATTTACTGCTCCATTTAGTCTTGCCGCAGCTGACTGGTCATTGGAGGTCTTGAGCCACTACCGAACAGCTCCAGAAACACCCGAACCGGACCTTTAGCAACTGAATGAGGCAGTATCGCTGGCTGCCACAAATTATAAAGTGATCATCATTGACATTTTTTCCGCCAAGGTCCGGCAGCCACCAGACCATTTAATATGATATAGTGAAGGGCCTTCGCTGGTAGGTCTTAACTGAGCAGGCAGATACCATAAGTAGCAGCTTGATTATCGAGTGCTGTCCTTCTAGCCATTGGCCTAAATCAAATTAAAAGAGAAGCACGCCGCTAAAGACGAAACACAATCATTCAAACGGATTTCCAAATATAGATCAAGCCACCCCATTCTAGGGCGAGCACCAGAAATACTACAGCCGAAATCGTGAGGCAAACACCAAGCGGATTAAGCTGTTTGATCCGCTCCCAAAGACGCATACTACTACCACTAGCAGTAATCGCTGTCCTATCCTATCTCATGTCATCATTATCGCCCCCTTTCCTCCCATCAGGAAACACGAAAAACATGACTATCATCGCAACCGGCACAAGATACTCGTAGTTAGAGCGCTCCGAGCAAGAGTCCAACGACAGCCGAGACGCCAAAATCGGCTCTCAGAATTCCTACATATATTAGCCCTTTGGGCAATGGAACGGTCTCGGTGATATTACTTATACACCTAGCTGTAATCCCGCCGATCCGATTCTCTAAAGGGCACGGCCAAGAATCATCGCAAGGAAATTCGAAGCCCCGGCGCTCCCACGATAAAGACCAGCACGATCGTCTTTAGATAGATATATCAGGTACACGATTTCCAGTGGCAACTGCATCACCGACCCGGTTCAAATATAGGCGCACCCGCACCATGCGATATGGTTGGAGGAATGGATTTTGTTCGTGATTCTGGGGATGGCGGTCGACGGCGAGCGTTCCCGGGCCAGGTCATTTATCTTGTAGTTCTCAAAATGGGAGGACCAATGACACTAGGAACACACAAAGGGATGTCGAGATCATGAGAGCGGCAAGCTCAACTCCCTCGAGATAGTTGTTAGAATCCTCAGTTTGGCCCAGAAAGAATAGGGGGGAAGAATCCCAGCTTAGCGGTGCGAGTGATTGAGACGAGGAGTCTATATAAACCTATCTTGCTGATGGTTCGGGACAGTTAATCTCCGAGGCGCATTTAGATCTACTAAAATTTGCGCTATACCATGCACACATATCCAAGCTGAGTGAATTACGGACCTATGGGGGCCATCTCTAATAAATCTATTGCTATACCGCCTATTTTCATCGAAGTATTTCGGATTACAACATAAAAAAAGATCAAAATACAAGATGTGATTGACTCGGCATCCCGGAGAGTGGGCCTCGGAGACACCGGAACCAATCGGGGGCCTGTCATGACAAGCCCGAAGAGCAGTCTCCGAACAAAGCAAAATAAGTATAAAAAGGAGCACATCTTTCCCTTGACAGAATTGATTATAAGACCTTACCGTGCAAAATCAATCCCCAATTTTTTTTTCGGGGCTGAGTCCGATCCCGTCGGGCTGTACAAGAGTTTTGTCTACGATGTAAGTAGCCTTTGACTTGGGATCAAATTCCCAGGTGGCAGTAGTTAACTGGGGAGCAGTGTCTGTAATCCCGGTGTACCACGAGTAGTCTGCAGGGAGGATTAGACAATCATGAAGGGAAAAGAGGATCAAGAAGTCGGCACAATGGGATCTGTAAACCACACTTCCTTCGTCACTGGATGAACGGCCAGATCGTCGATGGTGTTGAAGTAATAGCCAAAGTAATTATCGAGCCAGGTTTTCGTTTCGTTCGTTTCTGAGTCCCAGGTCTGTAAAGAGGGCTTGAACTCCAGGCCAGAGGAATGGTTTCCACCAGATGCGCCAAACCAGACCAGACCGTCGCTGTAGTGAGCTCCGTTTGGCACGTAGACCGGCGGATTGGTTGTGAATTCGGAGAGAACCGGGGGATCGTGATTTAAATCTACAGATAACAATGGCAACTGATCAACGGCGAGCTCAGCGAACACCAGCTTGTTTTGATCTGGGAGATAAACATGGGCTTCGTGGACATCCTGGCTAACATGGAAGACAGTCTCCACAGAAGGCTGGGACCCCAAAAGCTCAAGTCCCCTTTCACGATCGAAAATCACAAACTTGACGTCACAAATCAGGTCCCATGATAGGCCTTCGCGGTTTGTAATTCTAAGGGCATCCGGTGACATTGCTGCAGTGTCGGAGCAACTTCACTCAAAATGGTATCTAACGATTAATTTTATTAGTTCAAGTCCATATGTTGGACGCAAGCAAGCCCACATACGATATAACTGCAGCATAATCATTGATACAAACACCATCCGGTCCGTAGGTTTCCAATAGCGGATTCTTAACTACCGACATGACGGCCTGGGCACAGTTCATAAAAGCCCGAACGCTTAAAGGAGCCATGATGTGAGAATAGTCGAACAATCTTTGCTGGTGATGGAGAGTACGACAGTGGTATGTGTTGAGTGTTGATCGAAATAAGACACGGCAACTCTCGAGAAATCCTGCATGCGTCTTTAAGATGGGGGCGGAGTGATTTCAAGTTCACGCCAGAGTATGGCATTTGAACCTGCACACTGAATTTACTACAATAGATAATTGTATCGGGTATTCGGCTATAATAGTTACCTCCGTGATGTCCCCCTTTGAGAATTCTACATTCGGTTGGGGAACTAGGTATTGAGATTATTGTTACTCGCGGATTCAAGTTTGTCCGTGGAGCTTTACTCGAAGAACCCCTAAACAACTATATCTATATGTTTGTCCAGCCGTTTACCTGGGTGATGGAGCCTGCGATCCAGCCATCGTGCGGAAGAGCCATTCTAGCAAGAACTCTTAAACGCATCTCCCCTGGCTCGATCGACCCTACAGTCAAAAATCCCCAGTTGGGGGATTCCATCCGAGGTCTTTTCGAAGCACGCTGTCGCGATGATCTGTATCCATTCTTGACAGATGTGGATGTCAACCTTACTGAAGGGACTGGCTTTAACATATTCATTGGTACACTCCGGATCGGGGGATATTAGAGGGTATCACTCGTATAAGCGCTATTGAAGCTGGTCTGGTTCTCTCTTTCGATGCTTTTGTCCAGGTCGTGCCTGTTGAGATGACGTACCAAGCAGACGAGATATTCATGTGCACTACTGCTGGGGGCATCATGCCCATCACAACCTTGGACGGAAATTCTGTCAATGACGGTAATGTTGGGCCGATCACAAAGTCTATCTGGGATCAGTACTGGTCGATGTATTACAATCCTAGATATACTATGATTATTGATTATAATGAGCCAAAGTTTTGACTGCAATTTCCATTGACTGGCTGAACAATACCGTATGCCATAACGTAATTCCAAAGTAAGCTGGTCTGGGCCCATGTATAGATTAACTCCCTCATTTTAGGTCTGCCGTAGACAGACCTCGACTTTTCCAATACGTACTAGATATCCGACATCTAACTAAACTCAACCACATACGACCACAGGGTGTGGAGAACAGGGCTTCCCGTCCGCTCAGCCGTACTTAAGCCACACGCCGGCCGGTTAGTAGTTGGGTGGGTGACCACCAGCGAATCCCGGCTGTTGTATGTTTTTCTTTTTTGAACTTTTTGCTGTTTGTTTGTTGTGCCTTCGTCAGAAGAGTATTTGTTTGGTATGACCTGATCCAGATCTTACTACTCGAACTATACCTAATCAATCTAAGAGCAATTTGCCGGTCCACTTACTCTCTTTCTTTTACATCGGGAAGCAGATAGTGGGGATTCAGACAATTTCTTAGCAATGAACGAAGACAGTATACAAAAACGGTAAAACCTAATGTTTAGCTGTGCTGTTAAGTACGGGAAAATCCCACATATGCTCATCCTCCTCCGCTACTTCAAAATCAAATCGAACAAGGTCTCCCTTATAAGGAAACATGTATGTGCTGGTCACCCTGGATCCAACTTAGAGTCTCCAACAAATACTTTACTCATAGGAAAAACCACTTACCAGTGATGCTCTTTACTTGCTTGATACTTCTCCAGTGCCTCAAGGTTCTCATGGAAGCTGAGGAGCGCAAATTCGAATCCCTTGCTTCTCTCGATGGGATCGGTGACGGACGGGCCACCGACAACGAGTCGATGCGACTTGACGCAGTCCAAGTCTTTCAGCTTCTTGAGTTCGCGCACGAACTCTTGTTTGTGTTCTGCCGTCACTTCGGGACGAAATTTGAACATCACTGATTGGTTCTGTTAATTGATTAGGAGCATGGTGGAGGGTTTTAATGTGTGGCTCACCCATGTGTACAATCGTCATTGTGAAATATTCGGTAAAAAAGGTGGATTAACGGATTAAAACCTGGTCTAAGTCCCGCAGAATATGAAGAGTCAAAATAATAATGTGATGATTTGCAAAATGAATTGACAGTTGAATGTACCCAAGCTAGGTGGTTCTGTTTCTTTTAGATCAGGCGGTCCGTAGCCATCTTTGGTCTGATTGTCCTCGGCCGGACTCCTGCCGTCATCCTTCGGAGTCGGAGCCGAAGCCCTCTACTTTCCGCGCCTCTCAGCTAGACAACGAAGCTTGGTCTGTGTTGCATGACAAGACGGTGCCAATGCTGATCCCCCCAGCCAACGGTTCCATTCAGCACTCCACTGAGTGTGGGCATTCCTTTATTTCCGTCTTGACATGAGCCCTACCCCATGGGGAAAGAATGAGGGGGTGAACTTAATGGGTGCTTGGAAATAGCAAAAAATGTATAAAAAGGTGTCTTCAAGTAGATTTGAACTTGGTTTCTTCCCCTGGAGGACGGATTATTTCCCTCTGTCTCATCTCCAGTCTTGTTTCTTTCCTATCTTCATTTTATTCTTTACATTCCAAGTCTGCCTCTATCATGGCTGACACTAAGAAAGCCGCAGCGCAGCCCCTTGAGCTTTCAGTCTCGCAGAAAGAGACTGGAGGCACTAATAGACTGGCTACTGCTCAGCAGATGTCACAGGAAGACTTTGCTGCCGCAGAAAAGCGTCTCAAGCGAAAGCTCGACATACGTCTTTTGTTATGTGTTTGGGTTATCTTTGTCATGAATTATCTCGACAGAGTGAGTTCAAGGGATCCATACCTCGTTCTATGTCATTTCCTAACATATTCTCTTCGTGCTACAGAATAACATAGCTGCTGCCAAAGTTGCCGGTATAGCAACATCCCTAAATCTGACCAGTACCCAATATGCCACGGCTGTGGCTATTCTTTTCGCCGGCTACGTCCTGATGCAACTTCCTTCGAATATATTCTTGGCTCATTTGCGTCCATCTATCTACCTCCCCACCTGCATGGCTATATGGGGCATGCTGTCAGCTCTGGTAGGAGCAACTCACAATGCTGGGGGGCTGTATGCTTTGAGGTTCTTACTGGGCTTTGTTGAAGCTGCTTTCTACCGTGAGACACTTCCTATCAGAATACCTTGTTTTCCTCACATGCAGTGGATACTGATTATTTTCATAGCGGGAGCTTTGTTTCTTATTTCCTCATGGTACAAACGTGAGGAAATGGGCGTACGCAGTGCATTTCTTTTCTCGGGGTCCCAGCTAGGAAGCGCCTTTTCCGGCTTAATCGGTGCGGGCATCGAGAGCGGCCTTAACGGAGCTCGAGGACTTGAATCATGGCGCTGGATCTTTATTATTGAAGGCTCCATCACTGTGTTTATTGCTTTGGTCGCGATATTAGTTTTACCCGACTACCCATCCAATACTCGCTGGCTCACCCCCGAAGAGCGCGCAGTGGCCGAATGGCGCCTGATCTCAGATGCCGGGCAGGTAGATGAAGATGACGAGCGCTGGAGCTACGGATTCAAAATGGCCTTTGCCGACTGGCGACTTTATGTCTTCGCATTGACATTCCTCTGCATTCAAGTGGCCAGTGCTACGTCTAATTTCTTCCCTTCCGTCGTTCAAACACTGGGTTTCGGCCGTGTTAATACGCTGCTGCTCACGGTTCCGCCATACATAGCGGCGCTCACCCTTGCGATCCTGAACAACTGGTCTGCAGACCGGTTGCAGAATTCCTCTTTCCACATAATATGGGTGTTGGCGGTGGCTATCGTCGGCTTCGTCGTTGCAGCCGCGTCCTTGAACACCGGAGCTCGCTACTTTGCTATGATACTCATGGTTGCGGGAGGTCATGGTGCAAATGCCGTGCTGCTGGCTTGGACGCAGAAAACCATGCTTCGACCTCGGATCAAGCGCGCATCATCGGTGGCTTTTGTGAATGCTGTTGGGAACTTGGCGCAGATCTTCTCTTCCTACCTCTACCCAGAAGAATCTGCACCGCGCTACGTCCTCGCCATGTCTGCAAATTCGGGATTCACGTTTGCTGCTATCTGCCTAACTCTCTTCATGCGGATTGTTTTGATCAGAGCTAACAAGCGTCTGGCTAGCGGTACATCCACCGTGGCGGAGGAGATGAAGGGTCAGAGCCAGGCCGAAATTGCCGGCTTGACTGATGAAGAACGTCTGGCTCGGAGGGAGGAATTCCGTTATGTTGCCTAGAGTGGGATTCCATCTCTTCTTTGTGTTCTTTTGGTAAAATTCGCATAGTATGACGTGCATTGAGCGTTTTGCTATGGATTTAGTTCTTCGGTCATTTTCATCTTCAGTCAATTACCGTCTTTGCTATCTTCGGTCATTTTCATCTGCAGTCATTATCTTCGGCCAATTTTATTTTCAGTCATTGCCCGTTCTTCAACTATTCCCCTTTTCGGTCGTTTTCCTTTTCGGCCCTTTTGAAACAAGGGCCTAGATTGACTGAGTCATGGCCTGCTTTTGTCGATTTCTTCCTTTTCTACTTCAGTCATTGCCTACTTCGGTACTCTTCGGCATTGCTCCAGTTATCTAGCAGTTATTTATTTCTCTTCTACTTTAGCCATTGCCTGCTTTGATTATCATCTACTTCAGTCAATTACTTCCATTTCTACTTCAGTAAAGCCCGCTTCAGTAATTATCTGCTTTGGTAAAAGCCTGCGTCAGTAAAAACCTGCGTCAGTAAATGCCTGCGGTAGTAAATGCCTGCGGTAGTAAATGCCTGATTCGGCTATTGCCTACTTCAGCCATTTTCTTCCTTTTTTGCTTCGGTCATTTCTTCCTCCTCTACTTCGGTCGTTGGCTTCTTCAGTCACTATCTAATACTGTCATTTTCTTCATCTTCCTCTTCGGTAAAAGCTTGCATCAGTAAAAGCCTGCTTCAGTAAATACCCGCTTCAGTAAATATCCTCTTCTATTATAATCTTTGATAAGATCTATACTTAGTAAGTGCCCTGGATAGTTAGAGGTTTTGAATTTTATGATTATTCTATTAGCTATTGCAATCTTCAGCAAGTATTCTTATAAGCAACTACTTCATTAGTCTTGAGTAGGCATCTTCTGAAGCAGGCAATGACTGTCACGAACTGACCATGAATTACTATATAGAGCGATACGCAGCCAATTCTGGGGACTTGGTTTTCTAGTCTTATAATAGTCTAGTAAATAAACGATCTATCAAATTCGAGCAGCATCAGATAGTAGAAGTGTATCTACTATTAACCCTGTAATAACAACAGAAGTAGGAACTTACTGAAGTAGGCATTTACTGAAGCAGGCATTTACTGAAGCGGGCTTTTACTGAAGCAGGCTTTTACTGAAGGAGTTCAGGATACCAGCTTCGGTCGTTCTACGAATTATTTAAAGACCCCTATATGATATTTCAATCCTCACTTCACAAGCTCTTTTTCTTAGCATTTCAAGACATGGTTTCGGGATAGAGACACTCATTACTATTCAACTAAGAAATTTTGTTGAGTTACATCCTCATCAACCAAATTGAATGACGAGCATGCCCTTACGATGCACGAATGACTTTATATAATCATACTCTACCACGATAGATGGAACTTTGAATTAAACAGAATGAATGTTAAAATGAGTATCGTAGGAAGATGAGGTCACGTGGGGATGGGATACTCGCGTCCCTCCCGGCTGCACATCCGTTTTTAGTTCCCTTCGCATCCATCGCGAGATCTCCATGATCATCAATTTCATCGAAATTGACTCTTCATATTGGTGTTGGTTCATAATTCTACTAAGATCTTGTAGGATCAAGTTTTCTTCATGGCAAAGTCCTGGTGAAATTGGTATAACCTCGTTCAGCCATGCCAGACTCTTGCAATATTTGACCCTCTCCGTCAACACTTGGTCGCGATACAACATTGCAGGGATGTCCGCATCCAATACGCCAATTCGGCGACGTCCCCTGGCATGTCTTCGATGTCGCCGGCGCAAAGTGCGCTGTGACGGTGGGGTGCCGGCTTGCTCGAACTGTGCAAAAGCACATGTGGAATGCTTTGAAGGATTGGCGCAGGCAGAAGTGTCTCGGAGGTGAGCTTAACATCATCATTTGTCTTCGCCGAGCCAAGAGCAACAACAATAAATAATCAATTTACGTGTTCAGCCGTCTCAGTTACCTCGAGAATCGAGTCCGTGAACTCGAGGCCCTCAACGGAGAACATGCCCGTTCTTCGGTATCCGCCCGTGGCTCCCCCGCGGACAATAACCGAGGCCTGTCTTTGGGAGAACGCGACTATCTCCTCCAAGAAAGACGCGACCACGATTTTACGCAAGTAAACCCAGCCCTATCACAACTACCATTACAGCCTCAGAGTCAAAGCCAAGGTCCTCCGAACAGCGATACACCTGCTGCTGGAGTGTCTCCGGCCGTCTCGGGCTCTAGCCGAATCACCCGAGACCAACCGTTGGCTCATGAAGTTGGCCTATTGTCTCTGGCGAACGCAGCCGATCCGAAATATCTCGGTCCATCGTCGGGAGTTTCATTTGCGCGTTTAATCTACGAGAGTGCACCGCAGTCCCAAGGCCTCCCGGCATCATACCTGCGAGAGCAAGGACTCGATTTCGGTCATGCCACCGACAGGCTGACGCAGGACGCGCTTGCGTCTGATTTGCAACCAATCGGGCTACCCTCGTTGGCTGACTGCAACCAGTACATGGAAGCTTATTTCGCTGCGACGTCTCTTTTGCCCTTTATCTCGCAAGATGGGTTCAGTGGTCTTCTGAATCATGTGCATCGGTTCTCTGAAACAGCCCCTTGGGATCACCCGTTGCCTGTCAAGTTGGCTTTTGCGCAGGTATTTCTTGTTTTGTCTCTGGGTGCTAGGTTCTTGGAAACAAAGCTTGGTGCGGACTTTTGCTCGCGTGGTCTGTTCGCCTCGGGTATGAATTATGCTTCGCAGATTAAATTGCATGACAACATTGAGGGTGTTCAGATCTTGCTTCTGTTGGTTCTTCACAGCTTCTTCAATCCTGAGGGGCTTAATGCGTGGTATTTATTGCACACGATAATCGCCAGTTGTTTGGATTTAGGGTTGCAGCGGCGTGACACGAGTGGGTTTCTTTCAATATATTCACAGTAAGAGTCACTAACATCGTTTAGATGTTCGACCTTCAGAACCCCTGGAACATCGCGCCATGCGGCACCTACGAAGTGCTCTGTTCTGGTCTGCCTACTCTATGGACCGAACGCTTACCACGATCCTAGGGCGACCGCTCACCTTGCGAGATGAGGCTATTGATCGTGATTTCCCTGGAATGGAAAACCAGGAGGAAATAGGAGTAACGGCCACGCATTGGAATGCAGCTCATCATGATCAGAATCATCACTTCACACTTTTGGATGCAGAAATGTCCCATTACCTGCCGTGCATATATTCCCTGCGCTTCGATCGGATAATAGCGGAGATCAAGCTAATGATCTACCGGGTATCCCGCGCACCGCAGCGATTTCCATGGCCTAACGATCTCGAGTCGTGGCAGATGGAGACCGAGAAATCGTGCGTTGCGCTTTTCCAAGAGATTCAGGACCGACAGCGTGGTCGTGCCATTAGCAGCTCTGGGCACTTATCAGGAGTCGTTGTCCAGAAATTGGAGCTCAAATACCACCAAAGTATTATGTTACTATATCGCCCAAGCCCTCAGATCCCTAAGCCCACTCCCAAAGCCGCTCAGGCTTGCTTCACCAGCGCAATGGAAATCATCCGGGTGCAAGCTGAGCTTCACCGATTCGCGAACATGGAATGCTCCTGGCTGTCAGCCCATTCCATCTTCGTGGCCACTATAACCATACTCTATTGTTTATGGACGTTTCCAGCCGTCCGGCAGGAGAACTCCCTCGGCTCGTGCCTCAAGCGTGCGGAATTGTCTGTTCAGCTGCTGGATTCTCTCCGTAAAACATGGCTTGTGGCACACGAAGCATGTCAGAAGCTGAGGAGGCTCATCGCGTTGACTGCGGAGGTTTATAATCCCAAGCAGCCTGAGCATACAACTGGCCAGCAGCTAGGCGGATTGAATGAGCATGCTTACAATTTAGGCTATGGTTCGCAGACGAATGATGGCGAGGCACCTTATTTCGGACAGCCTAGGGCGGCAATGAATCCGGAGCCGCAGGACAGAACCAACGTTCTTATCGACGAACTAGGAATTCTTCGCGACTTATTCGATCTCGGCTGGCTGAATGATGTTGACTTTGCAGCTCAGTCTGAGATCTAAGTGGGACGATAAACTTGAAATGAAAAAGGTATAATTGGCGTGTTATCCTCGGCTACCAACCCATAGTTATCAGACCGTCGCCTATATTTAAACACCATATCAATTCGACAATCTTTCTCAACGCATTTATATCTCCAAGATATTGCCTAAACACCCTCATCATCATAATCGTACAAAACTCTCGGATTCCCTACCCACATAAGCTCCTACTCCCGCTGCGACACCCACCGACTCAACGCCTCAGCCCAGGCCTTATCATCAACCTGCAAAAACGCCTCCTCCTGACTCGCACTCTTTCCCACCCGATCCTCGTGTCTCTGCGTATGAGGCCAATCACTCCCCCACAGCACCCTCTCCGGGTTCGAATCAACCAGGAACCTCACCAGCCATTGCAAGTCCTCATACCCTGGCGCTAGATTCGAACACCGATACGGCGCAGACAACTTTATCCACATATTTCCGCCCCGCAACAACCCCCTTAACGCCTCTAGTCCTTCCCTTTCCTCGGATCGAAGGTGCCGAGCGTCTTGGATGCAGGTAGACTCGTCACCAAAGCGATGACTACTCCCCGGTACCAGAGCGAAATGATCCACCACGACAGGGAGGGGACTTCTTGTGATAGATGCGCGCAAGTGGGGCCAGTGCTCTAGGTGCGATTGTTGGATTTGAATACTCCAATTTCCAGTGCCGTTGTCATTGTGGCCTTGTTTGGTGCAGCCATCTTTCCTGGCCCTTCTTGACTGCCACCATTTCTCCAGCCGCGCTCCTGTCGTCTCAATCAACCGCTTTTGGACCTCAACGTCATGCATTGCTTTCTCGCGGAAGAAATCGATCCGGACAGAGCGTATCCCTGCCGCGTTGTACGCGTCTAGGACGTCATCGGTGACGGTGTTGATGTCTAGAACGCAGATTCCGCGTGCTTGGGTCGGTCTGCGTCTGTTGTGTTCTTCTTTTTCTGCCTCTGGGTCATGGGCTGGAGCATTGAACTGCTTTAGAAAATATAGTAGAGAAGAGCAATCCGGTCCGTAGGATAGACCATGTGCGATGCAGACGTTCTGGACACCGAGGCTCTTCTCGAAAGCTTGTAGATCTGATAGGGATGCGCGGGCGGGCGTGAAGTGACGGCCTGAGGCGAAGGGGAAGATGTCGGGCTCGAAGATGTGATGGTGCGTGTCCCAGGCTCCTTTGGGGATTGGTTTGGGGGGGTAGGAGGGTAGCGAGGATATAGTCATGGTGACTTTTGTTAGCTGGTTGGGCTTAGTCTAGATGGGACAGGGGGGGGGTTCGGAGTGTCATTTGTTGATGGTTAGGGATGAAGAGAAGAAGTGAAGAATAGCTTTTGGATTTAATTAATAACAACTATTGATTTTACGTCCATCGTTCTCCTTCCAATTTATCTAGGCCAAACATATCCCGTATACTAACCCATAGTACTATCTCCGGCGACGGCTCCGCTCCGAAGCCGCGTCGGCTAAACCCCGTGTCCTCCATCGGCTATTCCGAGGGAACAACCTTTGCATTTCGCCGTTTCATATTTGGCTCTGTTAACCAGGCATATACCTATCAGGTACAAGGAATCAAGCCGTTCATGAATCTTTTCTTCTCACAAGAAAGTAACGCAAATAAATCAATCAACATCCGCCCACTACCCTCTCCTTCAAGCAAGATGTCCACCACCCCTACACCTCCGCAAACAATCATCGAACGTCTCCAACAATGGGGTGCCTGCGATGTAAGTCATTCAATTCCTATACATCACTACCTACATTTCTATAATGTTCCTCACTTCTCTTCGCGAGATCATCTAATCCCTCATACCCAACCCAACCCACTACCAAACACAACCTCAATAACAAGTAGTATACTAACACACATCCACAGGTAGCAGACGGTCTCTCAAAGCTCAACCACCCCAACGGCGGCTTCCTCGAAGGATTAACCCTATATTCGCCGGACTTCCAATCCGGAGAAACGAAGCTCATCGGCCAGGCCTTCACGGTGAAACTTGTCCCGAAGTCAGACGTCACGGCGCCGAAGTTGAAGGGGAATTATGTATGTTTTTCCCCTTCCTTGTTTCGTTGCTAGAGGGCATGCTGTTTCACGCCTACCTACTTACCTGAATATCTACTCATACACCCCATATATCCTATACTTATGTATGTCGGTATGGATCTTGTATTAACCCAACGTCTCCCTTCTAGATTGATATGGTCCCCCCATCTAGCGTGGTCTTCATCTCGCAGCCCCCTCCCCAGGTAAACGCCGTCTACGGAGGCCTAATGACTCTCCGGGCCCAGAAACTCGGTGCCGCGGGGGTAATCATCGATGGCCGGGTGCGTGATCTAGGTGAGCATCGGGCGGCGGGGTTTCAAGTAAGACTTTAACCTTTCTTCCCTAGGCGACTAGCAATTAGTAACATGATAACTAACAAGCTCCATACATAGCTGTTCGCAAAATCCATCGGCACAACCGCCGGCGGTTCCGTATGTCGCCCATCCGAAATAAACGTCCCCGTGCGCCTGAACTCCCACGATCAACCGAACGCGTGGATCCGGCCGGGCGATTACCTGATCGGCGACCTGAATGGCGTAGTGTGTCTGCCGCAGGAGATGGCGGAGGAGGTCCTGGATTTGATTCCGGGGATTGCGGAGGCGGATGAGAAGTGTGCGGAGGGGATCCGGGCCGGGAGGAGTGTGGAGGAGGTGTTTAGGGAGTTTCGAGGGAGATAAGTAACATATCTCTCTAGTATGCTATTGAGGGGTTGGGTGGTTGGGAGGAGGAAGGGAGTTAGGCGGTTGTTCATTGGAGTTGTGGTTTGTTTTGAGGGATAGAGATAGTAGTTTGTCTTTGGGCTAGGATAGAGATTCTATGTTGAAGGGTGATCGAATGAGTCAAAACAAGGAAGTGTTACAATTCAGTCGATCAAGTACTATTGACCTATTTAGATATGAGTATATACTGATACTAGCAATGATACAATTACGAAGCCTGCATCTGGGATTCAAAGTGATTCGTAGCTAAGCTTGAAAAATCAAAATTAGCTTGGTCTAGTAAATGCTTTTCAGATCAATATCGTTAAGTGCGTAAACGGGAAGCCGGTTCCGATAACAGGGTGGTCCAAACATGTCCGATGTACTCCGTGGGTCGTGGATTCGTTCAAGGCAGGGCGGATGAGACAGGTACTGCATACTATCCAGTGGGAATGGCAAATGACGCAGGGGCATGCAATTTCTACAAATGGCACTGGCAACATAGTCTGTGAATCACCCCTGGATCCACACAGACACCGTGGCGGAGGTGGTATAGATCATGAAGACAATGCCTAGAGCAACCATTACCATATCGCCTCGCTTGGCCCATGGGGACTCGGCCACTCCCTTCCAATGCAGATAGGCGGGGTATATGTACACCAGCGGGACGCAGGCAAAGGATCCGATCAATGAGACAAACTTGTCGAGGTCCCCTGCTCCAGCGGCCGAGATGACACCGCAGCAGATGACCAGTCCGGTGCGGAAAACGTTCTTCTTCCATTTGATGGATGTGTCGTGTTTACCGGACTTCGGTCCGAATAGTTTACCCTCGATGATGCGTGCGGCCGGGAACATCTGGATGGGGGTGCCGACTAAGATTGCGAGGGCATAGACGAATTGAATGGTGTTCACGAACGGGTCGGTCTGCGGGAAGTTACTGAAGATCTCGGTCTCCGTGTTCTCGCCAAATGTGGCGTAGGACAGAGCGCCAACAGCCGTGAAAAGAACCGTGATAATAGCCATGATGAGGTAGAGAAGCCGGTTGAAATGCTCCGGTTTCTTCATAGACGACTGGATGGGAAGTATCAACCCAATCCCTTCGAATGTGAAGATGGAGGATCCGATCGTCAAAGTAAACGAGCTGGGGTTAAATAGCTTGACGGTGGGCTCCATACCACGGGACATCAGCGAGGCAATGTCGTAACAGTAGATATAAGCCAGACCCAAGAGAATAAATGCATCCGCAAGCAGGGCGATCGGGCCCAATTTGGAGATGTTGCGGATCCAGCCGAGCGGGATAAGGATAACCAGCTGCAGCACGATCAGGTACCCGGCCGAGATAATAAAATCCGGGTTGGCAGTCACAGCCTGGAGGAAAGCGTGCAGGTTTTCGGCAGTAAAAATGATACAGGCACAGACAAATCCGATTTGGGAGATGGCGATAGAACTCAAAATGAGGGAGCGCAGTCGAGGACCGGAAATCCGTTCACCAATATCACCATACCCGCCACCGTACTGACGGCGACATTGCAGGAGCAAATTGAAGCACGCCGTCGAGATGATCGCGACCGACACTAGGGTAATGGACGAGAAGAGGATACCTCCGTTTCGGAAGGCCCTGGGCAGGAAGATGATGCCAGTGCCAACAAAGGCCTTGAGCAAGGTCAAAAAGGCTTTCATGTCGGACGCATCGCCCGGTTGGCCCACACGCGACCGTTTTCGAGATCCTAACAACGCTGTGCGTTCCGAGACATGTCTGCGACCTTCCTGCGAGTGTCGATCGTGCCGGTCCTCGCTGACCACCGACTCATCCTCCTCGGTATCAACCAGGTCCTCTCCCGCGAAATTACCGTACAAGTCCAAGAAGTCCACGAAAGAGGTTGTCACCCGGGGGTGGTCAAAGTCGGCATGTCGATGATGTTGAATGAAATGGCGTCGAAAGCTGCCTGGTTCTAGAGCGGCCACCCCCTCCTCGATGGCGTCTTCGGGCTCTCGATGGGGGTAAGAAAAGCTATAGGCTCGCTTGTCTAGTTTAGCCTGCTTGGATCTGGCCTCGATGCGGTAGAGATCACGGTGGACGTCACCGCCTTGGAGTTTGAGGGAGGACTGGGGCTCAGGCGCAGTGCTACTCGACTCTCCGTTGTCGTTCCCATTTTCCGACGGCGATGGGTACTGGTCGTGTAACGATGCGGTGAACTGCGGGTCGAGGTGCTGAGCGAGAATGTCGGCCTCTCGGGGGTCGGGTTCGTGGCCGCCCGGTAACAAGGAGCCGACGGGCGTGTGGTTGTCCATAGTATACTAAAAAGATTCAAGAGCACAACAATGGATAAGGAGATAGTCTCATCCTGTAGAGGATAATCTGAACGATGGATGGGTTTGTTTCAAGATGCCCGAAAGGCAGAGAATGTGGGAGAAAATCGACGAAGAGAGAAAAGAAGAAGAGACAAGAGAGACAAAGGATGACGTTAAACAATCCGTCCCGATGGGGAATAGCGGGCGTGCTGAGTCACCCGACGCTGACCCGGGGCGCATCACGAGAAGAAGCGAGAAGATCCGGTCTGGCCTTTGCTCAATCTTCAGGTCGGGGAACTTTATCTCTTTTCTCTGCCTAGTTGCCTCGGTGTCGGATGGTTGCGTCCGATGATGATCTAAATGACTACGTCGTGGTCACACGGTGGCACTATGTTTCCTGAACCCATGCCGGTGTTACTATATATCTTGGAACACCGGAGTACAATCTTCAACTACTAGTCCAACATTATCGTATGGAGATATCCTCCGAGGAGATATCTTGCGCTTCTCAACAGATCCCAGTACCCCTCGCATAGCACAATAAATTGCACATTCCTTATACCCGTATGGATATGTTGAGCAACTAAATTCAATCCCTGTACTCCGCAAGTTCGCAGCCAAGGCTCTTGGCTGTTTGCTTTCAATGTGCGGTGTGGCCATTATTTCTACAGATTTTAGTTCTAGAATCATATATGCAAGTATTTTTCGCCTCTCTCAACAAATGGTCCCATAACTCAGTCGGTTAGAGTGCGGAGCTAATAACTCCGAAGTCGAGAGTTCGAGCCTCTCTGGGACCAGTGTTTTTTTTTTTGCTTTTTCCGTCGTCTTCCTGGTCTTAACCTTTTCCGCTTTAAATTTGCTTTTTTGGATCCTGCAGCCCGGAATTTCTACAAGCTGACTTCTGCCTCCAGTATCCTTATTTGGACTCATCATAGATAACGTAATCCACAAGCGAGCCGCGGATACAACCGAACCGCGGATACTTTGCCATGGCCACCACTATTTGAAGCTATTCAACCACCAACTCCATTAAATTTGATTAACTAAATATATGGAAAAGTAGCTATTTATTAGGGCAATTTCGTATCGTATGTCCTATTATTCCACAGTCACTGCAGCGGACAGGAGCTTGTCGACGAGGCATCGGAGTAGATTTTTTAGGCTGTTCATTAAGTTGCGTATTCAGCTGTTGAATGCGATTTTGGCCTTTCTATACAGATAAAAGAGTATTATTTTCTAGTAGAGCACGTCTTCTTGCTTTCTTTTTGTATTTTCGCTCATTTTCGACTTGTAGAATCTTGATTTCTTGTTGTAAAAAAAGGTTGGTTTGCATCGCCATTTGAGCAGCCTTTTCAAGATGTTGAATATGAGCAATTGGACTATTAGAAAGTCTTCGTTTAGCATTAAGGTTGCTCTGTAGATTGCGTATCTTTCGATCTAGTTGATGAGTATTCTGTGGAGTCTGAAAAGTAGAGGAAATCGATTCTTCAATCAGTGATAGTGTTGGTGTACATGGTTGAAAGATAAGCTTAGAAAGAACTCGCTTTTGATCAAATGGCTTAAGTCTTGCCCCTGCAAAGCCACTGCAGATATTGGTAGAAGTAAAAATTTGAGCCCGAGTGTCTGGATATAGCGATAAAAAGTCTTCTTTATCAATATAATTATTATTTGCAACCATACGTTTTTCAAAAAGCTTCCCGTACGTTTTTTTAAGTGGACTGAAAACACTCACATCAAGCGGTTGAAAAAGATGTGAAGCGTGGGCAGGCATATAAAGATATATTATTGCATGTTTTATGTAAAAATCATCGAATTCAGCAGTCAAATGATTACTATGGCCATTCAGAATAAGCAAGCGCTTTGCATCAGTCATATAATGTTTAGAAAAGGGTTCAAAGACATTCTTTAGTCAAAGAAGATCTATTTCATCGGTAATCCAGTCATTTTGATTAGTTGCAATCCATCAGTCTTTAGCAAGCTTAGGTTCTTGAAATCATGCGGCTTGTTGATTGCCTACTTTGAGTATAATGATTGATGATATATGTATGCTTTTTGAACTGACGGTTTCAATGATTGTGATTCATTCACGATTATTTTGAATAATCCTGCGTGGCCGCTCACTACGTTTTATTGCAGTAATAATTTTAGCAGTTGAACAGAGCCTTATTGCAAAGTCAGTTTCATCGAAATTCCAGATATCGTTTTCATGTATGCTGTGTTCTTGGATAGTCTCATGAACAGTTTGAAATCATGATATTATAATCTTCGGATTTTCTTGTTTTGTGTGTTGATATGTAATCCGTCTGCTGTATCGTGTACGTAGTTGAGAATGACATTTAGTAAAATTATATGACCAATTAACTCCAATCATTGCTGTGGGATTTTGAAGACGTGAATGAAGTAATATCTCTGTCATTTCACGTAGGAATTCGGGCCGAATCAGAAATCCTCGTGTATCTGCATCTAATAATCGCTTAAGAAGAGTTTCTTCTTTGAGTTGAGAAAGTTTATGGCCATTGGCGCGTTTTTCTGATCGTGGTTTTGCACCGCGGAATCAATCGCGTAGAGTATTTTCAGGGATCGCAAAAATCTGTGCAGCGCGTAATATCGATTTAATTTGACCCTTCTGATAAGCTGAAATAGCCATCTGAATACGCGATTCTTTAGAAGGAGGCATATTGCATTTGGTGTTGAAGATATGACGCGTTGAATAAAGAGGGTGGAATCTTGATTGAGGATCCGCGGTTTCGCTTGTGGATTACGTTAGCATACACTGGTCACCAATACACCATCTGCCGAGAAATAGATAGTATCTCTGCGTAGAAGAGGGCCAGAATTCGATAAACCAAAGTGAATTCAGAGCAACGACATATAGTAAGACAGCATCATCTTCACAATGACCTAACTAACATAACCCACTCCCTCCGTCTCTGCATATCCTGCAAGAGCCCAGCCAGCCACATTCCAGGCCCCCAGAACATACATCCGTCTCGTCATCCCTTAGTAGACAGTAATCGACGAACTCCCACTACTCTGATAGCCCTCCGTCGCGACGATCTGATAATTATGGTTCCCCAAGCTCATGCCTAACCGGGACCAAGCGGCGAAATGGTTCGCGGTGGTCACACTCCCCCCGACGCGCTTCGACTGCCTGACTGACCAAAACTGCGTAAAGGTCTTGGTGCCCTCGATCGATGGCGCGTTGTACCGCACCGACGTGTAGATGTCATACGTGCCGCCGTCAGAGGTCACCGTGCCCTTGTAGGTGCCGCCGCTGCCGGGGTTGTAGTTGCCGTAGGACTCGACGATGTAGTACTCGATGAGCGGGTTCTGGGTCCAGCCGTAGATGGCGAGGTAGCCGTTTCCGCTGGGGTTGAAGCTGCCGCCGTAGTTGATTGTTCTGGGGAAGGTTAGCTGGGTGGATAGATAGGGAGGGAGGGAGATTGGTAGAGTGAGGAGGGAACTGTTGAGTATAAGGTGGATGCTTGCCTGGTACTTCCTGGATTCCAACCCTTTCCGCCGACAAAGTTGCCGACGTTGGACCATTGCACGGTGTAGGAGCCTCCGGCGCCGTTGGTGTAGGTGACGTCGCCGCCGCCGTCGGTCCAGAAGGAGTAGTAGTAGCCGTTGCTCCAGCCGGTGCTGCTGGGGGTGGAGCGTTCGACGAGCTCGTGCAGAGTCTCGTTGAAGGAATCGTTGGCGTACTCTGCTTGCTCAACAGGTGCGGAGAGAACTCCGACGGCAGCAGAGAGCGCCAAAAACAAGGCGGAGAAGGAGACCATGGCTAGGGAGTAGCTGTGTTGTGTTGGATTGCAAGTATGTTAAGGTAGTGTGAATCTGTGTTGATAGACTGTTTCTTTTTTTCCCATGAAGGATCGCAGGAGCCTTTTGTATACCTCCATCTCGGCATATTGAAGGCTTAGCTGGGATGCTATGTGCGGGGCCCCGGATGTTTGGAGAGCCTGAAGAAAGGGCCTGGAACGTCGGCTCTTGTTAGTTTAGGCTGATCAGTCGATCATCCATTTTTGCCGATGTACGGGACAACCCCATTGGTAGACAGGCTGAAGGGGTTCATGAAGGATGAATGATTGCCACAGCCTAAGACAGGTGCGGAGATCGTAGGAATTCGCTATCAATAAGCTGTTCATCACGCCATTACCCCGTAAAAGCCAAGAACCCACGAGTGTTGAGCCATTGTTTGGACGACACCATCTTTGCCTAATTGTGGACCCGTCAGAGTCAGGACTCGAGCTCATAAGAACTCGAACATAGCCTGAAATGTTTCAAATAGCCTCCTGAAGACACGCCCCTGAGACGGCTAATTCTTCACATTTGCTCATTCGGGTTGCGTTAGGACAGTGCTCAATTTAGCCTCTGCATTCGAGAGCGCCACGGAGGGAAACCCGGCTAGCACCCGCATTGAAGAAAGTGACAAGTCTACCCCGAGTTCTTGGGTTACATCGCGGGCGTTTATAGTCCTGCCAAGATATCGCTTAGAGGGTTCATTGTGACTAAGTTACCAATGCATAGCCGATGGACCTTTGGAGAAAATTTACTGCGAGGAAGTTCAAAAAATGAGAGCAAAAATGCATGGGATAATACCCGGTATTAATGAAAACAGACGATACAGATTCTATCATGGCTCACAAGCAGGATGCGACAGAAAGGCACGTAAGTTCACCTATCACCTTTCTCAAACGTTGTCGTCGACAAAGGAGATACAGATGTATAGGCCGGAGGGCTGTCCTCATTATGTGGCGGCGTTGAAAATGAGGTCTCCGTGACTCCCAATTCTTGCCTCGCGAACTCGGCCTCGACCTTCTTATCCACTCCACCGATTTCTTGGACATCGGCCATTATATTTATGGCTAAGTCGGCAAGGTTGAACTCCAGAGATTTGCCGGCACATTCAAACACAAACGACGCCGAAAGCGTGTACTGCCTGGATACGTTGAACGTGCTAAACGACACGTCCGATTTCTGGAACACGAGAGGTCCAAACATTTGATTCAAGTCGATCCGGCCCGATACTGGTGCTCCGACTGACGATCTCGACAGAATCTCGATGCGCTCGTCGACTTCACCGGATATAGCACCCATCAGGGACGGCGAGGCCCGCGCCGACGTGCGACTGACAACGAACATCGACACCGACTGCAGCACAATATCCGGGGCAGTAGAAACCGAAGCGTTTTCCATGAACGGAACGATTTCCAACACACACGGCAATGGCGTCGACTGAATCACCTGGGCGGAGTAGGTCAGAGAGACCTGGAAGTCAAAGCGAGGTAGTCGCGCAGGCGACAACCACGAGTGAAATTTCTCCTGGATGCCCAAATTCCGGCCTCGATTTTCAGGAAGCAAGCGTAAGCTCCGAACGGTGAACAGTTGCTCTCGGCTCTGTCGATACAACGACGGCGAATCGCGCTCCTTCTCCACCTGCGCTGCCAGCGGGAGAAAATTCAGCCGAACAATATCATCGAACAACGGCGTCCTCTTCCCCAAAAAGCTCTTTTGGGGTTTCAGCACTTGGGCCCGGATCCGATACTCGATCGCACATTCTAACTGGCGCAGAGTATCGCCCACTTCCGCCGCAAAGGAGGGCGGCAGCGGATGATTGACATCGCTCCGGAAGGGGAGTTTCTCAGGCCACTTGCCGCCCGACTCAGCGTGCGCCGGGACCATGAACTGAAATGGCCATTCATATGTGTCTGGTGAGACAGGGCCGCCGTTTCGGCTCATGAGAATTCGCTCTTTTTCAAACAGAACACATTTGCTGCGATAATTTGCGGAAGGGGCAGCGGAGCCTTTGACTTTCTTCACCGTGGCCTTGGAGCGCCCGGAAAAGGTCACCCGGACGTCTTGAATTTCAATCAGATTGGGGCACTCGAAGACCACCCGGCCATGGATGACTTCATTGCCTGAGTATAACGGCAGTGGGTTATCTAGATGGATGGCGAGTGGCATGAAGGCGGTCTTGAGGTGATGTTGGTGTCCAGTGAGAAATGGGAGGAGAATCTGACGATCACTTGATCATTTGGAAGGCATTGAATGGAAGGCGGTGCATAATTCAAACGGATCTTGGGCCGATCCAATAATAGAAGAGAATATAAGATTTTGGTGAAAGTGTAACCTTCCGTCATGCTTCTCAGGCTGCCACCTCAGGCATCCACTCAGTGCCCGTGGGGCGCGCGGCTGCCTATCGACCAATGAGAGGTAAATTGCTACGAGTACGCGATAACTGCCTCTTCCGGCGACAGTGATTGGGCCCGTTTATCTCAAAAAGGGTCTATCACTCTGCAGATCCCTGTTTTATTTTTGCTTGGGCAATTCTCTACTTCCTAGACAAAACCCCAGTATCCAACAAAGACTGCACAAACGACATAATGGCCCGGGTCCCTATCTTAGCAATCTTATCTCCATCCCCGGCATCCGGATCAAATGAGCAGACGGTCAGCGACTTTGGCGTCGACTTCTTCGGCACCAAACCCATGCATTCGACCAAATCCGATTCCGTCAATCCACCGGGCGAAGGATAATCATTCACCTTGCCGTACGACTCATCCAAGACGTCCAGATCAAGATGCACAAGAGCAGGACTATACGAGCGTCTCTGCAACTCCGCCTCCAACTCGCGCCGAAAGTCCACCTTCTTCGCCGCATCGCCCCAAATCGAAACCATCCCCGCATCGACAACCCGCTGTCGCTGAACCTCAGATTGGTCGCGTAGCCCGCAGTACAGGAAACGAGAGTAATCGAAAGGCTCGAACCCAGGGACGGTGTTCATGAGCGTGTGCCAGCTCTCCCCGCGTAGCATGGAGAGGCCCATGGCGTCGAAGTACCCGTTCTCGTTGACATTGGGGGAATCGAGATCGTCGTGGGCGTCGAAGTAGATGAATGCCAGATCGCGGATTTGTAGACCGCATGCGACGGCCGCGCTGGCCATGCAGTTCCCCGATAAGATGAGCGGGAACGTGTTGTTGTTCACGGCATCCGTGACGGCTTTGGAGGTGCGGCGGAGGATCTCAAAGCTGCGACCGATCTCGCCTTCGAAGGTATCGACTCGGTCGATTTCGGTGATGGTGATGTTTATGCCCAGCTTTTCGAGCTCTTGGATGAGGCCGATGGAGCGGAGTCGGTGCGGCCCATTGCCGACGCGATGGTCGCGGAGACCGACGTGGTAGGGGGAGAAGATGATGGTTATTCCGTTGGTGGACATGTTGGTGAGTGATTTGGAGGGGTTGGTGGGGAGATATGTGCTTTATATGGGGTGTTGCATGGACGTCATGTTTCCTGTTTCGGACATTTCCCCAACTCAGTGGGTCTCCTGGATGTGGTGTCATATCTGCTTCTGGATGCTTCTCCAAATTAACCCCAAGATTAGTAATGGACATTATTAACCCCATCACAGGACAGAAATATAAACAAGTCTTACGGAGTATACTGGTATCAGGAAAAATTAGCATTGGCAAAGACTTAATAAACTGTGTTAAGATCGCACGGAGTCTGGCATACATGACCTCCATGTAACGGACCATGGTCTCCTCCACCTAAATCTGACCAGTAGACGCGTTTTCAGCAGAGGGAAAATGCTAAATCAGCCATGCTACACTCATATAACAGAATTCGGTAATATCAGATCATTCCAATAAATATGAATAAACACTCAGATTCCCCCAAACCAACCAACAAACAAAAGCCTCACAGATAAGACCCAAAGAAAAGGATCCACACAAATCCCACCCCAAGAACCAGTCCCCTAATCCAACCCCTCAATAGTAACTTCCATATGAATCTTCGCATTCTGATGATTCTCCAGCGTAACAAGCCCCGTCTTCGCCAGATCCTGCATAGCCAGATCAAAATTTACGCCGACGACCCCGGCGTCGTCATCGACCTTCCACACATCGGCCTTCATGGGAAGTTGGCCCATTAGGGAGTTGACGGTCTTGATGGCCGACTCTTTCGTCCAGTCAAGGAGGATGGAAGAGCTGCGCGCGGCGATTGGGGCCGCGGACGCGCAGGTCATGAGAGCCATTGCGGCGGTTGAGAGGGTGGTGAAGCGCATTTTGGTGTTGAGTTGGTGGTTGGATGGTATTTTCTAGTTTGTTTGTTCTTAGATAAAAAAGAGTGACGAGGGAACTGGGATTGGGTTAGTTTAATTGGAGTTCTGAAAGCGACAGGTGAGTGGTAATGGTGTGACGTACGGACGGTGATGATATTAGAAAAGCGAGGCGAGGCGTAAAGAGCGACAATATAGCTATAGTAAAATGAACGAATGACTAGATGTAAAGTTCAAAAGAATGGCAGCTAGATGATTATCATAGCTTGAGGTCTGGATGGAGGGAATCAGTCGCGAGTGTCAATCACGTTCAGGAGATGACATTTGACAGGGTGTGATATTTTGAGCCTCGTTAGGAGATCGATCGTTCCTGTCTAGGTTAAGGGCCGTTCTATTTACTGTCTAAAATTTAGAAGAAGTATAAACAATGGTTGGGATGCTGATTGGGGATTGCATGGCGCTACTTTCTGGGAGATCCACCAAGGGGTTGTTGTTGTTGGCAGAGGCACTGAGATGGAGACTATTGTTCCTGCGCTGGGTGTCTTTTGCATTGAACACCAAATTAAAGATTTGGAAGCCTTCCATCCATTGCTTGAATTATCTTTGGTATTGAATAAGTTTTCAACATCCGTCAAATCCGATGGCTTGTTCCTGAGAGTTTTCTGGATTTATGGAATTTTCGCTTATACAAGTGGATCACAGATGGATCCTAATTTCGGCATCGGGAATTCTTAGTGGCTTGGTTCCTCCTGACGAAGATCGGTTCTATTTCCGGCTTAGATGGAAAGCGGGTGCCAGATCCATGATAAGGTTGGATAAACAAGCCATGCATGCGATAAGAGTTCAAGAGGCCAAAAAGGTAAGATGCTATATACAATAGGTTAGATATACAGACCCGATGATCAAATGTTAATCCGGACGGTACCAAAGCGCTGCGCAATGTTCAAGATTTCTACCGGGCTCTATCTAGATAAAGGTTTTAAATCCGACTTTCGCCGTAGGATTGGTGATCTTGGAGTTATACTATACAGAGAGAGAGAGCCAATGTTCGGAGAAAGTCGGCGTAAGGGCTTTGCCAAGCAAGCTGGTAATTGCGACTTTGCGCAATACCCGGGCAAAGCCGGAGAATGATATTTGAATGGCAAAAGCGATTAAAGTCGATGGACATTCTATTCCGACTGGATGGTGCTACCAAACCAGTGGCATGAATAGAAATTCGAAAGTATTGATTCGTCTTTGCGCCTGATCTAACCGAGTAGGATGGCTGTCAAACGGCAAAAGTAATGCTGATAATCACTCCTATAATCTCCCCGGTGCTGAACAACAAAACTAATAGTAGACGACAGCGTCCTCATTCATCTGGCCTTTGGCCTGTAGCTCCTTCACAGCCTCCTTGATACGAGCCACCAGCGCCTTGCCGTATTCCGGACCCAGTGGCAGTGCGGGTTTGGAGGTGTCGACTCGCAGCCAGGGAACGGGCTTCAGCCCCTGGGAAGCGTCTCGAAGCAGCTGTACTGCCTGATCACTGTATGCAGCGCCAAATATAATGGCCTCGACGCCCCAGTCGTAATTCTTGCTTCCCAGCGCGCTGTTGGCCGGGACGTTCTTTTCACCGCGCAGGAGGGCGGGAATCTCGTCCACTCCCGTATCGGTGGTCATGATGAAATGAATAACTGAAAAAGGATTTAGAAATTGGTGCATGGGCATCGGGATCTGATTGAAATATGGCCTATTCCTTTACCTTCTAATTCAGGTTTGACGGCTTCAACGACGGTAGCACCGATCTGCTCGCTCCTACCGCAGAGAATAACGGGGACAGAGTCTGACATGGTGAAATAGGGACCTGAGTTAGAAAGCTCAATAATGGAGTAAAATGGGAAAGAGAACGATGTTTTGCCAAACGAATAACAACGTGGTCATTGGACTCGCCTCCTTGGGTATGGACGAATGCTTCCCCGGTTTGAATAGTTAAGACGTCAGTGCGCGACAAGAAGGGGCCATAAATCTTCCTGCAGTTGACCTTAACCAGCGAATGATGTTACCGTCCATGGTGGCTGTGATCCCTGACGGGATGACATGTCATTTCGCTCCGCCATGCTGATGGTGCCCTTCTAGTGCTTACTTGACGCGATCCGTGAGGGGAGCATTACTTAGATCTTGTGCTTGGACAGCAGATGGAATCAAGGATGACTCGTGCTCTAGGCATCTCAGGTACATTCAACTGACTCGAATAGCCTTGCGTACAATCAACCCTTCCTAGATAAGGTTGAGTCGGTGTCTTCATGAAGGAATATTACCGATAATGACGAGATGTACTTTAATTCTCTTTTCCGCTCAAACCCGCGGATTTCGTGATATCCAATGGATTTGACACTAGAATTAAGTCATCACGGACCTCAAGAAGTAGACATCCAATTGACATTCCACTTTTTTGCCTGAAAGTCTCCTCTCCAACGTCTTACTATCTAAAACGAGCAAATATCTCACGATCAAAACACCAGGTTTACTATTGTGTTTTGTACCTCATCCCAATCCACAAACAAAATGGTTTCCTCATCCCTTGCCCCGGGCCCAGCTGGCAGACCAGGCTGCAAACTATGCGGTGCACCAACCGAAGAATTCCGAACGAAGGACTCAAACCCAAACGGCAACGCTCGCCGCCCGTTTCTCAAATGTACACGTTGCAGATACTTTCAGGGCTTCAATGATACTAGAGGCAATGACCCAAACAACCCTCCCTGTCACTGCGGTGCGTCTAGCAAATTGCAAATTTCAGGACAGAACAAGAAAGTTCCCTGGGCCTTGCACCTTGTGTGCCGTCTATGTCGCTGCCATTACTACGCGCCTGTCCTTGGGCCTGACGGAGAGCAAGTAACTTCAACTGAGGATCAAATAGTCGGTCTCGTTTGTTCTGGGGTAATTTAGTTCAGCTCTTGTTGGAAGTTTGATTGTGCTGGCGTCCTCATACGGAGAAGTGGACCATCCCAACACCCCTCGTACAGCTGGCTCACAAAATTATTTCTTATTGGTTTGTTAAACTAGTATCGTGAATGCGTTTTCAATCAGCTTATATCAAATTGATGACCTGGATTGATCTTATGCATTGGAATGATGCATGGAAGACCAGTAGTTCAAAACTTTGCATTTTCCACGGCATCAAAAGGAAACCTGAATTTTTTAGGCTATGACTTATCATCAGTCTGACTCACCGATCTTGATGAAAAAGCCCAGTATATTTACGAAATAACATTCTGGATATTTGCTTTTTATGTTTGGATTCCAGTATAATATCTCTGTAGTCAATTAGACAACCATAGTACCCACTTACAGCATTTGTCAGTTCGCCTTACCGGTTCCAACAGTGGATGCTTCTTCTTGCATTGATGGTGTCATTCGGGGAACGTCAGGACATGCGGAGTTGTATCGTTTGGTCAGATGATGATACTGAGGATATGTGTGCTAAATGGAGGTAGTAGTAGTAGTAGTAGTAGTAGTAGTAGTAGTAGTAGTAGTAGTAGTAGTAGTAGTAGTAGTAGTAGTAGTAGTAGTAATGACAACGACTTATCTCTGGACAAAAACCGAAACTGGTTCGTTTCGCTACAGACTAACTAATTATCCTTGAATTTCCTCACATTGTCACTCTTGAATATATCATTTTTACTTCGATCGAAAAAGGTGTCTTACTACAATTACGATCAAAGTAATCCTATTATTTGCTGTACTTGTATTCCATTCCCTTTTTCGTTGACTGCACCGAGATATGTCTCTAACCATTGAAAACCCCGTAAAACATCCTGAACATCCCCAGGCACAATCGAAGAACATTTTCCTATCATTTCCCTTGAAAGCCCTTCACTTTGAAACAACCGAAGTTAGATACCCTAAGCGGAATCATCTTGACAAGGGGTCGGGTCATCAACAACACAGCGCTTGCTGAGGACCTCACGCTTGAAGTCTTCGGCGCTGCACGAAGTCGGGTCATCAGGGACGCAGCGCTTCACAGGGACATCACGCTTGCCAAAGTCCCCAGGGCTACAGGAGCTCGGGTCATCGGGGATGCAGCGTTTTTCGGGGAAAGCGCGCTTGAAGTCCTCAGGGCTGCAGGATGTAGGGTCGTCGGGGATGCAACGTTTGTTGAGGGCAGCGACGTCGCCGGTAGGGGCTGCGGTTGCGCAGACACCGAGCAGGGCCATGACGACGTATATGGAACGGAGAAGGACCATTTTGGCGGAGCGAGGAGAGGATGTGCTGGTAGAGGATGGAATTGAGTACGGGATTCAAGAAGGATGGGCGGATATGCTACCGTTAAGATGTGGAAATGCACTGCTTATATACGATGGATCCATGATCACAAGCTAGCGCAGGAAGTACCTCTGTGCATTGCCTGATCGACATGCAAAAGGGTGCGTATGACGACGACAACGGGAATTACAGGGTCTGAAAGATTGATAAACGGAAAGCTTTCTCAGCGATGACGATCTTCTTGGCTGTCGGCGAAACTCCGAATCATAGAAGGCGTACGGAGTAGATTAGATCAGGATAGCCCGTGTCATTGGCAAGCGATGTGGAGAGATCGGCGGTGTCGATATTAACCTGCAGGACAAGCCGAGGAAATAGATGGAGAAGAGGGGATTGCTCCGGGGGATATTCCTGACGAAGAAAATTGGCCGTTAGTCGTTACAGATTATCATATCAGATCGGCAAGACAGCCGCAGAAAATACCTCATTATGCCGGGCTTAAAATAGATGTATTGAATAGGCCTCTCGAGCAATATGGAATTGTGACCTCAACCAGTGGGTGCTCTGTAATAATCTCAAGTAACCATCAACAGTAACCTTGCACAGTCAACTTATGAAGATCAAACTTGGTCCGATAACTTCTATAGCAGGATAGCTATTAGTCCCAATTTTCCTTGCAACTAAAGCTGTATCCTGCGCCGATTAGCGGGGCCTGTAAAGTCCCTAGCTCCCATACTACTATTACTTCTAGTGTCAACCTCGAGACCTAGATAAAATTATCCGTTATGCCTAGATAAAAAAAGCCCGGAGAAGAAGAAGCGCTATTCCCACGGAGCGACACCACCAATTCCAATTTCCGGCGTCTCAACCCCATTTCCCCTCGAGTAGCAAGAACACGCACAATATGTGGTAGGGTACGTGGTCTGATAATCTCACTGATAACGCATTTCAAAATATCCCCGTAATAGTAGCGACCACCGGACGTGATGATATAGCATACTTTCCCGGACATGGGTGCGTTTACCAAAATGGGCGTGATATTTTGCAGTCCGTGAGTTCGGGCCAGATAAAGCTGCTTAGAACGAGACCAAAAAGAGTACTTGAGTCGTCGAGGATCGTCAGTCCACCCTTCCGGAATTTCTTCGGGCTATAACTAGATTAGAATCTTTTGTGTTTTCTATGTTCTGGGGCATCGGTGATGGTGGGGCTTACAGGAATTCTGTTGACAGTAGTGCAGTGCGGGCACTGGTGGGTATTGCGGAAACGAGGCATGAGGCTTTTTTTTTTTTTTTTTTTTTTTTTCTTTTTTTTTTAACAAGTAAGGTCAGGGTGGTGGCTGTAGAAGAGACTGGATAGGAGAAGGGTGCGTTGACGTAGAGATAGAAGGTTATCTGGCAAGTCTGGTTCAGGTTGTTGATCAGTGAACGATGACGGCACAATATGGACACAAAACATGGACCCCCGTGACCTCTGTTTTAGCCCAATCTATTAATAACTTTAACAGAAAAAAATATTCCCTCTTCAGGTAAATTGACTGTCTGAGCAAGATAGATAGTCTAGATATGCAAGCATTCAAGATACATCTTATGATCCTGGTAGTAAGAGAAACATACTAGCAATTTAATCTCCCCGGCATGCTTTTTTCTTTCAAAGTAGCTACCTGGAGTTATCACATCAAGCAAGGAAGTAGAAAGGCGTCTTCAAATGTTTAGCAAGAGGATCTAATTATGGGGATGTCCAGTCGTCTAACAAAATGAATAATCATGATGATGTATAAAGACTGTCCTAGAATTGGTTGTGACTAGTGTTTTCTGTGCATTAGCATGATAGCAAAACAGAGTACCCATGAGCATCATAACCAACTCAAAAAAAGACCCAACGTTTCATCTATAAGACTTTTTCAACTGTTGGGTACAATCAAGAGTAGAAGTTTATCTCCAGTCATGGAGGATCAGCTAAGGTACCCCCGCTACCTGCTGTCTAAGCATTGCAACATAATCTCCATCATGCTCATTTGGTACATTTTTAGTGGTCAATCATGGCCATTGCCTCATGTATCTAATATACAAACATTTCATGAAGAAGCCGTCTGGTTGGTAGTCTGGATCAACACCCGCCGATAGGTTGTCAGTGGATGAGCTCCGTTATCCGTGACCTCCAAAATCAAATGCAACAACCAGCAGCCCGATGGGTTATCCCCCTTTCCATTACAGCTGTCGCTTGAAGAAGGAATGCTCATTCGCACCTGATGACCGTTTTCCGAAGTAGTCAAGTTCAGCGCGGGAACCTGGCCAGCCACGTTCCAATCATCCGATCCAGGCTCTTGGTACTGGAACCAGGTGTACGACAACTCATCGCCATCAGGATCATAAGTACCAGATGTATCAAAGCTGATACTGGAACCCGCCATAGCGGTCACCTTAAGTGGACTCAACTCTGTACTTCCATTAACCGAAACAACGGGGTGATGGTTCGCCTTGCTGAGATTCGCGGGTAGAGACCACTGCATGCGAGCGGCAAAGTCACTCTGGTAGGCATCACGCCATCTCCAGATACTCGCGAAGTTCGATTTGAACGTCCGGTTGTTGAGACCGACTACGCGATCCGCCGCATCGCTGTAATGGTTGTAGTTTAGAGCCGTTGAGGGATCAACCTTGGTGTATCGCCCGCCCCAAGATCCGTAGCCGGGGTTCTCGGGGTCGCCAAGACCGTTCTGGATGAGATACAGGAAGGTCGGGGTATCGCCTTCCATGATATACTTGAAGTCGGGATACGCGACGCTGCCATACGGGCCGATCTGGATGTTGTCGCGGAGCCACTGATGAGTGACGGTGCTTCCGTTGGGACCACCCTCGTCGACGCCGTAGTAGGTCTCGCCGGAGATAGCGATCCAGGTAGCAAGGCCGTATTGGTTCCATCCGTGGGTGGAGGAGATATAGAAAATGTCGGGATAATTGCGACGGATCCAGGCACCGGTGTCATCCTGATCGGAGATGGCATACACACGGAGCCGAGAGCGCAGAGTAGCAGCTTTTTCGGGCGAAAAGTGCTGGTGAATCTTGTATAACACTTGAGCGAGGACGTTGGTACCGCCCCAGGCGAGAACCCAGAGAGGCTGATCGGCCGCCTGGATACGCTCGAGGAGAAGCTTTTCGCCGTCGCTGAGGGTGACGTTGCTGCCTACTGCCTTCATGCCGTAGGTCTATGATAAGTTAGTTTTAGTTGAATGTGAGGATTGGGAATGACGTGGAAGTAACCCACCTTAGCGCCGCTACGCAGAATACTCCGGAAATAGTCTCCAGAGGGATATTGCGCATTAGGAGGGGCATGCTGGTTGAGGTTTGCCGTGACATTGCCGTAGGCGTTTATCACTTGCAGCATATCCTCTGGGTGAACTTCATCTCGAAGCCAAGTGGATGTTGAAGCGACGAGACCCTCGGTCTGAAATTGGTTCGCGTAGAGGAGATAGCGCGTCAAGGATTCTTGATCATCAGGTTCGTTGGAAATGTCCGAAAGAATGAAAACCCGAGGCCTGTTTGGGTAGGACACAAGGGACGATCTATTAACAGTCTTGCACAGCACTTGCACTGCTAAGATCCAAAGGATCGTCGACCTGAGCAAAGATGATGCCGCCATCTTGCGAGACCTCAAGGGAGCAATGATAAAGCAACTATAACCCACGAGAAATGCACAGATGACCCGGGCCCGGCAGGTTTTTATAACCGGCACGTGAGTCGGACCCAAGTCAAGATCTTAGTGTAAACCCGGCATTGACGAGCGAGGCTCTATCCGACAAAATCCGGGCACAGGCACTCTTTGCGGAGTTCTGCCGTCAATTTTGGGGTTCCGAAATCCCGGGGAACGCACCCTGCACTCGTCACGAAGCATGGTATGGACCCATGGGGAAGCAGTGGAGTGATGAAATCCACACTGGGAACGGCAGACCGTCCTCTGACTGGCTCAAGACTGAAGTACCTCCTCAGTATCCCATTGCCTCTCCGCCAAGTTGGGAAGTTGTAACCACAGCCTACCGAATTGCCCTCATCATTGCAGAGTTTTGAAGATTGGCACATCGTATAGCCTGAATAGGTTGTATCTGTGCCAAGCACCCCACATCTCAGAGAGATGCCAAAAATCTTGCATTGGTGAACATATCTTTTGTCGGGTAACAGTCCCAGACCACACTTCCGTGAAAGACTCAAACAAGCCAAAAGCCCCTTGGATTAGTTGAACTATGATTTGGTAAGTTCGAAAAAGGTGTGATTGTAGAATATGATAGTGAATGTTCTACAATGGCTGGGCCAAGGGGCGATTTGAGCACCTGAAAATTTACGTCATTGGACTGTTGGGGCTGGTGTGCCGACGGGCGGTATACCGCACGTTATCACCTGACGACCGGCCCCACCTGACGACCGCTTTTTCCCATACAAAATAACCCAAGATCACTAACTTTAAAGAGCTACAGTTCAACGAAAATAAGAGATATTGAAAAGATATTTTAAATAGATAATTTGTAAGGCTAGTTCTATAAGATTATTATAAAATATATATCAAAATCGCGTTATAAATATATATATAAAAGCTAAGTTTTTAAATAATTAAAGATAACAGTCTTTATATTATAATACTAAAGGATTAGTAGATATATATATAAAGAAGATACTATTATAAAAGTAATTAATAAAAAGTACTATAAAAATAATTTTATTTATTCTAATCTTCTATTAAAAGGCCATGTTTTTGAAATAATTTAAATTTTAATAATTATATTAAAAATCTGAATTCTATTGTAATATAAAATTAATAATAAAAAAATAAAGTATTAGCTTTAAAATATAGATATTTATTTTATATATTATTATAAAAAATATTTAAAAATTTATCAATTTAATAATATTTGTTTAGTTTTCTTTTTAAAAACTATCTTTATTTTAAAAGTTTTAATTACTAGTCTATAATAAATATATTTTTAAAATTTAAATAGCGTAAAGGATTATATTTATTTTTATTATATTGATTTATATAAAAAAGTAGAAATTACTGAGTAACTATAGTTTTATTTAGATATTACTAAGTTGTATTTTATATTGTATTTTTAAGATTTTAAGATAAATAATAATTAATTTAAAATATATTTGTAGGGCCTATATTTAGAACTTTTAATTTTAATTTTTAATATTTTTATATAATTTTTAGCTCCATTAAATTATTAACTTTTTTTAATTAAATCCTCTCTAAAATAGTTCATTCTTTTTTAACTATTTATAACTAATAAAGAAGATATAATATACTTTTTAATTATAATTATAATATTTATATTTAAAATACTTTAATTATAATTTAAATACTTATTATATCCCTAAATCTATATTATATAATTAATTTTTTAATTAATTTTATGTATTTGCTATATTTTATTGTAATTTTATACTTTTTTCGATATTTTTTAAAATAATATAATATATTATTTTAATTTAAGCGTATAATACCATTATCTATTTATTAATATTAAATTTATTAATATATTATTATTAAGTTAATCTTTTAATTCTTTTCTAAAAACGCCTATATTTAACTTGAATAAAACTATATAAGAATTAGTATAAAGATTATATTTTTACTATATTAAAAAGATATAATATATTCTATATCTAAATATAAAATATAAATCTAATATCTCTTATTTTCGTTGAACTGTAGCTCTTTAAAGTTAGTGATCTTGGGTTATTTTATATGGGAAAAAGCGGTCGTCAGGTGGGGCCGGTCGTCAGGTGATAAGGTGCGGTATGCGGGGAGCCGAGCCGATGCAAGTCGGGCAAGTTACCCGATTAGTCGTGGAGGTTTCCCATTTGAGAGACGCGAGTAATGTTTAACAATCTTGCGCTTCGGCATACCGAACAATAGAAAACATTGCTTAATATACACGGACAAACGACAGAGACTGCTTATATGAAAGACTGGATTCCTTGAAGCACCCTGAGCTTCATCGTCTCATCCTCCGACTTCTCTATCGATAGCCAGTTGGAGGTATCCCATCGGTCTACTTGTGTGTAGCTCAAGTACCTAATGGAGTGTCAGCAGCACCCAGCTTTTCAAAATATATACGATATGTAACTTGGGGTCCTCAGACAGTGATAGTCTTTCCCAATCAGGCCCAAGTATTTGCTACCGAAACCCAGGGCTGCCGTCGTGAAGCGTTGGAAAGAGGTTGGTCTGATACTATTATTTATGAGAGAGTGCTATCGTTCTGAGGGACGCCCAGAATATGGGCAGCCGATGTTAGTCATAGATGTAGCGGGCATGCTAATCCAATATACTGGACTTTATCTACTCCTCACTGGTCCTTGCGCGCTATGGCTTTTTTCAGAATGAATTGCTTCTTCGCTGCTCACATTTATCTCTTGGGTGTCAATATCCATCCTCTCGTGAAGTGTTCATTAATAGCTGCTACTTTATCCCGGAATCAACCTCAAATCACACACCAAGCGTATTGAGTTTAGTCCAAGTATTTAGACCAAACTTTTGTTGACTAAGTCATGGAATTGTGTCCAACAATCATCACTGAACAACCCCGAGGTCCATCCAATTTCGATACAATCATGGCGTTAATTCTACACTTGCAGATAGCAAGGAACTATGAGGAAGCCTGGCTGTCATTGTCAAGTGGCGTGCTGTTCACATAGATCCTATCCTCGGTAAGTTAACACCTAGAATCGAGGGATACAGACTTATCGGGTGTTGAAGACTGAAATAATTGAGATAGCGGGGGCAATATCGGTATATGCGCTTTTGTACTAAGCCGAAGCGATAGAGTGGTTAGAGGGGAACCCGATGATAGTTGTAGCATGATGAGAGGTTTCCTCAGGCAGAATAAATTCCTCAACACTGGCCGTGGAAGTGGACGCCATATCGTTATGGCAGCTGTTCGAGTCTTCACAGGACAGGCTGGTCAATATTGTTCGCATAATCGGCGTGCACAATGTGTCAAGATGACAAGACCGAAACCTCTTTGGCTTAACTGCGGAAGCTCTAATAGCCTTCCGACTCAAAGAAAAACTCGTGGTTCTTATTAAAACGATAGATTGTCGGGGCGGCGGACTATTCTCCGCCTAGCAGATCCCCCACAAAGCTTAGGGCTTGAATCGCCGTGCCAAAGCAGTAAGTTTATCAACATCTTGATTGCTAAGGGAGGTTTCCCCAGGTCATCTACGATATGGCCTTGCCCCAGCTCTGGTTGTGCCGCTGGCTCATGGCCAGTTATCGGATGGAACGACCGTAGTGTGCGCCGTGCTGTGGGTCTACATGAACCAACCAACACCCAACTAACAGTAGCAGTAAGCACTAAGATTCTTTTTGTTTTTTTTTTTTTTTTTTTTTTTTTTTTTGTAGAGAGTGGTATTGTTTAGCACGATTCCTTCGAAGGCGTGGGGGCGGAGAAGGCGCCACCTCCACCTCAACGACTTCCCGCCTCCGTTATCGTCTTCTGCTCTTCTCTTGTTCCGTCGCAACGCAAGTTCTGATTATGGCAACCTCCAGATTTAGAGTGATTGAGCACACTGTTCCTTGTCAGTCTATTCGGGAATATCATAGGGCAGTGAAGTCAGACAGCCCTGCGTTGCGGCTGGCTGTCAGGCAATATATTCCCCTTAAAAATGTCAGCCCGGCACCCGACGACGTCACAATCATTGCCGGCCATGCGAATGGAATTCCCAAGGTAGCTTCTCCAGGACTTGATACATTCGTAATCTCTTTTTGCTAAGCTTCACCCGATCATAGGAATGCTATGAGCCTCTTTGGGAGGAACTCCTTTCTTTGGCAAATTTTAGAATCAAGGCCATCTGGTTTGCGGACTGTGCCCATCAAGGTGCTAGTGGCATACTAAATGAGAATGTGCTCGGGGATGACCGTGAGCCACCCCTTTAAAGCATAAAGCCTGGCGGACTAACGATGGCTCTCTAGCAAATTGGTTTGACCATTCGCGCGATCTCCTATCCATGGTAAACCATTTTCGAGACCTAATTCAACCTCCAATCGTGGGAATCGCACATAGCTTCAGTTGCTCGCAGTTGTGCGTAACCAATCCTTCAGATTAACAGCCAGCTTGGCTTGCCATTTATAACGTAGTGCACGCTAAATATTATCGTGAATCAGTGTCCACCTTTCTATCATGCACCCGCGGTTATTTCACTCACTTGTTTTCCTGGAGCCCATGATTCAAGTCGAAAGTCCCGGCAAACCAGGTGGACAGAGTCCAGCTCTTTGGGCCAGCTCTCGCCCAGACCTATGGTCTTCACCGCAAGATGCCGAGAAATATGTCCGGAAAAGTCCGTTCTGGCGCAGATGGGACCCAAGAAGTGTTGATCGATATGTCCGCTTCGGGCTGCGGTCCGTCCCGACCGCTCTCTATCCCAACCACGACCCTGGCACTGTGACACTTGCCACGACAAAGGCGCAAGAAGCCTGGACATACTTGCGTCTGAATGCTGCTCCTCGAGACAATAGCGGAAACAGTAATGTGGAGCGTTTCCTCACCGCGGATCTCGCGGCTACGCCAAGAGACGGGCAGAACAACAGTCCCGAGTACGTGAACGTTTGTCCCTGGACGTGTATCGCCTTTGAGTATCTGTCCTACGTGCGCCCATCAGTTCTGTACGTGTTTGGGGAAAAGAGCCACATCAATATCCCTGAACGGAGAAGGGATAAGCTGGAACGCACCGGCAAAGGGCTAGGAGGGAGTGGAGGAGTCGCTGCGGGCCGAGTAAAAGCGGAGATCCTCCCAGGTGGATCGCACATGGCACCGTTCGAGAAGATACATGAAACGGCAGATGCCATATCGAGCTGGATAAGCTCGCAGAATGAACTGTACCAGACAGAGAAGGAGTTCTGGGAACGCCAGCACGACAGCGGAAAGTCGGAGCGCAACAGTATGGCTTTATCGTCGCAGTGGATGAAGTATGTCACACAGCCAGTTGATATCAAGCGGGAGAGGAAGTCAAACTTGTGATAGCCTGTTTAACCTAGCTATGGCAGAAAATCGAGTTTCGGATCGTGTGTGGGATGTGAGATGCTGGTAGAACAGTACTCAAGGGAAAATCGCCTGGTTAAAGCGGGCATGACATTGGCATCTCTCGAATTCGAGTTCATATATTTCTTGGCTGTTTAATTATTAACTGCTCTTGTACTCGCCTACCCTCGGCTGTTCATTATTCCAAATTTAATTCGCTATTAAGGAGACAGTGCTGATGCCACTTCATAGGCACAATGTATAATGTAACGAGAGTCGGGGGTGAAGCGTTTGCTTGTCCGAGAATCTAGAATTAAAAAGACTGTTTCTACTAATTATTCAGCTTTGACTCATAAGCAAGGTAATAATTAGATATCAGGTTTTCTTTTCTTAAGAGTATGGCATAATTTTGAACTTCCGAATGACCAGGCCCTTGTTCCTTCCGCATACGGTCGACATCCGAGGTCTGTTCGGATATCCGAACCAAAACGGCAAGGATATGTTGACTGGCGCCACACCGCGATGGATGACAATGCTGACCATATCATAGTACAGAGGACCAAAGAAAATTCTGCAATCCAAATAGAGCTATATTATAGGTTCCGAGATGTGAAATTTTTACTAATAGCAACAGAAGCACTTGTACAACGCCAGGGCAAGCTACTATCTATCGCTTTCACCTAGCACTAGAAACAACCTTTTTGCTATCATTCTATTCCATCCTATCCTTCGTGCATTCATTGAGCCAATTTACGAATTCGCCAAAAATGCAGACCTCTACGAACCAAAGCCACGACGCTGGAGATACCATCAACTGCAACAGCCTCCCGTGGCTCCCCCTCGCCCCTCAAGTCTGGATCAAAATCCTCAGACTTTCGCCAGAGACCGAATCCTACACCGTTATTGTGCGCGCCGAGCCCGGTGGCGTGCTGCCTCGCCACCGACACCTAGATAACGCCGAGATCTACATCCTTAAGGGTAACGGCGCTCATCCTCAGACTGGTGCGTTCGCGCAGGGTGACTACGTGACTGAGCGCAAGGGTGCCACGCACGAACCATTGGTGTTCCAGGAAGAGACCGAGTTGCTGATGATAAGCAATGGGCCTTCGGCTTTCCTTGGCGAGAATGACGAGGTTTTATACCTGATGGATGTGCCGATGTTGCAGCGGCTGGCGGAGGTCGCTCACTGAGTATACGTAGTGGGGCGTGAAGCATGATATAAGCATGTCATTGAAGCAGGTGTTTTGGTTCATTCAGTACCCTGAAAGCTTTGATTTTGAGATATTGCTTGGCAAGATTCGATTGGAAAACACCATCCCGCCCTTTCGGTTGGTGATTTGCATTGAAAAGCAGGTTTCATGGGATGAGCTTGCGAACCAAGAAAGGAGGGTGGAGGCCGCATGTTCTGGCCAAATCCAGTTGTTTCTCGGTACTAGGGGGGAGGTTAAAGTGTTTTACGCATTTGAATTGATGTGTCAATGCTATCTTGTGTCTTAACTGTTGCTATCACGTTCGAGGTAGCTCTACATCTTTTCATTCAGCTGTCAATCAACTCCAGGTTTAGGAACTACCAAGAGAATCTCGGCCATCTAGCACAGAAGAATTGCGAATCGTGTATATTAGGGCATTGTGCATGGCAGTTCATGATTACAATACAAATGTCATCTGCATGCATTTTACACGAAGAATTCGGACTTCCGAACTGTAGAGGCATGTATATGCGCGAACTTGGCTCTCTCAGCAGTTTGCAGGGATAAGAGTCTTAGATGCGTGCGGGGAAATTGGCCTAGATAAGTGATATTATCTACATAAATAGAGATTGTGATACAGGTTTAGAAGGTCACACAGGTACAGTCCACCATATATTTACCATAATCTATCAGACCCATCAACAGTCACTATGACTCAAGCAAGCATCTCCCTCAAGCCCTTGCCTAAGCCATGTATATTCACACTAAAACCAGGGGCCTTTCTGCTCCCCGTTATGTCTCGCCAAGGTACTGGACCCGGCATGATTGTCATGGTCCCGGATGACCCCTCAGACCAACTCACTCAGATCAATAATATCCCTTCTCCATCACTGAAATGGGCCGAAGAGGGTTACAATGTGATTGAGATTCAGGAATCGGCAATTGATCGAGGATACGTCCTTAACCAAGCAATGAAGACGTTTGAGCAGCAGGACAGGTGTACTACGGGTGCTGTCGGTCTTGTCGGTAGGCGAATATTGTTGTCTCGGTTTCATTCCATGCATACTCGCTAATGCAAACCTACAAGTGTACGGCTCTCAGCTTTGGAGAAAGGCAAAATGCCTTGCTGGATTTAACAGAATTACCGCGGCAGCTGTCTATGCGGAGGCTGCTGATGTCGTTCAGCTGGGATCAAATCACATTCCCACCGTTCAACACTTTGCAGGCCGGGCAGGCGTGCAGCTTCAGCGGAAAGTCTATGCCATGCAATATGAATATCCTGAGATGAATAGCTCGTCTTTTGCTCTCCCGGCTTCCTCAGCATTTAACTATGCAGAAGAAGGGGTCTCACATACTCGAAACTTGGCCTTTCTCAAGAGACACATGAATGGCCCTTACTTTGATCTAGAGGCCATTTGGGAGGAACATACCTACTATGAATTCGAAGATCGGTCCGTCGAACAAACTATGAACACCATGGTACAAGAGCCTTATGTGAACCATATACCAACGGTGAGTGGCACACCTAAACCATATACGTCGAGGATCGGCATAACTGAAACTATCCAAGATGACAGGGGGGATAGGTCGGGATGAACTGACACGATTCTATCGAGATCATTTTATCTTTAGCAACCCACAGGACACCAGAAATCAGCTTATCAGTCGGACTGTCGGCATCGACCGCGTTATCGATGAGTTTATCATGACAATGACCCATGATTCGCAAATTGACTGGCTGTAGAGTCTCCCCACGCTATCTAGATCTAGGGCGTCCGTTCCATTGCTGATATTTACAGGATCCCTGGAGTCCCACCGACTGGTCGCAAGCTTGAAATACCATTCATGGCAGTGGTCAATATTAGAGGAGACCGCCTCTATCATGAACACATAACGTGGGATCAGGGAACCGTGCTTAGACAACTGGGGCTACTTCCGGAATATCTCCCATACTCATATCCAGTCCCCGGAAAACCCTCATTGCCGGGTCAAAAGTTCGAATTTCAAGTTCCTGTGGCAGGATCTAAGACTGCTGCTAAGTTGCGTGACAAAAGCTCCGTGCCTTCGAACCAACTGTTGGGTCTGCACTTGCGAGTTTGTTTGATGGACAGGATTTACAGGCTATGACAGAATGACTGAAATTTGCCGCAAGGAAACGCATACAAAGCTGGCTGACTGTTCTTTACTCTACTTTTCTTCCCATTTTCTCCTTTCTACGCTTTTCTATTTTCTTCTTTTTTTCCCCTTTTGCTTCTTCCTAGCCTTTTATTTGATCTTTCAAGAGTGTTCAGAAATCCTACTTGTTACATGTCTACTCAAGCGATGAGGAAAGTCACCTTTTAAAATGGAGCGACAAAAGCAGTTAAATGCAGGGAAGTATTTCTCCTTTTAGGTATCCTGACACAGGTCTAATGGTTATGTTCACTGGCTGCAATAAGTGTGTCATTGGCCACTCCAGTAATATTTTCCGTACCATCTTTATACGCCCACCCTGCCAAACGTTCATCAGTCAGTGGTCTTTTCAACTACGAGAGATTCACCTGATACGTACCAAACTTGGGATGCATCAATAAGCCAGGCTTGTATATATCCACGCTTCTCGATCGCATCCAATCATCGATGCGATTCCAGTCTTTACATTGGTGGCGGCCTTGGTCAATGCCGAACGGAATTCGTTGTCTGGATCTGCGTGAGTACTCGAGACAGTTATCTTCACTGCGTAATGAGAAAACATACCCAACGCCCCATTGCATTGGAAAAATGGTTAAATCGGCATTGCATCTCACGGCATCCAAAAGGTATTGCAAGCAGTGTTCTGAAGATACAGTCAGCTAGATTAATTTGTCCTGGCAGGGAGAAGCTCACCGGCGTGACGTAAGAGCTCCACTTTCTGTTCTTCACTTCTTCCTGGATGGTAATGATCAAAGTACAACATGTGATGAACTCGCTTGATGCAATGCACGGAGTGGTATACTGCAACATTTGCGTAGATGTCGCCCGACCCGTCATTGAACTCTACAAGACCCGGCTGGCCACGGTAGTCCTCTGGGACCTCGTCTGGGGAGATCCGGATGTTGTTGTCTGCAGTCAGCTGTTTGTTAGTTCTGTGATAATCTGTCTATGACTACTATGCTCACGTTTCACAATATCCGCCCAGGCAGCGTCAGCCTCGGGACCTGGTGGCAAGAACATTGGGTGCTGTGAATCGGGCACCTTCCTCCCCTCTTCGTTATACGTTGATTTGTCTTGTAGGTCGAGTACAGTCCATGATATTGCTTCTTCCATGGGCGCTGTGAAAACCTGTCAGCAAAATCTACCAAAACTTCGAGTCGTGGCTGGTCTAACTGGGTACAAGGTTTGGTCCATTGATCCCATAGGAGCATTGCCTCTTGGTAAAGAGAAACCAAGTTGCACTGAAGAAAAGAATTGCATGGATCAAGACCGATAGGAATATCCATAGAATGAGTGACACGCCGCCTAATCTGCGCTGCGTCTTTTCCGTACAGGTGCCGTCCCCGGAGTCACTGTCATGTGGCAGAAAAGCCTCTGTTGACTCGTGTCCTTCAGACCTGGAAGAGCCGTCTCGGAATGGGTTCCTCATGCTCAGTGAACCATTCAGTGTGAGTTAGTCTCATTCTCGTTGCAAGCGATATGTTATCCCAAAATCTTGGACCTTGGGTTTTTGAACAAGGGTGGGCGGATCGCCGCTCACGCTTTCGCCAACGCATCCGGCTTTCCCCTTGCATGGTCGGTATAGTACATGATAAATCCATGTACAGGCAATAAATCCACTACCATACATAAAATTCACGCAGCGACGTCATCGCACACCAGTGGTATTGGTCTTTCTTGAACATCGTTTGTTAACATGGTATCCATGCGCCAAGTATCCTCAATTGCGGTGAGTATTGTGACTCGTAACACGTCAATATCGCCCAAGGATCGACCATATCTTACTCAACTTGTTCTTTTCGACCAAGAACCTCGACCTGCAGAGGATCATTGTGCAGCTTCGTTCTGCACCATAGCAGGATTCATGGTTCATAGTGGTACGTCGATCCCGAGAGTTTCCGCGGACGGATATCCCGTAGGAGAGTCTCCATTGCTTCCCATAAATATAACCATCCGAAATTCTCTGCTTGAACTAAGCTCTCAATCTCCCATAGTACTGAATTCAGTGATACCCTAAGCATACTACCGGCATAACACACTAGATCCTCACGTTTTTCTCACCTTTTCTTCTGACCTCAAACAATCAACCCTTTCCACACACCATGCAACTCACAAACCTGCTTTGGACCATGGGGCTCCTGGCTATTGGAGCCCAGGGATTACCACTCAGCAACACACCCGGTAAATAGAACTCCGTGTTGCGAACAAGAATCCTTACTGACAATGATCTAAGGTGCCCTTGATGCCAGTGTCCAGCGCAGCGGCGATAATGTTCCTCAAGTCCACAATGACCTCAGTCACGAACATATTAGTGGAGATCATCGACCCGGAAAGAATGCTGAAGCCGACCAGGGATATGAAGGCGCGGCGAAGCGCCGTTCCCCAAGCAAAGATGCGGATCAGGGCTACCATGGCGGTCCCGCCGGCCCAAGAAGTCTTGATGCCACTCGCGCTTCTATGTACGGCGTTCCACATGATGCGCATCAGGAGGCGGACCAGGGCTATGAAGGAGCTGCGAAGCGTTCTGGTAAAGATGCGGACCAGGGCTACGAAGGAGCTGCGAAGCGTTCTGGTAAAGATGCGGACCAGGGCTATGAAGGAGCCGGCGCGAAGCGTCTTTCTTCTGGTAAAGATGCGGACCAGGGATATGAAGGTGGTATTGCCTGAAGAGGGCTTGATGCCACTCCAGTTAGCAATGACCGTGTTCAACACAATGCGCATGGGGAGGGGATCAGGGATACAATGGGTTGATTTAGAGGAAGGGGCTATGTTGAAGTTGAGAAAGGGGCAAAGAATGTTAGAATCCAGTTTTATGATCTCATGAAACGTATTGTACGCGAGAATACCAAGATGGGCTACAGTGAAGATGCTCCATAAACTTCTTCCCGAATACAGCAGGTAATGGTCGCTCCATTTGAGACACTTCTAAAATGTCTCTTTCTCAATACAAACACTTAATAACTACTTGAAGATAGAAACTAATCAGATCAAGTATGCCATGCAGTTGGCGAACACGGATGACAATGTGCTCCAGACAGCTTACAAAAAGAATAGACCTTGTTGCTCATGAGCAGGTATTAACGACAAGTGGCCATAATGAGTGCAATTTGGGACTAATTAGAAGAGGATGCCATTGACATCAGAGGATTTGTCTGGAGCTTCTATTATCCCAAAATATGCCGGAAAATTGTACCTCTTATCATAGGTAACACAAAATCCTAGCACACCCTGCCGGAAGCACTGCTGTTCAAAACCTTGTCGCCCATTTTCCAGATCCTCAAACCTCAGTCATTAACTTTTGAACCAGTCCCTGCTAAGAGACCACTCCCGTATAGCCTCAAAGTTTCGGCAGGTGTGCGGTCGCTCCGTTTCGCCCACAAAGCTAGCACCACTAGGATTGCTCTTATCCCCAAAGTACAAGGGTTTGAGTGTCACCGGCGTCAGGTCAGCCGAGCACATAATACCCTGTCGTAGATGGTCCACACAATGATCTGCCGGCGATAAAGAAGCATTAGCATAGATTTCCTTCATTAAAGTTCGGCTCTTAATGCCATTGCCGAATATCAAAATTTGAACCCATGTTGAAAATCCAATGTAAGGGAATAATTACCGATATGTATTCGCATTCCTCCTTCTTCTTCAAGCCTCCGTCCGTGGTGATGAGTTTGACCGTTGATGTATCTTCTGAGCGCGTCCAAGCAATGCAGCGAGTGAAAGACTTCAACGCCACCAAACACGCCGGAGTGTCCGGTGTGGCTTCGAATGCCGACTAGGGGCTCAAGGGCCGGCAGGGATGGCTCATCTCGATCAAGCTGATCGACCTCGTCATCTTGCAGGACAAAATATCGACGCCCAAACAGCTTGTCCCAGGCTTTGTCGACGGCATCTAGGTCGCGGCCAACATATGCCGTCTCGCCAGGTTTTCCCTCAGCGCGATAGACGGTTCCATTGTCTGATACACGGAGACCCGATGAGAATTGACGTTGCTCCAGAGAAATGTGAGGTTTTGCGTCATCAAAGTCGGTAGTGAAACCGGTCTCGTAAGACCTTTTGAAGTGAAAGAGCGTATAGGTAGAGGGAAGCAGGAGAAAGAATTGTATAGTCGCGATTACCAGGAGGGCGAATGTCGAACATTGCCAACCATATCGTGAGAAACGCCTTTGGGAAGGCGATCCCTCTTCTGCTGTATCTTTTTCACAGTCGGAACTGTCATCCTGGTACTCTTGCTCGCGTTGCAGAAGCTTATAGCGTTGCGCTTCATCCATCTTGTTTCTATTGACGAAAAGGCTATAAACGCAATACACAGGTGGCATCACCACGGACAGGTGCAGGAAGGTAAGAAGATGAACATTCCACATGGAATCCACAACTTAAAAAATTCCCAGATTATGAGTTGAGGTTGTTGGAGAACCTCTAACAGTGTCACTGCTTTCGGGCATCAATAACACGCCGAGCCTGAGCCAAGGAAAAAAACTAAAAGTTACTTTCCATTCACACAAAGTCAATTTTACAGTAACTTATTCATAATAATTTAATGACTTAATCCCTCAATTAATTCTACATTAACCAGTTTGAGCTAGTCTGCTTGTGCTGGCCTATTCATTGTGTAGCCTACAAATCAAGTGTTCTTGGCATGGATGTAAGGGGGTTGAGACAAGGCGCAGTACACATCATTAAATCTACCGGTTCTCCTCAGGCGAGCCTTATGCATGCAACCTCGTATGGTGAAGAGGGGGCATACTTTCTCGTCTTTGTATTGATGTGCCACCCATGCAAGGCAAAGATACGCTGACCGACACTCTGCTTCTCGAAATCAATGCAGAGACATTTCCACTAGTAGCCCCTCGCTTTCTGCAGAATGAAAGAAATTTTTATTAGCATTAATAAACTAACATTTATGTTACGATAGAGTACATTCTTCATCATTTTGTAGTCTAGAGGGTCGAATAATCAGTTTGGCTGACTGACAACGTAACAATAGCAGGGGAAAACTATATGGTAGATTTATAGTGGCGCGCACACAATGAGGAGTAGAGTCTGAGATTACCTGTCGCTTCTAGCTCAGGCTAGATCAGTAGATTCTAAAAAATATGGTTTGGTAATCGACGGCGCGATCACGGTACGAATGGATACTTTGTCCGCAGCCTTTCTCCATACTTGAAGAACATCAGGGGAAGCGGAAGCATAGCTAATGCAACGAACGCTAGTAAAGAATTTCCCCATCCGACCCCTAGCGCGTCATACATGGATGGCCCTGCAAGTGGCAATACGGCTCCCATAAGTGAGCGAAGGACCGTATTAGCGGCTGCTGCTGACGCGGCTTGAGTGGCGAATGCATCGACTAGATACGCTTGGACCCCGGTCTGGAAGATTGATACAGATTAGCTTCCACGTTGAGGATACCAAACCGAAATGCAGAGCACTCAATACGGTAAGCGAAAGGAGACAAGGTAGATACCTACAAAGGAGACCACCACCCCAACCCCGACCCAGCAGGTCCCGATGATCGGGAGTATCCAATGCGCCTGCTTCTGAGCAGCCCAGCCGTACCAAAACAAGCCGATGGGCATGCATAGGCTAAGTGGGATCATGAGTGACAATCGATATTCTGGTTTATTTTGACCTTTGGACGCTGTAGCCAAGCGATTCGAGATCTTATCGGAGAAAAATCCCATTGCCAGAAGGCCCAGAGCAGACCCAAGCCCCAGTCCAATGTATGTCAGCCCTACAATGCTCGCCGAGAAGTTATACTGTTCTCGGTATATTTTCGACATGGTCGTGAATAGCAGATAGAGGAACCCATAGACCACCGCGACATACCAGGAGAGCAGCGACACAATCGGAGAGAACAACAGCATCTGGATCGGGCGAATGATAGTTGTCGCAAAGAGTTGTAATGGAGTCAAGTCCTTGTAAAGAACAGACTTCAGGTCGGTATTCCCGGTTTCTCGCATTAGGCGTCTTGCTTTGCGTGCAAGAATGACGGGAGCATATGTTTCACGGAGAAATATGAACGATATCCCAGTAGAACCGCCTCCCTGCATGTGTAGTTTGTTGCAATAGCGCTACCTTATCGATGGAACGCTTACCGCAATTGCAATTATCCAGAATACCCAGCGCCAGGAGACATCTTGGGTCAAGAACCCGCCACAGACACTAATGAAGTGTGTAATAAGTCAGCTTTCACATTTATTTATATCCAGAATGCATTCTCCTGCCACTTAGACAACGTACGGGCCTACCACGGGGCCAATCACCGGACCAACAGCCCAGATGGATATTGCTAACCCGCGACGTTCGGGAGTAATAACATCCGCTATAGTTCCAGCACCCAGAGCTAAGGGTGCACATCCAGCAGAGCCGGCCAGGAACCGGAATCCCACTAACGATGGCAAGCTCGGAGCCAGAGCACAAGCGACGTTTGAGATGACGAATAGTATGTTACATCCGTGATAGAGCGGCAGACGACCATAGAGTTCTGAGAGTGGTGCCACTATGAGAGGTCCGAAGGCGAACCCGAGAAGATATACTGAGACCACAAAGGATGACATTGGCTGGTTTGTTGAGTGAAATTCTTTCATGACCTCGGAGACGCCCGGGGCAAACATCGCCGATCCCAGTGGACTAGCACATGCTATCAACATGTGCTTCTACCTTCAAAAAAATGGGATATAGACCGGGGTTCAAAGCATACGTGAGAAAGTTGAAGATCGAAACGATTATAACTGTCGTTATCTTGAGGCTCGTTTTCCAGTTCATAGGATTTGCCTCGTCGTCGAGCCCATCCCAGTCGACAACATTGGGCATCTGAGAACGAGCTGGGGGTCCGGTCTGGATATCATGTTCGACATTTCGGCTGAATATCATATTGTTTGCTCTCAGTAAAGGGGTAATCCAATTTCAGGAGCACCAAGAGGACTTGGCGACTCATGGATTTGGGCAAGGCTCGACCTATAAGTGTATAGTAGGCAGGGATCAAAGTAGCAGAAGCCCGGACCTCACCAACGAGCTGATAGTGACGAAAGCTCGGCTATTCGGCGCAAATATGAAGGCACAGTCTCCTATCCGCTAATTAGGAAGTGGGACATGTATATCATTTCTCCCGTTAAACCCGTTGGCCTCATGGCGACTGGAGTGGCGCGTCAACCGAGCTCCGGCGTTAATCAAGCCCAGTTCCACCAAGATAGATCATCAGAAATACCATATTATCGAGACCACATGGTCTATCTTTCTCGCAAACTATGGACGTTGTCAGCTCATCCATTGCCTCTCGGCAGTCGCCCGGATAGATACCCAATCCGGTCGGCTTTCCGAAGCACCGAGAACTCAAGTGGGTCGAGAACCAGTCGCTCCCTTTTTTTCTTCACTGCACGACTAAGCACAGAGGTGAGTATGTCTTTAATAACCCACTTCGTCGACGACGGGGTGGTCTAGCGGAAAGTTCCTCTAGAAGGTGGGGATTGGTATGTGGTCGAGACCTTTCAGTATCCTTATTCAAAAGTGGCTTTCAGTTCCTCCCTCACCTAGATCATCATGCACACAACAATATAACTGCCTAGAGTGGAGGTGGTCATAACCTAGTGCGAATATTGAACATGCACGAATTACTGACAGACACGGCTTTCGGAAAACTGATCCGAGTCCTAAGCGGCCATCGGGTTCTGCTCTATCCCGAGGAATACGGTTCCGTTGCTTCAGAGTTGACCGATACTACGGCTAAGACAGAGCCAAGCTTGGGAAGACCTGCACTCAGTCAAAGCGTCGTGGAGCAGAGCTCACAAGAAACTGTTGCTTCTCAAGTCATCGACACTGCTGAACTTCCAAATGGAAACATCATCGTTGTTGGCTGGGGCCCTAACGACAGCGAAGTACGTTCACTTACCTACCTCTTTCTATGTAAATCTTGAACTGACGCTTGACAGGATCCCCAAAATTGGAGCTTCGGCAAAAAGCTGCTGGTCAGCTCCTTAATATGGATTCTGACTTTCGCTATCTATATTGGCTCAGCTATCTATTCTCCCGGCATTCCTGGCGTAGCCACTGAATTTGGTGTGAGTACGGTCGCCTCGACACTTGGCCTCACCCTGTTTGTGCTAGGATATGGTATCGGTACGTTCAATGCTCCTGGAGTTTCTTGTCCCCTTCTCACAATGATGTAGGGCCCATGATATGGTCACCTCTTTCCGAGCTTCCTGCAATTGGGAGGAATCCAGTTTACCTCTTGACCCTATTCGTTTTTGTACTCCTCAATCTGGCAGTTGTCTATGCTCCCAACTTCGGAGCGCTCCTAGCTTTTCGATTCATCACTGGGTTTATTGGCTCACCCGCTCTTGCCACTGGTGGCGCATCTATGGCCGACATATGGAGTCCAAGATCCAGTGGTTATATGATAATCATATGGGGAACATTTGCTATCGCTGCTCCTGTCCTTGGACCCATGGTAGGGGGCTTTGCCTACTCGGCCAAAGGTTGGACATGGACTATATGGCAACTCATATGGGTGTCTGCGTTCGCATTCGTTTTGTTATTCTTCCTCCTACCGGAAACATACGGACCTAATATTCTGTATCGTCGCGCTCGACGACTGCGTCTTGCCACCAAAAGAGGCATCTTCTTCTCTCAGGCGGAACTTGACAGTCATTCATCTTCACCAAAGGTTTGTTACTCACGAACATTCCCTTCAAACCCTCAGGCACTTACCTCACTTTAGGAACTCTTATTCGAGGCTCTCGTTCGCCCATTCCAACTATGCTTCTTCGAACCGATTGTCCTTGTCATGAATATCTATATCTCCTTGGTATACGGTATTCTTTACATCTGGTTTGAAGCATTTCCGATTGTCTTCGGTGAGATTCACGGATTCAACCCCGGCGAAAGCGGAGCTGCCTTCTTGGGAATCATCACAGGGACACTCGTCTTTGCCGTCCCGGGCTACTTTGCGTGGAAATATTTCTTCCAGTCCAAGAAGATTAATTATGATGGGTCTATGGCACCAGAGGTGCAAATGCCTCCAGCATTCGTGGGGAGCATCTGTCTGCCTATCTCTCTTTTTTGGTTCGGCTGGACTGGCAATTTTGAATCGATTCACTGGATAGTACCTATCGCGGCATCGGCACTGTTCTCAATCAGTGGATGTCTGATATTCAACCCCATTCTCTGCTACCTGCCACAGGCTTATCCGACTTACGCCGCGTCAGTTCTCGCTGGAAATGACTTTTTGCGTTCCTCGTTCGGAGCTGGGTTTCCCTTGTTTGCAAGTGCGATGTTTCACAATCTCGGAGTGGGTTTGGCCTGTACGGTGCTGGGGTGCATTACTTGTCTTTTTATTCCGTTCCCGTTCATTTTGTATTGGCGTGGCAAGCAGCTCCGATTGAGAAGTAAATATGCACGTCATGACATGTGATCACAGGATCTCTGGCTGCCGCTTGGAATATACTTTAGTGTTCAAATTACCATTTGGATGCTTTAGATTGCAGGGAATGATTTGAAATCGAGGCGCTCGCCTTGTCGAAAGGTCTCTGCCATCAACTAGCTCGCTAATCGTGGTGTTCTTTGATATATGCTAGGATTGACCGCCTTCTTTGGATATTGAATTTCTTATCTCTTTACTCCATCATTCCTTCAGTATCCATAGTCTATGCTAAATCAGTAAATCTTGTAGCTGGGTTAATTAACAGCCCATCCAGATCACGCATGTTATATGCTCCGCTTTCATCATCTCGAATAGGTACTGGCTTCGGCATATTCGCGAGACGACTTGTGAAGCCACGGGATAGTAGTAGGCCTGTAATTCTGGCTGCTTTAATGGCTCTGATTGTGTTACTGCTCAACCCTCCCGCTTCCTTGGTGAATGTGCTCCAGAATATGTTCTCCAAAGTGATGTAATCGTCAAACCGAACCCAACCATTTTTGAGGTGGATCTTACTTATTAGTCGTTGGTGAGAGTATAGGTTCAAGCCAAATGGCGCAATCTCTGCTTCGGTCCAATCAACCACCCCAACCAAATTGCAAGACGTTTCGTTCACGAAAATGTTGCAGACACCGAAGTCTCTGTGAAGTAGCACCATAGGGAGAGAGAAAATGGTCGGCAATAAGTTGAGAGACTCTTGGATTAACGGGTGGAAGCGATATGGGAGAGAAACAAGCAGTGAATCCAGTTCTTCTTGGTATCGATGGTACAAGTTGTCACGGTACGTTCGATCAACATGTTGAGGACTTTTCCATAAAAGAGCGAAAAACCTGACAGAAGGTATATTTAGCAACTTGGTGCATGTGTAACGAGAACAAGCGAACGATAAGCATACTTCGCGTTATCAATTACAAGATTCTTGCGCCATGAAGAAAACTCAGGTGAATTTTCGGGCACCTGACTGTTATGTGCCAGAATAAAATCCAGATAACTGATGCCTCGTACTCGGCTCATGGCATAGATGTAAAGAGGTTCTTTCCTCTCGATATTATCTCCAATCTGCCCCAAAAACCTCACGTGAGGCGCAAAGTGGCCGTAGATGCTTCGGGCAAGTTTTCCAATCTCCATACACAGTTGTAGAGACGCAAGGCGAAATTGGACGACGGACTCGGCATTGGGTCCTGCATAGACGGTATAGCTGCATACACCTTGCACGGGCACCGGAACGATATTCCCACCAAGATGCTCCCTTGCAAAAGCTTCACACGCTGAGCGAGTCACTGCAGTCTTCTCGAAAAAATCTGTAATTCCCTGGTCAACAGAGTACGCGAGGTCACTAGTAGCCATTGTGGGCACAGATCGCTTTGTCAAAGTTGAGAATTTAGAGATGTAGCAGGAGGTTGTAGGGTGAAGCGACGGGAGACAAGAAAGGAGGTATCTTATATATCCTTGTCAGGTGACAGAGCATTGACACGTCGACGCCTGACGTTTCTGGCCGAGAGATTGGTCACCCATCATGTTTCTGGCATTAGTTTTCTCAACGATTATTTGGCCATTCCCCAGGAACAGACATGATTCCCCCCCCTAATTCCAAATATTTTTGAGGTTTGAACCGTCAATCCATGTCCTTCATTGTTATCTCACGTGCGCAACACCTAGGGAGGCATTTTTCTGAACAAGACCTTTCTCATACTTCGACTTATGACATGAACAGTCTCCATTGCACCAGCCCCCCCTTACCACAACATGGAAAGATTGAATTAATGACTAAAATTGTTCAATGACACTCGACTTCGTTTGGCACCCACTCCCGAAGATATCGGACGCCTCGATGATAAGAACTGGAATCACTTAGCATTCCCGATTTCGCTACGGATAACCGATTTACGCATCATAGGCAGTGATCAAACCCTTGAATTTGTTCTTTGGGTCGTAATCTCTTCTCGCGGTCTGCAACTTATAGTAATGGGGTCCCCAGGTCTAGTGTGTGCGTTAGAGGCCTGGTCAGGAAGCTGCGACTTTTCAAAATCGAATGAAACATACCTTTCTCGCATCATGGAAGTCTTCAAATCCATTTGGCAGGTAGTGGACCTCTGCATCGTCACCGAGAACTCGGGATGCGGCCTGACAGGCAAGGTCTCGTGCAAGCTTCTCTTTGGAAGGGTCAGCATCGCTAGGACATCCGGTGCCGAGTAACAGGATGTGCTTTGCGCCCTCCGGCCTTGGCCAGGCGCAGTTCGATCTCGGTCCAGCTGGTTCACACTAAGTCTGACGGTTAATCCGTGCTCGTGCCACTCTTTCTAGTCGTTGGTTCTACTGACCGAGCTGAGTATCTCAAAAATGAGATAGGTGCAATCAGCAACCGACTCATCAAGTTGTTGAATCTCTTCAGACCATCGGACAGCTCTGACGACGGTCTCTGCAGATAGTTCTCGGATCATCAAAGGAGCCCAGAACTGTTTCATGGAGCCTTTGACAATATGTGCCTTGTCTGGACAGATGGTCAGCGCCTCATCCCTGGATACGAAAATCTAGATATCGCCCCGGTACAGGAGCCTCACCTTGCAAATTTGCAACTCCTGCTAGAGTGTTGATCTTAGTCTGATCGATCGCCCCGGGAATATCCAACGCCCATTGGAAACTCATACGGCCATGCGCTTCGCCAAGGGCGTCGAACGCATGAATGACGAGCATGTCCGAGTCCGTTCCGATGGATTCGAGCAGTTTCTTCTTGACGACATAAAGAAACATCGTGACCTTAGGATCAAGCGGCTGAGAGAGGAACGTGGCGATCCCTTCTGCTACCTGCTCAAGCCGTTCCCGGGGGACCAGGATCCGGCCAGACCAGATATCCTGAGGATAAGGGAATACTCGAAGCACAACCTGCACCACGACTACGTATCTGACTGTCAGCCATTGCTCGTGGTGAAAAGATTCCGAGGGTAATTGAAGGGTCACTTACCTCCAAAGCCACCTCCGCCGCCACGCAATGCCCACAGCAGCTCCGGCTCTGCCGAAGCCCAGACGACTGAGCCGTCATACTTGACGACCTTCGCATCTAACATATTCGCGGGGTCCGAGACACAACCTCGCTCGCCGGAGAGCCATGAAAAGCCTCCGCTGACAATAGTGCCGGCCACTCCGACACAAGGGGTGCGGGCTCCCACGACTTAGCATATCACGTCAGCTTTAGATCCCAAAATCCCTGATTAGGTCAAGGAAAAGCGAGATATACTTACTTCCATATTCCGGGGCCGCTTTTTCTAGGTTCCGATAGACCTCCGACCACGTCTGTCCGGCACCAATAGTCACCAGTTCCGAGTGTTGGTCAAAGTGGAAATCATCAAAGGCCGACGTATTGATCAGGACGTCCTTTGCGGATGCGGACATAAACCCCTGTCCATATATTCCGATATCTAAATCGGTCGAGTAGAGGTAGGCAACGGTTTTACTCAGTGACTCAGCTGATTTTGGTCGAACCACGATACCGGGGTTCATTTGCTTCTGAGAAGCCCAGGTTTGAGCAAAGCATTGGTATTCCGGTGACTCGGGAGTGATGATCTCATCAGGGCGTAGCAGCGACCGCAACACCGCATGCTGCTCTTCACTTATACGCACGTCAACCATGTTAATCGTTTCGATGTAGAGTGGGAAGAAGCTTGATTTGAGTTGCAGCTGCCTACAAAATATATGAAAATGATCGAGTGGATTATATGTAAAGTTTTCCTTCTAAGCTGTCCGTAGCACAGGGTGGGAAACATCAAGGAACCCATGCTTACATGGCATGATCGACATAATCGGTGGACACCAACTTCACTCTATTTCCCAACAACACTCTATTCTCTGAGACTGCCGGATCCACAACACTATTTGTAATTATAGCCAGTTGAGACATTTCTTCAGCGTCGCTTTTCGCGGTCCGAGAGTGAGCGAAAGGTTCCGAGATGAGGCCGACCGAGTCTGTTGAACCTCCGAGGAGGCATTACCTATTTGTCTCGGACTTCCGAGCCGTTTTGGGTGGCCGCCAATATCCCGAGGTTATATTCTTCAGAGAGAAGGCTAAATTAAAAAGGGGTTTTATTAACTAACTGCTACTTTATCGGCACTTAGCCCTTTTCAACTAGCACACTGAACAACATTATGCCCAACGTTCTTGTCACAGGAAGTTCCCGCGGCCTCGGGCTCGAGTTGGTGAAGCAGCTCGCTGTCCGTGCCAGCACCGAAGGAGGATTGATTATTGCTTCGGCTCGAAAGTGCAGCCCGGAGTTACATGAGGTCATCTCAGAGTTCAATGGGACTGTTGTGTTCATATCGCTAGATGTGGCAGATGAGGCCTCTATCTCAAAGTCGGCAGAGGAGGCCCGAACGGCCTTGCACCAGCGAAGTCTGGATATCTTGATCAACTGTGCAGGAGTACACAGCGACACTCATGGAAAGCTGGCTGACATGTAAGTATACGATCCTTACTCGGTTTTTCTGTTAGTATGAGCTAAGCCAGGGAAACAACCAACAGGTCGGACCTCGCATTCCAGCTATCTGTCAACGTGACCGGCACCCATAATGTCCTGCGCCATTACATCCCGCTCATGAAAGATAGCAAGCTCAAGAAGATCGCGAATATGTACGGTTGAATAGTCCTTCAGCTGTGACCATCTCCGGATGCTGACCGTTTACTCACAGTTCGAGCACATTCGGATCCCTAACAAAGGCTAAAGACGCGTTATACGCACCTTGCCCGGCCTACAAGATCAGCAAATGTGCCCTCAACCAATTAACCCTGCAGTACGCACTTTCGTACCAAGACGAGGGCTTCGTCTGTATTGCAGTAAACCCTGGGGTAAGTCAGTGCCTTCATTTTAGCGGCAACATCATGCTAACAGGTTCACAGTGGCTCCAGAGTGACATGGGTGGCAAAGATGCCGACCTCACCCTACCACAAGGGGCACAGGCGGTTTGGAACGTGGTAGAATTCGCCAGCGCCTCGGATAATGGTCGTTTCAAGAACATCTATGTGCCAGGCTGGAAGGCCTACGATGGGCAAGACATTCCTTGGTAATCCACTCAGTCGATGTATATAATCTGCTGTAAGTCGGAGCCTTCGGGCGCGCACATTCGGTTGTTCAATAGACTATAGACTCATTATTGTTCAAGATAGAATAGCAATTTTTTGATCTCCTATCAAATGCAATTCCTTTGCCCGCAAATTGTACACTGTTAAAAGATATGGGTATTCTAATTTTGATCAGATGGTAATCTTCCAAGCTTACTGAGCTAAAATTATTCAATTATTGGTTTCCCGCTCATACCCATGCGTTAAAGAAAACAAAATTCTGTAAAAGTATACAGTTGTAAATCAGGGCCTCTTCTCTGACCCACAACCAGACGTGATCAGTCAGCAAACAACCTCATCCCTTCCCGCCGCTCCGCTGGAATGCAGGCAGATACATCGAAGGAAGAGATACAAGGAAAAAATGGCAGAAGTTTCCACAAGTCTTGATGATATTCTCCCCGCTGTAGGTCTAGACCGACTTTGGTGTTGGAAATCGGTGAAGTAGACAGAGGCTAACCTGTGCCAACAGTGTGACCAATGCCATGCTCGAAAGGTTGTGGACCCTCCCCTCGTCCACTCAGGAAAAAGCTGGGTCCCTTTTCTAGGTTGATTCTGACTTAGGTACTTCCAATAATAGGTCAAATGTAACAGGCGATCGCCTTGCGCGAACTGCGCGGACGCCGGTGTGGAGTGCCGACGCTTGCGTCGCGGACGGTCATCTCGAAAACAGACGTCCCAGAGGTTCGCAATCCTCTAAAGCTCTCGGGGGTTTGAACAGATTCGGGGATAACTAACGATTATTGGTAGAGGATTCAACCCCCAGGAATCCATTTTGGATCTAGATCTTGAAACGCAATCACCTGAACCCCAAAGGAATAGCGCGAATAGCCACCGGTGGAGATATCAGGCCGGATCAGTAACGCAAAATGCGCCCACGCAAAGCCATTCATCCGATATGGATATGGCAGATGGCAGTATGGATGAAACAGCTGGTCTGGAGCAACCACCACAGGATCACGCCCGTAACTCGGGGCAAACTCCCTTTCCTGTAACAGCCCAACCGACCTCGGGCGCCAATGATTCAAACTATCATGCAATCCAAGCAAGAAACATCATTGAACTGGAGCTCGACGACTGCCAAGCCATAGGCCGTGAGCGGCAATCAATACTCAGATCTGCGCTTCAGTTGGTGAGCAGCGTCGCCGAAAATGAGCCTGGCCATTCGGGCTCCATCCCGGTGATCCCCCGTCCCACAGACCCGGCAATCACGATTCCAGAGGCACCCCCTCGAGAGCTGCTTTATATGCTTCTTGGAGGTACTTATGTGTCAAGTCCGTTTTTGACGCTATTACTTACTAAATGCAGGTCCTTTAGATGCCGTGCGGACACAGTGGCCAGATCATATACCGCAAAAGACCTATGAGCGGATGGTCACGACTCTCCTCCAAGCGGATCAGAGCAATGAATTTTTTCATCAGCATTCCGTCTGTATCTACGTGAAAGCTATATTTTACTTGTATCAAGTAACACGAACTACTGACAATCCTGTTCTTAAGAGGGAACTGTCACAGTCCAAGTCCGCCTACATAGCGGCTGCTGCTCAAAGCATTCAGCAGTTCAACATCCTTCAGCGACCAGATCTCTTGACTGTACAGGCTTTACTATCAAGTGTCAGTCACTCAACAGTATCACTTTCTGGGGCTTTTAGATTTGTCTATTCTACTGACATTTGTGTCATAGGCCTTGCTCATGCAGCACATAGGGAGATTCAACCAATGCTGGCTTCTCACCTCATATGCTGCTAGACAGATCACTTCGCTCAACTATCATAATACTTGTCACGCACCGGCAAATTCGGGATTGGAGCTGGAGATTAATTGCGCCGTTTATTGGTGTTACTACCTCGATCGGACTTTAAGTTCCCTTCTCGATCGACCTCCTTCTCTACCAGACCCTGTGGTATCTCCAACAGACCTTATTGTCATCGAAAGCTCTTCGGCATATAGTGGGCTTTTACACATTATTATTGAACTCGCGCAAATTCAAGGGAAGCTACACGAAATATCCTCCTGTCGAGAAAGCTTACCCAACAGTGTCATGTTGGAAAAGTGTCAGCTACTTGAAGCCGACATGCAGACTCTTCTTCCATACCTGAAATCGGTACGTCTCCTTGTACTATTCCTTAAATATTTGATTTATGCCAACGTAGATTACTTCTAGAATCGGAGCTCTTTTGCGAAAATGATACAATGCGATTGGGTCGCGGTCGACTTCTGCTACTATGCGATCTTTGTCGAGATCCATCGAATACACTTGAAAAGCTGCTTCACACCGCACATCTACCGGGAATGTCTAGTTCATGCCCGAAAGTCGCTCGAGGCATTTCACTTCCTTCAGCAGCACTCCGCTGAGATGCCAGGTTTTGACGACCCGTACCCGTCATTTTTGACATGGTTTGGCAACATCTTTCCCCCTGTGTCACTCGCTATATACTGACATACTGCAAGGACCTTGTTTCTATATCCTCTCAGCGCTTTCTTTGTGGTCTTCTGTCATATAGTTGGCACCTCCGATGTCAACGATTTTCAACTCTTGCGCCAGATAACCGGAAGCTTATCGCATTTCAAGCAAGATCCGCACCTTGGAAGACTGTTGACCCTGCTTCAATCACTACAACGACTTTGTGAGCCTTTGTTTCCAAAACAAAGCCATAACAGCGCTACCGGAGAAGACCCTCTGGCAGATGTCAACCATTCACTGGCACATTTCTCCGGAACAAGTGGCCCAGCTACCGAATCATTCACCTTCCCACAGTCCTCTCCCTCTGCTCTATTCCGTGATGACATGCCGCTGGTCAACGAGCCCATTCAGAACACGGAGCTAGACCCCTCGGCGGAATGGCAGATGTGGCAGCTCTTCACCAATCAGGTCCCAAATGGCTGGCTTAACAAGGGTGTAGACCTGTTCGATCTTTAGGCTGGTGGTCGCACGAAGCATGATCGGACAGGTTTGATTGACTGGCAAACTTTGGTTGCGATCTCATTAGATCGAAGAAACCCCAGCTTGTTCCATGGCAGTCGAATAGCCACGGATAGCCTCTAGATGGATTCGCTCATGCAGATCATCCCTACCGGCAAGCAAGAGGGAGCTACCTGCTGTACAATAAGCTATTTATACTCATGAGCTCCTCGACTAAGCAATAACGAATTTCCATTTCTAGCCCTTCCGTGAATATGTAGTCACAGCTGATTAAGTTAGAGAACTAACTATGCCACTTCCGGACCTTAATCTTCAGGGTTTATTTCAATAAAGCAGCCTCCTTATGTAACCGCTTAATTCTGCTAATGGCCTAAGGCAGCCCGGCTAGCTCAATCAAAAGAGCGTAGCACTTCTATTAGTAGTAATTCTAAGGTCGTGGGTGACCCCCACGTTGGGCTTTTGTCTGAAAATCTTTTTTTTCTGATTAAGTCACACCTGCTTCTCCCTCATTCGGGTACTCTCATGCAAATGAAGTAGCAATAATGAGAGCTATGATAGCTCACGAGGGCTAGGCCCGAGTCCACAGGTATTGTAGATACTGGATATTATTAGATTGTATATTTTAGTTAGAAATTAAACAAGATATAGTACTATTCTACTATATGTATAGAATACTAATTCTAGTAGAACATACAATATCAGTAGTTAGTAGAGGATCTGGGAGCTCTTATACGGCGTTACTACTGGCCTAAGAGAGGTTAAACACGGTTCTATTAAAAGCTGATGAGTTTCCGCGATGTGGCTGTCCCTAATACCTTTGGTTGAGGATTGAGCACTCCTGTCCTTTTTTATTGGCGAATCCATGAAGTGAAGGCCCAGTATAGATTGCGATATTGATGTGGAAAATGTGGGCGGAATACAATTTCCGCCCTGAATGTCTCCACCAGCAGACCCCATGTTGATTTTATTCGCCATTAACCCTGTACAATTTGGAGAACCCTTGCATAACTTGTTGGCTACAATCTGTCAAAGATACGCAACTCTGTGACTGGTTGAGAATAGTTGGAGGGGAACAGGAAGGACCGAATGCTTTGAAATCATAATTGGAGAGACACGTCAGAGGCGCTATTCCTCAAAAATGGGAGGCTCGCGTACATTCTCTTTACCTGCTAAAAAGTATCCTTTCTAGCCAGCAAAAAAGAACATACATACTGTAGTACTGGTTCGTTTGCATTTTTCACAGTCACCATAAACAGGTCCATCTTTCCTACACCTTCGCACCCACAACCTCCGCTCCGCTTCGCTATATCTCCTTATTAATTGACGGCCCGAGCGCTTCGTACACTATACTATGGCTCCTTTGAAGCTTCTACTTGTCGGAGCAACCGGTTTCATGTAAGTTGCGATCGTCCTATGCAAACTCGAAAATCTTTGGAATACACCAACTCTGAATGCCTGCAGTGGAGGAAGCGTATTGCAGGAGCTACTCGAATCATCGGAAGCACAGAACGCGAACCTCCAAATCACCGTCGCTGTGCGCCAACCCAACCAAGCAGAAACTCTTTCTGGCAAAGGTGTGCGAGCAATTCTGATTGCCGGACTTGATGACGCCGATGGACTCGAGAATGCAGCGCGCGACCACGATATTGTGATAAATGCCGGGACCGGTCAACATACCGAGGCTCCGAAAGCCCTAATTCGAGGTCTCGGGAGAAGAAAACAACAGACTGGACAGGAGGGCCATTTTATTCATGTGTGATGTCCCGCTTCTTTCCTTCATTCCTTACTATCCTCTAAAATAGGCATCACACTAATATTGTGCTCTGGATACCCTTAGCTCTCAGGAACAACGAACATCGCCGTCCCAAACATCACGCCTTCACCGTACCAACTGAGGGATTTCTCGGATGAAGATAACGACCTCTATGAGTACGAAAAGTCCCGTGCTGCAAACGACCCATACGGACAAAGAGTTGCAGATGTCGTGGTGATCGAGGAAGGCATCCGATTCAACGTGAGAACCTATATTGTCATGCCACCCACAGTCTACGGGCACGGCACGGGATGGTTCAAGAAACAATCTCATCAGGTCCCTACTCTGATCAGAAGTGCAATCAAAAGTGGTCGTGCTGAGTATATCGGTACTGGCGAGGTGCAGTTGGGCCACGTCCATGTTACAGACCTTGCACGTCTGTTTGGTCTGCTAGCCACAAAGGTAGTTGCGGGCGAGACCGTTCCTTCAGGCCAACAGGGCTATTATTTCACAAACACCGGATCTCATACGTGGCTTGATGTTGCAAACCTCATTGGCAAAGCGGGCTTTGATCTTGGAGTCCTGGAATCACCACTTCCGAGGTCTATAAGCCTGGAAGAAGGAGCAGTCAAGTTTGCGGATGGAGATGTTAAATTTGCGGAAGCTTGCTTTGCATCAAGGTGGGTTTCCTCTGTGACTTCTCATGATTTGGACTTTGGGTACTGATTGAGTCGCTAGTTCGAGCTCGCTGCCTCGCAGGGCCTTTGGCTTGGGTTGGAAGCCTCTCCATACCGAAGAAGATTTCAAGGCTTCGATCAGAACGACGTTTGAAAAGATACACAACGGAGGAGTGTAACTGATGATGGGTTCATTGCAGCCCTTGCTACCTGCACCCTTTAGAGCAGTGTCGACATGGATGAATGCCTGATCAATCTGCTCGACGACCATGTTCAGCTAGATACCTCGTCGAGGTAGCCACCTGATTGGATTAGCATCTGGGTTGCTCAGATGGGATGAGGATGGGTGGAGTACCTAGCCAGCAATAGATAAAATAATGGATAAAATCACCCGTTCGGACAGCTGGTGAGTACCAGTGGCCTTTTCTGGATCGCTGAGTCCTTTGTAGACGTACTATCGCATAGAAATGGTATATTGTTTATTGTTAAACCTTTGGAAGTCGAAGAACTAGAAGTAAAAGACAGGCTTGGTGTTTACAGAAGTGGAGGAGAAGTAGGTATCCAGTTGAAAGCTCGCTGAGTGGGACATCTCTCCCATGCAGCGGAAACCATTCTACGCTTCGCTACTTGCCCGTGCATATGGAGATGATCACCTAGGCTAGTAGAATCCAGTAGGTCCAATCCAACCCAGACTTGGGATACCACGAGCTACATAGAGATATCGGTTAAAGGTTACCTCTATGGTGACTTTGACAGCCGGGAAAGAGGTTTGCCAAGGTTGCTGCCAGTTTCAAACTTGAATGAGCTAAGGTCGTCGAAATGAAATTAAATTGCGGATCAACACGTAGTCTTGTCATGTAGCTGATGCGGTTACATTCCTTGCCACTTGGATTTTCTATGCTAGTCATAGACCTCTTTTCTTTTTGGCAATATTATCATAGAATGAGACCTATGAAATATGAGTAGATCATATGTCAATAGCGGCTACCTACATTGCCCAGGCCTGCCTCGCCTGGTCAAGGTTCATGAGATCACACGGGGATGGCACCGGCCCATGTATAAATTGAGGGCCCTGTTGCGGCGGCTTTGTATGGGTCCGCCTAGGAGTAAAACTCAAGGTTCCCGGTGCCAAGTCTGGACGTGATGCAGATCATGGCGAGGCCACCGCCAGTGTATGCCATCTGTACTTGTCCGCGCTTTCCGGGCGTCAATGATGAGGTGAAATATGAAGAACCTGCCGTGCAGGACCAGGATCATAGCAGATCAGTTGACCTGCCGTTCAATCACTGTCTTCATCCTCTTCCTCATTGACATTCGTGCTTGGTAGCTGAGAGCTTGATCCGACTTCGCTTTGTCGCTGCGTATCAGTGGTTCGTCTCCGGTTCTGCGTGGACTGTTCTGTCGAGGTGATCGCCCTCTCTCCAACGAACTTGTCCCCAGGCCACGGCGCCTTGCAGACAGGACATTGTTCCGCCTGCTGCACGCGGAAGAAATTTCGAACACAATGATCATGCAGTCGGCCTTTGCAGTCGCGGTTCGCGCAGCGTTGTCCCTATACCATGTCAGTCAGCAACAATCTTGTAAATCAAACCAAGACATTGAAAGTAAGCGCACGCACCACCGTGATGATATCCCTGCAAGCCGCGCAAAACTTAATCTTCTCTATCCTTCCCCCGTCCTCGTTCTCGTCGTTATACGTCGCCACCAACCAGCCTCGTAGCTCCATCAATCCGCGCGGACTCAAACTATAGTATCCCTTGCGACTCTTCTCAAACCATCCATCATTGACGAGCTGCCGAAGCACCGTTTCAGCCTGCGACATGCTCAACGACTGCGCTGCCCCGCCCTGCGTCTGGGTCTGAGCCTGCGAGTCCATGTTCGATTCTCGACGATTCGAATCCCCCGCCGATGCCTTCGCCAGCTGAATGGCCTGTATTCCACTGACGACCATCGCCTCGGATCGTCGCGTGTTGTGCGTGTCGAACATGGCGTCCAGGACGCGCTTCACGAAGGCGATTTCATCGGCTGTGTAGGTCGTCGCGAGCTGGGTCAGGGCGTCGCTGGTTGTGTTGACGAGCGCGTAGATCCGCTCCGGTCGTGGATTCGTAGTCGCGTCGGGATCTATCGTTGATTGGGTTAACGTGCTTCGGATTTCGAGATCGAATGGCGAGATCGCGCTGTTCGCTGCCGCAATGTACGAGGAGAAATCATCTTCTGAGACGTCTTCAGGGGAGACAGGTTCTCTTTCTGTTTCCAGGACAGGTCGGCGATTAGCGAGCTATTCCGGAATATAGAGGAAATTCTGTGGTTCGAAAAAGAGAAGGGAAAGAAGAAGTTACCGTTGACCGAAAAGATGGCGGCCAGGACGGCCGTGGCTTCCTCGACGGTCATGGTTGATCGGGCCATGAAGGCTTGAAGAAAGGCGCGATGGCCGTCATTATAGCGCTCAGTCATTTTGGATCTCGAGCTTCTTTGGGGTTTGAGATTGGAGCTATCGGAGAAATGAAGCTCTGACGAAGCAGACAAAGAAAACGCGGTCGACGCGGGGCGCGTCCTTCTCCAAGTGCCAAGACTTTCCGCCTTTAATTGGTTTCTACGGACATCTCACCCTCGACACTAAAAGGAAGCATATCATGATGAATATCACGACCAGAGCTTGATATCATAGCAATTAGAACAGGAAAAGAGAATGCAACACACAAGATATGAAGAAGGAAATAGTACAGGTGACAAAGAAAGGCCATTATCCCCAAACGCCCACAACAGACGGAAACAACAGCAGATTCTCTTTCTCAAGTAATAAGCACCGCCACCGCTAGGAACACTTTCAAATTTAATATCTCCGCCTCGTCGGCTCGGGGCTCGGACTGCGACTGACGCTGCGAGCGTCCCGGCCCCGTTCCTTCAACCACTTCTTCGTGCTGAGGCGAATGTCCCGGTCGAGCTCATTGCTGGGATCTTTCCGGTGGATGAAGTTGCAGAATCCCCCTCGTACACAGCCCTCGCCACTATTTAATCGACAACACGCTTCTCGGAAATCCGTCACCGGTGATAACTCGCAGTATATCGGCCGCGCTGCATACCAGCGCGAATTCAGCGCATCGCAGGCTGCTTGTGCATCTTCCTCGTATTTGAATCGAGCGTAGACGTTTCCGATGAGGTCTGCAGCGGAGAAATCGCAACGTCAATAAGACTCCAACACATCGCAAATCACGGATGCTAGGGGGCAGGGCAGAAACTCACGGTCATTGTTGTTATCGCAAACCACCAATTCCTCTAGCTCGCCGTATTTGCACATCTCACACCATACATCCTCGTAAAACGCATCGAAGTGGTTCTGCAGTTGGCTGGGGTTCATTTTGTTCTTGGGGTCGTAGGCGGGATTTTGGTACATGTTGGGCATCAGGATCGTCTGGGAGTAGGACGGCTTAACGTGCTTCCGGGAGCATCGGTCGCCGTGTCGGCAGGCGCCGATTTTGTAGTAGAAGGAGCAGTTGACCTTGTCCTGCTCCGTACCGAAGATTGAGGCGAGATAGTTGGCCATGGTGGTTGATGTGAATGCGCCCGAGTCAGATCCGCTGGAGGAGAGTCGCCGAGGGGAGGGATAAGTGAAAGGAGGTGGATAAGAGGAGCGGAACTAGAGGATAGGGTAGTGATAGGAATGGGCGATGATGGAGAAGCAAAGGAGGTCGTGCGGAGAAGACTCGCTGGAGCTCACTTTCATTGAAGATTCTGGAGATGGCGGGAATGCTGACTAACCTCCCCGGTGTTTGGTGCCTCAGGTGTTGATTTATCAGCCTTCCTTTCGTGTCTTCCAGAAGTGACTTTGACTTCAGACCTTCTTCCTTAGTTATTTCCTCTTGCACTCCTGATGTCATTGAACCTATTTCATTCTCCAATATCTGGAGAGGTCCCCGGTACTATGGAACCACCATCCTATATCTATTTGTTCCATTCAATCGTGTATATATAAAAGAGCTCAAATGCCTCAAAATACCCCAGAATGCTTGTCTCATTATTGAATCTACTGGAGAAGAACAATACAAAGTACATGCGCAAAATACACCGCTCACCTCTCACCTGATGAGCTCACTTCCTATAGAGAGATAACCCTACGAAACGCTACCAACACCACCTAACCATAAACGGTAAAAGTATGGAAGATGTCCTATAGTACAGTCAGTACAGAGCTTAAGCGAAGTACGGAGTACCAGTCAGTGAGATAAGGATTAAATCAACAATACTATGTTGTCATAAGGAGCATGTAAGTCTAGAACAACTATCTCAGCTTATAATGTGTGCTTACTCGCTGTCCTCTCGAATCTCACAATCGGGGCATCGGCTGTCCGTGCAGGACTTTGCTGATTAATGTCAATAAGCAGCACCATTGGGGTACTCTTGACGCATCAACAGCAGAACTCGTAGGTGTTGAAATTATCAATACTAAATGTGTACATGCCGAGATGAATATGAAGGAGTCCTTCAGGCGTAGTATATAGAAGGGCTGGGACAGTGACATTTTCAATATCATCAATCACAGAAACGTCTCTTCCAAGAACAGAACCATCACAATGTCCAACCAGGCAGCCTGGATCAAAGAGAAGCACGGCCGGCTCGGGCTCGACGAGGCCGAAATCCCGATTCCCGGTGATAATGAGGTGTTTGTGAAAATCGAGCTGATCGCCTTCAGTCCTATCGATTTGAAGATTCAGACGTAAGAGCGTTCCTCAGCTTTTCTTGCTCACCCTGCTCATTTTGTACCCAACGAACTCATCAGATTCGGCACCCATCCTGTCCCTTACCCCAACATCCTAGACAAGTCCTTCGCCAGTACAGTCCAATACGTCGGTTCCAACGTAACCGACCTAAAGCCTGGCGACCGAATCGCAAGTACGCGAGGAGCCAAGGCAGTCGGGGATCCTCGCCTCGGCGCGTATCAGAAATACGCCCTGGCGTCTGTATCCTCCAGCTCCAAGGTTTCCGCGGACGTTGACTTCCAGGGCGCAGCAACTTCAATTATGAACCTCGTCACAGTGGTTTCTGCGTTGTCGATTCATATCGGGCTTGATCGTGCGCCTCTCTCGGGCAAGCCGGAACCCAAGAACAAGACGGTCTTGATCTATGGAGGCTCCAGCTCCACTGGCGGATTGGCCGTCCGGTATGCTGTCACGGTAGGATACACTGTCGTGACGACCTCGTCGCCGCAGAATCGCCAGTTCGTGGAGTCCTTGGATCCGGCTTATATCATTGACCATACGGCGCCGGCGGAGACGATCGCCAAAGAACTTCGCAGCCAGGGTCCATTTGATCGGATCTTCGATGCGATTTGATTACCTCCTGTGACCAATATCTTGGTCAATGGGCAATTGGTTCGTTTCTATGGACCAGTTGGACTAGAACCGGACGGCCCAAAAGGGTCATGGGGAAAGGTCTTAGACATGGCTGTATATTTATCTTGAAGACCAAACCTGGTCGGGTCATTTATCCAATCTCACGTTCCCGAAGCAGTCCGCTGTTTCGTTCACGAGGTGTGTCGACTTCTTCTCCAGGGATAGATCACGGCATTTCTCGGTCCAACTCTCCCTCACCAGGGATTGTTTGCCGCATGAGAGGGGGCCAAACAGCCGCGTTTTCCCTCGCCCTGATGCAAATAGAAAGATTGCCTGACCGGAGGGGCCGGACTCGCGCTCAAGACAGGGATCTACGCTGACCGCGTGCGTTAGTTCAAGTCCCAAGGATCTTCGTTCGTCCGGGATCCGTAGGGCCTGCGTTTCCCATTTCCAGTTTAGCTGGGCGTAGGGACAAAAGAACCCGTCCTGTTCCATACAAAAACCGCCTCCGCTGCTCCCCGATTCTTCCTTTCTATTCTTCAACTCCCTCCAAACCCTTCTCAAAGGACACAAGGAACGACCTTTCTGCAGCCACAATGAATACCATCCTCAACCCAAAGGCCCTACTGTGTGCATTTGGCGTCATTGGGTTTTTAGGCACCCATGGTCGCACCGGGGCGGACGGGTCCACAGCCCTCATATCCAATGCCCTGGAAAGTCCCAACCCTTATAATCTTCCTGGCACCCACTCTGCTCTACATAAAACCTTTACCGGACTTCCACCGGTTGACTTCATTATCAGCATGCTGGTTCTATTCTGGTGGGAGACCATTGACGGTTCCCATCCAGCCACCTCGGCCATTGGGCTTTATTTCCTTGGGCAGCTACTACCGTGCATTGTCATCACCTATTTGAACGCCCTGCGAGGGAATAAGCCCAGCCTGGTCAAGTATGTACCAGGCCTCCTGTTGTTTTCGATCCAATGCTAACTCTCTATACCCAGACCCACTCTTTGGCTTACTCTGTTCCAGATTGGCTCTGTAGGGGCTACTAGCTTCATCTGGGCTCTTGCGTACACAATGAGGTCCCCGACTACCCACGCCATTCTAGAACCGCAGGTCTTGCAAATCTCTTCTCTTATTTCCTGCCTGGATTATGCTTGGCTCCTTGTTCCTGCATTGTTGCTTGGATACGTGCTTCCGGCGTTTCTTATGGGCCTGCCACCGACACTCGTGAGTAATACTTTTACTCAGTATGCACTCGCGGCCTGGAACATGTATCCTGCGGTAGTGTCGGTCTTACTTTACCTCCTGCGCACCGTATTTGCAAGATTTATTCGCCGTCCAGCTGCCGAACACGGAGAAAGCACTCTTGTCAAAGCCAAGTCACCAACAAGAGAAGCGGAGACTAGCCACCTCCACGCAGTTCGAGTCACCACCATCGCAACGCTCGTCCTTAGTTCAACGATGCACTTGTTTATCGTTGGCCTCTCAATAACTACTCTCTTATTTCCCTCCATCTTCAAACCCGCTTACGTCAACGAGCTTAGCCCCCGCGCTATCTTCATTCCTCCGGTAGCTCCAGGACCACGGGCCTTGACACCAGGAGACGGGGTTCGTGGCTTTCTACTCTGGGACCAGGTCGCGGGTTACTCTACTGTTCTTCTGGTTGTGCTTTTGGAGTTGCGTGGCGCATTAAAGGCCGCTCAGGGACTCGGTAGCAAAGCACCCACTCCGTCTGCGTGGATTATCGGAGCGCTTGGAGTCGGCCTCTCCCTCGTCCTGGGACCGGGAAGCGCATGCCTGGTGGCCAGTTGGGCCCGTGATGAGATTCTCTTTGGAAATTGGTGAAGCACATGACTTTCTACGCAGAGCCACCATACCCGTTCTATCGGCCTTATAGTTTGGGATGTCTACGCAGTTCATAAATGGACCAAGTATCGAGGCGGCGGAAACTTAGACCCGACCCTTTCAGCACAACAACATCCATTGGACCGTGTCTCTTGAATGATGAACGGTTATAGGAACTACCCCTGGGTATAGTTGAGAATCATGGTATATAATCCGTTGTGAGTCAAATTGGTAAACGGAAAATAAGTCTGTAAATCGTGCATATCAGGGGGAGGTTGACAGAGTGAGCAATTTTAGGTACTGCTCAGAAATACAATCTGGCATCCCGAGTGCAACCGACCGCGAAGAGAGCCATAAACATCCGTCCCTATGAGCCTACAGTTATAGTAACTGCCATATCAATCATAATACTCGTCCCGTTAATGCAGGACAAAAACGCAATTATATCAGACAGCTTCTCATTGTCTATAGTATATTCAATAAGTATGATTGTGGGTATAGACTACCTTAGTATACGTTAGTATATGCGACCAAGCAAATCGGAATCAACGTGTCATGCCTACTGCGATATGTCATTAGAGATCCCTACAGTGATCCAACAATATGAGATACTACGGAGTACTTCCCATGACTTTGCGAAATTGCCTCATTGTCGATAGCATAGTCATCTAGATACCCAATTCGCTCACATCCGCTGCAGGCCGAACCCCTCTCACCATATCGGCAATAACCTTCCCTGTTCCTAGAGACAATGAGATTCCCCAGGGCCCGTGTCCCGAAGCAAGAAAGACGCCTCCCTCGCGATGGGTCTTGACGCCTTTCCCTAATAATTCATCCTCTATCCTTGACACTACCGGTGTTCCCCACTGCGAAATAGGACGGAAACATAATCCTTCACGAATAACTTCCAGGTCATCGATAATAGCAATCTCTTCGTTAAAATCCACGGCATCATCATGAAGCTTCCCCATAAGTTGGACAGATATTTCCCTAAGCTTATCGAGATCCCTCCGTTGCATGGAATTCAAACTATCCTCTGCGCGTACGGGGAGCTCGGCACGAGGATTGTTCAAACCGGCGATGTAAATCTCACCACCTTGACGGGAGAAGATCTCCGGACTGATCCCCGACGAGGCAGGACTTTCGGCGAAGATAGCATGGCTGCGGCCGCCATGTAATTTCTGCTCATGCTCTGGCGTATATCGTGGGGAGCGGAGGACAAGGGAGTACCCCGCTAGAGAAGAAACAGGTATATCGAGCTGAGAGGATGGAAAGAGATCATGAAATGCCTGTGGGGTCCAAGGACCTGCGCACACAATCAGGTTCGTGCATGGTATAGTAGTCTCCGTATCCGTCCCGAGGTTCAAGATCGTGACCCCTGTGATGATTTCACTGTCTCTACCTCTAGCAAGTGAGACGGCTTTGGCAGGTTGATGAAGTTGGACCCCACGAGAAATTGCAGAGTTCATGAGAAACGTGGAAAGTCTTAGTGGATCACTGTTGCATTGGTTAGTGTTATAGTTCCCCATCCCTCCCTAAGAAGTTGCTTACACTTGGGCAGTATCATCATCACTAATCCTCTCCAACGCCATACCCTTCTGCCTAGTCAACCACTTTGGGACTTCAACTGTAGCTGGTTCACTTGATCCAACAGCAGTCTCGGATCGACTAGCACCTGCATCGAGCCAGTCGTCACCGTGAAGGCCCATTTCGCTGCCCACGCTAGGAGCCAGACTCAAAGCTGTGCCTTTCATGTAGCCCCATTTCTCTGAGCCACCATTCTCAGCTGCTAGAGATTCGTGTAGATTGAACGAAAGCTCGCCCAAAGGAGCAAGAGAAGGCGCGAACCAGTCTTTTGCGAGGAAGCCTGCAGCATAGCCAGATGCGCCGCTGAATAGTCGTGAAGACGGCTCGATGATATGAACGTCTCCGGCTCGTTGGGATTCGGATAAATAGTAGGCGATGGAGGAACCAATGATTCCTCCCCCGAGGATGACAGTTGACATGTTCGATTCCACGTTTAGGATTGAGTGGAACAGAAAACCACGATAGGCTAGTTAGATCGGATAGAGTAACTAATATGAGAGATCTTACTCACTTAGAATGCTGGGATTTCTGTTTACAATACCTGTGCGGTTGAATCCTGAGTAATGGAGAACGATTGTATTCCATGAGCAGGGACTATATTTCTCGTTATCATCAACGAATAATATCCATTGATGTTTTTCCTGATAGCCTTACCCAATGATGACCTCAGGATTAGTCTTGATGCTTCTGCGTAGGCACACAATCTATAGCAGGGTGCTTAACTACCTCCAGCATTAAGTAGACACACAAGAAAACACGCTATGCAAATAATCAACCGAGATAGACGGAACTTATTCTCAATACTCATAAGTCATAACAGATAATGCCAATCAGGGCCCCACCATCCCCTCATAGTTGGTGAAATGACATCACCATCAACCTTCGTATTTTCCTGGACTAGAGATGCTTCATCGCATTATTAATACACTAGGCATAATAAGAGCACACTAAGATAATTACATTCCATTGTGAAATATAAATAGAAATGTCAGAATGACCCGGAGTTTCACCAAGGGTCCCCGGTGTGCATGGGGGCGCCGCCGTTTTCCCGGCTAGCGGTGCTTATATTCGGAATCGTCAACTATATTAACCGCAATTCCTTCCCACCCAGTTCCATGCTTCCCAATTCACATCCTCTTCCACCACGGCCCAAACCAGTCAATTCAATATGTCGCCCAAGACTTTCATCGTCACCGGTGCCTCGCGAGGTAGGCAATCAATCCATCGGTCAATTGAATTCGATTTAATTCAATCCGCCGCTCGCGAACCCAAAAGCTAACTCTTCCTCTCCCACGATCCAGGCATCGGTCTCGCCGTCTCCAAGTTCCTGCTCAACGCGCCGCAATCCCACAACGTGGTCGTGATCGCTCGCAGCCTCGAACCCCTCCAGAAGCTGAAAGACGAGTACACGAAGCAAGTCGAAGTGCTGAACGGCGATCTTGCCGATTTCTCGCTCGGTCAGAAAGCCGTCGATCTGGCGCTCAAGTCGTTCGGCCGTCTGGATGGCATGGTCCTCAACCACGGCGTGCTCGGACAGGTGGGCAAGATTGCTGAGGCGGATCCCCAGCAATGGAAGGAGGGATTTGATGTCAATTTCATCAGTTTGGTGGCTTTTGTAAGTTGATTGCGCGGAGTTCCGCGAATGCTAGCCAACAACCCAATCGGTGGTGGGGGATGGCGGGGTTTTCAGTGTAGAAGTGTGTTATAGAATGGTTGCTGATGCTCGTTTGCTACAGGTGAAAGCTGGCCTTCCTGCGCTTCGTGAGGCCAAGGGCAGAATCGTCTTCACTTCGTCCGGCGCTTCCGTTACGGGCTACCCGGGATGGGGTCTGTATGGCGCGACCAAGGCGGCCATGAACCATCTCTGCCTAACTCTTGCCGGAGAGGAGGCCGATGTGACGTCCATTTCGATCCAGCCGGGCCTGGTCAACACCGAAATGCAGCGAGAGATTCGCGAAGACCACGCCACCACTCTGCCGTCGCACTTCCACGCGAAATTCACTACGGCCCACAAGGAAGGACAATTGCTGCGACCCGAGCAACCCGGACATGTCATGGCCAAGTTGGTCATTGATGCACCCAACTCGTTGAGCGGCAAGTACCTCCGGTAAGTTCTACACTCAACCTCTACGACTAGTGACTTTTACAACGATACTGACGAGACAAAAGATGGAGCGATGAATCCCTTGCAGCCTTCCAAGAATAGATTACTAGAGAAGATATCTGTACATGACAGTTAGTATATACCGCAATAAACATTTTCACGACATATAAGCAGCATGATTGGGTAATAATCAGCCGAAAGATGAAAAGCAATACATTTTAGAAGCATTAGGTGCAGAGCACCTTCATACTTAGCATGGAATGTGTAGGGTGTTCATCATATTACGAAAGGAAAAAACAGTGTCCAAGTATTCTCCGTACCTTTTGATTCTTCATTTATTATTGCAACTGAAATCGCTACCTCCCACCAATCGACATGCATTCGACTTTTCTCAAGCAAAAAGACATATGGATGAAAGGAGATATGGCTTGTGATTCCTAAAATTCTTGGAGCAAGTCAGTAAAGATCATCACAATGACTTGGCAGTAAACAAATGAATGTAAGGATTTTATCAGTGAGTCCGTTTGGCTAGGACAGTGTAGGTCACCACAGAAGGTCTGATAGGGGCGACAAGCAATGTTCATCATGGTAAAAAAAATCAAGAACTGGGCAGATGTGAGGAACGTACCATTACTACAGTTAGTGATCACATTGGCTGTGTGTGAAAATTTCCTCGAATCCTCAACATGAAAGGATTCCAGCCAGATTTCGGCTGTTTTTGTTGTGGGAAAAGTAATTGTCTGGAGTGAAAGAAGAAGAGGAAAAAAAAGTTGCTCGGCGAAGAAATACTGCCCGCCGAAGCGGTGAGTTTCTGCCGACCCATAGTGGCTCGCCCATCGTTGTTCCGTCCCGAAGGAGTCCCTCCGCGCCGGAATTCAAGGCAAGTTCATTCTTATAAGGAACAAAAGGCGCCCGCCTGGCTTGGAAACGTTCCAAGAAACCTTCCTCTGACAAGAACTCTGCATGTTTCTATGATCTCCCTTTGATTTTTCATATCTCTCTTTCACCATGTCCGATCGCGAGTTCAGTTGTACGTCTGATCATTCCATGTCTTGGCATTCTTTGAGGTTCTGTGCTGACTCGCGATATTGCAGCGAACGATGACCTGTCGCTTCCCAAAGGTGTGTGTTGAGCGCATTTCTTCCATGGCCTTTACGTTACTCTTCGCGCCCCTCGAGCTTGTCCGCATCACCGTGAACCTCTTGCTCGTCGTCTCGTGGAGATAACCCCCCATCGCTGCCTTTCGTCGCGTTTGCACCTCGCCCATACTAATCGCGACAATCTACAGCTACGGTCCAGAAAATAATCACCGAGATCCTTCCCCCCTCGTCGGGCCAAACATTTTCTAAAGATGCACGCGATCTGCTCATGGAATGCTGCGTTGAATTCATCACCCTAATCTCCTCCGAGGCCAACGACATCAGCGAGAAGGAGGCTAAGAAAACAATCGCCTGCGAGCATGTGGAGCGGGCCTTACGCGATCTTGGCTTTAGCGATTACATCCAGGACGTTCTCGCCGTGGCTGAGGAACACAAGGAGCAGTTGAAGGTATGTTGTGGGTTTCCGTGCGACGTTTACCGTCGTGGGGTTGCTAGCTAGGGTTGCTTGCTAACATGTTCGTCTCTGCGCACAGTCTCGAGAAAAGAAGCAAAGCAAGATGGAGCAGAGCGGGTTGTCCGAGGAAGAACTTTTGCGACAGCAACAAGAGCTGTTCCGCTCCGCGACCGAGAAATACCATGCCGCTCCTGAATAAATGTCCTGGGATTTTACACATACGTGGAGTTCGTGCCGTTTTGCTCGTGCTGGCCATAGAGGGAACTGGTTTTGGAGTTTTTGTTTCTGTGTTTTCTTGGCTTATTGGTCTTCGAAAGAAAGAAAAGTCCTCGGAGTTCAGGTGGCTGGGGATTCAATCCATAGCTTGTTGACAAGGTGGGCGGGTTCTTTTTTTTTTAGTCGTCATGCTTTGTGCTCTGTGTCGTCTTAGTACAGCAGTTGAATTGATACCTTTTTAATTGTCTTGCAACTGGTTGGTGTCCAGGATTTCTGCGATGCGTTTGGGGGTATTTTGCATGAGAGCATATATCGTCTGCTTTCTAAAATAAACCGAGTTACAGACACAAAGTTACACTTATTGACAGTCATTTCTTATTCATATAATCATAATAGAACAATCTTAGAAATGATAGATTGACAACAATGGGAATTTCACTATAACAATCGACACCAGCAAAACCAATTCACGGGTCGCGCTTAACCCGAAAAGGCGACCGCCCAACCTCTCGCGCGCGCAAAGTCGCCCGCTGCAAACACCGCGGAGGCATCCGTAGGCTGCGAAGGTACTGCGAACTGATTCCCTCCCCCCAAGTCTCATCACGCTGGATCGCCCAGGATGCCCCCATTCAAAGATGAGCATATCTTGGTATGTCCGACCGCCTTTGTCCCACCACCCACCTCGTCTCAGTCTGGTTCATGCACATCCAGCAATTAAAAGGCCACACCCCCAACTAATTCTCTCCACCTCTCCAGATAATTGCGCCAGGTTCGCAAGTGACCCTGGCGCAATTGGGTCTTCCGGAATCGTTCACGCCCGCCCGATTTCGCTTCCCCTCCCGCATGTTCCCCGCCGAGAAAAAGGGCGAGTATGAACCGTACAAGATCCGCGAGCGCCGACACGAGGTCAAAGTCGGCAATGGCGTCGACGCGCCGCCCAAGGAGGATGTCGAGATGAAGGATGCGGAGTCCGCCGCACCCGATGCCCCTGCGAAAACGGAGGCGCAGACAGAGGCGCCTGAGAAACCCGACGGTGCAGAACAACAGGAGGGCAAGACCGAGTCTGAGCCTGCGGCGGGACAAGACGCCGAGGGCGAGACGAAGCAGGAGACCGCGGAGCAGATCTACTACGAGGAGGATATCATGTCAGATGAGGGTGCTGTGTATCCGCTCCGGAATGGAAACATTGTCGATTGGCCGTGTTTCTTCGCCCTTCTTACGCATATTCACAACACGCTCAGTCCGCCGTTCCATACGCCAATCATGCTCATTGCCGAGCCCATCTGGACGGCGCGCGATCGGGAGGTGATTACCCAGTTTGTCTTTGAGAAGTTCAAGACGCCTGCGTTCTGTCTGATGGACTCTGCGCTGGCCATCTGCTATGGCTACGGCACGTCCACGGCCACGGTGGTCGATGTCGGAAAGGACAAGGTTGATGTCACCGCCGTTACCGATTTCCTCGTGAACGAACATGGAAGAGGAAATGCCCTCGAGGGATGCGGTGGAGACTATATGACCGATAGACTCCTCGAGTTGCTGGGTTCCAAGGGGTTCACGCGAGAGATGTGTGAGCAGCTCAAGAGAAGTAACATCACCGAGATTCTACCCGCCGGAGTACCTCTTCCTGGCGCGGCTGCTACCGCCCGACAGAACATCAACCCTGGAACGACCGCATCGGCAGGAAACCAAGGCGGCAATGATGCAGCACCGAAGGGGCCAGGAGAAGGCACTCAGGCCGGCCAAGAAGGAAACAATGAAGAGGACGATGAGGGAGTGCTAGATGTCGCAGCCATTGTTAGCGGCAACACGAGCGAATTCTTAGCCAACAGGGAAAAGGAGAAGGGTGACAAATCGACAAATAAGAAGGGTCAGGTTGACCAAGCAGGGAAGCCTCTTCGTCTTCCCAACTCCAAGAAAGAGAAGGCTACGTTCCAATATGAGGAGTTCGTGCGGATTGAGCCGGAGCACAACGGCGCCAGTGGTCCCGGGAAGTTCATTCGCCAGACACGAGATATCGAGGTTGGAGTGGAACGATTCTTGTCCGCAACCCCGAAACAGAAAACCGGAGATCGGTTTTCAAGCGGTATTCTGGATGATATCGCAACTCAGATTCATCACACTATCCTCGCTGTGCCTGATGCAAGCAAGCGAAGCGAGTTGTGGGACTCGCTGATCGTCGTTGGCAATGGCAGCAAGGTTAAGGGTTAGTGTTGCTTGCTCTTACAGGTCTCAGGATCCCAACTAACTATCTTCATCAGGATTCACGCAATCTTTGCTTGGCGCCATCACACAGAGGTTCATTCTCTCCCCATCTGCAACCATCTTCACCTCCGAACTTCCCTCCAACTTTTCCACGCCACTTCCTACGGGGGGCACAAACACGCCGGCACCCAGTGGCCAGCCTGGCCCAATGCACCACCCTGCAGGCCACGGGGTCAACCCTCTGCTTGTCGCCGCAACCCACTCCAACAACGCTGCGGTCGCCGGTATGCCTCCTGGAACTCCTTCGATGGACGCTGCCATGGCCTCCCACTACCGTTCGACCGGTCATTCTCAAACCCCAACCTCAGTCAAGACCCTTAAACCGCCAGAGTATTTCCCCGAGTGGAAGGAACAAAGCAACACCAACGCCCCCGGGGCCAGCGGCGCTGGCGGTATGAACAACGCTCCCGCCGCTGCCGGTGGACCTGGCAACCAACCCTCTCTAAGTGGCGGACACGGAATGGAGGAAGCAGTCTTCCTGGGTGCTCAAGTTGCTTCCAAGGTGATCTTCGTTCTTGACCAAGGACTGAGCAAGGGCTTTATGAGTCGGGTGGAGTATAACGAGAACGGGCCATCCGCGATCCACGAGTACATTATGTGATGGTGCTCAATTAATAATCACAACCATTGTATGAGAATACGTTGTTCGACAGAGTATTCAGGGAAAGATATGAAATTTCATAAAATCTTGCGGGGTTTCGGGCCTTTATTTCTACTTATGAAGCTTTTTTTTTCTTTTCTTTTTGCCTTTTTTGCCCGCTACGTTGGTTTCCTCTTCTGCTTTATATCTTTTCATTTGTATTCTATGTGGTGGCGTTTTCGTATAAAAACAATTTCCCCAAGGATGCGATCGATAGGCGGGGAGTCAGGTCAAATACATTGTTTGGGTATGAGCTTCTAATATGGAAGATTAATCTGTAACTGACTAGTACCTCAGTAATATTAGTAGAGACCAGAAGCATCATGGCCATTGTATGCTTCCCTTTTGGGAATGGCCGACTGTCGAAGTCACGTGCGTATTTATATAAGCCAACGCTCCGGGCGTCGCCACTCGCCGCAGATTGTCGCATCACCCACCGTCTCTTGGCGTTCGTTGTTTCTCTTTCTATATCCACCTGGTTCTCATATCCAGCCGCCAACATGCCTCGCGCCGAAGCCGGAAGTACGAAGTCGCTCAGCAACAAGATGAAAGCCGTAAGTCATGAGCTCCGCCCGTCGAGGTCATTTCAACGCTAACGTCTCGCAGAAAGGCTTGGGCAGGTTGCGATGGTACTGTCAGCTTTGCGAGCGACAAATGCGCGACGAGAACGGCTTCAAGTGGTGAGTTTGTCGACTCGGACTTTACAGGGTCTACCAATGAGCCAAGAAAAGGCACAGCGCTAACTCTCACGATTCCTTACAGTCACGTCCAGAGCGAAAGCCATGTCCGCCAGGCGCTTCTCGTCGGCGAAGACCCCAAGAAACATATCGAAGATTACAGCAAGCAGTTTATGAAGAATTTCTTGGATTTGTTGAGGACGACGCATGGGGAGAAGAAGGTGCATGTTAATCAGTTCTATCAGCAGGTTATTGCGGATAAGGAGGTGAGTTTGATACTCTTGTTACTTGTTTCTTGCGGGGTGGTGGGGTGTGCTAACGACTTGAATCTAGCACATTCATATGAACTCGACGAAATGGACATCGCTGTCCCAGTTCGCGGCGTACTTGGGTCGAGAGGGATTGGTTCGCGTCGAGGAAACGGAGAAGGGCCTTTTCGTGTCGTATATTGATCGGAGTCCGGAGACGATGAAGCGTCGGGAAGCGATCATGAAGAAAGAGCGCCAAGATCGAGGAGATGAAGAGCGGGAACAACGGCAGATCCAAGAACAGGTGGAGCGAGCCCAGCAGAACGCTGAGAAGGAGGAGGAAATCGATCCGGAGGCCAGAAACCTGCAGCGAACGGAGGGCGAGAAGGTCAAATTGAATCTCGGCTTCGGTCCCAAGCCCACTGCCACCGAGGAATCAAAATCCGAGTCCGAGTCCAAGTCGAAGTCGAAGTCGCCCACGGCAGAAAACGGTACACCTTCGGAATCCCCTGCCCCGGCGCCGGTCGAAGCGGCTCCGCAGCCAGCTCCCAAGATCTCGATGTCGTTTGGTGGGGATAAGAAACCCAAGAATGTGTTTGCCTCGGCGGTGAAGAAGAACCCTCTTGCCGGCAAGAAGGGCTTGGTCATGGAAGCCCCCAAAAAGATGTCGGAGCAGGAAAGAATCATGAAACAAGAAATGGAAGCGATGGAACGGAAGCGCATGCGTGGACCATCCGGACTCCCCAATGCCAAGCGCCCCCGAGTGACATGAATAATGAGGCCGAATCTTTGATTCAACATTTGGTGCTAGATCGGCACCTACGACTCGTCGCGCCGAGGCCATCGACCTCGTGATGACTTTCCACGACCTCGCAGGTCATCAAACTAGTGACCAATGATCCCTCAAATAGATTGCTGACACCGATCATTGGAGGAAACGCGTCGCTTCATCCCACCCCGATCAAGACGCTTACAGGATAGGTGATGGCTATGGTTGCGGCATACCTAACGACTAGAGTTCTTTTTTTCGAGCGGGTAGCGCGTTGGCGACGCCTTACTATCATTCTTGGTGTTCTCGCATTCTCACTTCAGAATATACTAAGCTACATTATATAAAGATGGCGACATAGATGCTGGGACTACGTCATTCGGGATTAGACCTGCCTTGATTAGCGTAGTCATTCAGTCAGTAATTACAGTCACGTTTGAATGACCCTTGCATAAACGCATAACTTAGACCAGAGTCAATTCTCCAAGACTATTTAGCCTCGAGTATTCTGCCCACGGCTCCACTCGTATCCAGCCGAACAATTTGGTCGAGGCGGTTCACTAATAGTCTAACCAGCCGGGTTTCGTTTCTCCAGTTCCGAACTTCGGCCTCTTCACCAGACAACGAACATCTCCGCCTGCCGTCACTTGGCCACACCTCGTGGGGGAGATTCACTCCACGATGCCAGCTCCACCAGGGAGCAAATCAAATCAAAATGCCGATAACGATACCAATCTGTGGAAGGAGCTTGGGTACGAGGCAGTCAGTGTGACCCTCCCCTCGCCTCCTCATCGCCATGCTTTCTTTACTAGCTTTATTTCTTATCTCTAACGCTCTTTTCTACTTCTTACTCAACTTAGCCAACGACTGACGTGGACTTGATGGAGCGGATCTGCGCTGTCACGAGCGCAGCCACCAGCGTGAAATTCACGCCCTCGTTGCGCGAGAACCCGCCGCCCCTTGTCCCCGTGGATCGGATCCGAAAGGGTCTGAATATCTGCCCGCATCGGCTGAACGGCTGTTTTCTGTTAGAGCTGGACGCGGCGACGATTTTGAAAGTCGGGGAGACGGTGCGCATGGGCGAAGCGGAGGCTATGATTCTGGTCCGGAAGCAGACCTCGGTGCCCGTGCCGAGGGTCCTGAATGCGTATGTGATCGAGGAGATAGGGTTCATTGTGATGGAGAAGGTGCCGGGCGACGAACTTGCGGAGACTCTACCCCGTGCGGTCAAGGAGTCCCTGGCGAAGGAGTTACGGGGGTATATACAGCAGTGGCGCCAGATTCGGGGCCCCTTCTTTGGTACCGTCGATGGCGGTCCGTGTCAGGACGTAGTCTTCAAGCATGCCTGGGAGAACAAGGAGTATGACTATGGGCCGTTCACATCCCGCCAGGAGTTCAATCTGGGCATGGTCGAGGCCTTGAGGAAATCGAGGCCTAATCTGACGCTGGAGACGGAGGAGGATACGCTCTTTGCGGAGGAGCTCCTCGGCTCTGGGGTTGACCAGGCCGACACTAGGGTATTCACCCACGGCGACTTGGACCAGTCGAATATCATGGTCCGGGACGGGAAGATCTCGGGCATCATCGACTGGGGGGCAGCGGGTTATAGCGTGCCGGAGAGGGAGTACTTTGGACTGCGATGGCCGACGCTGGATCTAGATTGGCGCGAGCTCTCCACGTCCATCTTACCGTCGGATGGGTACGAATTTTGGAAAAACGTCAACCGCGAGATGATGCGATACACATGTATCTAGATAGCATATAGACCTTCCTCTGCCCTTTTCTTCAGAGAACGGACGGACTAAACGAGCGAACGCCTTCCATCCAGCCCCCTTTCTCCTTCGCCCTTCCCCATCAAAACTTCCTCAACGCTATCCAATTCGCCCCAACAGCCCCCCTCACATATCTCGCCGGCTTCCCAATCATCTCCTTCCAGAACTCCGCCGTCCCAGGGGCAACCAGCTCCTCAATCTCCAGCGCAATCAACGTGCTCAGCACCCAATCCTGACAATTCCTCTTCCCATCCTTCGGCGCCTCCTCGTTCGCCACGATCTGAGTCGCCCGCTGCCGCTGCTGATCCGTCAGCGTCGAGATCACACAGAGCCCTAGTGCCTGTTGCGTATTGAGCCTCGTTCTCAGCCTCGGTTCGAATTGGAAAAACATTCCCTTGGCGTCGAGCGTGCGCACATGCAGCAGGTCGCCGTATGGGTTCGGGGGCTTGTTGATGGTGAAGCCCCAATGGGATGGGTCGTTTGGGTTTTCGCCGTCGCCGAAGACTTCAACAGAGAGTTTGTATGCCATCTCTTCCTTTTCTTTTGTCCCGTGTCCGTTTCGTTATTGCGCTCGCTGGAGGGGAGTGTTAGTTTTGTTGGGGGTAAGATGTGATGTGATGTGATGTGCATTGATAGATGGTCTGGTTGATCATACCTCACTTGATGTATAGCGAGGTGTGGTTTGTCTCACTGGTGGTCTCGAGGCTTCATCGTTTCATCCGTCGTGGACCTTTCATTGGGCGTGGATGTATGCGTGAGTAAGGTATGGATGACGACCTAGGTAGGTAGGTAAGTAGCTAACGATGCGGTACTATGACGCAGTGCGCACGGAATCCTTCGATCCTTCCCCAGTACCTAGGCCGGTTACTGGAAGCAAATAGCAACAAGAGCAGAGAAGCGAAGCGAAGCCGACCCGAGCCGATACGAACAGGTAGATAGGCAGAAGCAAGATAAACTAGCAATCCGAGAGAGGAAAGGATAGAGAGATACCATCTAGCTATCTCCATGAAGCTACTGCAGTCATAACTGATGGGAAATCAGGAAATCCCCCTCTCAATGGGGTGGCACATGGTATGTTTTGTTGGACTGGATTCTTTGTTTGGGGGAAGACCGGGCTGGCTTTCGCCTAGCCGGGCGCTTACAGGGGGCCCATGGGCTAGACTCCGGCTCTAGCATCCGAATTGCGGTCATCCGTTGGCTTGGATCCTGGAGGTTGTTTTCTTGTGGTCTAATGGGCTGTCTATTTTGGTGACTTTGTTTTGAGTGTGGGCACGATCTAGATGGTCGAGTGTGTAGTTGCATTGGTAAACCTGGCCCTTTGTTTATTAAGTCAATTATTGTCTGGTCTAGGTGGGTTGTCTATGAATTGTCTCTTCCTTGTGTCTCTTTCCTTGTTATAATAACAAGATAGGGGAGATGGTCATGTAGCCCTAGACACTCACCCGAGATATATACAACCGCACCTCGCAGCGCCAACACAAATGCAAACCACCCCAAATCACTGTTTCAAAGACCCAAGACATCTATGAACCTACACATATATATAGAATAGCTCACTAACCCAACCGCCTCCTCAATTTTCTTTCTCTTACGAGGGAACAATCATGGATGATGGATGCATGAAAAACAAACAGAAAGGAAGGAGTGGGTGAGTCTATTGAGCTCCACTGCCAACTTCCGTAGCTTGAGGCGCCAAGCATTCTGCTGCCTACCCCTCCATGTACTAGGACTTATGGGAATATATATACATGATCAGTGAACTATTCTGAATATTACCTAACCTTACAGGAGTTTGCGATCATATTGTATCGAAGGTGATTGATTATGATGGGAGGAGGGGCAACAATAGAGACCCCTTGCGGGTCTTTATCTGTTGTTCCTGCTCGGCTCCAACTCCCGAGCTGCATCCCCATCCCCATCCACTGATCATCGACTGTCATCATTGCAATTCTTCCATCCTGTCTCCTCTTACCTCTTCACCATCTCAATTACTATCCATATTCATCACACAGCCACCGAAACAATGTCATCCAGCCACACCATCGCATTCATCGGATGCGGTACGTCCAATTGATCCCTTCCAGCGATTCGGCTCAACCCCGACTGACTCACCATCTAGGGAACATGGGTTCCGCCATCCTCGGCGGTATCTTGGACGCAACCCGCGAGGAGTCCAAAACTGGAGCAACGCCCAAGATTCCCCGCTTCATTGTATCCACCAAGAGCGCAGCATCGGCGGAGCGCCTACGGTCGGCTTTCGAGGCGGACAAGGACCGCGTGACTATCGGGCATGGACAGAACTTACGCGCCATCCAAGAAGCGGACATCATTCTTCTTGCGTGCAAGCCGTTCCTGGCGGCGGAGATCCTCTCAGAAGATGGTGTCCCGAACGCTCTCGAGGGTAAACTGGTGATCAGCATCATGGCTGGAAAGAATCCTACCGAGATCCACAACTTTATTTACCCATCCGGCTGCAGCGGCAAGGCCCCGATCATCGTCCGAGCCATGCCCAATGTCGCCTCGCGGATCCGCCAGTCCCTGACCATCATAGAGGAGAACACCGACCTATCAGAGCATCTGTCGGAGACCGTGACGTGGATGTTCTCGCAGATCGGAACCGTCAAGTACCTGCCATCGAACCAGTTTGACGCTGGAGGCCACCTGGCGGGTGCTTCGATGGCCATTCTCACCGTCCCGCTTGATGGGATCTTGGATGGCTGCGTGGTGGAGGGAATCCGTCGGGCGGAGGCGCTGGAGATGGCGGCGCAGGTTCTCACGGGGATGGCGGGGCTGCTGAGGGAGGGGGATCATCCGGCATTGATGAGAGAGAGTATTTCGTCGCCGAGAGGATGTACGATTCAAAGCTTGTTGACGCTGGAGAGGCAGGGAGTGAGGGGGGCGTTTGCGGATTCGTTGATCAACGGGGTGAAGCATTTGAGAGGAGAGAAATAGATGTCGGACCGGGGATGTATTGAACACATGACTAGAGATGAAAATTAGATGGCCAATCAGTATGGCATAGATGAAAATAGCACTGGTTAATTAGTGCCTCGTCGAGAGCCCAAGTCTGTACTAGAATCTAGTCGGATACTGTAGTGGACAGCGATGTCATCTTCCCGTGACGGAACCACTGACCGAACATGACGGAAGGTGCCTCCGAGCTTATCTCCTCCTCCAGCAGGAATCAATCAAATAACCCAATTGAACAAACTGCAGTGGAACTGGATCTTTCGTTCAAATCCAAAGAAACCAATCGGTCCTCGAGCCGGACTACAATAACCCCTCGCCTGTATTCGCTGGCATTCGGTATCAACCAACCCCTCACATAGCGCATATCGCAAGCATGGGGAAAGGTATATAGTGCGTCGATGACAGCAAGGAGATGCACTGATTACTCTCCCCAGATTTACAGACGCGTCCACTAAAATGGGACTCAAGATCTCCTGGCCCAAGCGGCCAGGGCTCCTTCATTCCGGAACCAAACCACTCGGATATGCAAAGTCCTCGTCAACGACTCCTCACCATGCGATTCCGATTGAAGCTGCCTCTTCGCCGCCCAGAAAGGCTCCTCTATCGGTGATGCCGACGAAGACGTTCCTTCGATGCTTGTTGTTTACGTCGGTCATGTCTTCGCCGCTCTTGAGACCTTGTGTTTCGATACTGAAATATGTGGTCGAGTCGAAATCGTTCCTGCTCAGTCCTTCTAAGAATCCGGTTATGAATTACCTACTACGTACAACGATTTACAATCAGTTCTGTGCGGGGACAAATGAGGTCGGAGTGCGAAGGACAGTTCAGGATATGAAGAGTCTAGGATTTAAGGGGGTTATTCTGGGATATGCCCGGGAGTCTGTTGCGAGAATGGAGGGCGCTGATTCCCGATGGGAAACTATGAGTCAGAAGGCGTTGGAAGAGAGCGCCATAGAGGAATGGAAGCAAGGAAATCTGCGAACGTTGAAGATGATTGGCGAAGGAGACTATCTTGCCGTCAAGTGAGTCCACACACCAACTCGACCTAAGGATTTCCCTATTTTAACAGACGCAGATTCACCGGCGCCGGACCCGCGGCTGTCGAGGCTCTCGCGCGTGGCGACCCCGTTCCTCCCCCGCAGATCAAGCAGGCCATCACCGAGCTCTGCGCGGCCACTGCGGCACAGAAATCTCGTCTATGGATCGACGCCGAGCAGCAGGTCTTTCAGCCGGCAATCGACGCCTGGACAATCGTTCTCATGAGGCAGTTCAACCGACAGGGAGCCGTCGTGGTGCTCAACACTATTCAGGCTTACCTGAAGTCATCTGCAGAGAATGTTCACCATCACTTGTGCCTCGCCGGAAAAGAAGGCTGGTCGTTGGGTATCAAACTGGTCCGCGGCGCATACATCGCCCATGACGTTCGCTCGCGCATCCACGACACCAAAGCGGATACCGACCGCAACTACAACCGCATCGTGGAATGTCTGCTCACTCGGAAATTTCCACTGGGAGAGTCGGAGGGTACACCTGTGTTCCCCGACGCGCGATTGTTCGTGGCCACGCACAACGCGGAAAGCGTTCGGAAGGCATCTTCCCTGTTCCAGCACCGCGTTGTGAACGGGTTCCCCACGATCCCGGTCGAGGTGGGCCAACTGCAGGGCATGGCCGACGAGGTGAGCTGCGGGTTGGTGGCACAGCACCAGGCCGGAGATTATCTACCAGCAGAAGGAAAGCCTGTCGCTGCTAGCGCGGTCCCCGGCGTGTTTAAATGTCTGGCGTGGGGGACCACCCAGGAATGTCTCCATTTCTTGCTACGTAGAGCAGTTGAGAATCAATCCGCTATGGAGAGAACGCGAGATACGGCTGCAGCTTTGAGAGTGGAGGCGAGAAGGCGGATTGGATTGTGATTTTATTTTCTGACTCTATTAGCGTTTTCTACTTTTTATTCTTCTTTTCGTCTTTTTCTCATGTTCATCTTATGACCGACACGCAAATGATGTCTGATTTTGTTTATAATTGAAATCTGCCCAAGCCCCAGACGAGAAGTAGTTCGTAAGCCGATCTTGCAGGCTCAGATACATTATGCATGAGGCTAGTCTAACTAGATCTTGCCAACTCACGACATGCCGGTGTGCATGTGGACGAGATTAGGACAAAATTGCGGGGAAAGAAAAACATGGAGAGACCTATGTGTACTGCTATTGGCCATTAGGTAAAGAGTACAGACGCAGATCGAGATCTCCACCCCAAAACCGGTCATTTTACATACGGTTTAGATATCGGCTGTCGAAGCCGAGCTCGGTGCGAGATTCCGTAGGTAAGGTAGTCAGGTAGTCAGTCCTAACCCTTCTCGGAATTGAGTACATAGGCATGCAGCATGGACAGTCTCTTACTCGTATCCAACAGACCCTTCCAGGTGGACCAGGTAGCTCACTAGCTCAGACAGAGAGGCCAAATCAAAGCATCGGCCCACGCATCCCCTTCAACGTCTCCTTCACCTCCATATATTCTGCATCATCTTCCTCTAGCACGGCTTCCTGTTCACACGCCTCTAGTATCTCCAAGACATACTCCTGACAGTCCCATTCGAGCGTCTCGTTATCGACGCGAGCGGCGTCCACGATGGCTTGGATGGTCGGGATATCCGGGTCTCCGACTTCGCTGACGAAGATGGATTTGATGAATGTGTTCGAGTCGGAGGGAGGGCCGGTTGATGTGGCTTTTTGGAAGTGCGGATGCTCGCCGTCGACTTCGTAGATGTAGTCTTGCGTTGAGGTGTGGAGGTGGAGAGACCAGTGCTGGAAGTTGCCGTATCGGGGGTGGTAGATTGCTACTGCGAGGTAGGGGCGCGTGGTCATGGTGGTTTTGATTTATGGTTATAGAATTTAGGGACAAAATTGGATGGAAGAGGGAGGAGTTGAGGGTTGGTGTATAACTATAGAGTATAGGTATAGTATTGAAGTGAAGAGAAGGGAGACATCGTGATTGTTTGCCTGGAGCAAGGCAGCAGTGTGCCTGAGGCCTTCCAGTGCCTGAGGCCTGCAGTGGAGATCTTCTCCATCTGAAATTCCCCGACTTCTCTTCATCTCCCAACCCCCCACGACTATCTTCGTTTCCTACTACTATCCCTAAACCAGTTATTGGTGTTTGACTTTATCTCAAGCAGCTAGTAAGTGTCAAAATCCCATACTAAACCCAAAGGATCTCACCGTGGCTAAGGATTCTTCCCCAAGACGTAACATCGTCCATCATAGCGCATTCCGGGCCCTGCGGAACCCCAGATGCACCTGGACACCCGCCAACCCCACACGATGATGCAAGAGGCTTCCTCCACATTTTGTCATTGAGCTCGTCCAACCCGACGGGCTATTATCGGCCAAGCAAAACTCTGGTTCCGGCATCCCGCGTTTCCCTTCTTTGTGTGAATCCAGTTTTCTGGTGGATTTCTTTCCCCCCGGAAGTGTGGCTTGTTGTTACCCCGCATATTCGCTATTCCGGCGTATACGGCTGGCCTCTGAACAGTATCGGGGCTTTTCTCTTGCTATTCGTCTCAAGTTATATTTGCTATTTCATAAGGAAGAGCCGAGTGACCTTGGGTTGGAAGAAGAAGGCCGACCGACCGGGTCCCGGCATTTCTGGCTTTAAGCTAGAGGGGATTTCAGTCTGGGCGCTCGTTGGATCAGCGTCTACTTTCCCGGTCTTGGATACGAGTGGGTGGGGACTCATAGTCCACGAGCGAGGCGGGATTTTTACGTTATTATAACTGCCGTTGCTGCCTGCTTGAAGTTGGTGAGGCTTTGTTTTTCTACTTAAGGCCTACCTGGACTTGGTTCTCATTGTATGATTGTTGTTCGACGGCTAGAGACATTGCGCGATGAGATTGAAGGTACGTGATTTATGCTTTTGGGACGGTTCCTCTGCTTAGGAGTTAGCAACGAATACTCATAAAACTACAGGTTTTAGGAGCAGTACTGCTGCAGTCGTTTCTGTCGACAGCAGCCGCTGGCTCTTCTGGGAAGAATGATCGCATTACCAGTGCCTTGAATAGGCATCGCGGCGGCCATGAGTCACCTTCGGGCACAGGAAATGCCACAAATTCATACCAGACGAGATTCGACGGAGTAACATGGGATGACAACAATTGGATCCTGCAAACCACTGCTTTCGACCAAGGACGTTACCAGGCGCGTGGCTCGGTTGCCAACGGATACCTTGGCATCAGCGTGGCCAGTCTCGGGCCCTTCTTTGAAATCGATCGCGAGGATAACGGTAACGAGATTAGTGGCTGGCCCCTCTTTTCAAGACGGCAAAGCTTTGCAACAATTGCCGGCTTTTACGACTCCCAGCCCACCACTAACTCAACGAACTTCCCATGGCTGTACCAATATGGATGGGACAGCGTGATCAGTGGCTTGCCGCACTGGGCCGGACTCATTCTCGACCTGGGTGACGGAAATTACTTGGATGCTACCGTGGACAACAAGACCATCAATGATTTCAATTCTGCCTACGATTTCAAGGCAGGTGTCTTGACGTGGTCCTATAGCTGGGCTCCGAAGAGCGACAAGGGATCATTTGACATCAAGTATCGACTCTTCGCGAACAAGCTCAATGTCACTCAGGCGGTGGTCGATATGGAAATCACCCCCTCTCGGAACACAAATGCTACGGTGGTCAACCTCATTGATGGCAGATCGGCCGTGCGCACGGATTTCGCGGAATCGGGACAAGACGACCACGCTATCTTCACGGCTGTTCGGCCCTGGGGGATTTCCAATGTCACAGCTTACGTATATGCCAACTTGACAGCCTCTGCCGGGGTTGACCTGACGACGCGCACTGCTATCAAAGACAAGCCCTATGTGAGCGCAAATGCATCCTCAATCGCACAAGGCGTCAATGTCAAATTTGCAGCGAATCAAACCGTACGCGTCACTAAGTTCGTTGGGGCCGCGTCCTCCGATGCTTTTGAAAATCCACGAAAAATCGCCAAGCAAGCGGTATCTGCAGCATTGGCTGCGGGCTACCAAAAGTCACTCCAGTCGCATGTATCAGAGTGGGCTACTATTATGCCTGATAGCTCGGTCGATCATTTCGTCGACCCCAAGACCGGCAAGCTGCCCCAAGATGACCACGTGCTCGATTCAGCAATCGTCTCGGTCGCGAATGTGTACTACCTGTTGCAGAGCACTGTTGGCAAGAATGGAATTGCAGCAGTCGCGGGAGCCCCGGTGAATGACTACAGCATCTCGGTCGGTGGACTGACTTCTGATTCCTACGCCGGACAAGTCTTCTGGGATGCCGACGTGTGGATGCAGCCGGGGCTTGTCGCCTCCCATCCAGAGGCTGCTCAGCGTGTGACCAACTACCGCGTGGCGAAGTTTGGACAGGCAAAGGAGAATATCAAGACATCGTTTGCTGGCGCGAAGAATCGTACCAGATTCGAGCCCTCGACGGCAATCTATCCCTGGACGAGCGGTCGGTTCGGTAACTGCACGGCTACTGGGCCTTGTTGGGACTATCAGTATCATTTGAACGGAGATATAGGGCTCTCGATGATATATGAGTGGGTTGCGAGTGGCGATACGCAGCATTTCCTAGACGAGCATTTCCCGATTTATGATTCCGTGGCGACATTATACTCAAACTTGGTGGAGCGCAATGGGTCATCTTGGACTTTGACGAATATGACCGACCCTGTGAGTAAGGTGAGCTAAAATTGTTCTTTTCATTTTACTAACGGTCTACTAGGATGAATACGCAAATCACATCGATGCTGGTGGCTTCACGATGGCGCTGATATCGGAGACACTGGACAACGCCAATGCATTCCGCCAGCAATTCGATATGGAGGCTAACGAAACCTGGTCTGAGATGGCTCAAAATGTGCTGATGCTTCAGGAGGACGGAGTGACACTTGAGTATACCTCGATGAATGGAACCGCTGTGGTCAAACAAGCGGATATTGTGCTCATCACATATCCTCTGGCCTACGACAACTATAGTGCCGAAACGGCGCTGAGTGATCTTGACTACGTGAGATACCGTCATACCTGCGTACTTTCCCTCTACCCTACTAACCTCTTCATAGTACGCCAACAAGCAATCGGCCGACGGTCCAGCCATGACCTGGGCGATATTCTCCATCGTCGCCAACGACATCTCGCCCTCCGGTTGTTCAGCATACACCTACCATCAATACTCCTTCGACCCCTACGTCCGGCCCCCATTCTACCAGATGTCCGAGCAGATGATCGACGACGCCAGCATCAACGGCGGCACCCGGCCTGCCTTCCCCTTCCTGACGGGCCACGGCGGCGCCAACCAAGTCGCCATCTTCGGCTACCTCGGTTTGCGCCTCCTCCCCGACGAAGCCATCCACATCGACCCGAACCTTCCCCCCCAGATCCCCTACATCACCTACCGCACTTTCTACTGGCGCGGATGGCCCATCTCCGCCGCCTCCAACTACACGCACACCACGATCCGTCGCGCCACCGACACTCCTGCCCTTAAGACGGCTGACCCCCGCTTCGCCAACTCCTCCATCCCCGTGCACGTTGGCCTGGACTCCCCCAGCAACACGACCATCCACACTCTGCCCCGATCGGCCCCCTTGACGATCCGAAACCGGCAAATCGGCACCATCCCCACCGTCGACCAGAACATTGCGCAATGCCGCCCCGTCTCCTCCCCATCCGACTTCGAAGCCGGGCAATTCCCCATCTCCGCCGTGGACGGCGCCTCGTCCACCAAATGGCAGCCCTCGTCCTCATCCCTTACCTCCCTCACCGTAACACTCTCCCTTTCCGAGCACGACCGCGTCTCCCCGGCCCAAGTCCAGGGCTTCTACTTCGACTGGGCCCAGACACCTCCTGTCAACGCAACCGTCATCTTCCATGACGAGATTATCGAAAACCCGGCGGCTTTGTTCACATCCAGTTCCACTTCCAATTCTACCAAAAGCTACAGCGTGGTCACCCACCTCTCCAACATCGCCCTCTCGAAACCATGGCTCGCCACTGAAGATTATAACCAAGTGTCCATCCCCGTTGGAAACACGACGCACATCGAGCTCGACCAGCCCGTGCAGACGACGAGATTCGCGACGTTGCTGATAGTAGGGAACCAGGGTCTGAGCGCCAGTCAAGGTGAAGGCAAAGAAGGAGAAAAGAAAGAAGAAGATGTAGGAGCGACGGTAGCCGAGTGGGCGATTCTAGGACCGAAGCCGAAGAGTGGCAAGAAGAATGCGCACGAGCATGATGGCGCGAAGGAATTAGAGAGACGGAAATTAAAGGTAAAGGATGTGGCCTGGTTGGAGAGACGACAGAGGAAGTTGTAAGACAGGACCTACGGGAGTAGATACCTAGATGATGGGATATTCTAGCTCTAGGTAGATTAGAACAAATCTACTTACTGATTAAGGTATAGCAATGAATCAAATCTGGCTGATCTATCTATAACTAGTGGTTGATCTTTTTAAACAGGTAACTATTAACCTCAGTCACATAGGGATTTCAAAAGTAGAAGAGACACAGAGACAGAAACACACACACACACACACACAGAGAAAGAGAGAGAGAGAGAGAGAGAGAGAGAGATAAACCATGAGAAGCATGTCCGATATGCCCTTGTTCCCGTCACAAGTAGATAAAATCACCCATACGTCCATCTATCTAAGTAATTGTTTGCGTAGCAGCAGAAAAAAAGAAAAAAAGCCTATAATAAGTGAAAGGAGTTCATCACAATTCGACCATTGAATTGAATTGAATTGAATTGGATATAGAATGGCTAATACGAATGAATGCCAAAATCTCTTAAAAAGTAGATACAAGGAAAGATAAGAAAACCAGATGAAAAGATGCTTGAGATATGAGAAAGCAATGCCATGCAAAAAGCAAGCAACTCTCTAGTGTAATAATACCCCCTGTCATGAATGAGTAGATCATGAATCAACTAAGAAGAGGTAATAGAACAGACGAGACGAGGGTGACATCTAGTTATCCCTCGCAAAGCGATCCAAGAACTTGAACGTCCGCAGACCCTTCTTAATCGAATCCGCAAACGCATCAGTCGCCGACTGCGCCACATACACACCCTGACGACTGGCCGAGATACCAGCGCCCCTGAGCGCAGCAGCACCGTCACCCAGAGCACCAACGGGCTTACCAAACCGGAACCCATCGACGAGGATCTGCAAGGGCCGACCAGCAGGGAAGAACGTGGCCACGGACGCCGTCGCGTTGGAGGGGGGCGCCGTGAACGAGGACGGAGCGAACAGGCCCTCCGCGCCGGGGGCCACGACAACAGCATCGAATTGGATAGCGTCAGAGCCCGAGTACGTCTGATCGACGCCGTCGACCTGGCGCTCGGCGACGACGACGGTGTCGATGCCGCTCTTGGCGAGGGCGTCGCGGAGCTCCGAGGCAGCCTTGATGGAGGAGGCGTTCTGGGCGGAGGCCAAGAAGCCGAGTTTAAGGCCCTCGAGTTTCTTGAGCGGGTGTCCGAAAGCGCCGATGTTGGTGGTCGTGTTGGTATGGTAGAAGGTGGGGTCAGGGGAGGGTTCCTTCTCGCCGATGGCGCGGGCGACGCGACGGGCGAGGTCGTTGTCGACGCGGTTCAGTTGCAGGATGACGTTCTGACGGACGATGGAGCTCTTGACGTTCGAGGTCTCGAAGCGGATGGCGTCAATGAGGAACTGCTGCTCGGCGGGCACGAGCGAGTTGTAGAACAGACGGGGCTGAGACCACACGTCCCGGAAGGTAGGGCTGACGGAGCGCGTGAGATGGCCGCTGGGGGAGCGGTTGGGGGCCGTGAAGAAGCCGTCGCCGACGGTTTGGTTGGCTTGCTTGGGGGATCCCTTGTTGAGGGTGTTGGGGGTGTAGGCGTTCGGGTTCAGCGGAATGAACATCTGGCCGGCACCGTCGCGGTTGTTGTTGTGGATGGGGACGCGAGGCTGGTTGATGGGCAGCTGTTCAAAGTTGGGGCCGCCGTGACGGTTCAACTGCGTGTCAAGGTACGAGAAGAGACGGCCTTGCAGAAGAGGGTCTTCGGTGAAGTCGATGCCGCGGACGATATGGCCGGGTTGGAACTGGTTGGGGGTTAGAAGGGAATTATTGATATGGAAGGAAGGAACATACCATGGCCTGCTCGGTCTCGGCGAAGTAGTTGCGCGGGTTGCGGTTCAGCGTCATCCTACCGATCGGAGTGATGGGCACAAGCTCTTCGGGGACGATCTTGGTGGGATCGAACAAGTCGAAGCCGAAGCGGAGCTGGTCCTTCTCATCCATGATTTGAACGCCCAGCTAGATGCATGTTAGTCTAATGGAAAGTAAAAGAATGAAGCGGGAAAAATTGGCGTACCTCCCATTCCGGGTAGCGCTCCTCCTGGATGGACTCAAACAGATCCTGGCGCAAGAAGTCGGGGTTCTTGCCCGACACCTGCTGAGCCTCTTCCCAGACCAAACTGGCCTTACCCTGCAGGGACTTCCAGTGGAACTTGACGAGCTTGGTGGAGCCGTCTTCGGTCACGAGACGGAAGGTGTGCACTCCGAAGCCGTCAACATGACGGAAGGACCGCGGGATACCGTGACCGGCCATGGCCCAGAAGAGCGTGTGCAGCGAGCTGGGTTGTTTGCTGAAGAAGTCCCAGGCTGCGTCGTGCGCGGTGGCAGCTTGAGGAATCTCGTTGTCACCTCGGGGCTTGACAGCGTGAATGAGATCGGGGAAGAGGATGGCATCCTGGATGAAGAAGACGGGGATGTTGTTTCCGACAAGATCTAGGCGAGTCAATACGTTTGCTTGTGTCAAGTCTGCGGAGACAATGACTCACCAAAGTTACCCTCGTCGGTGTAGAAACGAGTGGCGAACCCGTGAACGTCACGAGCAAGGTCGGAGCTACCACGACTGCCGGCGACGGTGGAGAATCGCACAAAAACGGGCGTCTCCTTGCCCTTCTTACCGAGGAAAGAAGCGGCAGTGATGTTGGAGTAATCACCGTACGAGGTGAAGACACCGTGGGCACCGGCACCTCGAGCATGCACGGCACGTTCAGGGACCTTGGATACGTGTCAGAATTTGCATACTACTGGATACATGACAGAAACATCTATAATATGGGAGGGACATACACGTTCATGGTCAAAACGCTGGATCTTCTGACGGAAGATAAAGTCCTCCAGCAGGGTCGGACCTCGGTCTCCGACCTGAAGGCTGTCCTGATCGGCAATCGGCCCTCCCACATCGGTCGTGAGGAATGCATCCTTGTCATTGAGATAGTACTGAGACAAGAACTCCTCGGTGTTGGCAGCCGCACCGTCGTTCGAGGCGTCGCGACGTTCATGCTGGGTGCCCTCAGCGGCCATGTAGGGGCAGACCGCGTTGGCGGCGCCAACGAGGCCGATCAAGGGGGAGAAACGCATGGTCACTAGTATGCCGGTTGAGATTAGTGTGTGTGCATACGGAGTAAAATGACGGAAGTGGAAGGGCAAAGGAATAAGAATGGGGATGGAATGGAAGGGAATGGCGTGCCGATAGCAGTCGGAATGGGAAAAGGAGAGAGCAAAAGAAAAGGAGGAATGTGTGGGGTAGACAGGAAGACGAGATAGTATTCCAATACGAACCAATTGGGAAACCAAGGCTGAGACAGAGCAATTGTGAGTTCGGAGAGCGACGAACTGGCGCAGATCGAGGTACATGTCAGGAGTACTTATATGCAGAGGAGCTGCACCGGGGGGGTCCATAACCAATGACGAAGGGGGGAGTCGAAACAGAAAACGGAACAATCCATTGGGAGGAGATGATTAAACAAATTGAGTAAAAAAATAAAAAATAATGTGATACGGTGGAAACGGGCAAAGGCAACGATCAGGCCAGCAAACGAGCCCCGAGAGGCTTGGGAAGCATGACGCAGGAACGCCCATTCGTTCAAGGTCTCGTAGATCCATTCTTGGCGGAGGAATTAAAGGACGACCGAGATAAAAGTGGGTATCTCGTCTTTTAGACCGAAAGACAGCGGTCGGTCGCGGTCGCCATCAGTAATCCTGGGCCTGCGACTGGTGCTTGGTAATCCCCATGGTCTGGAGCTGCCCGCTGACTTATTATTAAGTGCCTGGCTTTAATTCATCAATCATCAATTCATTCTGGCCCTCTGACGATCCATTCCTCCAGGAGATATTACCTACTGTGTATGTACCCAGCGCTCCGTCGGTGGAGGCTGTTTCGGCATAACGGCCGATTCATCATCTTTCAATTTCTCTGAGACACGATCTACTCGGGAGGTTGAATCCGTCAATGACGATGCAGCACTGGAGATGAAGCGAGTCTTTGCAGGGGGGACTTGGCAGTTGGAAGTGAGGAAGATCTTGGAAGGTTCGGATTTTAGTTGGATTTGGCTTGCATCCGCTGACGGTCCCGTGCGCCTTCAGGCCCTAACTGACTGACTGCACTCGAGTCAATTCTTGAACGGCCGAAACTAAACAGTAAACCAGTCCACTCGCTACGAACTATACGCAGTAGTCATAATTCCTAGTCGTACAGGACTACACTAATCACGATCCTATGCAATCCCGCCTGCGTTGTCACACCAGTAGCGATCGTCATTGGCCTGCTGCGAACCTGCGACCGGCACCGGGATCCTGGGTTATGCAAGGGGACTCTTACCCATTTCTAAGAATAAATCCCCCTCTCAACGGCCAGTCTGGTTGGGGGAATTACCATTCCATTTACTATTGAGTTGCCTAGTAGGGATTAACGGTCGGGGTAGGTGGTTATTGAATCCGCTTTCATATATCCTTTTTGCTATCCTTGCTCAGTTATCTTACTTTGTCCTCTCTTCTCTTTCCTTTGCTCTGTTGCTCGCTTGAATTATCCTGTCCCTGCCTGATTTCGCTAACCGGTCTAATCATCTGCCTAGTTCCTCTTACCTCCCTTACTTGACCTAATCCTGTTTTCCGCCATCGTCATCGCCATCAGCCCATCCGGCATACACCCAGACTGAGTGCCAAGAAGCATCCCCGCACCAACAAAGCTCTTGGTAACGCGACTAGTCAAGCACTTCGCCGACTAAGAGCTCTCCATCTCGCCATCTCCTCGTCCAACCTCCTCCCGCTGCTTCCCCCCCACCGCGCACGCCTGGCGTCATATCCCCGGGCGGTGATGGATTCGCTCGGCCTGCATATACCTACACCTTACGGAGAATGGGCTATTCGGGATAGTTACTGTTAGGGATAAAATGCCTAGCGACCGCTACTCTGTAGTCCGTACTTTTCGGACGGAGGCCAATCGAATCGACGCAAATTCAATCAAATCAATCAATCATCACATCCAGGGATTTATTTTTAAATGGACGCCCCGGGCTAAAAATATATACACCCTACATATGCAACTCATGTCACGTTGTGTTCTTCCTTCATCACATTGGCAAGTGGACTCATTTTACAGGTAGTAGAACTACCTACTAGTGTCTATAGGTACCTCGGACAACAACCCCGACCGATCTCCTGTTCGGCCAATTTAGTACCGCGGGAAAGTGGGATAACTCCAGGTCTTGCCCCCGCGGATCAATGCCTGATCGACTCCCTCGCGACCGCTGCTGACATACAGCGCCTTCGCATAGGCGCCCTCGTTCCAGTACCGGTAGGAGACGTGTCCGGGGATAAATGCCACATCGCCCGTCTGCAGCCGGGCCTCCGGGTAGTCTCCGATCTGGATCGTCAGGGATCCCTCCAGCACTTCGAACGCCGCCGCCCCGGCCGCGTTCCACGTCGGGGCCTTCGCCGATGCCGTCTGTCGGCTCACGATTAGCGTGGACATGGTGAAGTTGGTGTCCTGCGACTCGGTGTTGGTGACCAGCGGCTGCACGATCTGGTATGCGCCATGCTGCGAGTTGAGGTACTTCGGGCCGTAGTTGTTGGCGACGAAATAAGGGCTGCCCGGCTGGCCGAGGGAGTTCGACTCGGTGTGCCAGCCGGAGTCCGAGGGAGCGGAGCCGTTGGCGAAGTCGCGACGTGGTTCGAAGTCGAGCTCGGCGTATACGTCGAATTTCTCCAGGCCGGAAACGCCGCCGGAGCCCTCCGCCGAGTCATTGCTGGCTTGAGGAATGTAGGGGGTGTTGGTCGTGGAGGAGAAGTTCTGACCGAGCGCGTAGAAGAGTTCTCTGTGAGTTGCGACCGTGCAAATCAGCTAGCTAATTCTTGGGAAACTCATGTGGACGGTGACCATCTCTGGGGCTCCTTCTCCGTTACTTACTCGAATCCGCCCGGCACGACGACGCCCACCATCTCCGTGTCCGGGTCCAAGATCTGAAAGGTATGCGTGGTGTTCCTGGGGACCGACCCGTAGTCTCCCTGTGTCAACAGACGGGCTTGCTGCTCTCCGTCGTCCTTCTGCGCCCACAGCTGGAAGCGACCCTTGAAGTTGAAGAAGTTCTCATAGTGCTTCTTGTGGATGTGAGGGAGGACGCCCAGGCTGCCGCTGGACGGGGCATTGGTGCTCATCAGAGTGAAAGCATAGTCGGACGAGGGCCCCGTCACCGTGAAGCGATACAGCTGGCTGCCGACGGTGACGGCATGCGAGTCGGCATAGTGGGGAATGATGTACGGCCGCGGCGAAGAAGGCGCGTCGTTGACATAGAGGTCACTGAGGGACTGCGACACCACCAGAGGCAGGAGGGAGAGGAAGAGGATGTTCATGGTGACTCGATACTGCAGGAATTCTGGCTGCTCGTCGGCTGCTCGAGCGATGTCTTGCGATCCCTTTCCTTATATGTACACTGACAGCTGCCTCCAAACGAACCGCCATTCGGAATTTCCAGACGACTGCCGACTCCATCAGGCCCATCTGTCGCTTAATGCCATCATGCACCCCGTTTTTCTCCATCGGCAACCCAAACCGTTTATCAGATCAAACTGGTTCTGCAGACTTCTGCCAATGGGTGGCCGGGTGGACGGTCGGGAATTCCGAGGCAGAATGAAGATCAGCGTCCCCACAGGGGGGAATTCGTCATTGAACCAGGCAGCTCCGTGCAGACGATCCGGTGTGCTTTCGGCGTAGAATTAATGCGAGATGGCCGAGCAGAAGAAGGATACTGGTCGATACTGTCTCCGTACTATGTAGGTTAGTCGGACTCCGGCCAGATCCCGGGGAATCAGGTAAAGATACACAGTACTCGCATTTTTGGGGGAGGTCGTAACCCGTCGCAGGATGCAGGATTCAATGAGGATCCGGGTGGATTGAACCGCTAAAACTTCGGACGTTTCGCGTTGGAGGAGTGGTTCAGGGACAACCGAAGCCCATGGCCCATAACCCATGGATGACGAAGCGTGGCTTCTCGTTACTCAGCGGAACAGTCGAACCGTTCCGTTCCTGCCTCATCGAGCTATTATTAGGGCTCACTCGACAGTGACACTGACAGGTACCAGGAGCTCCATGGCAAGCATCTCTCGGGCGAGAAGATCAGAAACCAGACCGCGGCCAGACCCGTCGGTGGAGACTCGTTTCTGCAGGGAATTTGACTATGGATTTAAGCTTATCACTCTGGTGTAACCTCCCCAAAGATGTACTGTACATATATATCGGACTATCAGTGCTACTTCGCTATCATAAGGAAGATGGCTTTGTTGACTCGATTTTCCCTCTCTGCAACAATTCCATCATCTGTTTCCATCCGCTTCCATTCCGTCCGGCGCCGACTTTTTCCTGTCGTGTAGTCTTGTCCTGTGATGGGAAGCCCTTCGAGTCAACCGTACGGAACTGACCAAGTTCGAATCAACCCAATTCTGGAACCCTTCTGGCTAACATACCCCTGACTACCCATAAGTATCGCTAAGAATCGCTCTGCACGATAGCTCCTACGACTCCACCGTCAACGCCGATCGCGCTGTCACAGGGTAGAACTTGCTCCTAGGCAGCAGCCTCCGATATGTATACAGCATTGCGTCGTAATGCAATCAGAATTGCTTCACATTTATCGAGCATGAGTGAGTGCCTTTCTCTGGAATCCGTAGTCTCCGTAGCCTATCAGCACTCGTTTCTGCCTTTTGACGAGAGAATGATGCTATAGTCCGCTCGCAACGGCTTTCTGGATTGGCCACCCTCGGGTGCATACTTCATCCTGGCAGCATCCTATGCCAGAATGGCCGCATTACGCGAGTCCTTTCCTTCATTAAGTTCAGCTATGACAGCACTCTCACGTCGACCGTGTGAGTCACACCAGAGTCCTAATGATGGCCATCTCCCCCCGTCCCTGAGATCTTTCTTTCTTCCCTCCCACGTCTCTCTGCTTTGTAGTATAGACAGCCTACTGTAGCACGATTCCATCCACTTTTCTGCTGCAGAATCACACAGACTTTACTCTTCTTGCTGTATTCTCCTCTTCCATGCTTGTCTTTCATGATTACTGACGGTTTGAATTAGATCTCTT